GAGAAAATGCAATTATAGACCTGGTACAAGTATCAAGGTTGTATATAGCAATTGCGTTCGGTCTCCTTGGTTTTCAAGGTAAATGAAATGAGCAAAACTGGAAAAGGTCATGTGTGCTTAAAAGCATGTGAGTATTTAATTTTTGATAATTTTTTGACATTTTTTACATTTATTATATCTATGGGGAATCATCCTTACACAGAATTATTTTTTGATTCAAATTTAGTTCCTTCTATTAGAAGGCTTGGCTAAGATTGGTTTATATGTATACACGCGGTAGTATCTCTTCGGGACGTATCAAAACCACTCCGTCCCGAAAAACCGTTAATTTGAATTTAAAACCTACCCCAGTGTTTGAAAATCAAGGATTGTGAGTCTCACACTTCACCGTTTTTCTTCAAACTTGTTCCGTACAAAGCTTCACAGAAATACCTTTCAGTCGATACATTGTTTTCGTGTACAAAGTACCTCGTTTTAGCGGCGTTTTGGTCCCCAGCTGTGAAATAAAGCAAACTTTCATAACTTTCAACTGTAAGTCAAGTTATCTCGCCAGTCTTTTACCCATTCTCGCCCATAATTTCAGAATGGACTCCCATTACAACCTTCCATCGCTACGTCTTGATTTATGGGCATCAAACGCAGCAGTTTCTAAATCATCCACACATCTCTTCAAATTTGACCAATACGTCCCGTCACCTTCCACTACGCCCCGCCGAGTCTATGACTACAAACGTGGAGTTGTATTCTAAAACATTTTGTTCATCGTTGTGTAATTTTACATGGTCGATTCTTAACACCAGTCTTAAGTTTAGCATACATACGGAGTATAACTATAACTGATTGCATGAAATTGATAATTTAAATGTTTGCTTTTTAACTTTAATTATATGTAATTGTCCTGTATTTGATTTTGTGAGGAAACCAAGTGTCTGGTTTGAAACACAATAAAATCTGGAATCTTGTTTTGCAACAATAAATGGTATAACCATCAATACAGTGCTGAATATAGGTGAACAGGATACTAGTGTACATATAAATGTTATAATTAAACCTGTACATTGATTTTGAAATATCAGATGAATTTATATTTTTTCATGGGGAGGCGGTAATAGAATCTGAAACAGGTCCTTTACTGGGATAATAGTTTCAATAATGCAGTAGCAGGTTTCGTGTAATTGGTGACAAGATATACTTTTACATGATACTGTCCCCTCCATAAGTTTGGCAACCTTAGCTCCCCATTGAACTACGTGTTAAAGCCTATTTATGTTTGAATTTTTATCTACATAACCTGCGGGGGAAATACTTATAAAATTGACGGAAATATAACTTGACTTTATTCCCAATACCTCCAAATTTTCTTGATGTTTTTCCTCAATTACAATAGATCGGAAATGGATGATAAATCTGATGAATTTTTGAAAATCGACATTCCCATGTAAACCCATGAGAATTGATATGTTTGTCGCATGTCATACGACAGAATATCCATCAATCTGAGTACTAGCAAAAAGTACAAGTTAGGTACAGTAGACAGCTGAATTTGCTATCTTTATTTAACAAAAAGTTGATACGTTTCTTCAGGTTCAACAAAGTTATAGGTTAGGGTTGTCCAAATCTGCAAAATTTTCCAAAAATCTGTCATCTGATAGATTCTAGTTACAAATTGACTCTTGGTACAAATATTTCCACTCTAGACCCCTGGGAAATTTTGCCACGCGTCTCACTTGAAGTTTTTGGTAATTTTGACAAATATGCCATTTTCATAAATGGTTTATAACTCAAAATTAAACTGTTGTATTTCAGGAATATGTATTTTTTCTTCATCATGTATGATTTTCAATAACCCTGCAGGCACCACTTTTTTTTAGCTAAATCCATCGGGAAACTTTGCCATGCTTAATTTCAAAATAACGGAGATGTTATCAAAATTGAGCAATATTGGCACAAAAACGTTTCTAGATTCATATAAAGAATGCATCATCATACAACACTAATTGGTATATAAACAACATCTACTGACTTGGTCTGATAATGTAATATAAAGATTTTAACTGTTGTGTGTCAACCTTTCTTCTGTATGATTCCATTGGATTACATTATGAAACGTGTACCATATAAAATGATACATGTTTCTAACGTTATGCTGAAAATAATATAATTGACATCACCCATCCTTTCGCATTTTAACATTTTTTCAAGGATAGGGCACTTTAAACATTTCTTAAAAATATTTTCAATTGTTCAGTAATTAAAATCTTTATATTGCAATATCGGGATTTCTAAATTTTAGGGAGATTTTGGACCACCCTATTATAGGTATATTGAAAATGGACAAGAACGGGTAAATCTTAAAACACAATCCGATTGGTATTTAGAATCGACAATGGCAACCTACAAACGGACACATCGATGGACAAATTGTTTTAGAATGCAACTCTAGCCCTACGTGTATAGTGATAGACTCGGCGGGCGTAGTGGAAGATGACGGGACGTATTGGTCAAATTTGAAGAGATGTGTGAATGATTTAGAAACTGCTGCGTTTGATGCCCAAAAATCAAGACGTAGCGATGGAAGGTTGTAATGGGAGTCCATTCTGAAATTATGATCGAGAATGGGTAAAAGACTGGCGAGATAACTTGACTTACAGTTGAAAGTTATGAAAATTTGCTTTATCTCACAGCTGGGGACCAAAACGCCGCTAAAACGAGGTACTTTGTACACGAAAACAATGTATCGACTGAAAGGTATTTCTGTGAAGCTTTGTACGGAACAAGTTTGAAGAAAAACGGTGAAGTGTGAGACTCACAATCCTTGATTTTCAAACACTGGGGTAGTTTTTAAATTCAAATTAACGGTTTTTTCGGGACGGAGTGGTTTCGATACGTCCCGAAGAGATCCTACCGCGTGGTATAAATGTAATGAGATTTTTATGTTTGAATCGCACAAAAAGAGATAATGTCACATGTGCGTGAATGCATGTCAATATCTTATTTTAAAAACTGAATTATGATTTTGACATTTTCATAAGCTTTAAACCATTGCCTTTCCACATATTTATTTTCTTAACATGAGAACTTAAAACACGATCTAAATAAGAAAGGTCAATGTGAGTTGAATTGAAATTTTAAAAAATATCAATTATCTGCGCATTTTCGTTATATTACGTCATACGGGATTTCGTGCTTTAAATGGGCTGAAGGTGAAGAATGGCACGTATACGAAAACGTTTGTTACCAATTCATCTTTCAAAACACATTTTTATTTTTTACATATCTATGATCTATGATATATAACCTATGTAAAGAATTATTTTCAAATTAATTGCTAGGTTAATTCAATAAGCAATTCTGAGGTATATTTGAACTTTAATTCCATAGCAGATGTAATTCGGACAAAAGTTTTAAAATTCAAGAAGATATTAAATCAATCAAAATAAATCTTATGATTCAACCGAGTCGACAATACTTGGTTCAGTTCTTTCATTTTCAATCATACCATGGTCATAGATTAACATAAGTGACCGTTCGAAAACATACCATTTTGTAGAAAATGAAAGAAAATCGCGTTATAACATGTATCGAGTAATTGCTAAGTTTACGTCTTAAGTTTTATGTGGTAAACAGCATTCTTCATTAAGTCACACATATAAGTTAAGGGAAGCAAAAGATCATTTTAAAAATGAAACATATCAATAGATATTTTTAACATTGAAATACTTTTAGAAAGTAAGCTTATACTAGTAGATTTGCTAGAACTAGCTGTTTGGAATTCATCATCTTTTCTCCACAGGATCATTTCGTAGTACAAATGCTGGTCATTTAAAGGAAATATAGGTTTCAACATCCCCGTCTATGAATATTGATCTTTTTCAAACAGCAAAGGTAAGTTTAAAACAGAAATACTTCTTACGAATCCAAATTACATTTTAAACTTAGAATTGTGATCTACGATCTTATGGGTATGTCACAAAAATTAGATACATTCACTCAGCATGCCGATAAACATATAGTTAACTTTACAAGCGTAACTATAGGTAACTTCGATTTTAGTATGTTCAAGTTCAAGTTCTGTAGTCTCGAGAGTCAAACGATTATCATAGTTTATTTGGCCTGCTTTTAGAATTGGGAAAACAAAGGCAAGGTTTATGTTTTATGAACATTCTGCTTTGATAGCAAACTTTATTTTTGAGTGTATTAAATCAAATAAAGCTTATTGCGTCGGGACCTGTACGTTCGCCCAATTAAAGGCAAATGTGCCGTCAATTAAAGAAACATGCACAGTGGTACACCGTTTTTGGAAAACATAACACTGATAATAAAAATTCATCAATTGTTATGAAATTTGCACCATCATTAAAAGGAATCTCGAATTTCATGATGACAAAATATCGGATAAATATGACAAGAACTAAAAATTTGTTACATTTTTTCCTAAAAAGTTGTAAAATAAAACAAAACTATAAAAATAATATTTTCACGACAAAAAATAAATAGTTCAACTGTTTTGATTCTACATGATGTTTTCAAAGAGTAGAGAGCTAGATTCAAAGCACCGTTCCTGCAAGTTTCAAATGAAAATATTGAAAAATGCGCGAGTAAGAGGACCGCAACTTTTTATGTCTACACTGGCAAAAACTTGAAATTCCCGTTGTAAAGATATAGTCCCACGCGGAAGTGCACGTCATAAAGCTGATGGGTTAAGGCAATGTGCCGTCCAACTGTATGGAAGCAATTCATTTTTTCTGCAACTGAATAGCCATATGTTGATAAAATGATCATAGTTACTCTGAAGCTCTCCTTTGCTGTCAATCATAGTTGCATCTCAGTGGCAATGGATATGTTCATCTGCATCAGTGAGGGAAAAGTGTCAAACACCACGCGAAAAAATGTGGGTTACTATTTTGAATCATCGATCTTTAATATGGGTACATAATCAATGAAATAATTTTGCTATACTTACGATCAGAGAGCTATAAGGCAGTTTGACGCCACATCAGCTGAAGCGAGTTGTAATAATAAGAACCTGCTAAATATTGTTCGTGGAGATATTAAGATTTTTGAATTTATCAGCTTAGCAGTCAAAGAAAAGTGCCAGAAATATGACTAAATTGTTACTTATTGTAGGAGCTTTCATTATTGGATTGAATTATTGTCAGATTGTATGTAAGTACATTTTGTAAAGACATTTGCTCATTTTATAGATTTAGATTTGGCCCAATTTTCAAATTCTGCTTGATAATCATCTTGTACTTGTTGCGAACGATCCGTTTTGCACATAAAAGTACGTTCAGCATATCAAATTGATGATGAACTTCATAAAGAAAATAAAAACGCGCGTACATGAAGTTGTAATTTAACAAAGTTTGATGACTTAATATTCATGAAAACATCCTTTCTGCAGCGTCAACGCCTCGCACTATCACACTTCTTGATAACAGTGGGGTAGAAGTAGATGTACTTGGCGCCCATCCGGCCCATTTTGGAGAACTATTTGGACAAGATGTTGCTGTAAGTAAATCAAATCATTGGGATATTTTTAACAGATACTAAAAAAATTCAAATTGTTTATGCTTGTAAATCCCGAGTATAACTAAATATGTTGTTTTGAATGTCGTTTTTGATCGAATGAAAATTGTCGTGTTGACCATTTTTCTTTCAAGAAGCCGTTTTAACAGACTTTTAGGTAACTTAAAAAGCATTGGCAGTTATATTTGCGAATGCTATACCTAAGTGTGGCATCTCCAATATCAATGGTGCTATGTGAAATCATTGGACAATTGGCTATTGAGATATAGTCACAGCAGAGAGAGTAAGAAAGTAGACTATTTTCAATATCAATTTTATTTCAGTTTGAGGGCACTCTCGTTGCCACTGACCCTGCAGAGGCATGCTATCCTTTAAACAATCCTGGCGACATAGCGGGTAAAATAGCAATCGTCTTGAGAGGCACGTGTAGTTTCAACAACAAGGTAAGATAGTATAATATAATGTAGTAATAGTAATACTATAGGTCTGGGAATTAAATGCATCGACTTTGAGTCCGTTGCTTGAGCATCACAGCTTTCATGGAATTCATCAAAGCTTCCTCAGTTCTAGTTCTGGTGAAAGGCCTTCTTGAATTGAGCAATGTCACTGGGGATCAACTGGAAACGAAGACATAATGTCATCGTTTCAGCATGGCCGAAGTTCCGGTGTAAAAACATGGTAAGATTTTTTGTTTTCTTGATTTTGTCACCTTTATCCATCAAATGAATAATGTTTGGCCAATATGAAGTGTGTAGGTTCCGGTTTCGAAAAATTATTACATCTCAGAAATATATATTTCGTCATTATTTCAATATCATGGGAGATATTTTTCCGTTCATTAGCAATCATTTTATTTGCAACGAAGACATTCGTTTTTACTTTAACTGCAAATATCAATGTCACACCGGAATACCCTGACAACGGTAAAGTCCGATACCGTAGTCACAAATGGCGGACGTAACCGTCGCTTCAACTCTTTAATCACTTCGTTCTCATATCATGGGACCTTATCGTCGCTGATTCTGTGCATGTAATAAGCTTCTGTGATGATGTATCATATAAATCCCAATTTCGATCAAATGTGGTCGTGAATCGCCACAATATACCCAGGGCCGTCAGATGGGGGGTGCGATGGGTGCGACCGCACCCCCCTTTGTCAACCCCCAAAATAAATTTGTTTTTCATTGACTCATACACTTTGAAAGTACCCAGAAAGCACCAAATAGCATCTTAAAATTGTAAAATTTTCTAGGGGTATTGGCCACCCCTCACACCCCCCACAAAACAATGGAAAAGTTCTAAATTTATTTTAGTGTTTTGTCTCAGACACTTTCAAAGTGCCCAGACATCATCAAATAGCTCCTTGATATAGTTAGTGTTTCTGGGGGCTTGCTCCCCCTCTTGCATCTTGCACTTGCATAGACCCCCCCCCCCTCTGGCGCCCCCCCCCCTTGACCCCCCCCCCCCAAAAAAAAAAAAATTGTGATTTTCTCAAATTCTTTAATTGACTCATACACTTTGAAAGTGCCCAGAAAGCACCAAATAGCGTTGTAAAATTGTAAAATTTTCTAGGGGGAGTGGGCCACCCCTCACACCTCAAACAAAACAATGGAAAAGATCTGAATTTGTTTTATGTACTGTCTCAGACAATTTTAAATTGCCCAGACATCATCATCATCCTTGATAAAGTTAATGATTCTGGAAGACTTACACTTACTCGCCCTCTGGTATCCACACTCCACCTCCCCCTCTGGCAGCCCCCCCCCCTTAACACCCCCCAAAAAATGGTAAAATTTTCTTGGGAAATAGGCACTTTTAGGCACAGACACTTTTAAAGTGCCCAAACTTCATCGAATAACACCTTGATATTGTAAATTTTGATATGGGGGACAAACACTTGCTCCCCCTCTGGCACCCCAGCCCCACCTCCCCCTCTGGCACCCCCCCCCCCCCCCCCCCCTTTGACACCCCCAAAATTTGAAAAAAAATTGTGATTGTTTTTCAATGTTTTATTGACTAATACACTTTAAAAGTGCCCAGAAGCACCAAATATTATCTTTAAATTGTAAAAATTTCTAGGAGAGTTAGCCACCCCTCACATCCCCCACAAAACAAAAGAAAATATTCTGAATTTCATGACGTGTCGCAAAAAGGTGGCGCATTTGTTCTTTAAGGGTATCGCGTGAATGTAACTTTGATTCCTCGGATTATAAGATAATATTCTAATTAAAGTTATATATCATTTTAAAGCTGTTTCGATGAAGATTTTAGATCAACTACACTCCGTTCACATTTTTTGCGCGTTTGTTTTTAAAAAAGAGTTTTTTACCAAAACATCTGGGAAATATCCCATGTTGACACTTTACATTTTGAATTATTTTTCGTCTTTAAACGCTCATAACTCAAACAATATATGACTATTATACTTATTTTTCGTCTTGATAAAGGTAAATGGAAGTTTTATTTCAAAGGATGAATTTTAGTAAGCGTCCCATATTGTGACGTCATAGAGTCTGAAAAATAGAATCTGTTGACAGCGACCTTTTTTGCTCATTTTTTGGTACCTTCAACTTTTCAGGTGTACATTAAACAAAAAATACGAGATCAATTTTTAATAAATCATACATGATTATTTTGCTCCTAAACTCTAGTTTATTAATAAATAATTGATTTTGTTCACAAAAGTATGTGTTTTCTGTTGTATGTGGAAAAGTGGAGGACGAAAGGTTTTCAAAATTCATGAAAATAGGGCTAATTTACGCCATTCGCCTATTTTCAAGCACAGCAACACGTATATTTATTTCACCTAAAATATCAATTGATTCGTGTTTTATGATGCTCCTAGCCTATTAACAATATATATATGATATCAGAGTTATTCGTCAAAAATGTTTTGAGATATAGAGGTAAATGTGGAGGACGAAAGGATTTTCATGTGTGTACATTTTTCTCAAAAACGTCACATTCTATCATGTTAAAAGCGAGGATCCTCTGGATTACGCCACAAAATGTGTAACAATGCGTGCGCGAGCTTTTTGCGACACGTCCATGTATTGTCTTAGACATATTTTAAGTGCCAAGACATCATCAAATAGCACCTTGATATGGTCAATGTTTCTGGGGGACAACCCCTTGCTCTCCTACTGGCACCACACCCCACTTCACCCTCTCATCCACTTTGACACCCCAAAAAGAATTTGAAAAAATACACATTTTTCTTATTGACTCATAACGCACAGGCGTACCAGATGGTTGCAAATTCGCTCCAAATACAACCAAATTTCAAAACTTTCCTGGGGGAGAACCCCCAGACCCCCCTGAATGCTCGGTTTTTTATTCACTCAACTCTTATTCCCATGGTGGTGGCGTACTACTTGGAAACTTACACTTTGAAAGTGCCCAGAAAGCACCAAATAGCAACTCAAAACTGTAAAATTTTATAGGGGGAGTGGACCACTCCTCACACCCCCACCAAAGAAGAACTTTTGGAAGTTGCATTTGTTAATTCCAAACCAATATGGGGAGTAACTGAGCCCCCCCCCCCCCCCCCTCTGACTTACGCGATTTGATTTACGCAGCAAAAAAATTGACAATTTTATATTCCCTTTAGTAAGCTAAAAACCGCACCCCCCTTGGAGAAAAGTGTCTTACGGGCCTGATACCGTTTTCTATATCATCAATGACGGAATCTGAATTTCAAATAATTAACAGAGAAAGGATAGATCTGAAATTCAGTATCCGTTGTCCCTCCTGTGTCATATTCTGATCGGTAAAATTAAAGGCGTTATTTCGATGGTAGAACATATTTAACTATTATACAATGAGTAGAAATGCACTTTGATTGATCGTTCTACCAAATAAAAGGAATTTAATCTATTGCTCTCTTAAACATGCATTTAATAAAAATCGAATCGAATAGTGTGGCCGCCATTTGTGACAATGGTATCTGACTTTACCGTTGTCAGGGTATTCCGGTGTGAATATAGAAATATCCCTAAAGCTATATATAGAGCCACATTTGCACTTGAAAGCACATTGTAGATGTCTCGGAGGGTTTTAACTCTTTCTGACTCTGCGTTATCCCTTTTCCGAAGTAAGAATGTAAGAATCTAAGTAAAAATGTTCTTTAATTATTTAAACTAGTAGGACCAAAATTTGATAGGACCACCTACCCTTTTACACCGGTGTGAATATAGTAATATCCCTAAAGCTTTATAGAGCCACATTTGCACTTGAAATCGAATGTGATTTGTAACAACGGTATCTGACTTTACCGTTGTCAGGGTATTCCGGTGTGAATATAGTAATATCCCTAAAGCTATATAGAGCCACATTTGCACTTGAAAGCACATTGTAGATGTCTTGGAGGGTTTTAACTCTTTCTGACTCTGCATCCCTTTTCCGAAGTAAGAAAGTAAGAATCTAAGTAAAAATGTTCTGTAATTATCTAAACTAGGAGGACCAAAATTTGATAGGACCACCTACCCTTTTACACCGGTTTGAATATAGTAATGTCCCTAAAGCTTTATAGAGCCACATTTGCACTTGAAATCGAATGTGATTTGTAACAACGGTATCTGACTTTACCGTTGTCAGGGTATTCCGATGTGAATACACTTGAAAGCACATTGTAGATGTCTTGGAGGGTTTTAACTCTTTCTGACTCTGCTTTATCCTTTTACTTAGTACTTCGTTTCCTAAGTAAGAATCTAAGTAAAAATGTTAATGTAATTATCCAAGCAATCACTGTATGTACTTCTTAGGTATAACCATATTCCGAAGCTAGAACCTTCGCAATACGGAACAGATATTTAGTTGAAATTTGAAGGATGATTGTGATAAAATTGGCGAAACGAAAATTTAAAATTATTATCAACCGGAAGATCGCCGGCCATGCTGAAATAAAGACATCCAGTTGATCCCCAGTGAATGTGTGCATACCTTACCTCCGCAATATAATTATAAAAAATAAACAATGGACTGAATATAGCGTTCCGTTAATAACAAGATCTGAAGTTATAATGTGCGATCATAGCCCTTGTGTTTTCTTGTATTATTGACTTTTATTGCTGTATTTTTGTTTTACTTTGTTCTGTGTTAAATGTATATGGGTCTTTTTCAAAAGTTCGTCACTTTCTCCGAAAAATTAAAACGGTTGATATTTCAATCAATTTTTGATTTTTTGGGACGAACAACGAACATTGTTCCAGAAAATTGCCTTTAAAAGATAGTTTAAGTGGAAATTACGAAATAACACAGCAAAATGTAAAAAATCTAACGTGCGTGACGTTTTTGATGAAATCAACAGTTACTTTTGCAATACAGACGATAAAACACATTTAAGTCTCTCAAACTGTGTAAATGCATATGACGAAAAAATCGTTTGTCGATATTTCATGAATTTATGCATTTAAGGTTTCTCAGCTAATTTTCAATATGCTAACGTGCGTGACGTTTTTAAATATCTGCGTTTTTCATCTGCTATCCTGAGTTTCTCATATAACATGATATATTAGGAATAAATATGTTTTAACCAATCTAAAGCTTTAAATAAACGTTTTACCCTTGTAAGTTTTGTGTCATAAGGCATTAAGCAAGGTTTTTACTAAAAACTAACGTGCGTGATGAATTGATTGTGTTGACACGAAATATGTTAAACTCAATAATAAGTGTACATCTTAGTGATAAAGTAACAGCAGTCGATTTCTTAGTGTATAATACATGTTATACCTTGTCAAACATCATACGTATTATATTTTTAAACTGGCAAAATATGGATATCCGATTAATACAATGGTTTAGGACTTATTTCAACCACAGAAGTAAATTATTCTATAACGTACAGTATCTTGCTTCATGGTCATTCCATTTCCCCAGCAGGATACGTTACAATTAACATTAATAGCTTTCCTCAAATTATTTAGTTCGAAGAATGACATAGCGATATATTGTTATGTGTATTCATTATTTTATTCAAGAAAATGTTTGCTTGAATTCTACGTGCGTGACGATTTTAAGTTGACACGATTTTAACAATAACAATAACAACATATGAGACCAACATATGAGACCAACATATCTTGTAACTGGCACAAAACAATTACTTTGAAAATGTAACAACCACAAGGTTAACATTAAGACGGTAATCTATCTACTTACAACTGACTACAATACAATACAGTTACATTTTAAATAGCACTGTTTGAATTTTATACATTTTATATCAAAACCAGTGGAAATTTAAGTTACTATTGACATTTGATCATCATGATGATCGGGATTTTAATTCAGGCTCCTCACGTTTTGATTTTTCTTCCCTCACAAAAGTTTATCAAATTCTGACAAATTGGAAAAAAGCCTTCCAAACTTAAATAAGGAGCGTGTAACTGATAACAAGAACAGTGAAATGTGACAATGTTTGTACACTTGAATGCTAAAATTAGACTATGAAAGTCATAAAGGTTCAATAATGTTCATCATAAATGTTCATTTGTCGGTGCCATGGTTCCACATTCTCTCAATAAGTCAGAACCCATGTCTTTTCAGAAATCTACCGTAAAAACTCCGGTTTTTTCAAAATCTACCGTAAAAACTCCAGTTTTTTCAGAAATCTACCGTAAAAACTCCCATTTTTTCCGAAATCTACCGTAAAAACTCCCATTTTTTCCGAAATCTACCGTTAAAACTCCCTTTTTTCAAAACCTACCGTAAAAACTCCCGTTCTTTCAGAACCTACCGCAAAAAACTCCCGTTTTTCAGAACCTACCGCACAAAACTCCCGTTTTTTCTGAAATCTTCCGTAAAAAAAGTCACGTTTTTTAAAATTTACCGCGAAAAATACCTTTTTTAAAAAATCTCCCGTAAAAACTCCCGTTTTTTCATAATTTACCGTAAAAACTCCCGTTTTTTCATAGTTTACCGCAAAAACTCCCGTTTTTTTAAATCTCCCGTAAAAACTACCGTTCTTTTCAAAAATCTCCCGTAAACACTCCCGCTTTTTTCAAAAAACTCCCGCAAAAACTACCGGATTTTGAAAAAAACTCACGTAAAAGTACCGCAATTTTTTTTAAATCTCCCGAAAATTTTTCATTTTAGGTTGGCAAGTCTGGTAATGCCATAAAGCTAAGTAGTCAAAAGAACTATAATATTTATTGAGAATTTGTTTCTATTTCTTCAAAATCCCAAATCTTGCAAATGCAAAACCTCAAAATGTGAACACCTCCTAATCCGAACGCTCTTAGCTGGTCCCTTGGATTAGACAGGTTTTACTGTAGGTACAATCCCCTCTAAAAGTTACTGAAATCACTGGCTGGGAATTGGTGTTCGCTTACACACAGGTGTTCAATAGAGTATACTCATATGTTCGCTGGGCACAGTATTTCACTAAAGAGATGTTCATTATGACAGTTTTACTGTACTGGGAATTGGTGTTCACTATACACAGGTGTTCAATAGAGTAGACGCATGTGTTCACTGGGCACAGATCTTCACTAAAGAGGTGTTCATTAGGATATTTTTACTGTACTGAAATCACTGGCTGGGACGGAATCGCTGTTCACTATACACAGGTGTTCAATAGAGTAGAGGCATGTCACTGGGCACAGATCTTCACTAAAGAGATGTTCACTATGACAGTTTTACTGTACTGAAATCAATCACTGGGAATTCACTATATACAAAATTGAAATGTGTGTATCATGCCACCCCTGCAAAATAATTGACTCGCCCACTTGGTCTCTTGGATCCACTTGCAAAATATATATAACCTAAAATAACTCACGTTAAATGGTGGCCATTTTGAAAATGGCCGCCTAATAGCCAAAATGTCATAATAGAACAATGTGCCATGCTAATAAGTAGTCACATATCAAATACGAACAAAATCGCTCCACTACTTTTCAAGTACAGCAAAAATTGTAAAATAGTGTGTAAAAGCATGGTGGCCATTTTCAAAATGGCCGCCTTCTTGCCAAAATATCATAAAACAGTGTGCCATGCTAATAAGTAGTCACATATTAAATATGAACAAAATCGCTCCACTACTTTTCAAGTGATAGCAAAAAATGTAAAATCGTGTGTATAAGCCGCCATTTTTCAAGATGGCTGCCATGTGTTTCTTAAATATCTACATGTCTAGCTTAATTATGTGCTATATAACTTTTTTACTTTTAAAACTCATTGCTATTACAGTTTTATATACTGTACCTAAATGACTGTAAAATTGTCACTAAAATGGCCGCCATTTTGACACGAGCGGCCATTTTGAAAATCGGCTATCGAGCAGAACTTCTACTCCCATAGGGTATATGTGTCTACATGCATAAACTACGAAAAAAGCACTTGGTGAAAAATGTGTATACCCTCTGGGAGCCCCAGCATGCATTTTCTTGGTGTTGTATTTTCTAAACTACCGGAAAATACGTCGAATTATACGAAATACTTACGTCTTCTGCTAGCCAAAATGGCCTCAGCCGGGACGAATCTAAATTGCGAATGGTCTATGTGGAACGAAACTGTAGCAATTTCTATCAATGCAATATCATTTATGGAATAAATAGTCTAAATAGTCGATCAAAGATCATTTATATAATTCAAATAACCATGCACAAAGAATTTGTTTTCAGTGAAGTCGAGAAGAATTGAGTCCATCTGAACCGACGCTCAATCACTTTGTCCATTGGTGTCAAACGTCACGCACGTTAGAATTTTATTGGTTCTATTCTATTTTCTGCATACAATAATTGACGAAATTTTCTGAACTGTGAAACTGAGATTAGTAAAAGCAATAAAAATCAGTGCTTGGCACTCCTGACAAGACTATTGACATAACCATTAACATAAGGACAAGATGTACATTTATAACGTGCGTGATTGCTTGACACGAACACTTTTATCACATATAAATTAAGCTATGTTGTCAAAAAAACAGATTAATGACGAAAACAACCACAATATTTGCTGATTCCAGATGAATGTTCCCTTTCTTACATTTAGGTGTGTGTGAAAATCGTTTTATATAAACGAGAAATTTAAGTAATTCGTTAATGCGAGAGTATGACACGATAAAGGACTAAGTGCGTGGCGGATCTACACCAATCTTCGAGCAACTTATAAAGACCATATTGCCGCTTCAGAGTTGAAACTTACCACTGGATCTATAACATCTCGTAAATGTGTAAATAAAATACAATTTCATTTACACATGTGATCGCGTGACGTGCGTGACGTGCGTGACGAGTTTGACACGAAAAACGATAATGCACGCAACTGAGCATAAAAATTATTTTCCATATATACTTCATATAGCATTGAACACAATGAGAGCTCGGTGTATCTTCCTTTCGAAAAAACACTCATCTGACTTTTTGTAAAAATAATCAGCCTGGAGCTCATGAATAACGTGCGTGATGGTGTTTGACACAATGCATCACGCACGTTAGTTCTAAATTGACATTGTCTTATTTTTCGAGTATGGTAGAATTATTATCTGAAAACGAAATGATTCACATAGATAACCTCTGTAGACTTGTGGCAACACATTTTTCCGCCTCATTTCCAGAAAGAAAGATCCAGGGGATGTATCTCTGATGTACCCCCCATAATTGCTTAAAAAACTGCAAAAACAGCTGGACACGAAGCCCAAAAAGTGAATAACTTCAACAAATTTTAACATTTTCACCTGATATTATCCTCAGTATCTTTTTGACCTCTACTGAGTTGAATAAAATAATCATTTTTGGCTATACTTCTCAAAATGTTGAGATATCGAGCATGTAATATTTGAACTTTTGAGTGACGAACTTTTGAAAAAGACCCATAAATTAAATTGAAATTAAAGTGTTTATCTGAACTTTGATTGATTTGTATTTATGTTATACTGTAAAATCCATCTAACCGGAATAAAAGCGACATAATAATTCAATATATATGAGCAATGGTATAGATTGTCCACAATTGTTGCTAACAGATTTCGTGTTTGTTTCCAGGCCTACCATGCTGAGCGTGCTGGTGCCATTGGAATGATTCTGATGGGTAAGTTCGATGCAAGTTCGCCATTTTCAGCTTCAGTAGCCAGTTAAATTGTTTCTAAGTACTTTCCAAGATGAGCAAGGATTAGAACATGCAAGAGAATAGAAAAATAGAATCGGAATATTAAAAACAACTTTTGGTGGACACGTGGGATTTCTGAGTGAATAGAGAGGATGGGGTTTCAACAAATTATGTAAATTCGTCAAGTTTCACTTATTTTATAAGTAGATTCAATATATATTCAATAGGGTCAGTTGGGTCTCCATCTTGCGTTGAACCTGTAACACGAGGAATTGTGAGCGAGGTTGAGATTACATAACTTTGTAGTACTATTCTAGTACTTATTTCACGGTTTCAATAATTTTGTACGACCATTCAGACGCGAAACTCTAGCTTTTCGCGTTGGCAGTAACTTGAGTTTTGTTCCATGAATAAATGCCTCAAAAAGCAAAAGTTGATTATTCATGTTTTCAATTTGAAAGTACATGTACCAATCTGTCGCATTCACCGTGGAATAGTTGTATATGCATTTAAATGGCGCAAAAAATCGTTTGTGGGTAAACTAGCCCCGGGAAAATAGCATAAAGGTAAATTATGAGCAATGATTGCCATAGCCATGCCAAACATTTGCTACCACCCCTATCTTATTGAGCTACTATATACCGACTAAACAAATCCAAAGGTCTATCGTAACAAAAGAATACAAACAGTATTCCCAATTACAGCTAATCATTCGTGGCCATCTCATCTTTTTAGTTTAAAGGTCAATGACACTCCTTATTTCGTTTTCGTCGACGGGTGAATAAAAACTACAATATGCGTGTACGCATAAATGCAGGTTCATGTTAAGGTTGCCCGTGCATCTTATCCCCTCTTTAACACCTAGTTCCCGGAGTAAAAAATAATCTATCAACGCAAACGTACGTAGAAAGGTCTCGTATGGATCCACGTGGGTAAAATCCGCTTGAAAGTACTCAAGGTTGGTCAGTTTTTTCCTCTCAATTAACGTTGATCCACGTGGGTGGATCTCTCCGAGGATCCACGTGGTTTCTACGTGGATTCCGCGTGGAACGGATTGGGGATGTACATGAATTGGCTCTTCCTTGGTATTGCTAAATGAGTGATCATAGAACAATTGATTTATCGAATGCACCCTCGGTTTTTGTCATCATTAATATTGTGGGATTTTTAATAATTTACCGAACATCGGATCGTTCAGTTTTTTTATGTAACATAGATTTACTGAAGCTGAGCGATCGTATTGTCATCGGTGCCTTATCTTTCCAAGTTTGGTGAGTTTTAATCTAGATATAACACCTATTCATAGTGTATCAGATAGAGTTTAGTGTAGAGATAGCTTTGGATTCAATAATTTAGCCCATATAGATCTTATATTAACTGAAAACAAGTTCGTAGATTTCAAATTTTCTCTGATTCAAGCTTTTCAATATGGCGATTTCTACGTGTATTTGTATGTAATATGCATGTTGTTTTTGCTCATATCTTATTGTTAAACTTACGTGAGGTATCTATAACGTTTCATTTGGGGTTTTATTTGATAATGGGGCGTTTATTCAATTTAATGGCATTTTCTCGGGGTTTCATTTTAACTTCATGGTAAATCTCGCTGGGCGTCTACGTGCAGAATCTCATCTAGGCACTTGGATGTTTACTGAATCAGCCGACGGCCTTGGAATAAATTAGAATAATTAGGCACTCAGCAACAGAGCTCAACCAATTAGATTGCTTCATTTGAATTTACCGCCAACTTAAGTTGTATTTTCCCATAATGCAACCTGAGATGTCTGGACTTTAGCGTGAGATCGTGACCTGTAAATCAGAGCTTACCAAGATTTTGTACAAGCAGGACCTCGTCAGTTTGGGGCATTTTATGTGCGAGCGTGGCTGATTACAACTGTGGATTATATTTGGATATTATTTGACTATTTGCTGCTATTGCTTGATGTAAATTGCGTGCGTTGCGACAATTGGGGAAAAGACAAGACAATAGAAAGTTCTTTGGTGAGTGACAATTTATGTATCGAGTTTGACGCCATATTGCTGTCCGCCATTTTGATTTCTTCTTCCCAGAGTTCCCTGCGGTCGGCCATCTTTATTTTTTACGGAAGTGACGCCATTTTAAGGAGTGATTCCTTCTCTGAGTAGTTACAACTCTTGTCTAATCTCAGTTTGATTGATATTCGAGAGTCGCGTCTGCTCCGAGAGGTCACTGCTCCGAGTTATTACCCCTCCAACCATTCTAAGAACAAACTCCTCCGAGTAATTATGGCTCTTGTCTAATCTCAGTTTGATTGATATTCAAGAGTCATATCTGCTCCGAGGACTCACTGCTCCGAGTCATTACTCCTTCATTGGCTCCGAGAATTGCCAGCTCCGAGTGATTACTCCTCCAATTATTTAAGTGTTATATCTCCTCTGAGTTATATTTGGTCCGAGTAGTTACAGCTCTGTCTAATCTCCGTTGTGATTGATATTCGAGAGTTGTATCTGCTCCGAGGATTGCCAGCTCCGAGCGATTACTCCTCCATCTAGTTGAGAGCCATACCTACTCCGAGGATTGCCAGCTCCGAGTGATTACTCCTCCAATTATTTAAGTGTTATATCTCCTCTGAGTTATATTTGGTCCGAGTAGTTACAGCTCTGTCTAATCTCCGTTGTGATTGATATTCGAGAGTTGTATCTGCTCCGAGGATTGCCAGCTCCGAGTGATTACTCCTCCATCTAGTTGAGAGCCATACCTACTCCGAGGATTGCCAGCTCCGAGTGATTACTCCTCCATCTAGTTGAGAGCCATACCTACTCTGAGGACTCACTGCTCCGAGTGCTTACTCCTCCATCTATTCTAGAGTGGAATCTGCTCCGAGGGTTGAGAATACAACTCCGTCTAATCTCAGTTTAATGATCGATATTCGTGAGTTGCTTCTTCTCCTCCTCCGAGTTATTGATGATCCGAAATTGATACAAGTTGCTGAACTTGATGTACCCTCCGAGGTGATTTGACTCCTCCAGAAGTTAGATACTGAGGTTACACTACTGGAACCAAGGTATTTCTGTGTTGCAAGGTTTATTCCATTGGAGCCAAGGTTACTCCACCGGAACTAAGGTACTCCGAGATCGAGAAGTAGCAGCTCTGGTCTAATCTCACCATCTGATTGACATTCCAGAGGTGTTATTTCTCTGTAGAGGGTGACGAGGTTTCTCCTGTGAAGTGGCGACTCCCGAGCAGAGTGCTCCAGAGCCTGGACCCCTTCCAAGAGACAGAGTTTGTGTCGGAGCCATAGTTACACTACCGGAACTGAGGTGCTCCAAGAGACACAGAGTTTGCGTTGATTTCTCTTGAGACGAGACGACTCCGAGCTGAGATACTCCGAGCGTGTGAATCGTTCAAGAGCAGAGGTTTTTATCGAGAAGTGGCGACTCCCGAGCAGAGGTTGCTCCAGAGCCTGGACCCCTTCCAAGAGACACAGAGTTTGCGTTGATTTCTCTTGAGACGAGACGACTCCGAGCTGAGATACTCCGAGCGTGTGAATCGTTCAAGAGCAGAGGTTTTTATCGAGAAGTGGCGACTCCCGAGCAGAGGTTGCTCCAGAGCCTGGACCCCTTCCAAGAGACACAGAGTTTGCGTTGATTTCTCTTGAGACGAGACGACTCCGAGCTGAGATACTCCGAGCGTGTGAATCGTTCAAGAGCAGAGGTTTTTATCGAGAAGTGGCGACTCCCAAGCAGAGAGTGCTCTAGAGGCTGGTACTCTTCCAAGAGAGAGAGTTTGCGTGGTTTCCCCAGAGACGAAGTGACTCCCGGAGCTGAGGTTGCTCCTTAAGCTGAACAAACTCCATACAGAAGATTAAGAGACGTAGTGACTCCTAGAGCTGAACAAACTACAGGAGGAGAACATAGAGAGACGCAGTGACTCTTAGTGTTAAACAAGCTCCAGAGCAGAGACGACTCTTGAAGAGAAACTTGTATATTATATGGACATTTTGTTATTATATTGTAAAAACTTATGTTAGAATAGATTATAAAAACCCTGTACATAATTGTTTTGTGGAGCCATCTTCTATTGGTAACTGTCGTACCACCAAACCAGGTCGACACCCTTGAAACACCTCCAAAGATCCCTTTTCGTCGTCCCAGGCCTTTCCCCAGTATACAGGGTGCTCGGTGAGACGGCCCAGGCGCGACAATATTGCTGATCAATTGACTCACTAAATCACTACGTAAACAACGTGCATCACATTAAGGGCCAGGTCAATATTTCAAGATCCGTCAATAAACGTAATTGATTACGTGGGGGGTAAATGCTATTGAATTCTAGCTTCCAGGGGTTTCGTTATCTGCAACGGTATGATCTGTAAAAAGGCCGGTTTTAAAGTTGCTGACAACTCCCATTAAAATATCAGGTTACATTCACACTTAACATGGCACAGAAAGTCAGGATTAGTGAGTTTAATTAACAGCATTGCTTAATACTTGATTTTGATTGGCTAAGCTTGAGGACTTTTAAATTTGAAAAAATGATCTGTTTTTAAATGTCTTATCACAACCCAACAAAAGGACGAAGTTAAAATCTAACTTCTGAATATGAACATCAAAACATTGAAATATACATTTAAAAAATCTGAAGCAATACATTTTCTCAATCAATATAAAATTTGAGAAAATTGGCCAGCTTTAAAGTATCAAAATCCAGTCATTTTGGCTGTTCCATTAGTCTGCCTCCTATTTATACCCCATGTCCTTCTTTAATTATACTCAACAGATATGTACTAACACCCCAGTCACATTTGTCGCACGGCGGCCGCAAGTCGACCGCAGATCAATTAAATCGGTGAATTTCTGCGGCGAGCGTAGAAAAACTACGCTCGCCTTGCGGCCTCCGTACGGCGTATGCAGATTTTTACAGGCCGCAGGGAAGGCGTAGAAATTATAACTCGGAGTTATAATTTTTGTTCATTTCTGAGGTCCCCGTAGAAATCAACTGACTCAACAAGATTGAATCATTATTTGTTAATGTTTCACGATCACTTTTCATTTGATATTACATCCTAGCACTATGAATTATATTTATAAATTGTCCCGATGTAAATAAAATGAAAAAAAGTATTATTTATCAACAGAAATTTAAAATTCACCGTGCGGCTGCCGTGGGAAATGTGACTGCAAAAGTATGAGAGCGCAGAAATTCCACGGCGAGCGTAGAAATGTTACCGGCCGCAGAAATGATAGACCGCAAGGTCGCCGTAGGAAATGTGACTGGGGTGTTAGATAATTTGATATGTGGTGTTATATGCTTGGGTTGTACTTGTACTTGTGCACTGCACGCAAATCAACATTTTGACTCATTTACACGCGCACGAATCAACATTGTCGCTTTCGTTAGAAGGGGGGGGTTAAGACCTGACTAAATCAATTACGTTTTGACGGACATTGAAATGTATTGACCTAGCCCCTTAGTGGGACTTTGTTGATCCTTGAAACATTGTGAGGCGTTTGCATTCATTTGAAAAAGGGAAGAAATAATTCGCACAGACTTCAACTATAGTATAAAATACCCTTTACATTTTGACAGGATATCCTTTGAATTTCACACTGATTAACCCATGAACTTGCAAATATGTTTTATTGGTATAACTAAGTATACTACAATATATGATCAATATTATATCGGCGTGTAATCTATAGCACCATGTCATTGCCCGATCGAACTATTATCATTTAATGTTAAACAACAAAAATGCGTGCATTCTAGTACTTATATATTCACACATAGTTAGGTAATTAAGGTGTGTCCAATTCCAGCCAATCAGAACGCGTTGTTTTACGTAACTGCATTCCGTTATATAACCAATAACAAAGTCAAGGACACTAGTTAAACGGTTGTCATGGTGATAACTGGACTCTACGAATCGAAACTGATACTTTGCCAGCATGACCCTTGCAAAACGTTTCATTGAAAATAGGTTCTTAGCGATTTTAGATCTTTCAGATGATTTTGTAGAAAATATTTTGCCCTGTGTGAAAAGAATTTAAGCCCAAGACTCGATGTATTGCGCAATGATCATTCTTCTAAGGATGTTTCGTAAAATTAACACTCGATGCTCCGCATCTCGTGCAAATTTTGGAAAGCAACACCTTCAAGGAGTGGCCAATCCACATTGCACTGAGTCCAGGGCTCAAATCCTCGACTGTTTTTAGAAAAAAATGCCAAAAATGCAAGAAATGAAGTTTTTGACCCAAAATGATTTCTCTACTCCTCGTAAATCTAAGTACCTATTGAGGATTTGCAACAAGTAAAACAAGATTTGCGTTATTCACTAAGTTTCCCCAGAATAAGCATCAATAAAGGTTGATAGCCTACATTGTAAAAAAATATTTTCTGTTTATTATAATCATAACCCAAGCTGACACATTTCACCATTCTGTTTGCGTGCTATTAAATTGATCTAATTCGATTTGTCATCGAAAAATACGGATGTTGTAGATTAATTATATATAACGATAAGGTGATCATTGAAATTGGGTGCTCGCTCTTTATTCAAATATTTGATTGAGAAAAAGAGAGTAACCCTACTATTACACCAAACTAGTTCTCACTACGTTCTCAAAAACGGGCTTCAACTGTGTACGAACGGACTGGACGTACTTAGAACCGTTTGGGGTCTATTTACAAACTTCATCGAACGTACTTGAACGGGTAGGTCCTCTAGAACTTAGAACATGCTCAAAATGTTCTCGTGGTCGATACGTTCTATAAATAGAACGAGTGACAACGTACTAACGACGAGCTGGACGTACTACGAACGGAACCGTCGTACTTCAATCCTACTAGGGACGTTTTTACAACGAGTTGAACTGTCTGAGGACGTATTGAGAACGAGGTAGAACTTATTGCAAACGGGTTTAAACTGATTAAGAACGTATTAAAGACTGCTTATGAACGAGTTAGCAAAAATATAGCTATCACACCAAACAAGTTGACACTGCGTTCTTCAAAACTGGTTTGAAACTGTATGCGAACGGAATGAACGTAGCTGCAACTTTCTAAGGACTTTTTACGAACTTCATGAACGTTCTCAGACGGGAAGGTGATTTCAGAATTTTGAAATGATTCAAAATTCGATGGCGACCATACCGTTCTGTAATCAGGTCATGATGACCTTCTAGACTAAGGGACGCGTTATACGGCGTTGCACACCGACGTGGTGCGACCTGAACGAACTGCGAATGAGATGGACGTATTGAAGACTGTTTATGAACGAATTAGCTAATTATTTTAGACATATTTTCCGACCACAGCCAGATTGAGCCCGTTTTACGACATTTTCGTAGGACTGGCAAGAACGGGTAAGAACTAGTTTGGTGTGATAGGGGGGTAAGAAATTGGTCAACAGAATCGACCTGATGTAATTTAGGATTTAAGCCTTTGATTCGATGGTTTTACCTAAATACTGACACTAAAATGGCGGTAATTTTGAAACCATTCTATTTTGAGAATTGAATTTCGAACAGAACTTGTATTCACCCGGGGCACAGAATGGAGCATATATGTATAAAATATAAACTATATGGGGCAAACTGTATTTGAGTTATTGCCCGGATGGACGGACGTACAGACGGACGGACGGACGGAGTTGTTCTCTATATCCCTATTCCAGTCTGTTTCTTTTTTAGATAACCAAGCACAAACAGCTACCAGCATGCTCCTAGTACGTGATAATTGTCTTACGGAATCAGATGTCACAATTCCGGTTGTTTTCCTCTTCATCGGCGAAGCAACGACGTTGAACAATTATATGACAACATATCCCGATCTCAAAGGCAGAATTGCATCAGCGGGTCAGTCTGGAGATATTTGCTAATTGATTAACATAGTCTACTGTTTAAGAACCCTTATTCTTACTATTAAAAATGGATTCTATCAATTATACTCTCCCACATGAATCTACTTGATGAGTGAGAATATAGGGGTTCCTAAACAGGACATTTGGGCTTGCTTTTTAAAACTTTTTCGGGTTCTTATTTAAAATCATTACAATTAATATATTATGATGGGACACTACTAGGTCCGAGGCATTTGGAAGTCAAAATCAGAGTTGGACCAGCTTAGATGTCCAATAAAAACAAACTTTATGTCAATGCTTTCTCTCAACAAACGCAGCGGTTGATATCCGCAAATATTCCAAGTTTAGATTCGATCGAACAATTAAAAAGGATGTATACGTTTTGTGATAAAAACAATTACTAAAATATGCTTTGAATAATCGGAGCCCAAATCGTAATCTATCATTCTAAACCATCAGAGAAGAAAGTATAGATCATAAGTTGGGCCTGCCTCAAATAATAACTTCATACTCCATACTGACTTTGCATCGAGAACGGACGATCTTGCACAGGCTCTCGTTCAAGAACATGTATATGCATATCTACAAATATTTTTGTAGGTAATCCCATTGGATCAAGTTGCCAGCAGGGGGGTGATCCTAGTGGCTGTAGAGGATACCCTGTGGCAGTTGCAGGGTGTTCGGGTAATTCCTGTGCCTGTAATAGTCCTTGGTTTGTCTCAGCGACAAATGGCTGTGAGAGAGGTAACCAGTTACACGCAGTTCAATTAATCCTATTAATATTTTATTTTCATGACTCATTCGAATTTCAAAAATACATTAAATTAGATGAATGTTTATACACGTTGTTCTTTAGATCCCTCGGTTTCCTTGGCTTCGTTTGATTCATATGACGCCACCTCTTGCTCGATCGTACCGATTGGTGGAACGTGCGCACCTTCGAGCCAGAGATGTAATGGATTCCCCAGTTCGCAATGCATCAACGGAACGTGTGTAGCCGGTAAGTTACCTTCTGTCGAATACACACTGATCTTGATACTTCTTTCCGAAAAAGAGGATGGAAACCCCCAGAGCATAGAGATGACAGACAGATGTCTCTCACTGACTCTTACCACCATCGTTTGTTTAAATGTTCACCGGCTAGTTCCCGAATACGATAACTCAAATACGGGTTGACGAATTTGATTCAATTTTTGGGGCTAATGCCTTATGAGTGTAGGGCCTCTGTTTGAGAAAGGAGTGGGAGAAACCCCGGGCATCAAGATAAAGAAAGATGTAGGGAATATACTTACATCGATTAAAACATCACAACGACGTGCTATATTCAAAAACTGGTGAGAATTTGCGCAAACGAAGGTGGTACGCAAGCTAGAGACTGACGTAATATGTCTGTCATCGTAAAGCTCTAGGGGTTTCACTCCTCTTGTTTGAGAAGGAATTTCCAATATGGCCGCTTAATTTAAAACCAAAAATGTAAACTCTAAAACTAGTTCACAGATTTCGTTCAAATTTTATATGCTGATGCCTAGGGACAATCGTAATGAGCTCTGCTTGAGAAGGAATTTTTAGATGACAGCTGAATTTCAAAATGGGCGCCATTTTTCTTAAAAACATAATCTATGCTAAATCAAATACCAGTTGACAGATTTGGTTAAAGTTGTATATGCTGTGCCTCGAGATAAAGGACATCTACTCAAGAAGAAATTTTCAAAATAGCCACCATTTGTCGTTAAAAATGTAATATTTGATAACCCAAATACCAGTAGAGGGATTTGGTTCAAATGTTATATGCCAATGTCTAAGTGAGCTCTGCTCAAGAAGCAATTTTCAATATGGAAGCTGAATTCCAAATAGGCCACCATTTTTTCCTAAAACCAAAAAATGTGCCCAAGTTTTGAAAACGTGAGGCCCATTTTCATCAAAATTTAGACTAACATTAAAAAATAAGGTCTTAGAAGGGCCAATAATGACCAAAAAGGCCCACTTTTTGGGGTCATGAGGCCTTTTGGGCCAAATATTTTTTCTGGGCAAACCACATGACGAAAAAAACATTACACGATGCAATTAATTTCAAAAATTTTAAACTTATATTTGCATGGGCTTTCAAGAGATAGTGTAACTGTAGAACACAGTTATTAAAGTGATTGATTTATAAGTTATTATCTTTTTCTAAAGAACTGGGAAGGGCCGTTACATTAATAGACGGCAACAACACAATTGGTGAGTTTGGTGCTCATCCAGCTGCTTTTGGAGAATACTTTGGAGAAGACGTTTCGGTGAGTCTAGTTGATCGGTGAATTACTGGATTAATCTATTTTCTAAAACGTCGAACCCATGATTCATATCTAATAGTTGAAACATCCGTAACATCATTGAAATCATTTAATAGACACCAGTCAGTTAATATTCATTAATAGTTTTCATTCTTTTATCCCCAGTTCCAGTCAGAGTTAGTATTCTCTGACCCTGCTGAAGGATGTGGTCCACTGAATAATACTATTGACGTAGTCGGCAAAACAGTTGCAATATACAGGGGTTCATGCGGCTTCAATTGGAAGGTATGTATTGTACTCATTGATTCAAATTAGAGCAATGTCTGAATCTTGGCCAAGTGACCATCATATAGTCTTCAAAACCTTGGTATTAAACTAGTGTTTTCTAAGCAATTATCCTGTGTAGTTTCAATATGTCCAATTTTCTGTTGTAGGCCTACTTTGCACAATTAGCAGGTGCTTCTGGTGTCATTATAATAGGTAATTTCTTTATTATGTATTACTTCAAAGAAATTCATTTAAATACCGTCCTACCGTTTTCAATGACTTGTCAATGTTGATTACAAAGGAGTACGACGTCTAAATTATTTCTAGACACAACAGCACCAGTTGACAGGCCCTCTTTTCTAACAATGAGCCCGGATAACTGCCTGACAGAGTCAGATGTTACGATCCCTGTAGTGATGATACTCCAAGAAGATGGCGTAGCCTTGGTTAACCACTTTGAGACATATCCCAATATCCAAGCAAAGCTTTCGTCAAAAAGTAAGACAATATTAAGCGTTCGCGCATATCGTGCAGTAGATACAGAGTGGGCCAAAAAAGGTAACCCAAACAAACGTATCTTAATAACTCAGTCATTCAGCATGGGCTTAGAGTCATATTTGGAACAGTTAAACCTTGTTCAATTGTTTTTCATTCTACCTAGTTTCTTTGGTCAATCCCAAATGGTCATGATTCTATGGCCATTTACAAAACATGACCCGAATGCCACACTTAGTAGAATGAAGAAACATTGAACAGGGTTTCATTTTGCTAAATAGTACTTTAATAAATCCATGTTGATTGAGTGAGTTATCAACATTTGTTTTGGTTACCTTTTTTGGCCAACCCAGTAATTTTCTTTGCAATCATATTGTATTCTTTTAAATTTTATTGCAACTATTTACTGACCGATAATGCATTTCATTCTACTGTACATGTACTAATTATTCTACAGCAACAACGCCACTGGGCTCAGGGCCGTGTGGGTCAGCCTATGGTGATGGAATGAACTGTCCTGGTTATCCAGTAGCAAGTGTTTGTTCTGGCTCGGGCATGTGTTCTTGTAACGCACCTTGGTTCGTTCAGTCCTCAACAGGTTGTGCAAGAGGTATTAACGTTTTACTAAGATCTTGATCACCCCAGGCGCATCAGTCCTTCGCATTACATGATACAATACGCAACTCTATTTATTTATTCATTTATTTACTTATTTATTTATTTATACTTATTAGATTGTCACTTTTACAGCGGCGCTACTAAATGTTTAGTTTGTATTCCAAAGAAATGCATAAGTCCAAATTGTATCAAACTGAAAGTTCAAACATTTGGTACAAGTTTCCTATCAGCAGAAACAGTCAATTTGACGTTGAAAATCGTATAACAGATAACTGGATAAAGGTCCATGTGACGGGGGGAATTTTAAACTGATAACATATTTCCCAGCTTGGTTATAAAAGTTCATAGTGACATCTGGAAAACAAAAGCAAGCACCAGTCATTGACAATCAATTCTCATTGGAACACACCACTGTCGAAAAGGGGCTGCAAAGAATACCATAAAATGCTAGAAGCATTCTTTTCAAAGAGCATGTCGGTTTGCAATCCTTATTTGTAATGGGTTTATCTGATGAAAAAGTTTAATTTAGTAGTCGTAGAAATATAATGAAGTCAAAACTGTGGGTCATTTAAGAAAATAAGCAAGGCATCAAAGAATATCAAAAGAATTATCAAAGAATATATTGTACGATTCTAACATTTTTGAAATTAGTCTGTATATATATATTCTCAAGTAATATTATTAGATACGATAAAACTACCATGTGCATTTCTTGTTTAAGATCCAGCACATGACATGGCGACATCTGGTAACTATGACCCGTCACTGTGTGTGGTTATCCCGATAGGGGACGCTTGCGCCGTGAGCGGGCAAAAATGTGAGAGCTTCCCAATGATACAATGTATCGATGGCATATGTCAAGCGCCACCAACAGTGTCAACAGCTCCGGGTACCTTTTTAACTAGTTCCGAATCTTTTTATCTGTGGCAAACTAATTTTTTCCAAACATTTTCAGTTTTTTGTTTTTAGATTGTTTTACAACAATTATAAAGCAAACATATCATTTCAGATTTATCTCGGGTTCGGCAAGTTTAACTTTATAACTCGCATTCTATTCCATTGCATCGCTCTAAATTTTGTGTTTACAGAGCTGAGTAGGATCGTTGCTCTTGCAATTGGTGACAACATTATCCGTGAGTTTGATGCTTACCCAGCTGTTTTTGGAGAATACTTTGGAGAAGACCTTTCGGTAAGTCTTGTTGAAACTTGAAATTCCGGCGAAATATGTTTTCTAAATCAAACAATTGAAATTTTTGTTTGTATTGATTTTATCTACTATTCAATATCACAACCTCGTGTTGCGTAGACTTCATTCAGGTAATATTTGTAAAATTAGTTTTTATGAATTTTTCTAGTTCCAATCTGAGTTGGTATTTTCTGACCCGCCCAATGGATGCGTTTCACTGAATAATGCCGAAGATGTGATCAATAAAGTAGTTGCAATATACAGCGGTTCATGTGGATTCCATTTGAAGGTACGCTATTTTTCACTATAGGAAACGTAAAATAAACGAACGTCATGTTCTGTTTGTCAATCCCTACAGCATATACATTTCTCTTTGCAGGCCTATTTTGCACAGTTGGCCGGCGCTTCTGGTAGCATTATAGGCTAGGCAAATGGAAGTTTAACATCCCAAAAATTGCAACAGTTTTTAAATTAGGCTTTTATTGTATATTAATACCAGTTGAAAAACATATCAAAAATATAGAAAAATATATGCAGTGGACAAATATGAAATGTCACATTCCAGGTACCCCCCTCCAAATTTGAGTATGGGATTGTAAATATTTTTTTATTTCAAAATGGAATGCTCTTGTCAACTAAACGAGTAATATTATGATAGTTTACTGACATAAGAGCAACTAAAAATTGTTAACCAACTATTTGAGTGCAATAATTGGCATTTCTAGCGCCAAATATCTGAAAATAGGCCATCAAATAGCTCGAATTTAATATAATAATGTATTTATTTCTGTATCAATTCATCAGAATTGTATGAAAAATATCAAGGAGGGTATTGTACACCTGAGCATTGTCTTTGATAAGTATCAGGGTCATTAAGTGAATATTGAGCGTGAAAATAATATTTGAAATTTCAATATTTTACCACACCCACTTTTGGGGTGACCTTTCTTTTGTTTAATTACTTCCAAGATATGTCATATTTGAACTCAATAGCACAACTTAATTATTTGTAAAGTCTTAATTTGTCCTGAAAACAGTTTTTTGAGGTTTTCAGGAAAGGATTATGTAAAAAAAAGTAGAAAAACAGCAAATGCCAGGTGAAATATAGGGGAAGCCCTACTTTTAGTTGATAACTGTTACATTATCAAATGTTTTTTCCTTTTAAATTCAATTTGATATATAATATACCTTTTCTGGTAAAACAGAGAACGATTTGTTACAATCAGTGGTCAAAAAAGGCATAAAATGTTAAATATCCCTGTCCCTGACATCAGTTTATTAATATGAGCCAAAAAAGGTAACCCACCCAAATGTTTGTTAATAACCCAGTCATTCAGTATGGGTTTGACATCATATTTGACACAATTACCTTGTTCAATGTTCTTTCATTCTACTAAGTGTCATTGATCTATCCTTAATAGTCACGATTTCATGGCCATTTACAAAATGTGCTCAAAATATCGAAGTGTGCCTAACTGACTGGACATCAATACCACCAGTTTTTTTTTATCTGTGGACCTTTTTTCGATACTAACAACACTCGAAACATTAAAACAAGAGATAGGAATGAAGATGAGAGTCATAACACATGATTTTTATGCTCCTGATTTGAACAACAACGCACGATACGTTCAAGTTGGCCTCCAGGCATGACACCCATATTTCATGGCATGGTATAAAATGGCCATAAAATCGTGACCACTAGAGACCACTGAGACTGGGTAGATTGATAATACATTGACCAAGACTCAATTCTGCCAAATATGACACTAAATCCATGCAGGATGATTGGACTGGATTATTAAGATTTGTTTGGGTTACCTTTTTGGCTCGCCCTGTATTAAGGAAAAATTGTTACTTTTGACTAAGGTGTTCTTAACCACACAGTGACATTGAGAAATGAAATGAAGAAGCTCAACTGAAGAATGTTCGATTTCAAGATGAAATTCAATAAAAAATGAGGAAAAGGTTTCTACATTAATAAATCCTCCTGAGTTAACTAGTGTAACGCAAAGTAAATCCCTGGTCTTTATACAGGGCCTGGTTCGATTATGTTATGTTCATTATCAAAAATGCTGCCTTAATCTTAACCTTCATATATGTGTCTTACTTATAGAGAGCAAAAAAGAATGCTGATTAAATAAGCTAAATACTATTATGTTGTAACAACAATCAGTTACAACCTTGTCTATCACCAGCCTTCATCAGGGGCGGATATGGGAACCAACAAGGGGGGGGCAAATGTCAGGCTGAGAAAAAAACTTCCGCAGAAAAAAGTTTGGGCCCCTAAAACCCTGAAGTGGGCCCAAATTTTGAAATATTGAGACCCATTTTATTCAATTAGAAAATAAGGCTTTAAAAGGCCCATTTATGACCAAAAAGGCCCACTTTTCGGGGCCTTAAGGCCTTTTTTGGGCCCAATTTTTTTTCTGGGCCCGCCCAAGGGGATGGGAGGGGCCCAGATCTGCCAGTGTTCATTATTTATTCATCATTATTCTCATGACCAGTAATGGAGGTATTTGCACAAATGCCTTTGCATACCTTACATGTCAAAGAACAGTTATTTCATTTTTCTACAAGAACATCTCATAGAAATACAATCTGCCTTACACACACAATGGATGATCTCTGAGAAAGGGGAGCTGCATTTAGGCAATTGGTACATAGTTTCGTTGCTTATTTCCCAGCCCAATTATAATGGAGGCAGTTTATTTCCCTCCCACTCCTGGATCTGATGGTACACTCTGTAACTGTGGTATTCCGCAGCATCAGAAAATGGAGGAAGAACACGGGGCTGCAATAATTCAGAATAGAATTTTAGAAGCCTAAGATAATTTAGGGTTTCACCATTTTTCCACCATAATTTGACAAAAGAGCATGTTCCTCTGCAATGACAGAGTTGCTTGCATTTCACTGGTTTTCTACTTGTTTACGTTGTAACAAAATGTCGGAACATCGAGGGTTTGATTTTTCTTTTTTCTTTATTTCACACATTGTAGGCAGAATTCCCACAACATTGTTATCACAAACATGTATCAGTATTATATGTTTAAAAAATGTACATATTTGCGAACAAATAGTTCAGAAGACAACAGAATCTTCGATTTAATTCCTCACTTAAGTTACATAAACGGTATTTCGATAAACAATTAAGATCTGCACTTTTAACCCAAACCGTTTATTTAACTTAAGTAAGGAATTAAATCAACAATTCTGTGAGAAAAAACATCGTGGGGATTCTGGCTACAACGCGTGAAAAAAGGAAAAAAGAAATATCGTACTTTCGACGTTTAGACATTTTATTACCGAAACGACAAGCGTAATCGAGCGGATCACCAGTGCTTTTGGTAATTTAAAAACAACCGCTTGTTTTCTCAAGAACTCAATGATAGCCTCTTGTCTATGCCATATATAACCTGAATGCGATGTCACACCCCAGAAAAGAAACAAAATATCACATGTCACAGACCACTTTTCCCAAAGACAATCTTATTTCATTTATATTCCAACATTTTGTTTCTTGGGTTGCTGCTTTTGGTTCAGGTTTGAAGAAAATGTTGAAGTTTGTGTTTTGTGCATGATAAATGAGAAGCACAAGGAGATCTGTATGAGTATTGTATTTGAGGTTTGGACACTTTGGATTGCAGTTTTCACAATCACAATATCTGCATCCGATTCTGAATGCAGCACATGTACACTCAATGTTTTCCAACCTGACAGACAGAATTACCATCACTCCTATGCACTGAAATTATATTAATGAAAGACTCCCCAGATATCTGAGATTTTAATGTTCTCTGTCAGTTTAAATTCTGTTTAATAACCATAAATTCGTTTCTACAGCGTTATACATCCAATTGATAGTTCCATAGTAATGTACTCTTATCTAATGATTTATTTATCTGATGAATTTAAATATATGCAAATGTTGTAATTGCGGATTGTAATTAATAATTTAAACAATATTAAATTCCACAAAAACTACAACTTGCATTATTTAGATAAGCCTAGTATAAAGCAGTTATCAAATACCCTAATATCAGAGTGGTGATATGTAATTACTCATCAAATAAAAGTGAGGTCACCTTAACATTTCACCTGGTGCAACTAATAATTCCTATTTTTCATACTAATAAGGTATAAACCTTCACAAAACTTGTATTTTAGATGATGACAGGCCTATATAAATGATTTAGATGTCAACTCTAATACAAATGTGATGCATTGTGGGAGTTAATCATCAAAACTATAGTCTCCCCTATAGTGGGCGGGGCAAAACTATGAAAATGAAATAATTTTTTTCTTCCTAAGTATACACCTTAGAATTCTGACACTCACCAAATATGAAGTTCATATAAATATGTAACACCATGATTTTTCTCATGCTTTTCTGACAAACTGATCCTAAAATATCTAAATAGATATGTGATAACATGCCTGTTTTGTGGCCTATTTTGTTATACTTTGGGGTCAAATGACCAATTACTGGTCTCAAAATTGATTAAAATAATATTACAATTATTTGTGAATATGTGTTCTATCATAATAAAGCTTGAATACTTCACTAAAGTATTCCATTTGGGAAGAAAAAATTGTTTCCTACCAATACTCAATTTTGGGGTAGGGTTGTAGGGGGGTACCTAGGAAGTGAAATTTCATATTTGTCCACTGCATACATTTTTCTATATTTTTGATATGTTTTTCAACTGATATTAATACATAATATAAGACTAATTTAAAAACTGTTGCAATTTTTGGGATGTTTGGGCCTTTTATGAGCCCATTTGCTTGGCCTATTATCATAGGTAAAGATATTAATATTTACTTGAAAGCAGTGAAACTATATTACGTCGTTGTATAGTGATCTTCCCCGTCCATATTTTAGGTGATTTGTGAACGATTCTTGCGATATTTTGAATATGTCCTGCTTTAGAATAACTTACAGGGTGAGCCAAAGGTGTTACCCTGATTGAAATCTTATCAGTTCAGAATTGAAATTTTTGGGTCCACCCTGTATATAGGCCATTTCCACAGTCCTGTCACATCCCAATGCATGGTCTGCTCTAAAAAGTGGCGGACTAATTATCATATGAGAAATGGGCACTGTTTCTAGATACGACAGCACCAGTAGACAGGCCAAGTAATTTTACAATGGACTGGGATGACTGCCTGGCAGAGTCTGACGTCACAATTCCTGTAGTGATGATACATCAAGAAGACGGCGTAGTCTTGGCTAACCAGTTTGAGTCATTTCCCAATATCCAAGCAAAACTTTCATCAACAAGTAAGGAATTGATGTTTTAAATGCAACACATGAAAAGCCTATATATAATCATGACTTCGTGACAATATGTAATACTACTTTTGTCTATTGTTCAATATGTGACGTGATTCGCTATTTGCCACCAGCATGAATATGTTTTCTTTTTCTAAAGAGATAGACACCCTTGTTCTAAAGTTGCCTTGATGGCGTATCGACTCATCAACGAGTTGACAATCTTGCACAGGGTACCCATACAAGAGTCGTTTTGTATGCATTATAGAATTCACAGGAACAACTCCACTGGGCTCAGGGCCGTGTGGGTCAAACCATGGCAATGGCATGAACTGTACTGGTTACCCAGTAGCTAGTGTTTGTTCTGGGACAGACACGTGTACCTGCAACGCACCTTGGTTTGTGGCGTCGGGAACAGGCTGTGTAAGAGGTATGATGTTGAGCTGTTTGGGCTTTGTGGAATTATCAATTGTGAAAAGTCCTCAAGCTGAGGCTAGGATATGCAGATGTAATATGATTTAAAATAACGTTTCTTATTATGTTATATGTCCTTCATTTGCCATTCTTGATCATTTTTTATTCATTTCTAAGTATATTCCCCTGTTGTATTTTAGTTACACAACATACAATCGATATGAACAACTCAGTACACGGGGGTACTTTTTAAACATTTTTTATAAAGTATTCCTTATCCTCAGGTCTCAATAGAATGAAATTTTGTTTACTGAACTGAACTATTCAAAAGGAGTCCCCGCAGACGTGTTACTTCGTATTATACATCGTATTTCTCTCAACTTTGTTATTAAAGATTATGTTACATGCAAAAAAACAAAAGAAAGCAGCCTGCATCAGACACTCTTATCCCAATGGAACACATCACGACGTTTCATAGAACAATCAATTTTTTGTAATTCGAATTGTAAAAAGAGTTCGATGAGTATGGATTGCCATTGTTGCTAATGAGCCATATCACAGTATTCTGCACACGTTTTTCCAATATCGTTACGAAAGCAAATCTTTAAAAGTAAATGGTCTATTAATTACATATTTCTACCACCTCACAAAGATGAAGTAATGAAGAAATGCTGAAAATTTGAAGCAAATTGGACTTTCGGTTTAAAAGTTATGACTAGTTAAAGCATGAAAAAAGCCATATTTTCACAAAACTGATGTTGCAAGGCAAAATTTCTATTTTTCCCAAGTGTCAAAAAAATATTTATCATCAAAAGTTTCTGAAAACAATGTATTTTTCTGAAAGATAATTTAGTTCCAAGTATTATTATTGCAATCCAATGTGATTCAAGTCAGGATGAAACCAGATATTGGGTATTTTGTAAATGTCACACTTTTTTGTTACGCAATTTTGGCATTAGCAATGATGATCGTTATGGTCAATAATATAGACCTTTGAAAAGATTTATGCAACAGTTTTCCCATCAATAAATCAGTAAATGATTAAAGATTTGAAAAACAGAAGATTGATGGTGTTTCCTTTGTAATATAGATTTCTGTATGCACTCAAAAAATATATTTGGGTTCAAAAAATGAAACCAGTCACATCCGTAATCAATGTTTCAGCTTTTTATCAAAATTTCAGCTTTAGCCATCTAAAAACACATATTATGCAATGTGTTTAGGCAGAATCTAGTTAAATTAGCATATGAATTTAATGTTACATTCAAATGGTTCCTGTAAATTGACAAAAACACTCATCCGTAATCAGTCACATCCATAATCAAAAAGCATACATGTTTATTTGTCAGAATTTCTTCATGTTATATTGAGTAATTCATTGATAAATAGATTTGTAATACAGGTAATCGAATTGTAAATATGATTTTTTGTAAAGTTCAAAAGAACAGACTGAAAATAAGAGTTTTGCTTGTTGTGAAAATTTGAGATTTCTTTTAAAAAATGAACGATTTTTCCTGTCTTAGGTAAAAACACAGGGAAATGTCATAAATCTTAACATGATTTGCATTTTTAATCTATATGATGTATCAACATTATATTATAACCTTTAAAGCAACTTGGCTTGCCAAAGGAATTGTGTATTTGAACCAAATATAACAAGGTGTCTTAAGTCACATCCGTAATCACTTAAATAAAGGATACCTTAATAATGATATTATTGGTGAAATATGATTGAGAAGTGAGCTGATTAGTACCTTTAATATACCTGGTCCCTAAATAAATGGAATATAGTGGAAGTGTAACTAGAAACTGTTATCTAGCAGACTTTTATAACCAAGCAGCACCTTGGGCAGCATGGTATGAAAGATGTGTCAAACAGATAAAACAAAAATTGAAATCTCAAAGCAGAGGTACATTGAGTGATGAGGAAAGTGTTATCATGATTGATAATTATCTTATATTATTGATAGCATTATAAGACCTGATGATCAACCCCTAATTCTGGACAGACATGATGATTACATCAGTAATGACACGGAAACAATTGCTAAAGGTGAACCTCCAGATTTATTGGACTTCAATGTTGATGTCTGATATTGATGATGAACAACCATCTACTAATAGCACTTGTATATAAACAATTCCACCTTTGGAGAAGAAATATAGAGCAGTGAAATGGAAATGAAAGTATAATACCTATAACACTTGAAAAGAAACCTGGGATCATTGATAACCTCAATCATCACATACAGCCTAAAAAATCCTCTTTGATAAAGAAGAAAAAGAAAAAACAGCAATAAGTGATAAAAGTATCAAGGGATTGCTAAAATAATTTCATTGTTCAGAAATGTTAATTGCTGAACCTAATTTGAATGTAATTTTCAGGTACAAATACCTCATTCTATTCAAGTTCTACATTTTCAGTCTTTCATAAAGTACACGAACCATAAAATGATTCATCGGAATTAACAACAGAAAACTGAAATGGATAAAGGGAAGAAAGTAACAGAAATTAGAATTAGAAAGATGTAACGAAAATGAATTGAAAGAAACTTTACTATATATAGATATTGAAACAGTAAGACTATGGCAGAGGCTGGATAAAATGACAAATTCAAGGATAAACAAAAGAATATTCAACTGGTCAAATGAACAAGCTGATACCCATAGAATGAAAAATTGGACATTTTACGTCAAAAAATCAATATCAACAAAATATAGAAATACTACTTTATCAACGCCAATGACAACCTTCAAAAAACAAGTCTCAAAGTTTGATGCAGAAAAATGGACACAAGAACTGAGTAAAATAGGACCAAATAATAAACTAAGAACTTACAAAACAATCAAAAGTGAGTTTAAGCCTGAAAGCTATACAAAAATCAACCTCCCTAGATATCAAAGAAGTGCATTCTCCAAACTAAGATGTGGAGTTTTACCACTGAAAATAGAAACTGGGAGATTCACCAAACCCAAGACACCCCTTGAAGACAGGACATGTGAAATGTGTGATGATCATAAAATTGAAAATGAACAACATTTCCTTGTAGAATGTCCGGCCTATGAGGATTTAAGAAGCATTATTATATCAGAAGCTCAAAGCAGCAACCCTGACTTCCTAAACAAAAGTAAAAATGACCAGTTTATAACCCTGAGTACTTCTCCAGAGATGGCTTTTATTGTATCTAAAACTGTATTCCTTATGTACAAACACAGACAAACAAATATGTGATAAACAAAGATTATGTAGTTAGTAAATATTAATGTATTTATTTATTTTTTTAGAAACTACTACATTGTATCTTATGCTATATGGGCAATGATTTAGCCTATGTGACAAATTATTGATCGACAGTCATTTGACATAACTATATGTGCAATACTTCTAATATACATGTATGAAACGTCTCTCATAAGCCGCACTGGCTGGGGCAGTGTTTTTTATTATGACATTTTAGTACTATTAGTATCTGTAAAATAAATCTGCTGTGAGACGAAAATAAATAAATAAATAAATAAATAAAACTATCACCAAATCAGAGCATTAGTTCTCAATGTATAGTTAAGCCCTAGAAAGAGTCTTCCCTTAAATCAGTACCAACCCCCAAGAACCTCTTTTGTGAATGGCTCTAATCAGAAAAAACACAAAAAGGTCCCAAAACTGCATAAAATATAAGCATATGGATACTAATGTTAAAATTAAAATTGCATTGGCTGATAATAAGTGACTTATAACTGAGTCAGAGGTGGCGTTAACGCAATTTTTTACGTTTTTTACTCACATTTTTGCAACTCTGACGCAAATATTCATTGTCTACCGAGTCTTTCTGACGCACGTTTGTTTCACATGCAAAATCCCCGCTTGGTACTTGGTTAAATTGATCCCTATACGTGAAAATACGTGATTGATCAAATTTATAATTTTGCTAATTCCGGAAATCTAACATTTCGTTCAGCGCAATCGAGCCTCCTTCCTACCGATCATTTTCTTATTTCGGTATTTCATATACTTTTTAAAGCCCTGTGATTCAGATTCAATGACAAGGAGGATTGGCTCCCAGGATCGAAACTCGATATTTTCCAACAATGAAATCGTCGAAATGTCGTTATTTTCTGAAATTATAACCAACTATAAATTCAAAATAAATAGTCCAAAAGATTCGAACCAATATCTCGATCATTTCTCCTTAGTTTTGGAATTTTTCGTTCGAAAACAAGACCAAAATTCACGATTCAAATACTGAAGTGAACAAAATGGTGGCTGTTTGAATTCGAATTTTGCATCACGACATGCCCATATATGGGACAGAATATCGATGTTGCACTCTGGGAGCCAATCCTCCTTGATTCAATGATAAACTTGAAAACATTGATCGATCCCTCGATTTGTTTATCTCGTGTGCTAGGGGGCGTATCAAAAATGCAATAAAACGAACATAACATTGAACAATAATTTATTAATTTCATACTCCCTTCTAAGGATTTTAGTGATCGTATATTTATCTAAATTACCGCATAAAATCTTTCCTTGAATGTTCACACGCTAGATTTACGAACCTTTAGTTTCCTTCGCAAGTTCGCAAAATTCCTTCGCTAAGTTAGCTAGATAATGGGCACATGAAAATCCAGTCGATCGCACATTAAGGGGGGTAATGATGATAAATTAGGTATGAAAACAAATCTACTTTCGGTTTCATTTTATAATTACAAGATTCTACCGTATTCAATTTAAATGATGCCCAGTATTGTGGTCGGACTTATATTGCCGTTTTAGACTTTGGAATGATTGCAAAAATGTTGAATTTCAACATGAAACGCTTTGACCCCAATTTGTGTAACTCCACACAGGGAGAAACTCCTCTCCCACTCCATTCACACCCATGACTCGCTGGACCAGATAATCAGATGATTAATAGTGACATTTTTCTTGCAATTGCCTAATTAATTAATTGTTAGTTGTTAATGTGCTATAAGAGTACAATAAAAGGTATGCACAAAATCAAAAAATAGATTTTGTATGTGGTTTCTACATTTTGTATGCATTTTTACTCAAGAAAAACATTTTATAGCTTTGACTCAACTTTTTTTCTTGTGACTCACTTTTTTGAAACTACCTGAGTGATGATGACTCACAAAAATATATGCCTACCGCCACCGCTGTGAGTATAGTGGACTTGTTACATTTGAACTGATGTGTCACATCCGTAATCAGATTCATTTTTCGTTCTGCACAATGTATTGGACCATATACTGCTACCAATTTGTATTTCATTTAGAGGAGATAAGTCCTCTCCTTTCATAAAAAAATAAAAAATTGTTTTGAAAGCCCAAGTAACAAACATATGAGAGACGAAAGTGCAACAATTATTTGGCAAAAAATGTTTCAGATTTCAGTTTTTATTTTGTTGTTTGTTTTAATTTTCACTAAACTTTTTACTGTTGTGTTAGCTAAGACATTATGCTACAATATTAAAAAAAACTTTTTACTGAATGTAAGATTTTGCTAATAAGTGTTCTGACAGTTTAAAATATTAAAATCACATCCGTAATCAAAATTTAGTCATAGATAGAACATAATGCCAATTATTTTTCTGCGATGATACTTTAAAATCCTTCTGGAATTATCAAGGTAATATATTATATTTTTAAAAAATACAATGATTTAAAAGATTTTCTAATGTCTAAATTTGATCCTGTTTGCAACATACTGATGCAGAATACTGTGATTTGGCCGAATACAGTATGGGAGAGTTTCTGAGTTTCTCTACACCGTAGTTATATATAAAATCCCCTCCCCTCCATAAGTTTTCATGGAAGCATATCAAAATATGTCAGTGTGTGGATCTTAATTTTGTTCCTTGGCTACAATAATTTGGAATTTTACGAATTCTTTTAAATCTCCCAACATAAACAGGCTTTCAGTAAATTATCGAAAGGGGGACTTCTGGTTTTCAAACTTATGGAGCGGAGTGTATATAACTCTCGCATGGTCACTTCAACATAATAGTAATACGTTTATATTTAAAACTTTGAATATGTTCCCGACAATCTTAAATCGATGAAATATTCTTCATCGGAATATGTTCTTTATTTTTAGATCCAGCATACGACATGGCGACATCTGGTAACTATGACCCGTCACAATGTGCGGTTGTTCCGATAGGGGACGCTTGTGGCAATAGTGGACAGATATGTGAGCGATTCCCAAAAGTACAATGCATCGAGGGCATGTGTCAAAAACATAAAAACAAAGGACAAAGAGGTAAACTGAATAGGCACTTTATAGGAAAATACAATAGATTCAATATGAGAGACCACAAGGGCAACATTCGAAAGAGGCAAAAGCACTAATATACTCTTAGACTTTGACATTTGAAATCCTTAGAATAATTAATTCGAATTGCTGTAATGGTTTTATAATATTTTCAGAAATAAAATACCACAAACTCAGCGACAAAGACTCCACTGAATATTGTATATCAAGTGGCAAGAAGACAATCACGTCATGTGCCGAGGCATGCGCCACTGGCAGCTTTTGTTTTGGATTTTCCTTTTCAAGGATTGAAAAGTCCTGTAAACTATGCATAACTGATGGCAGCGATTTAAGTGTTTTTGTCGATGCTGCTGGGATTAATTTCTATATCATGTAAGAAAGTAATGATTATTGGACATCGTGTGTATTCTTACGTTATCCTCGTGAAGGACCGTGCGATACCTCAACGTCTGTGTACCTAACACGACAGCTAGTTTGAATTATTCGAGTGCCGAGATGAAGGGTTCAAAAATAATCAAGGCAAACGACGAGGCAAACTTAAGCTAAAGAGTAAAGACTATCATGAGCGTAGCGCCTATTACGCAAAATACGCACAGGCGTACCAAATGAATTTGAAAAAATTAAAAATTTGTTAAAATGCATTAATTTATCTGCGAATTTATTGATGCTTCCTACCGTATCTGTAGTTTTACCATTGTCAACATTTAAAGTTGATAAAAACGCTTTAAATTCCATCAAATAACGTACTTGAAAATATATTTCCCGGGGAGCATACCCCCGGACCCCCCGCGAAGCGCGGCCTTCGGTCACGCAATCAGGCATCCCCGAGTGTGCGTATAGTACGAACTCAAAATATAGTCCTACGCCCATGACTATATAATATACACTTTCATGATTTTAGTCCATAAGTCGTCTTTAAAATATTTGCCCCGATGCTAGTCTTCGCTTCTATTGTCTGTTTAAAATTTCTGGATGACCGTGGATATCTACACACGATGCTGTTCAGGTACACAGAAGAGTCTTAGTTTTTCTGTTAAAGATGGACACACCTGGTAATCAATATATCATGTCAATTGATGATGGTGCACACTAACAATTAATCCATAATATTATTAAATCACTGAAATATCATGATTTCAGTTATTCTATGTAGTATTTTCAGAAGTGATAATATATATCGTTTGTCTTTTCGAAAATTTGTGAATTATGTTATGTTATCGCACCACTTAAGACCGTAAATAAAATCACCTACCAGTGTATTTTATGCACACATGTTGTTTGATAATAAATTGGTTATATATTCTGAGATGATTTAATGCCATAATCCATCAAACTAACAAAATCCGAATAACACATTATTACTATTATATATCAAACAAGTTCTTCCAAACGTTCCTAAATGGGAAACAACGTTTCAACGCTTGTACTAAATCATCTTGCGCTAGTCTATTTCATCAAAATGATAAAAATAGAATCCGATTCTTTGCCACCGAAATCAAGATTATCAGTGTAGTGGTCTATTCCTGGCTGCAGATGTAAAATGCAAAGGTGACTTTCGTGAAGAGCATATCCAGGAAAAGTGATGCCTACTTCTATATAATAAGGTAAATACGAAACAATATTATTTCATCTTATCTATATTCATTACTTATAATGTATCGTATAACATGCTTTGGAAATTATTATCTATTAGACTCATTATACGAGTACAATCATTTTAAACAAAATGCTCATTTAACACAAGGTTAAAATGATAAATGTCAAGTTATATTAATAGACGCATATTAACCCAGTAGGAACGGATGTTTCGAGTATCTGTCACACGAGGCCGTTCGCCACCGTGTAATTTTGGGCTTTATCTTTTGAATTAATTATCAAATTATTAATATTTGTGTTTGGTGTGAGGGGATATTTTCCTGTAAAACTATTTGTTTTGGCCACCGTGTGCCATTCCGTGTGCCGTCTGCCCCAAAGTATTCACACGGTTTCGAACGGTGAGCCGACACGCCTAATGCGACATATCCATTATGTTGTTCTGGTTGTCCAGAAGGTTTAGAGAACCATGCTAAGGCAATGGGCAATATTAATCACTTTACTAAACCAAAAACTTTTGGTTTTTATAAATCCATTGGTCATGGTTTTGCGTGCTTTACTGGCTTTGAATATCTTTGGTCGTAAAACGACAACTACTGTCTACGTTTTTAACGTATTCAAGTGGTCTTTATCAATGGAAACTTACGCAAGTAGTCTTTATCAATGGAAAGTAATGAAAAAGCAATGAAACGAATGGAGGTGATGTGCCTGGCGAGCTTTTTGATTTGGGTTTTTATTTTCTTTAATAGTGGTAAGTTCTTCACTTTACCATAATGAGAGAACGCCATAAACAAGTAAGCGCCATATGCCACAGATAAGAAAATGGAGCATAATTTGACATTCTCCAATTAAGATTATTTACATATTGAGTACCACACATTCTTAGAATTGCGATTTTAATGTTCAGCTTTCCGATAGGTTGAACGGAATGTCCCGAGGATACTTTACGTGTCGGGTAGTTACGCTACATTACGTTATATCCCTACCATGACATCATATCTATCCAACCGAGCAAGCCACAATAACGAACATTTATCATCATGATAAACCATGACATCTCAAATTTTCTCAGCCCTGTTTCAGGTGAAATAGAAAGATGCTTTGAGTATCAGAATGAACATTTATATTGAATTGTCAATAAAACGAAGACTTCAATCCGTCTATCAGGTTAACACTTTACCCGTTCGCTCAGTGAGACAGATTGTTTGCGTATCAAGAGAACCTATCTTTAGACTTTTTGTAGATAACATTTTCAAGAATAGTTACATTTTCAGTGTCAGTATTTTTGTTTTTCTGTTACTTCATCATGTTCAATATTGGAGCGCAAAGGCCTAAAATCGTGAATCCTACGGGTTCATCGAACTTCTTGCTAATGTGCCATGTACAGCTACTACTCGGGGTGGAAAATTTTCTAAGAGGCTCCGTTAAGGAAAAAATGACTTTATGAGCTGGATGGAATTTCTGTGTATTCTTTATTCTATTAGGGTGTCCTGCATAAAGGATTTCGCCTGCGAAGCATATAACTCTTGCGAACATATCTAAATACTGGTCCGAAGAAGACATACCTTGAATTTTTTAGAAAAAATTGGCTAAAAATGGAAACTACAAGAAGTCAAAATGTTCAACTCAAACAAAGTTGTAGCTATTCTATATCAATATTTTGTGTTATGTAAGGTTTCTCAGATGTTTCAAGACCTTCATTAGTATACTTGTGTCTAGAAATGTGACATTTAAGGACAAAATTTGGCATTTTTAATCATTTTCGCTTTCAGCATTAACATATAGTTCCTTATATCTCGAGTTTAATGCTGACTGGTTGTTGCATTTTTGATTAAATCTGTGCTTGTACATCTGTTCTTCCATTTAAGGTATAGAAAATGTATAGTGGACAACCAATGTTCGTATGAGAGCTTTCAGATCTCCCCTACCCCATTTATTATGGACAATTACCGAAAAATATGTAAAAATAAAATAACTTGAAATTATAAACTTTAACAAAGTTGTAGCTATTCTATGTCAATATAATGTGTTATTTAATGTTTTTAAGATATTTCAGAACCTATAGCGGTATACAAGTGGCTAGAAATGAGACATTTAAGGACAAAACTTGGCATTTTTTTATCATTTTCGCTTTCAGCAGTAATATATAGTTCCTCATATCTTGAGTTTTATGCTGTCTGATTGTTGCATTTTCAATCAAATCTGTTCTTGTGCCTGTCTTCTTCCATTTAAGGGATAGAAAATGTATAGTAGACAAACAATGTTCATATTAGAGCTTTAAGATCTCCCCTACCCCATCAATTATGGAAAATAAACGAGAAATATGAAAAAATAAAATAACTTGAAATTATAGACTTTCATAAAGTTGTAGCTATTCTATTATCAATATTATGTGTTATTTAATATTTTTAAGATTTTTCAGAACTTTTATTGGTATTCAAGTGGCTAGAAATGAGACATTTAAGGGCAAAACTTGGCATTTTTTAATCAATGCTGCCTTCAGCAGTAACATATAGATCCTCATATCTTGAGTTTTATGCTGACTGGTTGATACATTTTGGATTAAATCTGTTCTTGTACATGTTTTATTCCATTTAAGGTACTGAAAATGTATAGTAGACAAACAATGTTCATATTAGAGCTTTCAGTTCTCCCCTACCCCATTTATTAGGGAAGATGACTGGAAAATATAAAAATAACTTCAAACTACCAGTATAAACTTTAACAAAGATGTAACTATTCTTTATGTGTTATTGATTGCTATAATTAATGTTTCAGGACCTTCATTAGTATTCTAGTGTAGAGAAATTAGACATTTAAGAACAAAATTTGGCATTTTTCATCATTTCCACTGTTAGCAATAACATATAGTTCCTTATATCTTGAGTTTTATGCTGATTGGTTGATGGATTCTTGATCAAATCTGTTCTTTTGCCTGCCTACTTTGATTTAAGGTATTTAAAAATGTATATTGGAAAGCCTGTCATTATATTAGAGCTTACATATCTCCCCTACCCCATTTATTTTGAAAAAATAACCAGAAATATAAAAACCAAACAATTTCAAAGTATAGACTTTAACAAAGTTGTCACTATTCTAGATCAATACTATGTATTATTTGATATTTTTCAGATGTGTCAGGAACTTCATGAGTATACAAGTCTAAAAATTAGACATTTAAAGTTGAGTTGCAAATGGGGCGGGTATTCTCTATCTTTGTCCATTGGGCTTTTCTGGTTATGATATGTTGCAAACTGCTCATGAATCTATGCAATGTATAGTACAATACTTGGAATATATTTAAAAATAATGGGGTATAGTACTGTGATAATTATAACCAGTGATCAAGCCATATTGGTTGAATTCCCTCATATCAATACCCTGCGTGCAGAGTCTAGTTAAACTACACTCTGCCTAGTAGAGACCATATTACAGTTTAGTAGCCCCGCCCTCACGACAGGTACCGGTGACAATTTGGGTAAATCACTTTTGACCTACGCACTGACCTTCCACCAATCAGCGAGCTTGAAGAAACATACGCCAAATGCGTTCTAATTAAATATGCGCATGTCATTGGTCAATTCCGGGCTCAACAATGACGTCAGAAGGAATGACCATATAAAGAACGTCGGTCAAATTTGGTCGACGAGCACTGATTGGCGCGGTGAGTTCACAGGTTTATTTTAGTTTGAAAGAGTGAAGACGAAGCTCTCTTTTAAGAAGTGAAGTCAAACGAATGCAAAGGGTATCATATCAAATGCAATGTTGTCAAAGGCTTGGTGATTTCCATATTACACCTAAGGGTGGTGTAATTAGGAAGTTCATGATGGATATTGGGCTTGGGGATATTTTGGTAAATGTAAACATTGTGAAATGAAGAACAGCCAACAAGATGATTTTGGAAAGGATTACAAAATGGTAAAGCTGTCTTTGGTTTGTGAAGTAATGTTACTGTATCTCTAAAATGGGATGAATTTCACTTATGGCAGAGCTGCTATTGAACTTTGCAAAACTGATAGTTGCAACTTATCTATCAAATACTGACCATGAAGAAGTTGACACTCTCCTTATGGCTCATGTCTATTACAGTGCTGCAGACAAGACAAAGGAGTTCAATGTTGAAAGAATTTGTATTCAGTCTGATGATACAGAATAATGGTGCTTGCAAAGAAGGATGAGAGTTAAAAAGAGCTATTAAAGTTTCTTATGTCCTTCAAGGTAGCATTCTAAATTACTATACGAATCTCAAAGTGCAATACCTATTTGAAGATATATCAAAGATGGGTGTCTTGTACCAGTACTCACAAACAAACCTTCGTAGCAACACAAGAAACATGTCCTTGGCAATTCGCAAATGTAAAATGGCAAAAGGCAGCGAAAATTGCTATACAAAGTTTCTAGTCAAGGGTGTATTGCTACTTGTCCATGTGGCAATAAACAACATAGTGCACATCGTTGGACAATATTTAAGGATGAGTTTCTCAGAACTATAAAAATTATTTAGAGATCTTACATATCTGAATAGCTTGTGGTGTCATGAGCAACTTAGACCTTTAAAATGCTTCCTAGTCAACTGGTACCCAAGACAAGTCGTACCCAAGACAACTCGTTATTTCCAGAATTATGGGAGCATATTAGGAAAACAAATTGAGTTTGTATAATAATGTTTTCATGTTATAATGTGACTCAAATAAGCCTCAATATTTTTTTGAATTTAGAAGACATTTTTTCTCAATGGATTAAGTAAAGCATTTTGATTTAACTTGAATCACCTTTTTACTAATAAAACAAGTGCTTGAAGTGCTTGTTCACAACATTTTTTGTCAAACATATATATAAATAAATATAATTACAACAGTGACTTTTCTACAAATGAATCAAACAATTAATTTGAGCATTTTGAGAAAGTTTAAAGGAAGTTTAATCTGTTAATTTTTTTCCAATTGGAACTAAATTGGATTATGCACATGCATACTAAGAGTAATAATATATCATGTATGAATAAGTACCAAAATAATATTTGATATTAATATTATACTATTATTATATTATTCAAAATATTTTATTGCTAAATTTCATGAATATGACTTCTGATAATATGAAATCCTAGACAAATAGATTATCTGTTTAATAAGAAATTAGGCCCAAGATTTGATGAATCAATACATTTATAATAATACCATCTTCCAAGATGAATTAAATCTGACACTTGTTCCAAACACTCATAAACATACAATATTTAAAAAAATGATTATGAATGTGTGGAATAAACATATATCTCTTCACTCGAACATTAAATATAAAATAATAGTCAAAATAAATTGACACTCAAAGCTCAAAATGTTACAAAATTATATCAATTTCTTCTGAAAATTCTTCAAACTTCTGAACAGTATGTTACAGTTATAATATGTATATCTTTACACATTCCCAGTCCAACACTTGATTCAAAACAAAATATATGCTTGGGTACGACTTGTCTTGGGTACCAGTTGACCAGTTACCTTTAAAATGACTTAAATGCAGCTCTAACATAGAACCAGGGAGATTTGAAAAATCAGGCTGTTGCTGGATTAAGTTCGAGAGTTGTGAACAATCATGTCTATATAAAAACATATCCTTTGATTCATATGAGAGTAAACTGTGAAATTACAAAATTATTTCGCACTATGCTATTTTTGAGTAATCTTTTAAAAATATAGTAGTGTAGTAATTTTATCTCTAATATGTATATTTGTGTTTAAAACACATTTTCCATGCTTTGAAGATAACAAGACACATAGTTGAATATATATGATCTAAAATATGTCAACTAATCACCATTCAACTAAAAATATATAAACAACTATTGCTGAAAGTGAAACATTGGTCATTTTGCCCATTTATGTGTCATTTTTTGATTTTAGTGTGCTAATAAATATGCTAAACTTTTGAAAAGTTTAAGAATATTATCATGCAATAATAACATTTGTGTTGGTTTTCTCATTTAATGGTGGAGGGCAGATCTTAGACCTCTAATAAAAACATTCGTTGTCTTGCATACATTTTCTTTAAGTTAAATCAGAGGAGACAGATTCATTAAAAAAACATATATGAATCTATCATCAAAGAATTATAATTGTGGAAAATTATATGCTACTGCTAAATGCAGAATGCTAAAAATGCCAAATTTTAGACACATGTAATCAAATGAAGGTTACATTAGATAATACATAGTATTGATAGAGAATAGCTACAATTTTGTTAAAGTTGATGATTTGAAATTACTTTTTCATTTACATAAATGGGGCAGGGGAGACATGAAAGCTATAATATCAACATTGGTTGTCCAATATACATTTTCTATATCCTAAATGGAAGAAGACGTGTACAAGAACAGATTTGACCAAGAATGCACCAACCAGTCAGCATAAAACTCAAGATATATGGACCTATACTATATACGTTATTGCTGAAAGCGAAAAGTTTTGTCCTTAAATATCTCATTTCTAGGCATTAGAATACTAATGAGGGTCCTGAAACATCAGAAAACGATTAAATAATACATAGTATTGACATAGAATAGGTACAACTTTGTAAAAGTTCATAATTTGAAGTTATTTTTCTTTTTATTAATATTTCTGGTCGTTTTTCCTAATAAATGGGGTAGGGGAGACCTGAAAGCTCTACTATGAACATTGGTCATCCACTATACATTTTTTATATCTTAAATGAAAGAAGACATCTACAAGAACAAATTTGACTAAGAATGCACCAACCAGTCAGCATTGAACTCAAGATATAAGGACCTATATGGTATTGCTGAAAGCGAAAATGGTCAAAAAAGCCATGTTTTGTCCTTAGATTGGACCATTTCTAGGCACTAGTTTACCAATAAAGGTTCTGAAATATCTTAAAAACATTAAATAACACATAATATTGATATAGAATAGCTACAACTTTATTAAAGTTTATAGTTTCAAGTTATTTTATATTTTCATATTTTTCTTTAATTTTTCATGATAAATGGGGTAGGGGAGATCTGAAAGCTCTAATATGACCATTGGTGGTCCACTATTCATTTTCTATACCTTAAATGGAAGAAGACATCTACAAAAACAGATTTTATTACAATTGCAACAACCAGTAAGCATAAAACTCAATATATGAGGAACTATATGTTACTGCTGAAAGCTAAAATGATTTTAAAAAATGCCAAGTTTTGTCCTTAAATGTCTCATTTCTAGGCACTAGTATACCAATAAAGGTTCTGAAATATATGAAAAACATTAAATAATACATAATATTGATATAGAATAGCTACAACATTGTTAAAGTTTATAAATTCAAGTTATTTTATATTTTCATATGTTTCAGTAATTTTTCATAATAAATGGGGTAGGGGAGATCTGAAAGCTCTAATATGACCATTGGTGGTCCAATATACATTTTTTGTATCTTAAATGGAAGAAGACATGTACAAGCACAGATTTAATCAAAATTGCAACAACCAGTCAACATTAAACTCAAGATATAAGGAACTATATGTTACTGCTGAAAGCGAAAATGATCAAAAATGCCAAATTTTGTCCTTAATTATCTTATTTCTAGACACTAGTACACTAATGAAGGTCCTTAAACATCTGAAAAACATTAAATAATACATAGTGTTAATATTAAATAGCTAGAGTTTTGTTTGAGTTGAACATTTTGACTTTTTGTAGTTTCCACTTTTAGCCAATTTTTTTCTAAAAAATTCAAGGTATGTCTCCCTCGGACCAATATTTAGATATGTTCGCAAGAGTTATATGCTTCGCAGGCGAAATCCCTTATGCAGGAAACCCTAATAGAATGAAAAATACAGAGAAACTCCATCCAGCTCACAAAGTCATTTTTTGCACAATTCTCACACCTTCCACCCCGAGTATACTGATGATCGACCAATTCTGTAATATGGGGGAGGGGTTGAACTTACTAGCGTACAATGAACTTGCTCTTAAAGTCTATATCGAAAGTCACCAAAGTGTCATTAGCCAGACCATGGGCTTTCAATAGAGTAGGTGAACGAACTACTGTACAAACACCTAGGATTCATCAAAAACAGACACACTTACTCATTGGGTACTTCATAGTGTGATCGAAAATCGATCCGAATATCCAGCGGTGTGTATTTAACAACATTGATCTTGATTCGAACTAAGGAAATGTCAGTGTCATAGTTGAACCAGTATTCGAATTCTTGAGTTGTTTGTTTGGCAATTATGAAAATGGTGTGTAGCGCTTCCTTATTACAATAAGATCATCTAATTTCAATACAAAACGGTAACATTCATTGATTGATATTGATCCCGTAACAGGATTTGGTCGCGAATCGAATCATTGTCAAGCTGTGAGCGAAAACAAAAATTCCATCCTGATGCGTTCCAATAACATACATTGTTTTGCATTGAAAACACCTATGGCCTCGTATTAATACACTACAAGGTTCTTTGTTTGATTCACCTTTTGTTTCGTAAACATGTTTTGATCATGATCGTGATTGGCGTCCCGCTCTTTTAATTTTGTCATCTTACATGTGAGCGAATTTAAAGTAAACTTGACAAACGGCATTCTGTTTTCCGTTCGTTGGATTTTCGAGATTCGTGCACAATACAGTGTTCCAAGTTCTTTAATTAGTGAACATTTTTTGTGTGGTTGGTGTTGTGATTTCGTTTACGCCATGTGTCTTGGATGGCACGGGAAAAGATTAACAAACTTTAGAAATTATGTGAAACACTCACAGACAGTTGTGTAATTTACAGTGTATCATAAACCAACCGGCTTATAGAAAGGTGCGATACACGGCACAAATTATAAACAGCACCCTTCGAACTAAACAGTTTGGTCTAAATATCAAAGGTAGAAATAGCTATTGGGAGAACTTCTCAGATAACACTAACTTACATTACCTGCTACGGAGAAGAAAAAGCACAACATTTAATGGGGAATAGGTCAATTTGTATCTACTCTTCTATACTTCAAGATCAACATGAAACTATTGAGATAATTGGATTCTTCGTATCAATGAAAAACCATTACTTGAAATCGAAACAGGAATTCTGCCGGTGTTCAAGTGTTCACATTTTAAAAAATCCACACATGCCGTCGAATTTATTTCATTACATTGGAATTGGTATGTTGATCTCCAGCCTCGACCTGTTCCATTATCTACAATACCTATCTTAGAGCTGCTAGTTAATCATGTACAGATCCACACAAACATCTACATTTGTTTCCATGTGGATCAGAAAGGGCAAAGCGCCATGGTAAAAAGTTACAAACCAGGCTCATGCAGGTAACCATAAGACAGACTGGTAGTTAGTTGTATCTAGAAGTACAGTTTCAAGATAACCTAACGGGTACAAAAATATGTAATACATACATACAGCTAATTGAAAACTCTATGGCGGAGGTTCCAACCTTTAAACGATTATGGTGTTATTCTTTATTCGAGATGATATCAGCATGTTGATGCCAGATATGTTTAAAACCAATACGGCATTTCGCATGCAGCTGATATTGATACTACCAACGTCAATGAATATATGAATCAGAATGTCAAAACCAATTTTTGCAACCAAATGCCTTATTAAACTATGTACTCCTCCAACCAAAAAATTGGAAACCCGAATTCGTCCCCCATTCGATCGATGTGTAAGTCTGCTTTTATGTTTTCTGATTTGGAGATCGATATTGCCAAACTTTTGGAGGGGAAAGTACTTCTTGTCCTATTTTCTCACCTGGTAAACAGATGAGTCAGAGCTAAAATGGTACATTTTTTTGGACCTTTTTATTCTTGGTTGTATTTATGAATCATATTTAATTTTCAGGTATAATATTCCGTCCATTCGTGTGGTGTAAAACATAAGGCCTCAAAATGTTGCAAATGGACCCTTTCAAGGCGTCGATGTTCCTCATCCCTGGCCTGGCCATATGCCTTTACTGGGGAGGGGCCATCGCTCCTGTTGAGATTCACCCAAAGAATACCCCTGGATATTGGGGTCGAGCGGCTAAGCCACAACCAGACAATCCAAAAGTTGAAAAGTTCCAAGTTAAGATTGCCGACAAGGCTTTAGAAGATCTCAAATCTAGAATCGATAGCTCAAGATATTTCGAAGGGTTTGATAAGATTGAATTCCAGTATGGATTCGATGTTGACTATATGAGGAAATTAGCAAAATACTGGAGAGGAGGGTTTCTTACGAAATGGCCAGAACATGAAGCTAAACTGAACGAATATGATCATTATCGGACTCAAATTGAAGGAATTTTAGTTCATTTCATACACCAGAAAGCTGTTCTAAAAGAAGGTATGTATTCCACTACAGTTACATATTCGTTATCATAAACTTGTACCTCTGGTCTAAACGGTTAAAGATCGTGTATATCTGTTTGGACGAAACCAAAACAACCTTAATGTTGCATAAGCTATCAATTTACTTTTTAAGTTGTAATATGTGACATTTATGGCTAGGTCAGACGGCAGTTCCTATTCTCCTTCTTCATGGATTTCCTGGGTCTGTCTATGACTTCTATAAGTTCATACCTGCCTTTACCGACCCACTCAACCACGGCGGGCACGAGAATTGGGAGGTCTTTGATGTTGTGGCGCCATCTATTCCTGGGTTCGCTTGGTCCGAACCACCACACAAACCAGGTAAGTTTATTCCTAGGAATTGTGGGTAAATGTGTTTATTGATAATTGATACAGTGTACAGGGTATGAATATAATTTCTTTCGGAAGCTCTATCAAATAAATGCTGTGGAGCTTCCTGATGCATACCCATATTTGTCTTTTGTAGGGTTCCACTTAACACTTTGTATATGAGGATTGATTAGAGAAAGAACGCGTTTATTGCGTATTCTACCACATAGAAATTACATCAGAAATGTCCAAGTTGATCCATTGAGTCCATTAACCACGTTTATTTCATTAATCCGTATATCTATAATTAAGGTTTTAGCCCGCACGACGCCGCCCGTGTGTTCCACGAGTTGATGGAAAGGCTGGGCTACGAGAGCTTCTACATTCACGGTGGAGACGTGTCGGGTGTAGGACAAATCATGTCTCAGATGAACCATACGTAAGTTCGATTTATCAAACTTGGACTCTGCAAGTCTCTGCAAGTTCACACAAAGAGGTATCATGATTAGCGACATATTTGTATTTTATATGTTATTTAGTGCAACGTCAATGATGTTACGGAAATTCATCAAAGACGTACCATTCCGTACGAACTCTGTGTTGAGTTTTAAGAACTTTGCGACATCTATCACAAGTGTTTGCAGTTTTTGGTCCGCGAGCTGCATATTTTATATTACTTCTTGTGACAAACGCAAGTGTGGAAAAATAGATTGGTGAGGACGGACTTAGGAAGTAACAGTGCTGACCATATTCATGCGCTGTCTATGATCTATCACATAAGCATATACAGTCTGTTATTATAGGGCAGTCAGAGGACTCCATACCCACGTTTTCCCAATGTTCCCATCAAGCACTGAACGACAATTTCTTCAAGGTCTCGCACACGCCATCCCTGCTCTCTTCCTGACCCACGATGACCATAAAAAGGTGATTCCATTCCATGGATGGATGGAAGAGTTCATTGAAGAAACAGGTTTTCTACATGAAGCCATGACAAAACCGGATACCATAGGTATGCTAGTTATTTCAGGGATAAACTATGAGTATTGGGTTTTAGGAGAAAAATAACTGAGGCTGCTAGGCTTTTGTGACGCATTGGCTTTGGATACTAGTAGCTTGCCAAGTGTACATTCCTTAAAAACAATAGAAAAAGAATATACTCCTCTTTGTTACAGCTGCATGTTCCTTAAAACAAAATGCAATCCATTCTATTGTGTTGTAACCTGAGTTGGGTTTAAGGCTTATAGAATTTATAATTGTGAGACATTATCAGTCTTCGTTCTAATCCGTTTACAGAGAAAATATGATGGAGAAGTACATGTAGATCTTACAAGGTTTCAATTCGTATTTTTAGCAATCGGTCTGACAGATTCACCAGTGGGTCTTGCTGCATACATTCTTGAGAAGTACTCCACATGGACGGACAATGCATACATTCACACTGATGCAGGGGGCTTGGCCAAGTCTTTCACTTTGGACATTCTACTAAATCAGGTGAGAGTGATGGTTTACCGGTTTTTTATCGAGAATCCATCCACTCCCGGATAACTCACATGCATCAACTTTTGGAAATAATAGGGATTTGGACCAGGACAAATGTGATGAGTTGTTATGAATGGCGTTTCTCCTTTATTTCATTTGAAGGAACTGACACAGTTATATCAATTATATCTTACTTTAATAATAAACGCAATGCCAATTTGAAATCTACACTTACACGCATATTTTCTGATGGGAGAGTTCCAGATTTCTGGTTAGGTGCTCGTGTTCACTCTCTGGTCCAATCTCAGCAAAAGCTCTTCTATGTGTGTTTTGGAAGTTCGAAGTCTAGCATCAACCATTCAATACTGCACAATTTCATTTATACCCAGACATTGTGTTGATAACTTGTAGATAGTTGTTGAATTCTCTTTTTCCAGGTTATGATTTATTACACGACAAACAGCATTCACTCTTCGCTGAGGTTCTATAAAGAATGGTGGAGTAGTCACGAGGTGGCACAATGGGAACGGTAGTAACCTTTATGTGTACTCTTGTAATGAACAACAGCTCCAACATTTACTTAATAATTGATTTTGCGAAAGCGATTTCCTCTACTGTATTTATTCGCTAATGTTTTTCATTAATAAATGGGCAGCTCCACCATTTTTTACTACAGCAGTAATTTGGAGTAAACGTAAAAGGCCAAATAACTGGTTGGTTGGTAAATGATCGATGGGAAATAGCAACTCTGGGGTTGTGCAATCCAGAATCATATTTATCGTATATCTCCCATCCTCCTTCCGTCTATTATAATTCAATTCTTTTCAGGCTTCCTGTTAGCGTTCCAACTGGTCTAGTGTGCCTTGCAAATGCCCCAAGACAGACAACTGCTCCTCAGAGATTTGCTTCCCAGAAATATACAAACATCCTCCAATACACGGACATGCCAAGTGTTGGACACTTCGCCTCCCTTGAGAACCCAGACTTTCTTGCCGATAACATCAGGAAGTTTGTCAGAAATTGCGAAGTACGAAGAGGCAAACAGAAAAAGGCAATGGCCAAAAAAGCAAATCAGTAAATATTTGAAGATGTCAATTTTGTTAATATTGCATCAATTTATTCGAGCCAATGATAATAAAAATTAAAATAGCCAAACTGTCATTTGATTGCACATTAACAAACATATCTTTGGGGTTTTTAGACAAAGACGGGTTGTTTTAAGGATTATGGTCAAAGGGAGATATGGTTTTATGGTCATGCAAGGGAAATATATTGACCCCAAACTCAGCCAAGTTGCCCCGTGAGAATATATTCTGCTTTAGGTTAGGGAATTACTCTTTCAAACAACGATTGATTGTTACTTATACATGTTTTGTCTCAGATTGTGCTACATCAACCAGACAATACAGATTAATAAATAAAGGTGATAGGGTTTAAACTGGTTTTAAATTACTAGAAGCTATTTCAGGCTTGACATTATGTTGCACAAATATTTTTGTCTAGATAGGCTACACTAGACAATAAGATGTTTCACCTTGGGAAAAATATATACATCTCATCTATTGAAAGTTCGACCTAAGATGAATATATTCTAGTCCAGGCTTGAATAGGCAATAAAATGCTTGACCAAGTCATATAATTCCCAAGAATAAAAATTCAAGCAATTTTGTGTCAGTGCTTGATATCAATATTTTGGGATTTAGATGGAAAGTGAATAATAATGTAGGTCTCGTTTACTGATGGCTAGTTTTAGGACACAATATTTGAAAGAAAGTATTGGTATAACTATTAAAAAATGCCCTGGTTGTATTTTGATGCCATGCATGTAAAGGGAGACATGTTTAATGCTCAACACTGCCAATGTACTGTCAAAATAACAGTATAGTTCACTCTAATTAACAATATGTAATTATAATACTGTATGGTGATACTGTAAATAGATTTGTAGATAGAGGTCTTGTGATTTGGTTTTTGGCTCACATGGTGTTCTGATGGAATCACCAACTCATCTATTGACTTTCTTCCATTTGTCTTTTCCTTTGTGATGTGAACAACTTTTGAACAAATGAAAACTTTTCAGATCCATTTTATGGGGATCTACACAGTTAATTAATGCTATTGATCCATGCTCCTATTTTGGCCTTGTTTTGGAGCACTATGTGAGCCCATCAAATGGTGAAATTTTGAATCATTGCTGCTATACTTCTTTATGCAATATAATGTCTACTAAGTTGCTAATTCTGCAGTTTAATTTCGTTCAAGTTTTTTCTGTTTTGTTTTAGTTAATTTTGGTCAATACTAGTATTAATTATAATTATGTGCACTTTTTCTGTATATTATTTGTATATTGTGCATATAGCATAATACTAGTCAAAACCAATTGTGGTGATTTTTCTCAATTGGTTGTACAGTTTGTTCAGGAAAGTTTTACAATGCAATTACTACTTTCAGACTTTCTACAATAAATCAATCTTATGATAAAAATTGTGTTTAAGAATTATTTTAGACTTGGTGTCAAAATTGAGTCAAGAGGATAATAAAAACAGTCAAGGTTTGATGATCAATAACACAGACTGATTCAGATTCTCAGTAATTAACTCATCTTGGAAAATTCTGTAGACGATACAATTCATGAAAAGTAAAAGACGTGCTGTGTTTTATATAATACATTTATTACCACAATGCTTGTTGTTAAAATATTGTTGCTAAATTGGGGATTGTGTCAACACATTTAAATTCAAGCATCATCAAAAAGTTCTTATTTTGAATCTCAAATGAAAAAATCACCCATTCAATTTATGAACTTTAAATATTGTTCCCTGCAAAAATTTCACCTCTCCAATTTGAATTGTACAAATCATTTCAACAGTGCTTGATGTGACCAAGATTGCATGTGTTTTAAATGTGTTAACACAATCCCTAATTCAACTGTAATAATATGTGAGTCGAGACTGATAAGGAAAAATAAAGTGTTGTTTTCCAAGAATTATTGTGTTGAGTAATATAATTTAAAATAATATAATTTAAAACTGCCTTGAATAAAAGGTGGCAAGGAGGTTAATGTTACTATAACACCCAACGAGGTTTGGCAAATCACTATTTTACGGTATTTTCCATGTAGGACTGGCTCCATAATTCCATAAAAGTCTTTAACTGGAGGATTCCATCAAATGTTTCACTTTTTATTACATTTTATATGAGTCACAAAAAGAAGTCAGCAACAGAAGATCCTATCAGTAGAAACTGCAAGTTTGATATTTACAAGTTACCGACTAAATGAGTTAATCCAAAAATAACTGCCAAAAAGTACACTATATGAAATTATAACTTGTTGAATTCAGAGAATATACCAAAGAAATACAACATCTGCCAATCCTCTATGCATCATCAGAGTTAAAGTATAAAATATAATCTGCAAGATTTATCCTTAAATTCTTTCATACATCATTCAATTTCATTCTATTGATGAAAGATCAAATGTGATTTCCAACCAAACAAAGTCAGTTAAAATTCATCTTTTCCCCAAACATTACATTTTAAACCATAACAGTACATATTCAGCAAAAATATACACAATTTACCAAAATTCATCAATTGCAACAGAAAAATACAAAATTTTACATATTATAAAAAGCTACAGATTTGTCTGTTGTTTTTAAAATGAAATATTTTATACAATGACAGCATGAAGAATAAAATATTTACAGGCCTGCCTTAATCTAAGATATAAATAATAACAGCAATTATATATAATATATATAATTAATAAATAGAACTGTCAGTATATATACAATATTCGTACGAGGATGCGCACCCATTGTCACATGAAGGCATACTATAAGCAGTATGTATGACAGAATTTACAATACAATGTATGATAGAATTTACAATACAAACATCAGGTATTTTGACCCACATTCTTGCATTGTTACAAAACTGAACTTCAATCCAACTATTTTCCAAATAGAATTTAAAAATCCAAATTTGTTATCAGATTACAGTGTCACAATTAACTTTTAGTTTTGGTTTCAAGTCCCATCTCATCCCATCAAGTGATATAAATGTTTTGCTTACCACATGTAAAATGCAAACCTTGTGAGGTATACACATTTATCATTTTCCACAACAACTAAAGCACCATAGTAACACAGTCCTCTATACAGTAGATTGATAATACTGCAGTACAAGATAAATTTTCATCTTGATCCTGTCGGGCATTGGGTTCTGCATTTTCGTTTCAACTAATTATTACATCCAGTTTTCACAATTTGAAGATATAAAATATTGTTGTGCTGTATTCCTTCCCATATTTAAATTATTTCAATCCCAGAAAGGGAATATTGATATGACATCTTTCCGTGTGAATAAAAGGTGATTCAGATTATCTTTTCATATACTGTAGATATACATGTAATTATGATAACAGACTGAACTAGTATGTATTCTATTTCATATTCCATTGTTATTCATATCTTGCACGATTAATAATTCCAATTTGGAATTTCCAACTTCATTGTGAGTTGACATCTGCTCTAGCTCTACTTTTTGATATGTTCAATAATGACTTCAATAGTTCCGATTCACACTCTCAGGATCATGTCACCAGCAATAACGGACTTGGCAATTAATAGTGTCTCATAATTTGTACTTCTCGTGGTTTTAGTTTTACATCTTATACGCAACACTAATAAGTTTGTTCCATATAATAATAATCTATAGGTTCCTATGCCATTATCATATCATATGCCATAAATGTAGGTTCCACGATCAGTAGAAATATGAACACAGCTATTGTAGACTACAAATTCCAACCTATAATAAGATCTACTCTATTCAACTATCGATATGTTCCACCAGGAGGTTTCCTTGCAGAGGTTGGTTTCTTTGACTGCCAGAGATGTCCATGTATCGTCACAGCATCCATAGACACAGAAAGATGTCTGGTAGAAAGAACTTCTGTAAATCGTTTAGCACCAGAATTGTACCTGAAATAGCAAAAGCAGAAAATACGTCAATTTTTATTTCTTACAGATCACTATTAAAGTATATAAAATCTCTAATTACATTATAATAAAATAGCATTGCCCATTTAAAGTAACCCAAAAAAGGCTTTTTTGAAAACACTTGACATTTCTCGTTTCTGTCAAGAACCCTCATTTGCTTATTATATGTCAATGGTACCTGTTAAACAGCTTGATTAAATTGCTGCATCATGAAGCATTCTGACAAAAAGCTTCATAATGGTGGATTTCATGTCTGTGTAACACCTCAAAAATCCATCGCTGTGGAGCATTTTTTATCAAAATGGTTTATAACAATGCAATGAGACCTGCTGTGTAACTCAGACCAACTTTTGCTTTAACAAGCAGTGGAAACAGGGACTAAGTCACTTACTTGTAGAATTTCTCGAGCATTTCTCCAGTGATTTGTTTTGGTCCATTCCCAATGAGCTTAATGACAAGTTCAGGTTCAGGATTGTATGTGTAGACAGCTCTGTACTGCATGCCTGCATCTCTGAACAGGATCACAAAGTGGTTGGCTTCTGAATGCTCAAGCTCCTGGAAAATGCAAATTTCAAAAATATGTTTAGAGTAATACAATCTTCACCTCAAGCAAATTGATTACAATCATATTCTAACTTTTCAATGATCTACATATGATTTATTGGATAGTCATTCTCATTTGCTCCAGGATCTCTCCATGCTCATTTAAAAATCATTAAAAAGTGGGTTGAAGTACATACATATAGACATTACTTTGCCCTAAAGTGATGGATGCAAATATGAGGGAAGGGGAGGGAGGGACAGGGATGCTCACTAAGTTGTTCCAAGGGTAGGGAAATTGACAACCCAATTTTTGTTTTGTCAAAATACTCAACCCTTCACATGTGGAGGTCTCGTGCAAACGTTTGAATCGTGAGTCAATACTAGACAATATAAAGGGGCCCTATAATTATTATGTAATACAATAATGCAATACGGTCCTCACCTCAAGCAAATTAATTACAATCATGTTCTACCTTTTAAATGATCTTCATATGATTTATTGGATCGGATAGTCATTTCTATTTGCTGCTGAATCAATCCATGCTTATTTTAGAATCATTATAAAGTGGATTGAAGTACATACATATAGACATTACTTTGCCCTAAAGTGATGGATGCAAATATGAGGTAGGGGGAGGGAGGGACAAGGATGCTCACTAGGTTGTCCCCAATTTTTGTTTTGTCAAATCTGCAACCAAAAATGATCCAGTATTCAAGTAAAAATACTTACATCCAGTACTTTGTTTTTGACGTCATTGTTGACAGTGCCTGCCAGACAACAGTAGCTGATGGCGTTCATTATGATGTGACGGTTAGACTTCATGCTAGGTTTCTTGAACAACTTTGGACCTGGATAAACATAAAATGTGGTCAATGTATGCTGTATAAGTGAAGAAAATACAGTTCGACAACAAAACAAGAAAGAACTGTTAGATGAAATTTTCATCTATGACATGTTTTGGTTATAAAAATTTCTTCTTTCCCGGAGATTTGGTTGAAAAGACAAGTACAGTTAGACTTGTGTATCCGAACATCTCTGTATAGGGGGCATATAGAGAAAAGATCTTTTGCAAGTATACAGTGGCTCAAAATGAGCCAATGGTTCAACAATCTCGTTTTCCATATTAATTTTTTTGGCCTATACTTATGTTCAAACTACATTTTCAATTTATCTTTGGTGCTCACCACTGTATTCCTGGTTGGAGTTATATGACCCATGGTCACTGCCCTCTCTCCCCATCAGCCTGTCAGGGCTAGCAGCTCGCCTGTGGGTCAGGCCACCATACTGGAGCCCATTCCTGGATCCCCCATCTGGCACATCAGATATCTTGTATGACATCACATCTCCAGAACCTACAAATACACTGCATAGTTATTTGCACCTAGTTAATACACTGTATTAAATTCAATGCAAATTCAAAATTACTTTTCATTTTCAGCTAATTTAGTCACAACAGCTAAGAATATTCAAGCAACGTTAAGCAAATATCAAAAATGTTATATATGCATCAAATTTACAACAATGAATCACTACTGAGATGTGAAGGAGTATACTGTACATTGAATATTTGAAACAGCAATTCTAAAAACACTTAGGGAACATTTCAAAAATGTTTGCTCAATTCATCTTAATCTTCAGTCCCACTGGAACCACATTTCCAAAACCCACTATTTTTGCCCCTCTAAAACCCACATCAATATCATCAACGTTTTTTTAATCATAGAACTATAACCCTAAAGTCTCACCTAGGCACTTGAAAAATGACATACCGATGTGGCTAATAAATAAAATAAAAAATCACTATTTCTAGTCTAATATATTTAAACACTTTTAAAAGTAAATTCTAGTGCACAATACAAGCTAGCAAGCTTCCGTTCTCCTATATGTACCTCTTAAATCATACATGCTATGAAACTTGCTCTGAGGTAGGTTACGTCTAGTAGGATTTGTACGACGAGCAGCCGAGGTTTTATCGACAAGTGATGAACGACTTGATGAGGTACGTAGTGTATACCCTGAGCTACTGGGGGTCAAGCGACCTGGACTTGGGGTGAGGCGCCCAGGACTGGGGGTAAGACGACCACCCTGGCTGGGGGCTAATCTACCTCCAAAGTTTGGAGTGACACGGCCTAGAATACACACAGTGAACTCATGCAAGCACAACATTCAAAACACCTAATGCAACATGAATGATTTCAATGTTGAAGACAGTACTAAAATTTGCAGAGGCAGAGAAGGTGAAATTATTCCGGACATTGAAGACGTGGAGGTTGAAACAAGGTGCTGTTCATTAAAATGAATTCATTTTTTGTATATTATCTCTTTATGTCAACATTGAAATTATTCATGCTGCAGAGGTGTACTACTACACATCAGGTTAGAGGTGATTACAGAATAGAAATGCTACTGAATCTCAGAAATTGTGTGTATAGCACAATTTGAAATATATCATGTCTCATTCAGTAACATTTCCCCAAGTCAATATTCAGACTTAGTTTACATGCAAAAATGTAAAATATCGTATATCTTTTGATGCATTACAAATCAAAATCTTGTCAGTAAAAGCACTTTCTAAATAACAAAAATAAGGCAAAATGTTAGTATCAAAATAATTAAAGCAAACCAAAATATATAAAAGCAAATAAACAATTTCTGCTATTTAGCAAAAACCAAACATAAAATAATGGAATACAAATACACAAATCATATTTTTCAAAATGCAATTAAATCTCTAATATAGGGGAAGGCATCGGAAGTTCAAAATCTGAGAGATTGATTGAAGGCCATTTTAATTTGATATTTGATGCTTATCTCATATTTTGGTTAAGTGAAAAACGCAATAAATGGATAAAGTTTCCATCAGAAAATGAACTATTGAAACCTAGTATTATAGCAAAATTCCACACGCAATTCATACACTGCAAATAACAGCTGGGCAAGTTGGAGCTCTCTACCTGTTGTCTTCCCTGGAGATGTTCCCCTGCCTCCGTAACCGTCTTCTAGACTACTCTGAGAATGGGAACTAGTCGACATAACATCTTCTTGCTTAACAGATTTAACACCTTTTGCTGACTTAGGTTTAGGTTTAGCTTTTCGAACACCCATTTTTGATTCTTCCTCAGCGATTTCACGTTCTTCCTTTTTCTTTTGATATTCAGCAAATATTTGATCTCTTCTCATTTTATCTTCAAGTTTCTTCTGTTCTGCAGCTTCTTGTTTCAGTCTGGAAAAAATGATGTTAGAGATTGTCAGTGAGAGACTATTAGGCATATCATTTTATTGCACAATGGAATAGATTGCATTATGGAACGGTGATGGAATATGTTGTGTAATGAAACATTTAGTTTAAATAGGTCGTACAATGGAATATGCTGTATAATGGTATAGGTTGAATATTTATGTAATATGTTTTCTAAATTCGCTGAAAAACTGAACAGATTATAAAGATGAGCACAATCAGTTAATATAATGTTGATTATGCAAGCCATCACCAAGTATGTCTTTGAATAGCAAAGCACAAACTAATATAGAAGATATCAAAAAGTTCAAGTAAAGATATGTTTTCTTTTAAATAATCATGCTTTTCGAAACACTCTGAATAGAATGATCTAATACCTTTCTTGTTCCCTCTTCTTCTCTAGTTTTGCCTCCCTCTCTGCTCTCTTCTCAACCTGCTGTTCTCTCCTCTTCAACTGGTTCAGTATCATCTGCTCTTTCCTTCTTGCTATGGAGTCCTCACTTGTCTGAAAAATATCCTTATTCTGTACAGAGGGTTCCTAACATGCACATGTATTATGGGAAAAGTACCCATTCTACGTCCATTCTGAATTAATTTTCCCCGGACCATGAGGAACAAAATAATGGAAATTCTATTCAGCAATAAACCCATTTTAAATTCTCTTATTTACTAAGGTCATTGGATATGATTAACTTTCTTTACTTTTTTGACTGTTTGAACCATGTCTATATCATATTAAATGTCATAGATGCGTATAAATATGAATGGAAGACACAATGATAATGAAGTATGACTGAAATAACAATGAAGATGTGATGTGTTACATTATAAAATTAGGGAAAGGGAAATTAACAGGCATAAAGTGAAACTCTAGAACATGCATTGATAAAAATGTTTGCAAAGGGCCATCTAGGTGTCATTAATTGAATATTACAGCATTTAAAAGCCTGATCTGAAAGATTATGAGGATATTTTTAAAACAGAAGACACAATTATGCAATATTTTGCAGCATTTCTTGCTATGCCTATTATAGAGTCCAAAATTTGAAATTCATTTCAAATAGTTTCACTTAAATTCATAATGCTTTGATTTCAATAGTATGTTTTTGTAAAGATGTCTGCCAACATTTCAAGTCTCCTTTGCTGGCACATTAATTAGAACTTACCGGACTTAGCACTTCAGTTCCTAGAGTAAATCCAACAGGACTAATGGAGATATCTGCAGGCTTATTAATTGACTCATTACCAGATTGTGGGGTCTGCAGTACATTCTCATTCTGTGTTCTCAAAATGTTCTTCTCCGGGGTGACATTTATATCTTCGTTGTTAATCACTGGACTAGATATGGTTGCACTGGGGCCATTTGATTTAATTGGAGTGTTGTTGTCTTTCTCTTTCTTGGCAGATCTATTGTTGCCAAGCTTAGGTTTGGGCTTAGGTCGCCTCGGAGAATCATTGGCAAAGTTTATAAAGAACCCAGCTGGTTCATCGTTAGGATTTGGGGGTTCAGTGAAATCTTCAATTTCAGGTTCAGATTCTTTTCTCGGACTCAAGTACTCCGCTATTGGATCAGGCCCTATTTGAGCTCTAGGGCTTATTGGTCCCAATTGGTCTCTAGGACTCGTATGTCCTGTTTGGTCTCTAGGACTGATGTGTCCAATTTGGTCTCTAGGACTAGTAGGTGGTGTCTGCATGATGGGTGAAATGTGTGTTTGTGGGGATCTAGGAGATGCAGGGGGTGAGGTGTAGCTTGCCTGAGGTGCCACTGTAGGGGAGGGGAGATATGTTGTAGAAGGAGAAGAGACACCATTGAGTCTACTTTGCTCATTCATCATCTGATTCTCTGCCTTGCTGTAGCGTTTATTTCTATCAGTATAGTCTGGAGGTTGGTATTCAGTTGGAGGGTCCACAGGGGTGGGTGTGGGGGAGGCCTGGCTCATAGGGACCTGGCCAGGGCTAGGCTGTGTATTATATGTCTGAGATAAAGAGGGATCTGGTTTAAACTCCATACCATTCTGCTGCACGCCTGGTGACAGAGGGGGTTGGGAGGAGGTGGTATACGTCTGGGATAGATGCGGCTGGGTGGGATACTGCATCCCTGCGCTGACTTGGGGTTGACTGGACATAATCCCCTGGGGATGGGATGACATGACTCCTTGAGGCTGTTGCATGTATCCTCCTTGGGGGTACTGATTCATATGCTGTGGGGGTACTGTCTGTTGGTACATTGGTGGCTGGTATTGTCCCATGTAAGCTCCCTGGTTGGGTGGATACTGACCATGGTTGGCAATGTACTGCTGTTGCTCTAACATATACCCAGGCCTGGGTGGGGTGACCCCTGGGGCATATTGATGTACCTGGGCCTGTGGGTGGGGATAATGGTTGGGCTGGTTGTATCCCATACCTGGCTGCCCCTGCATATACACAGGCTGCTGCTGCTGGGTGTAACCAGTGCTGGGTGGAATAAACTGGGGGTGGGGTTGGGGCTCATAGACCTGCTGGATCCTCCCCTGGGACTGATCTACTGGCTGCTGAGAGGGGGGCTCATATTGGGGCTGACTCCTAGGAGGCGCTGACTCAGCCATCTGAGGCTGGGATGAGCTTACAGTGTAGGTCTGCTTGAATGAGCTCTGTACTGGTGGGGTGCTAGTCTGCGTGGGGTGCATGAAGAAAGACTCTTCTTTTGCCGTAGTAACTCCAAGGGCTGGGACTGTTTTCTTTTTAGGGGCTGTTTCACTGGCAAGACTTTTAATCTGCTCCTGTTGCAGGGATAATCTCATAATCTCACCTTGCAGTTCACTCAGACTTGTATTTAAATTATCCAATGAAGAGCTGTATTGTTCAAGGTCAGAATCACCCTGTTTAACAGACTTAGGGCTTTGCCTCTGGGAAGGGCTACCTTGCCTTTGGATTGGGCTAGCTTGCCTCTGGGTTGGGCTAGCTTGCCTCTGGGTGGGGCTACCTTGTCTTGGGGGTGGGCTTTGCCTCTGAGTTTGTCCACTTACATTTTGTACATCCCTTGATTGAGGGGGAGTTATCTTTCTAGAGACGGGGGGAGAGGAATGAGATTGCGAGGGTTGCTGAGGCTTAGACTGGGGGACAGTCTTGAGTTTGGATTCATCTTCATTGAACCACTTCTGCTTTACATGGTCTATTGTCTGTTGTATATCCTGCCTTGAGAATGGCTTAGAGGTGGTTGGTTGGGTCGGTGGTGGAGTGGAGCGATTGCTGTCTCTCTGCTCCTGGACCTGCCCAACCTGGATATTACCTGCTTGGGCAGGTTTAGTGTTTGCACTACCTTTAGAAACAACCTGTAGAAAAGCTGTCTTGCCAAGTCTTTGTCGTTGTTTACTCCATTGTGCTTCCATTTTATGTTTCTCTGATTCAATCTGACGTCTTTTTTCTTCAAGCATCATTTTTATACTGAGTAGTTCTGAAGCTAAAGGTTGAATTGTATCTCCATTCTCACTAGTAGTGTTTTTGTCTGTTGTGCTTTTAGTTGCACTTTCTTGCCAAGTGGTCTGATTGGGCAATGCAGCAAATGTAGTCCTCTTTCCACCAGTGGTAGATTTACCAACAGAGTTCTGTGTTCCCTCAGGTTTTGCTTTATCATTGTCATTATTATCTGAAACTTTGGCATTAGTTTCTATTGTCCTATTATTTTCTTTCCCAGATTGGCGAAATGCAGGATGGGAGATCCCAGCTGTTTGTGTGTTATCTCTGTTTTTCTTCATCTGGGCAAAACTTGTACTTGGAGCGTCACTGCTCTGAGATGAATTCACTTGGATGGGTTTAGGTACATTGAGACTGTGTGGTCTATTGGTCTCTACTGAGTCAGCCCTAACCTCACGATCTCTCGTGTCACGATGAATCTTTTGTAATTCAGGATCAGAGTACTCCCCTGAACTCCTATTCCCAGACCCTGTACTCTCTTTACTGTGTTGTCGCATGTGCGTTGTCAAACTAGATCCACTTTCTGCTTGGGGTGTGAAATTACTGGATTCATTTACACTTTCCACAACTGGTATGCCTGAAAATACAAGAGAATTTCAAATAAGTTGAATAGTTTTGTATATTGAGCTTAAAACAGACCTCAAGACAATTAATTTTTAAATATCGCAATCTAATTTAAGTCCTGTATTTTTTTAACATTCTAGTCGCGAACACATAACAATGATGAAAAATTATTATAGAAAAATAATTTCAATCTGTAAATCAGAAAAGTTATCTTGGATGATTAATTACTTGAGATGTAACGTGTGATGCAACTTGAGAGTAGGCCAAGTGGATTAAGTAATCTCAATTAGACTTGGATATGTTATGAAAAAAAACTCTTCAAAAGTTTTAATTTATACTAATGTAAAAAATGTTAATACCTCTGGCCTGGGCACTGACTCTGTCATTAATACTATCATCTACTGTGAAACTTTTTGCTATAGGTGTCGCCACCCCACTCATTGTGCTAGAACTATCAGGGAGACTCCGCTGTAAAGATGCACTGGGATCAACATAAAATGCTTCGAAATTTCTCGCTGGTTCAACTGGTTTTGTGGCAGTTGGTCTAGTTTGTGGAAAGTTCATAGGGACGTACTCCACACTTGGTGTAGAGTAAGCCTCATCAGGGGTCGACCCCTCACTGGATGACCCATTGGTGGGTTTGGGTAGTGGGTTATAAGGCTTCACTGGTGAACTAGGGCTCCTCTTAGGCTGTTTCTCTCCACTCTCCACTTCCTTGTTATGGAGCTGTTGTTTCTCTTTGGCTGGCTTAAGTTTGGCAGGGAAGAGGGGTTCTCTAGGGGGCTGACTAGTTGAATCAGATCTGTTAGAAGTCACACTCTCAAGCTGGAATACAAATCAATTTTAAAAAATATATGTATATTTGTTTATTCTTTATCTTACTTATAATTAGTAATACAAATCAAATCAAATCATTTAGTTTTAAGATGTATAGGTAATTCAACATCTAACCATTCATTAAACCTAACTAAGAAACTACAGTGGATATTGCAATGATTACAGCAATGCGATTCTATTATCCATAGTCACCTTTATATAGTCTGGATGTGCTGGGTCAGTAAGGTGACTCCCTGGTGTTGAATGCTGGGAGTCTTTAGTGGTAGATCGTGGGGTCTCTAGATCTGATAGGTCAATACTTTGGTCTGTAGTAAAGCTCTGGTCCAACTCACTATCAAGGCTTACATTGGTCAATAAGCTCTCAGCTCCACCACTCTCCTTACTTCCTTTGGTCTGTAACAACACAAGGACATGAAGCAAGATATGTTACACTACTGAATGCTGAATGCACAAGGCAGAGTAATGCTGAGAAGTATGTCCAATTATATATTTTACTCATATCATCAGAATGGGACAGCATCTTTTCCATTCAACCAAGGTTGGGCCATGCAGTCGAAGGTAGCCATGCAACCAAATTTTGCCGATTCAATCTGACGGAGAATGCCGAGCCTCTCTTTTTGACCAATTGGAGACGTCCTCTTCACATTCGTTGTACCCTCAGCCAACTTCGTTTGCAAATAAAATCTTCGGCAGTCTATTGCTTTTCTTGAGGTATCTTCGGTTGCAAGCCAAAAGTCGACACCCTCATCAGAATAATGATTTTGGATGTGAGAAGTGTGTAGGCTATTTAGTAACTTAACCATCATCAAAATGACAATATTATATGATAATTTAACTTAAATGTTATTAAACTCTAATATAAATGAAACATACCTCTTCCCAAGCTGTAACAGAACCTCTAGCTATACCACTAGCGTCTAAAGATGCGGATCTGCCACTTTGGCTCTCTAAAATAGAGGAGAAATAGAGTAAAACCTCTGGAACACCTCTGTAAGAGGGACACCTCAAAAGCAGAACACTCTCCTGTGGGATAGTCACAAGAGTACTCCACATACACAGGTTTTACTGTTTTATATCTATATTGCGTTTTAGCAATCTAACACTATCACAAGAATCAGCCATTTTTTTTATTTACTCATATTTATTTATATCAATATAATGTATTACATAAGAAGCTCCTCAATCAACTCAGCATTATAGCGAAGCAAAAATCAAATCATTATTTTCCATCAGCCATTTGCTCGACATAAACCACATGGCACTTGCCTTTGGTTTTAGGCCCCTTCCATTTTGATAGATTCTATAATTCACTGATATAGACAAAATGTATCTTTTGACACTGATTTTTCAAATCACACATCTATTGAGTCCTGTCAGAATTTCCATATTTGGACAAAATATGCATTACAAATGCTTTGAATGGAAAATACAAGAAACATGTACATTTTTCATCACCCCCACATACCTGTTGTTTCTGTACCATGTAAGCTACTCCTATGTTGTTGAAATCTCTTAGGTAACAAGGGTTGCCGGGATGCACTAAAAATATGTGTACACAGAATTAAATTATGTGCTGTACATCAAATTATTATGGAATTGTTAGATGCATCATGTTTATAGCTTTTATTCTAGTATTGATAAGTCATAAATTCATTGCAGTAGATAATAATTCTTTTTTGGAACAGAATCGGCATATGGGCTATGCTTTAATGTACTGAATATAAAAGCATTTTCCACCTTTTCCCAGTTTCTGTCATTTTTCTCTCTGAATCTTTTAAGTTTATTTTAGTGGTAAAAGTGAACAAAGACAAATAAAATACATGCTAATTTTATGTGAGTTAAATAAATGTCAAAATTAGACCGATTTTAGAAAAAACTCTGCAATGGATACTATATCTGTCATTCTATGCATTCAGATGTTAATCCTGGTAGTAATAGTAATGGTTATGGCTTTAGTCAAGGTACAATGATGAATACAAAACTTAACATTACCTTGGGCTCAGATCAGGATTACTGCCAGACAGGGCACTTCTTAGGTCACCACCCTCTGTAACAGGGGACTGTTGGAAACTACGCTTTGTTGCTTCACTTATAGCTGGGAACTGGATTGGTGGTTTCCCTTTTGAGGCTTCTGGAAGTACATATCATTGCAATGTTAGATTAGGCTGAAATATGCAATGAGAAGGTACAAATGGAAAAAAAATCAGAAGCATCTCCTGGCGGAGACCAAAATCACCAATTAATTAAGGTCTGTATTTAAAATAGGCAAGATAAAGTAACATACCCATTCCAAGGTCGTTTTTACAATCTTAATAACTGGACAGCTATTTCCATTTCAAAACAGAATGTTCTATTCATCTTGATGTTTTAAGAAAAAAGAAACACTTTCAAATTAGAAAAAAATTCCAAAATGTTTTGCGGAAACGGGACTTCCTCTCTACAGTTTGAAGAAATACTTGAAATATGTCAGATCACCTGTCAAGAATCAACATGTGATGCAGTGCTCTCACTAGGCTTTTAGACCACGGGGCAGTACCACAACCTATCTAAGAGCCGAGAAATTGAAGAAAATATCTAGGAACTCAAATTTTGTCTCAGTTTAGCCATGTTTTTTTCAACTGTTCTTTTATACCATGACCATGGTCTTACTATACACTAGATACCAGAACATTAATCAAGATTACCATGATAAAATATTCTAATTTTAAAGCACATGATATCAATGTCGAAATCAGCATAAAAAATTAATAAAAAATAATAAAAATATGGTTTTAAAATTTTTTCCACTTTGAAATGTTAACTACCTGTTGGTAAAACTGGTTACTACTAACACCTCAGTAGTTATGTTTATCCAATGGATGGAATAAAAAATTAAATGACTGCATGACCAACCAATATACTGACAATGTTTCTACAACAACAATCTTAATATATCCTGCTGAGAACCTGTAACATGTTGTAGCACCAACAACATCGTGATCTTTTATTCTGATGTATTTCTGGATTCCTGACTTCCTCTTCATAGTTAGGTTGTGCATTCATAATTATGTTTATGTTCTTTACACTGCCTTCGTTGTTAGAAATTATTAGAGTATTCTATGATTATAACATAATACTCGCTCTACTCAAAACGTACTGTAGAACAACTAACTAATAGTTTATATTCTTCTTATCGAAGAGCTATTGCACAAAATGGTCATCATTTTAGAGAAAAAAATCAGGTCTAAAAATCAAGTTGTGCTCTGTTGCTTGTGTCCTACACACAGAAGACTTCTACAAAGACATGGAAATAATACAAGTCTTTCATTCATTGCCAGGGTTATTCCTACTGAATCTTAGCATCAGACCTCAGACAAAATTTAATAATCAATACACAAATACAGCAAATGATGGTTACGCAGCCTGTCTGTACTCTCTATACTTAAACATACCTCCATAATAATAGTAATATCCTACGTTTTATCCAGTTGATTCACGAGATTATCTTAAGTATGTGTTACTGATCCGTAGATTCCAAGATAGCTTCTCAGCTGATGCATATGAACCATGTATGCTATTAACTTAACCTTTTCAACCATTCTGATTCACTGAATATATATTTTATATCGTTCTTCTTAATATTCTTAAACATAAGGAAGATTCAGCATGACCTGTGTGTATTTAACCCATGGAGTCTGTTTATATAAAGTTACATGTAGGTAAGGTACTATATAGCTAATGAAGATAAGGTCTGAGATACAACATAAAACCTACAGCAACTGTATGTATAAAGAGTTGCAATCTAACATGATAGCAGGTAGGAAACTCTTTGCAGGACCGTAACTTCTAAGATACACTCTACGTAAGTCCGAGATATTTCCGAGAGCTAGCATATGATTTCCAAACAAAATTGTGCATTCAGAAAATAACAGTAATACATGTCCTGCTGATAAATTCATTTATATTCATTTCACATTCCATTTGTCACAAAAGTAAAGACAGTGACATTGAGATTGTTAAATCAGCATCCATCAAAACTACTAAATCATCTGTTATAGCCATAGTACAATAAAACCTGTCTTAGTGAACACCTCTCTCTAGTGAACACCTGTCTCTAATGGACACCCTTCCTTTGCACGTACATGTTGACTTCTGTATAAAGTTCACTCTCTGTAGTGAACACCTCCCAACACTGAACATTCTTAGCAAACAAATGTTCAATATAACAGGTTTTACTGTATATAATTTAACAAGCTGATTCTATTGCAAACTCTTCTGATAAAAAATCAGATTTATGGGGAGTGTATGTGCATATGTATTCCATTCCTACTGAGGTTCTGGGTAGATAACATTCAGCAACATAGTGTACATCATCTAACGAGTGAGGTAGATAGATCTGAATATATCCCACTTAACAAACACAGTGACACTGACACAATTATATATTTCACACTTTTATATACATTTATTTTGAATGTACTTTCATGTGACATGTTCAAAACAATTAAAGAATAAATTGTATATCAATATACAAATGTATTAGTTATTAATAATTTGGGAAATTAATATACTGTTATTATAATCACTGTTATCATCGATATTAAACTTACATAATGGTCTGCTTATTGTCTACTTTAATTTCTCTATGGTATATTTCAGAAAATAGATTAGATATACTAAAATAGACTGCGGTATTTCCCAAAATAGATAAGATGTCCTAAATGTTTTTATAAGAGATACATGTATATTGTATACCATGAGTATTTGAGACACATTTTTTCACAGAATTTTGAGTTGCTAGAATTGAGATTTTTTGTGTTGTGAACTTGTGACTAATCTAAAGAATATCTGACGGAATCATCAACACTCATCTCCTTCCTATTTGTTTATTTTGACTTACCTTTACACTTCAGACTGTTTGATTCATTTATTTCCTGTACCTGCCAAAACCAAAATGGCCTTTACTTCTCTATATAAGCAAACATGTAATTTGCAATTTCACTATGTTCTATGATCTTATATTGTCTCCACTATGACAAAATGAAGATTCATCACACTAACAGACATTCTGCTATTTCCTACAGATCTGTTCATTAAACCAATACAGCTAAATCCACCTCAGTACACCTCAATGCAGTAAAACCTATAACCCACAAGCCTCTGACGAGCGATATGAGCTCTAATAACCAATCAGCGCTATAGGAATGTATAACAGAATGCTGGGAAGTCTACATTCTCTATTGGGAGTACAGTACATGAGTCACTGTGCAATATGACTAGACATTAGATTATACAGCATTTCATTAACAGAAACTGTTCACACCTTTCTCATTTAAAAGAACTTAAGATAACACTATGGAATGGAGGTGATGGTTCTTTCTCATTCTGGGTCACTATAGCCTGACATTATAACTCAGTTGGATCATATTCTCAGACTCAGCTGGCCTTTACTTCCAAACAAATCTATATACTGTAGCATATCTATAAGGATGGACCACGAGATCACCCGGGGGGGGGGTAACATTTTTAGTCTTGATACTGACATACACTCACATATTTTTGTCTCAAAATTTTTGATCATATTTTTACTTTTTTTGTATTCAATATTCAGAGCCCTAAAAAGGATCAATAGATCCCCTTTGTAAAAATGGTGATTCAGGTAACATTACAATATTTCATAACATCATTATCTGATAGCACAAAATAACCAATAATTCATGACTATTAATGAAGAAAACAAAGAGTTAATAATGAGCTGCACACTAGTATTGTGCCTACATTGCCTTGGAAGGATGTGCAATGCCACAACTTTAATTGGTACAGGCTCAGAAAATATTAGAAAAATACATGAAGCCTCTGTGCCCCACCACCCCACCCCTCCCCATTCTCCAACATAGTGTCACACTGAAAAAAAATTAGAAGTACCAAATCACATGTTAATTAATAGGCTAATAAATGTAACTGATAGTAATAATCCCACATCAAGGGTAATAGGGTCTAGATGGGTCCTGATAAGCTGCTTAGATAGTGATACTCCCAAATGCGAAGACTCAGCAAATATCCCACCTTCCAGTTCTCACATATCAGATGAACCACTCATACTACATACTGGTACATGTATTTGTGATGATCTCATCATGTATCAACACATGCAGGTCAACATGATGAAAATGCATCAGAATAAAATCACAACTTTATGTTTGTTTTGGATTATTTTTAAACCTGTTGGGGATGCTTTGATTAGATTTCCGATGAGATTAAAGGTTGTTTTTATCAACATGAAACTCAACATGAACACAAGTTATTTTATGTTTTTCAGCTTTTGAAAGGATATGACAACCATGGATTTTAAAGGTTCTGGGAATACAACATGTAAAAATGCAAAATGTCTAAAATACTAAAAAAGGTTTAATCTGAGTGAGGCTTTTGAATGATGATTTTTTATTAGGGCCACCTTATCATTGTAATGGTGAGAGTCTAAATTATATATTTCACTTTAAAGTCTGACAAGTACGCTGTTGATTTACAAGTTCATGTTTACATTATCGAACCTAAAATGACCAAACTGGACATTGAAACTGTGTTGTTCAAACAAACCTGATTCAGAGTTTTTTTTATAATTTATGAACTTACTTAAAACTTATAGGCATACCTTGGGAGGCATACACAAGGTACACCTTGCCTGTCATAAACGGTTTTAGCTGAAGTACAATAATATTATTAATAATATTGTTAGTTCTCATTCTAAGTTTTCTATCTAAGGTACATAAATGACACTTTTTGGGACAGACATCAAAACTTCTGAACATTGGGGTTGTGGTTCAGAGAACATCGTGTGTATCAAACATATTAAAGCAGTTAAAGCACAAGCCTCAAGGAATGTATTCAAAGATGTGATACCCTGACACCTTGATTGATGTAGCCTTAGTGAATAATATAAGCATACAGAAACACAGATCATTTTGTATTCAAATAATTGTGTGATAAAATCGTCACATTCTTACCTTTACTTTGACATCTATTGTTATAATCATAGATATTTATGCCATCTCCAGAAGGGTAAGCATGTCAAAGGCTTCTTTTCAGAGATAATGATTTAGCATTGAACAGCAGATATGAATGCTCTTATATGATTTATGATCAACCTGAGACAAGGCTATATCTTTAAATGCCTATTTCTTATAAGAACTTGTTTGATTTTATACTTACAATCTTCTTGGGGGCCACTTTTGCCATGTTAAACACTACAGTAGTAAAATTCCCATATCACAAACATAATCCATAGTACTGTTTAAAAGTTGACCAATATGTTCGATTTCATGTAACTAGTTAATATCCGTTACTCACAAATGTAGATATCTAACTGATGAATCGACACTTGAAATTCTGACATGTATTTTAGTGATAACTTCAAAATTCAACCAATAACCAATACTTTAGCTTGAACCTATACTGTTAAAGACCAAAAGGGTCAAATACCTTTAAGTTGTCCACTTCAAATGTCAATTATTAAACATCTGAACTAAAGTTTACTTTGCAGAAAAAAGTTCAGAAAAAATAAACGACATGAACATTTAAAGTGCTTGAGTTGATCTGAATGAAAAATAAAAATTTAATGTTTTTGTGAAAGGTAAGTACATAAAGGTGAAATAGGTTGATGCATTTATATCTGGAAGGTTTAAACTAAGTAATATGATGACTGGGGGTAACATATGAAGAAAACATTGAGAAATGATGTCCTGACTCGAGTTCAGTAAACTTTACTTAATGATACATTGCTTCTCCCTAGCATACTAAATAATAATGTGAAGGAAAACAAAAAAACAACACAAATTCTAAAATGATTATGAAGGTAGTTTTTACATTGAAATTGGGTCGTTTGTCATTTGTTATTCTGATAACTGGGAGTACTCTTATTTCGGTATTCTTTTTAGCCTTTTCCCTTCAGCATTCAGATTTGCCAATTTTGTGCTCTTGGATTAGATCAACTCTGTAATCAGACATATTATCCGTTCTTGCATTTTGCATTTAGATAATCTCTTTTGTACCATCCTAAATACAAGTGTCCACAAGGTCAACCTTTAATACCTTGTTCATATTGACATAAATCATTCTGCATGGAAATCATTCATTGCAAAGTTTATTTTTGAAAGTGCTCCCAAAACTTTGTGAACATAAGGTCACAAAACATTCAACTATTAGATTACAAAGTACTTTAGTTAAAATAGTATTCAGTATTTTAAATATTGATGAATGGCCTTTACAACTCCATTGATAAAATACTTTCACAGTAAAATATGGCAATGTGTTAATGTCGCTCTATTCAAAACCTTTTTCAAAAGTGTTGTTACTTGAACAGACAGCTTTATCTGAACCCCCCCCCCCTCTAGCCCCAGTCCAGGGTAGTATCAGTTCAGGATAGAACAGTTTTCACAAGCCATGTCATTTCCAGAACAATCCTCTTTCCTCATACTAAAATAACTTCCCAGCAATAAAATATTTACAGAAGGAAACTTCAAATAATTCCACTGTCCAGAAAAAATGTGACCTACATAGATAAATATAGATATTTATAAAGTCATAAAATACAATAATAAGACAACTTAAACAAATGCTAATAAAGAATCAAATAAATATAAAACGTTGATGTATGTTGTAAAACTATTGCATGTGCAAATATGTTTTGAATATCTCATAAAATGGTCCTACCTGAAACTATAGGCCTTCATATATTTTAACATGCATGTTGATGTTCCAGTCCAAATGCTCCAACACTGACACTGACAGTGTTTCATTGTCACTAATGTATCTACATAATATACTTAAATCAAGCAATCATATCTTGGCTGTATCCCTACATGTTCTTACAACTGAACCATTGATTAAACGCACCAGTAACTCAAGTCAACATATCTACTTTAAAAACAGACTAGCAAAAAATCTGAACTCTGAAAACTTCAAAATCAAGCCAACAATTTTATTTAAACTCACCTGTGGGTTAAATCTTTGACTGTGTTCCAAATAATAATCCAAAGTAAGTGAGGTTTTACAGCTTTGTACATGAACTCAAATAACATTAAAATGTAGCTTTAAAATATTTGAGTTTTGGTCAGTAATGTTGAATTCACCTGTGATTTACCTGAATAGCTACAGATGCTGTTTAAACATTAAATTCATCATCTGACTTATCAAAGTGACCTTTGACCCCAAATATAGACATTCCAATCCTAACCCATGACCTTGCTGTTAAACTTTTTAAAATAATGCTTTATGTTTTGTAAGCATGCTTTGAAATGAAAATGGGTATTTATTTCATTTAGACATTATGAATGAAAGTGAAATGTTGAATAGTGGAAATGTTATATATAACTCCTTACAATTATGCCCGAATATCCATCTTAATAGGGGCATGTGGTGATGTTAAATGATTAATTGAAATGCTCCCAGCGAAAATATATTATTCGCTGTTTGCAACACTTCACAATAATTGTATAACATTTGATGTAACCATTAAACTAAGTACTAAATTGAGGTACATGTATTATTAATAAATTGCAATTTAATACAATATTACTACATGTATGCATTAACTAAATTAACATGCATTGGGTGATTTGAATTATTTCATCTGTCATTTATAATAAATCTATAGAAACTAGACTTTAATGTGAATGTTTATTCATGAAGAAGATATATGGAAACTTATTTTTTGACGAGTGTTTTTCATTATGCAGTATCACACTTTTTCACCATTTGTGACGTTAACAAGCTAAATGTAAACAATTTTGTCACACAATGGTTGTATTTTTACGGCTATATTCCCAGATCAGAATAACCATAAACGACTTCCTTCTTTTGAAATCTCATACATGATGACAGTAAGTGTCAGAATATTTAAAAGATTTTGGTTGACATCTTCATTGAAATTGTTCAGTTGTTCAGGCTTTGTGGTGATTGAGCCACACACACGATTCTGAAGAATTTAACTTGTTAAGTGAAAAGTAAAAAGACTCAATATGAAATTTAAATTATGTCATTCTGACGAATCTGACAGAAATATGAAATCAAACAATTTTCTAAATGCAATTATTAATCAATTTAGACTTACCAAATAACTTCCTTGGTTCAATATAGACATCTCAGCTTACTATGGGCATATAGGAGTTAGTAACAATTTTGAGAGTCAACCTTGAGAATATGGTAAAACTTATATATCCGAAAACCTCTTTAATCCAAACACCTCTCAATATGAACACTTTTTCTTGGTGTCAATCTCCCATTGACATTGAAATGTGAACACTTGTGATGTGAATCTGAGCACTTTTGGCCAATCTAACGGCTGTACAGATAGGACAAGTTTACTACATATAGGATAGCATATAGCATAGAGTTACTTCAATAACTTACCATAGTCACTGTTTAATAATTACATAAGTATACTAGTTTATCACTACCTCTCTTACTCTAACTGATTCTCACAAGTTGAGTATGTGCAGGTTTATCTACATGAACTGATGAGGTTACTGATTCACACTTTCAATACCACTAATAATGATATGTGTCATCAAACTGCCTTATCTTATTTACTTGTTTGTCATAGTGGAAGTACACATGAAGCATTATATATACAGATTAAACAGACAAAATGTCCCCTCTCTTGTTTTTCCTTCCAGTAAAAATGCTAGCACCATCTTTAACTTGAGATAGGCCAAATATGACATTCTATAGGATGATATCAATTTTTTTCCAACTTCCAACTAGTTTTCAGTAATCTACTAATTTGCTCTAACAAGTGATCTTGACTTGACTTATTTAATAAATTAGTATTATCTATGTCAAAGTCAAAATTTTAATTTACTTCAAATTGAACAAATCTTTTTTAAAAATCAATATCGTCAGGAGTTCAATTTCAATTTTAGATTTGACCTTTGCTTGACCCTTGATTTCAGGTTTGACCTAAAAAATATCAAACATGTCAGCGGGGCTTCCGTAAGATTGCATGCCATCATGATGTCATTCATTCTACCTGGTCTACCTAAGTAATGTAGTAAAATTCAACATACCTGAGGAAGGATTTGTTTCCATATATTTGGTGACATCCTCTACGCATGAAGCCTTGTGAATCTCAAGGCTGTCAAATATATCACATAGTAGTGCCAAAACACAGGGTTTCATCACACTAGGGGAATATAAGAAATCCTCAAATCTCAACGTGGAGCCAACAGACGTTAAATGGCGCTGGCAGAAAGTTTTCACTAATTGTAAGTTGTAAATTGAGTCTGCTATTCCTATCACTGATTTCAAGCATATATCTGAAAAAATTAAAAATATCAAGATGAACACATGTGACATTGTGATGAAGTTGAAATAACTATCCAAATATAATTGATCCAGTCTTCTCATTTTCAAGGATTACATATTTGAGTTTATGTTCAATCTTTGGGGTTAACCAATCATTCATCTTATTTAGAATAATATCAATGTTCAACTTACCATTAAGATCTATAGAACTAGGACAATAAAAATGTAGTAGTGCTGCTAGGCAACAACCATCACTGATGTCTTTTAGCAGATCCTCCATTGTTGGAATGCTGGGTAATTCTCTTGGAGTCAAAAGCTTTTTCTGAACACGAACCTTAAGATAAAAAAAAAACATTTTGTAAATCTTTCTAAATAATTCAGTATCTCATAATATATCTTATGAGTATCATGACTGTAAATTAATCTTTCAAAGGGTTGTGTGTTGATAGAAATGCATGGTGTTTTTGCTTACCTTTTGAGTGGTTTGTTGTTGTATGAGATGCTGCTGCTTGCTTTGCTGTACCTTGTCCAGTTTGTGCTGCACTGTGGAACAGCACTTGTTCACCCAGAACAGCAATGCATCTTCACTATCATACGGCAGCTCACTTGATGCATTCACAGTTGAGAATTTCCTAGAAATATTAATCATCAACAGTAAAGATTTGCTTTGTCTATTTTGATCAATGTGTCAATTTTACAGATTATATTTGATAGAAAGCAAACTAAACTTTTCCTAATAAACAAAATTAACTTAGGATCTGCATAACTACCTGAGAGCAGAGAATCTTGCTAAAATGACATATCAGACCTGTCTCATGTTATATACATATACTTGTATAATATTTTATCTATAGAATATGATATATCTATCTATTGCATACCTAACACACTGGACCACCCTCTCTATACTAATAATGTCTGTGACGTAGGCTGTCATTAGTGCCTCAATAAGTGCAAGATGGCCTGAGAGATTGAATGGTAGCCTCTCTATAAGTGTAGTCTCCGTCACAGGAGTATCCCCATCCTCTACATAGATGCCTCGCTTGGAGAGCGCCTGGAACACACTCCAATACCCAGCTGAAATATAATAATTCTAATATAGTAGTGGAGATATTAACTTGGGCAAATGAACAATTGTCTAACATTGTCTAACATTGTCTAACATTGTCCCTAGTTGGAAAGATGACTTGCACCTATTTGAGAATTCAATTGTTCATGTTGAAAACTTGGAAATTATGAAAACCTTCTTGACATCTTGACCAGTTTGAGGTACATGTCATATTGGGTAAATTGAATTAAATTAAAATGGGTTAATCTGATTTATTATTAAATAGAGTTAAATCTAGGCAGAATCTGATCTATAGGGGGTGACAAAATTACAAGCAACATGTATAATTGACCTACCAATCTATTCCTTACAATATCAAATACAATATCTCCCAAACGATTCACAATGTTATAAATTGATTGGTGAAGTTATTAATGATTCAAAGTGCAAATATGAGTGAAAAATGTTCAAATTCTCCCAAATAATAATACATTATTGTAAAAATCTTTAGTTTTCCTGGAATGAAGTATGCACTTTTGTGATTTTTAGAAAAAAGACATGACAAGGAATGACACGAGCCAAAAATATTCTAAAATTGAAACAATTTTTTTAGCCTGCTCGCTATATATCTGATTCTCTCTTTAAGGGACATAATTAAAAAGAGTATATGAAAATATAAAAGTAAAAAATGCAGCATGTGTGAATACCTTGCCATTGTTGCGCATTGGAGCTTTTAAAGAGTTTGGAACAGGCTTTGCAATAGACCTCTCCACTGGCCAATTTATTCTGTGCACCTTCAGATAATTGTGTAGAACCCTGGAACAAATAGAAACACCAATCATAAGTTACTCTAGTGACATCTATATGAAATGGAGGAAATTAAATGATTCATTTTACAATTTGCATCTGTTAAATTATCTCAATAAAAATATTCTATGTTCCTCTTGTGCCTCATTCCACTTGCTGTCATTTTCATCAAGGCTAATCTGTTATGCATTAACTTGTACCCGACTGTGGTAATTTAGTATGCTATTAAAGTAGACATAATGCATAATATTCAGTGGCGTAGCCAGGATTTGGTGACCGGGGGTTCTATTTTTATGTTATTCACAAATCCCCCCCCCCCTTCATCAGGGTTCCTCACATAATGCAATATGTACAATTACACTCCCTCCAAAAGTTTAGCAATCCTAACTAACCCATTGGATTATGTATTAAAGCATCTTTAAGTTTGAATTCTTATATGCATAATTTGTAAAGAAAAAATATTTTGGATGGGGAAATATAATTCATTTTAATACCTTCATTAGGTTAAGTGACAATTGAATTTGAATTTTATTTAACAAAAATGATGTCTTTATTTACGTTAAGCAAAGTCTAAAAGTAATAGGCTTTATCAAGAAACCTCTCCCATTGAAATGACACAGGACGTAAAAATGATTTTTAAAAATGACCTTGTAGCTTTGTAACTTTAATGTTCACAAAGTAAAATAAACAGGCAACGTGCAAAAAAGTCAGAAAACTTAGAATTAAATTTCTGCATCAAAATATATTTCGGTGAATCTTTTACTCTGAAATCTGATTTGCCCCGAATCCACCATTATTTCGTCTGATGTCTGGAAGACCCTTGAAAATGATTTGTTACCAAGGAATATCAACTATTTTCGCACAAAATAAATCACCTCATGCAATGGCTTATCATTATTTTTCAGGAATTTTGTTGGAAGCCAGTTCGGATCAAATGCAAGGTTATTGAAATAGGCGCAAACGCATAATCCGAAAGATCGTTCTTCTATGATAACTTTTCACAACGTTTACACGAAGGCTTTTTAAACTATCCGGGATAGTCGTATTACTGATGAAAATATCTATTATTCAAATAAGTGGGTCTTAGTTGTGCTTTGTTTTAAAAAGTTAAAAATATTTCTTTGGACGTCCCCGGAGCTCAGTACACAATACAAGCGACTGTTAGAATATAAAACGTATTTTGTTAAGTTCAGACGGATTGATAACAAATTAGGCCTTCATTATTTGAAGATTAATACCATATGATTTTTCAATGTTTTTTATTATGTAATTTATTCGCTAAACATATCATGACATTAACATGAAAATGGAGAGCAAGTAAACTGGAACGATAACAATTTAAATTCTATACAATCTCTTAGATGAGTGGAGTGTATATGAAAATACAAAATCATTTTTTGCAATGATTGGTTTTTCTTTGGAAAAGTGATGGGTAAATAAATACTGAACAAATGAAAGAATGAATAAATTTGAACAAATGCTTGTGTTTATGAATGATATACGCTTTTAAATAATTCATTTCACAACTTTTTTAATTATTTAACGCAAAAAATTGGTTTCGGGGACTTGCCAGCCCCAGGGACGTCCCACGAAATATTTTAAATTTTAATTGAAATAAAACAAAACAGGGATGTACACATTTGAAAGAACATGTGTTTCATCAATATTACGACTATTCCAGATATTTATTCGTCAATGTTGTAAAAATCATTCGGAGTATGGGACGTCTGCATTGTTTTCAATAACTTCGTATTGGACCAGAACTGGCTTAAAACAAAATTCCTACAAAGGACTGATTTAGCCATTGCCCAAGATGGGTTATTATGTCCGATAAGAAGTAGACTAGCTTTTAAGTTAATTGTGCTAAATTATTGTTATTTCTAAATGTAAAATCTCATGCTCTGGGGTCTTGCCAAAATTATATCTCACCTCGTGCCTAAGGTTGCCTAACGTTTTGAGGGAAGTGTAACTTCACTATGACATGTTTTTAACAAAATAAGGTTTGAATCGTGTTCACCATAACAAATACCAATTCATTTACTGCTCATAGCACACAGTTATTTAATGTTTCTGGTTATATGCATCTTTCAGCAAAATGATATTTTGGGAAATCCTGACCGGGGGTTCGTTCGAACCCACCGAACCCCCGCTGCCTACGGCTATGATATTGAAGTCTGATTAGAAGTGCAATACTGCTTGCAGTTTGCTCCAATTCATGTATTGCTTCAATTTTCACATTTTTGCCATTTTGAAATATGATTTTACAACTTTTTTATTTTCATTACCTGTACTTCTATGAGAGGTGTGTCTAGGTCTGTTGGAATGTTGCTGCCATACGCCTTCTGGAGGATCCAACTGATGGATGCACGCAATCGAGACTGAAAGCAAAGGAAAGATACATTAGCCCTTGGTTTCAAATCAAAGACATTTTACAACCTACATTTACCCCAATCCTATTTTCTAGCTAAATCAACGAAAAGACTACAGAAATGTAACATAAAAACACTTTTCACAATTTTGATGATTAGAGACATCTATTCAACAGCCACTTTTCAAGAATAAATATCTCCACACAAACAGTTGTGTAAGATCACTGTAACTTATCTGACCTTTAGATGCAGTACACATAGATATACATTTACTAGATAACTACACAATACTACATCATACACTTAGTCACTTATACTCCAAGAGGTCAAACTTCACTACAGTACAAAATGGCGAGCAGAAGACTTGGGAAGATTGCTGTAGAGAATGCAGGTTTGTTCCTGTGTGATATGCAAGAGGGGTTCAGAAAGACCATCCAGTTCTACCCACAAATAGTGGAGGTATCAAGGAGAATGCTGGGAGCTGCACAGCATCTAGAGATGCCAATTATTGTGACAGAACAATATCCTAAAGGTATGGGACTATGGGCTCATATTTAAAGGGGTATTTTTGATGTAGAAAATTCTGGTTACATATTGCAGAGTTTACACTAGCAGATAAGAAAATTTGATTTCTATGGGTGTCCAAGTTATATCACTTTTTATCAGATAAATTCAGAAAATTTAGCTAGTGCAATGCATTATATTTTTCGCACATTTTAACACTATATGTACTTCAAATATGAAAATATTAAACCTGAGTATGTCTGTAAAATGTCAATGTCATCATCTATAAAAAATGACTTTTAAATGAGTCAAACATTAACGGCATTTGTTTGGTCAACATTACATTATATAACCAATTGCAATTTTTTCCAAAGGTCTGGGGCCCACAGTGTCGGAGCTTGATGTCTCAAAGGAGAAAGTGTTTGATAAAACCAAGTTTTCCATGTGCATTCCACCAGTAGCAGAGGAATTGAAAAATATGAAAGGTAACAGCATAAATAAAGCAAGTGGGCACAGCACCCACCTGAGATTTTAAAAGTAGGCTTGCGTCCAACTGAAAATCCATTTGCACCCTCTTGATAATGAGAAAAATCATGAAGATTTGGCATATTTTGACCAATTTTGGTCTGAATTGTGAAAGTGAGAATTTTGCACCTACTTGAGAAAAAAATCCTGGGGAGATCACTGAATTATGATTTCAATAAATAGAAACATGTATGAACCATCCTTCAAGGTTACATTTAATTTCAAAATTCTCAACAGTGTATACCAAGGATCTCAACAGGGTACTTAATTATACTCATATTTACCTGTTTTGGTCAAAGAATCTCACTATTTCTCTTTTGACATTTTGCAAACAGATTTTAAACAGGGTAGCATGTGATATTTTGATTTTTGACATATTACAGCACCCAATTCCCCATTTGCACTAATGGTGAGAATCATCAATGAATGTGGCATTCTTCTAACTACTGCAGTTAATAGTAAGATTTTGTGTTTTTTCTAGATTTAAAGTCAATCATTCTTTGTGGAATTGAGACCCAAGCATGTGTACAACAGACAACTTTGGATTTACTTGAGCAGGGATATAATGTACATGTCATAGTTGATGCATGTTCCTCAAGGAGTACTGTTGACAGGTAAATCATTTAAAGATCACAAATCTACATCTTAAGTTCATTTAGGCTAGATTCAATTAATTAAATGAATTGTTTGGCATTATTTTGATTTTGTAAAAGGATAAGGGAATATATGATACTGCTACTTTTTCTTTAAATATTGTCTTCTCTTATATATATCAGAAATGTCTTACTTTGTACAATTTTTTCCAATAAACCTAGAGCCTAACTTCATCATTATCAATTTACTGCTTGTGCTAGTAGTCAATGCCAGGGTTAACAGAAAATCATTTCATCCACATGGACATATTGCACAACACTGCAAGTTACAAATCCTATCCAAATTTTATTTGCAGAATGTATGCATTTGAACGCCTGAAGGATGCTGGAGCCTACCTGACGACAAGTGAGGCCATGCTACTTAGCCTCACGGGAGATGCCAAGCACCCAAAGTTCAAACAAATCCAGAAACTAATATGGGACCCTGCACCTGATACCGGACTGCTGAGCCCAACTTATAAAGCATAACAAATAAACATTTTGATTTAATATTCTAACATATAGCATAAGTTAACAAGATACATGTTTGAATAGCACAGGGTAGAGAAATATATGTGTTTAATAAATGATGTTTGAAAAATTTAAAGTTCTATTTTCAATGAATTCTGTGCCACAACTGTATGTATGCAAAAGTTGACTGAATAATTATAGCTGAATCTGTAACTGTTTTGGAGGAAACTGGCTGACATATAAATGGACAGACACATGCTGGACAAACATAGCCTAGCTGACAATATGCTGCAACACTATTTGGTGGGGTATAATAAAAATGTTGACAAGAATGTTGTGCATCGCAGTAAAGATATCTAATTTGTGCATAGAATATGTACATAATCTATGCAAAAATAGATTACTCACTCAGTTGCAATGTCATTGTAACCTCCTTGTCTGGGAATTATTAGCACTTGTAGCTTAGAATTTCTAATACACATTGGCAATCTTCTCATTTAATATCTCCCATACACAGAATCCAATCATTGCATGTCAATGCTAGACATGTAAGCTTCATTTATATGTTACATCAGCATTAGACGGAAGATGGAAGTTATTTTACCTTAAGATGTGTGCAATTATATCAAACTAAAACTATTTATATCATATTATCTGATCAAACATGATAAATCACAAGCCTTTGTTAACATGTTAAAATAATGGCACTGACATTTGTGGATACCTAGACTGAAATAGGATATCTCAAAATCCTTTTGACATAGAGGCAGTTAAAATGTAAAAATGTTTACTCCATTGGAGCATTTAAAACACAAGAAAATTCAAAAAGATTCAACCTAACAAAATTGCAAAAAATCATTCTAAATTTAATGGCTACTTTTTGGGTCACCCTGTACATGTTAATTTCTAGTTATGCTACCAGGGCTACATCAGGTAACAGTAAATGGTCACCAGATGTGGGATAAGAACAATGAAATACATACTTTGGACTAACTGAAGGCATCACAGAAATATATTTCTATTGTTAAACAAAGTATCATCCATCCCCCATCAAAAAACATTTATGTTAATTGCAAATAGTAGTTTCAAAATTAAAATTCATTGATTACTCCTGGCTAAGTCACAGATGGCTACGAGGAGGTGGGGACTTTCAAAACAAAACACTTGATGGCACTTTTTTTGATTACTTCTCATATAATAGGATATGTTTAATGCATTTGGTAATGACTTTTCAAGTGTAATTGGTTTGAATGGACCCTTATATAAATTGTTTATTCCCTTGATTGAGAATATAGTGACTGAATGACTCAAAATACAAATATTCTTGGTTCACACAGCCCTTTATTTACCAAAAGTTTTATTCATCATTAGTTCTCCTCACCTCAGTCTTAGCTAATTTCTAGATTAGGGTCTTCCTTGCTGGAAGGGTATATAAAAGCACTTTATAGAACCATGGGCTTTCCATGATAGAACTGAATCTAAGCTTAAATGAACTCCTTTGAAGGAGAATGGTCTTACCTATAGATGTGGGTTCTAAAACCTACAAAAAATACTGACTATGTACTGTTTTTACTATTTCTTTTAAAACCATTCCATTGATGAGTTTCAGTTCTCTACCATATGCTATTTGGAAATCTACAAAACACTGTATGAAAAGTTCTGATACCAAGCCCAAGTTCTGCAGAATGGAACAGTTTGACACAAGAATCTCTACTATATCAAGTAATTCTTTGAAATAACATGAAATGAACAATTCCCATATTTAAAATGGTATGGTGAGGAATGAAAGGGGGTGATTTTTATAAGAGGAATGAAATAATTTTGACACATCAGTTATCATGCCGAATCGTGCACTGTGCACTTGTGAAATATTGAGAAAATATACAAATATCAATTCCAAAAAGAGATCATGTACACACAATTTCTATGGGCGATAACACATTGATTTTATCTGAATCTGAACATTACATACAGAAGTCATTAGATCTATTCTTAATCCATCATGTTTTCTGACCTCATTTATGTGAAAATTTTCATAAACCTTTTGAATTTGCTTAAGCATTCAAACTGCACACTTCACCAGATGAAAAAATGGAAATTCCATGAAATTCTAAGAAGGTAAGTCTCCATTCACTTCATTTTTCTCCCATATTAGGGACATTATATCTTATGAAATCTATAAACCACATGAAAATCAACATGCATTTTTCTGGATCGGGAATCAAAACAAATTTAAGAAGATGTTGAAGTTAAAGATCAAATGACTTTGAGATATTGTTTACCCTACCTATTTTGTAATTTAAAAACCAACACAAGTATACATACCATATTTAGCAGATATTGGATAAATTCATGAAAATGTTTTTTGATTGATAAAATCCTTGATTATTAAACTGGAAGTGTGTTCTGTGATGTCAGTGTGTGAATATTTCTATTTATTCAGATTTTGCTGTGGATTCGATTTTAAATGCTTCTAAATGATCTTCTAATGCTTACTATGATTTCTATTACATGTAGATAGTTTTGACCTTCCCGCTCCATAAAAACAACATTATCACCATTTACTCGACTCGAAAATTCACTTCCCGTCTATCGTAATAAAGATGAACTGAAAGTTGTCATGAACACCTTTCAATCCTCAGTCTAAATATGGCTTTTCAATGTTCAATAGACTACTTTGAATGGACCTTCATGCACAGTTTGAAAATAGAATCATCAGAGGTTTTAACCATGAAATGGACTCTAAAGACTGAAAAAATTCTTGGACCATAATGTGCCTTTAACCCATGAGAAATTACCCAAAACAAGATTAATTGAGTCAATGTAGACTAGAGCTGGCATCTAATGTGTTAATTTCAAAATGTCGGCTCTAGCAATCGATGACAACATCGCCATTGTAGGGTCTAGTGATATTCACAAACGGAAAAAATATTGATGAAAACAGGTGATGAAACTTAAATCATACAGCAGGTAATATTACAAAGATTCTTACTCACGTCGAGAGCTACCATGTTAGATTTTGAAAGTATAGCTCTCCATCGTGAGGATCTCCCAGCTGAAGAATTGTGACATCTTATTTTGATCAGCGCCAGTCAACGGCTTGCTGTTTGTCTCAAACTGTAGCCTACATTATGGGCTCATATGTGTCTACTTTCCCCGTGCATGTAGGATCGCGGATGTGCTTCTATGGCGATCAGAAGTTCTAATCGTTTATTGTTCGATACCCATTTCCAATATGGCGGTTAAACGGAAATACTATCGACGCATGCGCAACTTGGGAAACGTCAAGCCGCCATATTGAATATACTTGGCCAAAACTTTTGACACGACCAATAAAATGAAGTCCTGATCGATACATAGGGCAGTGAGACGTTCTATAGTTGAGCTGAATGAAAGATGGCGATGTAGGATACATTTTCAGGTATATAATGTGCAACATGAGTCAGCTGAATTCCCTGAAATTTTCTTTGAAGTCAGGATTCTTAAGCTGTTGATTCTAGCGATAGAGAGCTATACTTTCAAAATCTAAGTAGCTCTCGACGGGAGTAAAAAGATTCTACTTCATAAGGAAATAACTATGTTTTGAGTACAGACTGTCAATCTGTATATCAGCACACAATTTGATTAGAAATACACTCACGTTCTCCGGATTGTATTCATTCAATGGGGTGATCTCAGGGACATCATTTAGATTGTTGTCGGCACTATCCATCATTAAATGTCACTTTTTTGATTAATTTTTTTAATGTTTTTATTGTGAATATTTTTATTTGTTGATTTCATTCTGATTTTCGTTTTTTGCCATTTTTCAAATTTTTGATCGAAAAGAAATCCTGTTTCCTCAACTGTCCTTGGCCATTTCTACGAAGATAGAATATTGTTGTATTCCACATGGACCGATCTACATGATCATGTTTTTCAATTACAGATCATTGGCTTAGAAACGTGAAAATATCAACAAAATGCATCACAATTTTGAAAAACTGATTGAAAAATTCTTACAACATTGCGCATGCGCGGGTTAATGTAATTCCCACAATGCAACAAAGAGGAAGTGAAAATATCGTGAAATGCCGAAAAACATATGAAAACCTGGAGTTTATTTTCAATTTATGCAGTAATGCAAGCGACATGACAGGTTGCAGTACTTCCGTAGTTAACACAACACTTTTGGTTTCATAAAAGACGTAAGTTATCCGTTACTATGCGATCATTTTTAACTTTTTGTGTACAATATAAAACACGTGATTTGAACGTTGGTTTGTCGTTTTCATTTCAATATATTTTTTCATTATCGACAGCATTACAGTGTCTAGGATAAAGAGAAGAATTATCTTGACTATATTTAGAGTCATTTTCGAAAGGGATAGCAATTTTGCAACTACGATTCAGGACCTCTACAGAACCATTTGTAGATCTCAGGTAAAAATGAGTTCCATGAAAATGCAAGGATTCATACAGTGTTGACTAAACTGGATAATCTACCTATTTAAAAAGTTACCTGATTTTTTGCAAAAAAACTTCCAAAAAGTAAGTCGCATGAATTCACATTGTTGTACTTGCAAAATGATCCACCGCCTAACTTATGCACCACCAAACTCGGTAATATCATGGGCTCTCAAACGGGGAAATGGACAGTGACCTGTGAAATGCGAATTGAGTCGATCAGCAGCTTACTTTTGTTCACAACTATGTCATACATCATTATCATCCTTCCATGCAAGTATTGGAGTGCTGAAGTACTTCCTTTTCGACCAAGACTTATAATTGTTAGTCGAGTGAATGTTTTTACTGCAAAATTCCAATATGGCGTTTTTCTGCTCTGACAGTTTCGTAAATCTCCGGAGGTTGTCCTAACTCATTCTCAAAATTCATTTCGTTCTTGCATATTTTTTTTCTTTTCGTTTTTGCGTATCTCGCCATATTGGAAATAGGTCGAAAAAACATTCACTCGATGAACAATTTACAAGTCTTGATCGAAAAAGAAGTATTTCAGCACTCTAATACTCACACGGATTGATGATACTGATATAAGACACAGTTAGAGACCAAAAGTAAGCCACTGAAATCTTTATTCACGTTTTAAAGGTCACTATTATTCCGATGTCCAAATGCACTGTGGAAAAACTAGTGTAACGACCCTTGATAGCAAGTTGCTACTACAGTCCAGCTGTAGTGGCTTAAGCCTCTTTAGCTCAGTCGGTAGAGCATCAGACTTCGGAACCAAGGGTCCTAGGTTCGATTCCCATGCGGGGCATTGAATTTAGCACACTTTCTTTCAATTTCTTTATCTGGCTTGTTACACTATGCTCGTTAGTTCGTTAGTTAGTCATTCCCCTGGGGCGCCCTCGGGTCATTACACTATTATATCAAAATCCAGATAGCTTTCGCAGGAAGTAAAGCCCATGGTAATATTTAGAGCTGGCATCAAATGTCGGAATGGTCGATTGTCAGTCGAATGCTCTCTGCGACACCCATGTCGACACAACACCCCTTGATCGACAGTCTGAACTCACAACATAATAAGCTATTTCCCTATGAATTAAAATCTTTATTACTACCTACTGTATGATGTATTTTAGTGAAGTTTTACCGCCTACATTTTCAAATTTTCTTTTTTGTTTTGATCGACTTCCTGCTCTCGAATTAGGTCTCGGGGCCCCTCGAGATTTACCCTCGAGATTTACTTTCAATGGCTGCCCCGAAATAACAACAGAAATCGTAGTTTTATGTCTATTTATTGCTTTCTCGTCAAAGTCTGATACTTGAACATGGTTTACCTGTAAGGTATATATAAAACATACAACTGAGGATGACTGTTGTGCATCGTATTGCTAATTACAAGCCTAGAAAATCTAAAATTCAGACGGATTTTCTTCAAAATTTTTTTCATTTTTCGAATTCGAATATCATTGGACCCGACAATGTCGATATTGTTGTCGATCGAGAGCTCCGACATGTCGACATTAAAATCCTATTCGATGCCAGCTCTAGTAATATTGTACATATAACTATTAATAACGGTATATTCCCATGAAAAACTGGGCTTGCTTTTCAACATTTCAAGCGAAAATATTCTCCTGAGCTTTTGTTTTTCAGATGTAATTTCTTCTAAGAAATCGGTCACTTGACACGGTTCAATTCATATTATTTCAGAAGTGGTGTCACCTATTTAGAATATTTAATGGGCCGTTCGGGCATAAACTCGATCAATCCAATGTTTGATCTGCCCTTTTCTTTTTCACTTTTCAATCCGCGTAACAATCTGTCCCTTTAGAAATTTGCATTTTTTTTAGAAATTTTGCGATCAAGATTATGGATTTTGCGATTTAAAAACTAAGAATTTTGCGTCAAAATTTTGAATTTTGCGAGATAAACACTATGTTTTTTACAAGGATTTTGCATCAAAAAATTGAAATTTGCGATATGAAAACTATGTGTGTGTCTATACTTTTCATTGTCTGAATTGTATTGTACATCCCTATACATGGTAAAAATTTACCCCTAGTCCCCTATAGATCGTAAAACTTACCAAATAGTGAAAACAAACTTCCTACTTCGCCAATCAAGAAAGTCCCAGCATGCAACACGGTAAACACTAAACCAGAAATTAAACTATTGCAAATTACGAACTCAGAAACACAGATTTCTAAGGGGACAGAACAATGATGATATGATGGAAAAGACTCTCTGCGATTGACGACCAGTTTAAATTTTTTTTATCTTCGCAATGTAGCATTTGACACCCCTCATTTTAGACAAGTCCAAGTACACCGCACATCCGGGTGATTAGAAAAAAGACAATTTTCAAGAAAATTTGAGCGGTGGGAAAGATTATTTTGGTCAAGTTCTTGCAAGGTAGTGAAAATGAAGGCGAAGGGGTATAACATGGACATTTTTTTTAATTTGGCGAACTTCTTCAGTCCATGGGCAATGCCAGGGGTGCCATCGCAACCCCCCTCGAAAAAAAGAAATAAGCAATTTTGTAAAATTTGTTGAAAAAAGAAATTTTGTAAAATTTGTTGAAAAAAGATTTACAAATCATAGTTTGAAATGCTTAGAATGCTTTGCTTGCAGTGATGCAAACCTTAAAAGTCGCCCTCCCCCCCTTGACAATTGCTGGGTACTCCCCTGCAGTCTGGAGAAGATTTTCTTCTGAACTATCCAATGATATTTTCTTCATGGGTACAATGTACATGACTTTGTGTTTCTTTTTACAGATGTCTGAGGGTGATATATGTAGTGTTTGTGTGGCAAATGGCAGAGAGAACAGACTGCACCTTTTCCAGGTCAATTTAAAGGAGGCTATTCTCATGTGTCCCGATGTACAGGTATGTATCAGCATATTGAATGCATTATGTAGCTGTAATGTATATGGAACTAAAAGTTTAAAGTTTATCAAAAGATGGCACTAGAGTATACTAAACTAGACTCAAAACTGAAAAGTGCAATCAGAGAAGCCAATTATGATTTTAAAAAGAACAGGCAGTTCACAAAGAGAAATCAAAGTATCCACATGTAAATATTATGTGAAGATGTAAAATAAGAAATAAGATCATAACGTTGTACAAATGAACCAAGAACCAAATAAGAGACTGAAATAAGTGACAACTATCAGACCTAGCGAGAGCATCAAAGGGGCCCCTCGTCATAACGTCCAGAACCCAAGATAGGCGTCGACAAGGTAGTATAATCAAGATAATAACAACATTACATGGTGGCGGCAAACGACAAGAACCACGCTTCAAGCGCTACACAAGCAATAGGACGAGGTAATATAATTGCTATTTTGTTAGGAAAATTCCATGAAGAGCTAGAGACTTTGATGTGAACTCAAGACAAAGAACTTTATTCAAGACCTAAGATTCAAGATCTGAAGCAGATCAGAAAGAACTTTTCTAAGAAACTAAGAAGCAAGCCTAAGAAATTCAGAGTAAAAGGAGAGTTATAGAAGTCACAAAAGGCAAATCTTGAAAATGAAAACTGAAGTTCTAGCAACATTTTGAAAAATCAGTTCACTGCACAGTAGCATAGATTTTTACAATTGGCAAACAGTGGCAAATAGCAAAGTACAACATTGGAAAATCTCACATTGGAAATTTCATATGCATTTACATGTAATCTGGAAAGCTTTTTTCATGAAGTACACATTTTATTAGTACAGAGTTTTTCAATTTGAGAATAGGATAAGAATTTAGCATAAGAAGTTTTTCACATGTACAGTGTATACAAGTGTTTTATATGGAAGGTATTATTAGCTAGGTAGCCAATCAGTAGATTACATGGTTAAAACAAAAGAGTAGTTAGGATAGTTAGCTCTCAATTTTTCACACATAAATCTGAATGCATTTGTGCAAGGTCAAGTTGACCCAGTGAGTGAATTAAGTGTATGCCTAGTTTTGTTGACACAAACCCATATAAGGCAATAAGGTCAAGCTGACCAAAAGGTAAACAAACAGTTACTGAAGTACAGCACCTAAAGTGAAACTAGCAAAACTTACAACTTAGCTATTTATATCTGCTATCATTGCTTAAGTAAGATAGTTAACTTTACAACCATTTATAGAATTAGATAGGCCTAGTTCATTTTTTATTGTTAATTTAGACTAGATTAGAAGTAAATCAATTAACAACAGTAGTTTTATTTGATTCATCATTGATGAAAATTCATCAATTGGTAAATCATAGGTGAATTATTCTGGTAAATAATTGCAAATATTTCTATTACATGCATTTAATATCATATTTAAAACTTAGCACACATATATTGTGTTAATAAATAGTAAACTACATTATTAGGTTTACAACAAAATTCTAATTGAATATTCATAAACAAAATAATTTGCACTTGCAATTGTTTACAACATTGTCATATTTAGGTTATATATTATCAATCAATGTGTAGGTTAGCATTACCATAACATTAGATTTAACAGATCTTGCTATAAGCACTTAGCCATTACTGGTAGTATTATGTTAAGTTAGTGATTATGCCTATAGATACTAGAGCTAACACATACTCTGAAAAGCCTGATCAAGGTAAAGATAGAAAGGATAAGGACCAGCCACAAGGAGCTGAAAGAAAAGAAGAACCTTTTAAAGAAGCCATGGCGGAATCTGAGGATTTCTACTGTGATGATGATGATCTGACCAAGATGGAAGATCCAACTAAGATGAAATATCCATACATGATGCAAGATCCAGATGCCCAACCAAAGATGGAAGGACTTGGTGTTCAACAAGGAACAGATACCACTAAGATGATGCAGCTCATGATGGACATGTTCCTTAAGAACAATGAAGCAACTGAGCGAAGACTCCGGGACATGGAGAGGGCTCGCCTTGAAGAAATAAAACAGGAACGTGAAGAAAGAAGACGCCTTGAAGAAATAAGGGCTAAAGAAAGACAACAAGAACGTGAGGATCAAAGGAAACTCATAGAACAATTAAGAAAAGATAAAGAACAAGAAGGAAAACGACCTAAAGACCCATTCATCACAAAACTTAAGGATGCGGATGATATTGAGGACTTCTTAACAGTTTTCGAGAGAACAGCCACAATGTGCAATTGGAAACTTGAACATTGGACTTTGAAACTTGCTCCAGCACTATCTGGGAAGGCCCAAGCTGCATATGTTAGTCTCAACGCAGAAGATGCCATGAACTACGAAACAGTAAAAGCAGCTATACTGAAGCGGTACTCCATCAATGAGGAGGCATACAGAATCCGTTTCAGAGGTCTTAAACGAACTGATGATGAAGGTATAAAAGCCTTTGCAGTACGTTTGACCGATGTATTCAACAAGTGGTCTAAAGATGCAACTACAATAGAAGACTTAGGCGATTTGATCATCAAGGAACAACTTGTCAGCACATTACCAAGTGATGTTCAACTGTGGGTAAAGGAACATGATCCAAAAACTTCCGAAGATGTTGTTAAACTTGCTGATAATTACCTTGAAGCTAGAAAGCAGGAAGGAACAGATACCCCTCAGACAGTTCACAAACCAAAGAAGTTTGGAAACAGGAACAACAGGGACAAAGATACAACAAAGTCTACAAATCAAGCAGATTCCTTCAAACAGAAGCCTCTTGAAAGTATCCAATGTTTCAAATGCCAGTCTTTTGGACATTATTCAGCAGATTGTTCTTCAGCCAAAGCAGTTAACAAGTGTACAAAATGCCTTAATCTGGGTCACACAGCAGCTGAATGCAGAACAGATACTACCAAAAGATGTGAAAACTGCAAGATTTTTGGCCATGAAACTAGTTATTGTAAGAAAGGAAAGAAGGGATATCTCTGCAAGTCTAAGAATGACATATTCTCTCAATACAACAGGAGTAGAGATGGTACAGTACAAGGCCTGATGAACAACAAGAAAGTTAAACTCCTTATTGATACAGGAAGCTGTAAGACAATAGTACACAAGGACCTAGTGGAACCAGATCAAGTATTATCTGATGATGAAATCACAATGACATGTGTACATGGCGATCACAAGTCTTATCCCACTACCAATGTGACATTTTCCATTGGCGATGAGACATTCCATGTTGATGCAGTGGTTTCAGACTCAGTACCAACACAAGTTCTTCTGGGACAAGATGTGCTAAGACAACTTGATAAAGAAAAGATGGATAAATACATCTACAAGAAACCAACAAATAGTTCATATGTAACAACACGCCAACAATGGAAAGAACAGCTACAAGAAGAATATGAAGACAAACTCTTAGATGAATGTTCTGATGTCAAACTAACACCAACTAAGGAAGATGAGTCAACATTGGATTCACATGATCACAATAGTGAAGATGATACCCAAGATGCAGTGCAAACTGAACACAATGACAATAACTCTGATGATGTTAAAGCAGCACAAACTCAACACAGTGATAATAAAACTGATATTGATGATGCTGATTCAAGTGAATTTGAAGGTGATGAACTGCCTTTCAAATTTGATGATACAATATTTTTAAGAAGAAAGGCTGACAAGATAAAAAAGACCAGAAGACAAAGAAGAAGCGAAAGAATGAAGCTTCAATCCAAAGAAAAAGTACAAGAACTTGGGACAATAGATGTAGACTGTCTGAAAGAAATGCAGAATACAGATCCTACTCTGAAGGATGTGAGGAAGAAAATACTAGATTCTACTGATACTAACAGGGACATACCATATTTCATAAGGAAAGATGGTCTGATATATAGAATATCAAAGACTCCCTTAGATGAACAACTGGAACAGATAGTCATACCGAAGGGTTGCAGAAAACAGATCCTAGATGTGGCACATAGTATTCCATTGGCTGGACATTTAGGAATGCAGAAAACAACCAACAGAATTACAAGAAGATTCTTCTGGCCTGGGATACATAAAGACATTAGTAATTATTGCAAGTCATGCGATAAATGTCAACTCATTGCCAAGAAGAAAACCATGGACAGAGCTCCACTTATTCCATTGCCTGTAATAACAGAGCCATTCAAGAAAATTGCCATGGATGTGATAGGCCCACTGGTACGCCCTACCAAAGGAAACAAATACATTTTATGTATTGGTGATTACGGAACAAGGTATCCAGAAGCTGTTCCAATGAGGAACACAGATGCTAAAAGAATCGCTACAGAGCTGATGACTTTATTCTCCAGAGTTGGAATTGCTGAAGTAATACTTACAGACCAAGGTACAAACTTCATGTCAAAGACCTTGAAGGAAGTCTACAGGTTACTAGGCATAACTGGAGTTACAAGTACACCATACCATCAGCAGACTGACGGCCAAGTGGAAAAGTTTAATGGCACCCTGATTAACATGTTACGCAAGTTTGTAGCAGATGAGCCAAAACTTTGGGATGTGTATCTTCCTTATGTATTATTTGCATACCGGGAAGTACCCAATAGTTCAACGGGATTCTCTCCATTCGAACTCCTTTATGGACAAGACGTTAGAGGACCATTGGACATATTGAAGGAAAACTGGGTTGCAAAAGAACAGATAGAGAAGAATATTGCTTCATGATGACCGAAGAAGATGATAACGACAGCGATATTGAAGACGTCATGGTCATATCAACAAAACCAGATGTCCAGATCAAGAAATATGACTTGAATGCTGAGATGACAGTATATCAAACACAACAGATGAAATCTCTGTTAGATGATTTCAATGATGTTCTCTCCAATGAACCTGGAAGAACAGACCTGATAAGACACCATGTTGACACTGGACAAGAGAAACCACATCGTCAACCCAGCTACAGAATCCCTAAAAGTCATCTAAAAACAGTGAAAGAAGAATTGGATTCTATGCTGAAAGATGGTATAATTGAACCTTCTACAAGTGAATGGATATCAAATGTTGTCTTGATTCCAAAGAAAGACAATACAATCAGATTTTGTATAGACTTTCGGTACCTCAACAGTGTATCAAAATTTGATCACTACCTGATGCCAAGAATAGACGACATTATAGACAAGCTTCAGAAAGCAAAGTGGATTACAGTTGTCGATCTTTGCAGAGGATTTTGGCAGATACTCCTTACAGAAGAGTCGCGAGACAAATGTGCTTTTCGGACACCCTGGGGAATTTTCCAATTCATAGTGATGCCGTTTGGTCTCCATGGAGCCCCAGCAACCTTTCAAAGGATGGTAGATGAACTACTTAGAGGTGCAGAAGACTACATTGCAGCATATCTCGATGACATCATCATCTTCAGTGAAACATTCCAAGATCATCTTACCCACGTGGAAGACTTGATGAAAAGATTAAGAGAACATCATTTGACAGCAAAGCCTGCAAAATGCCAATTTGGATACCATGAAGTTGTGTATTGTGGACACAAAGTTGGCAAAGGAAGAGTAACACTAAAACCAAGTGCTATAGAAGCTATACAGAAGTTTGAAAGACCAGAAACAAAGTCCTTACTCAAGACATACCTGGGAATGACAGGATACTATAGACGCTTTGTTGATGATTACGCTACAAAGGCCTACCCTTTAACAGAACTGACAAGAAGACAGATTCCCAAGAAGATACCATGGGATGACAAAGCAGAACATTCATTCCAAATTCTGAAGAAAGAGTTGTGTGAACACCCTATCCTAAGAACACCAGACTTCAACTTGCAATTCATTGTAATGACAGATGCATCTGACTATGGTATAAGTGGAATCTTATGTCAAACATTTGATGATGGAGAACATCCTGTGATATACCTTAGCAGAAAAATGATGCCTAGAGAACGAAACTATGCTGTTATTGAAAAGGAATGCCTTGCAATGAAATGGGCCATTGAACAGCTAAGCTATTATCTGTTAGGAAGAGACTTTGTAGTTGTAACAGATCATAACCCCCTCGTGTGGTTGAAAAACATGAAAAACACTAACCCTAGACTCATGAGATGGTCTTTATCACTGCAACAATACAGATTTACAGTGATACACAGGGCAGGTCGATCCAACCAAAATGCAGACGCATTATCACGATTGTGAATCTATTAAAACAGACATTAGTGAGAATAAAAGAAGTAGACATGAGGAAAATTATAATTCTATGCATTTAAAGACATTTCGTAGAAACACAATTGTAAAAAGTGCATAATTGAGGACATTTGAAGTTTGAAGAAGTGATCCTTAATAAGGGGAAGTTTTAATTTTTGGAAAAGCAATCCCTGAGAATTAGTTTTATTGGACAATTTTTAACTTTTTGGGGACAATCCATCCCTTAATGAAGAAAGTCATATCAGATGTGACTGTTTTATGGAAAAAGATAGAAAAGACCAAAAACAGTCAAAAGAAAGGGGGAAGATGTAATGTATATGGAACTAAAAGTTTAAAGTTTATCAAAAGATGGCACTAGAGTATACTAAACTAGACTCAAAACTGAAAAGTGCAATCAGAGAAGCCAATTATGATTTTAAAAAGAACAGGCAGTTCACAAAGAGAAATCAAAGTATCCACATGTAAATATTATGTGAAGATGTAAAATAAGAAATAAGATCATAACGTTGTACAAATGAACCAAGAACCAAATAAGAGACTGAAATAAGTGACAACTATCAGACCTAGCGAGAGCATCAAAGGGGCCCCTCGTCATAACGTCCAGAACCCAAGATAGGCGTCGACAAGGTAGTATAATCAAGATAATAACAACATTACAGTAGCATTAGCTCTGTATGATTTTAATGTAATCTTCCAATTAGAAATAATACTTAGATTATGTGGATTATGGAAAATCCATATTCCATACAGAGCCCTAATTAGTTGAAGATCTAAATAATTCTATTTTATGTTAAAATGATTCAAAAGAGTCATGTCATAATTCATAATTTACATTAGACTACATGTAAATGCATGCAAGAAAAACATATTATCTTTCAGTAGCCTAATTCATCTAGTATTGTGGCCATTTTGTGAAATGATGGCAGTCTTGTTTGAAGCTTATGAGATTTTTGATGAAATATGCATGCCTTCAAGTAGCTTTTTTTTTTTTTTTTTTTTTTTTTTATTTATTTATAAAAAATAGATGTACATGGGGTAATATAGTAAATACAAGAGAGCATATTCAAGTGCTAATCACCATTTTGGCATTATAAGCACTCTAGCCAAGTGGGGAAAAAGATGAAGAGGGGTGGAAGGGGGGGGGGTCTGAGCTGGGCTGGGACTGGGGGAAATACAGGGCAGAGGGACAATGTAATTTATATTTGCAAGACAAGGCAGGGTACAATAGGTTCTAAGATAGTCTTCTTCAGTCTTGTTCAATATGGGGTAAGCCATCTCTTAATAAAGGCAGAAGTCAGAGTAAAGATTTTTGTGTTTTCATCCTTGCTAAAATTATGATTGCCAAAGGCTAGGTATTCTAAAAGTGTGGATTGGTTAGTGGGGATCAAAGGAGTTTCAGTATAGAGAGTATTGAAAAAGATGGTTCTTGCATTTTCATTCAGAGGGCAGTGAAAAAAGAAGTGTTTTGGAGTTTCGGGTAGACCACAAGAACAATTAGGAGAGCTGATGAAGGTGTAATTGTGGGCAAAGAGTTGAGCCCTGAAGAGCAGGTCTACCCTAAACCTATTAATAAGTGTTTCTTCATTTCTAGAAATATTTAGCATTGAGGTAGGGATTATGTTTATGTCAAGGTTGAGAAGGTGCTTGCGATTGTTGTTCTTAAAGGCAATGAGGGTTTTACTTGTTTGAATATTCTTTGGTACAGATAGCCAATGGGAGATTGCATTTGGTATGCAGGAGTTCAGGTATTTAGTAGTGACATGGTTGGGTAGCCTAAAGGGGCGAGTATGTCGTAGTTCTCTTTGAGTATCACATCGAAACTTATCAAAAATATCGTTTATGTATGGTGGAGATGTACCTTTACTAACATTGAACATGAAGTTGTTAATTTGGAGTTTTCGTCTAGTTTCTAGGCTTGGCCAATTTAATATGTTAAGAACTTTAGTAGTAGCTGTTATCTAGTTTTTTCAAATTGATCATTGATATTACTTTTTTCAGTGTACCTATCCATTTGGCAATAAAACACTCGGTGGACTAGTGAAAGAACGTAAAGCAACAGACATAGTTATAACCAAACCCATGAAGAAATCTCGCCATGGTCTGACCACCAGTAGCACTTCAAGCTCCACTTGTAGTTCTCCCTTGTCTGTTGATAGCCTGGAATCAAGCTTTGAAGCTTTTAGACTCAAGCCAAATAGATCACTATCAAAAGATGTGATACAGTCATCAAGCTCATCTGGAAAATCCGCGTTCGTACCATATACAGCTCAAGAATCTGCCACCAAGTATGGACATAATTCAGTGGCTGATTTAAAAGTGGACACAAGAGCTAGCGATATGATGTCTAAAAATATGAAATCGGAGATTGAAAAATGGCCTCAGTGGGAAAATATGGATGCTTTATGCTGGTTAGATGTTTTATTGACTGTCATTGTGCATAATAAGAGCATCATTGATCTGGTTAGTACCACAACTACTGCATCTGTTTTCGCCACTCTGTTAGCTGCGTACCAGCAGGCAAAGACATTACTCAACACAAAACACAGAGTACCCTTATCTGCTCACCCTGTAAAGGTGCAGACAGGAGGAGGCCCTCATGTGATGATAGATTCATACCCTGCCCCCATATCTACTGTAAATATACAAAATAAAACAGCACCACAAACTCTAGCTAAACCTATGGAGGCCACCGATGGTGAAATTGAACTTGAGAACTTTTTAGACAGTTTTGAAGAACCTTCAAACACAGAGAAAAAATCAGAATGTAAGGTCCAAAGTAGGAGGAAACTGGCTTTGGATGAATATGGTGTTTATTCGGAGGATTTAGAACGAGCTTGCAGTATTATGGAAAATGTACGTCAGGATATCTGGAGACGTGTTCAACCGAGCTTGAAGTGTAAGAAGGGTAAACATGACAGTCCAGTCATTGCTATGCCGGTAGTGTTGAAGTTGATGTCTTTGTATGACCCCCTTCTACTCCACCATACCTGGACCTTCACTTGCCCAAAATGCAACTGTAAGAAAAGTGAAAGGTAAGTGTCATATAATACTACTAATATTCAGATATAATAAACTACATATTGTTAAATGTTTAGATATTATAGCTTATGACTCATGAATTCATAAGTTCTGTTTTTAAGGATTGTCGTTAGTTAAGATTCAAACTTACAAGATTGTTCTAAAATTAAATATGAAATTATTACATACAATGTTTAAGTGTTTACTATCATTTTTAGCCAGAGGAAAGTTCTGCTGACGTTTCCATGTATTCCTGTTGACTTTTCTGCCAAGAATCCATGTTTTGTGAGGCCATGCTTTTCCTGTAAGATTCCTGGCCAGAGGATGTACCTTAAAGCCAACAAGTAAGTTCTTACATGATTTACATCATATTTAGAGGTTATGTCAGTATTACCTGAAATATGCCTGAGTTCTACCAAAGACTAAAACTTAAGAGACTAAAAAATAAATGAATAATAACATTTTATTTGTTCTAGCTGTCCTCCATTGATGATGTTCCACTTTGTCGAGGGTCTTCCATCCAATGACGTAAGCAAGCTAACATTTGAACAGCAGCAGTATGAGTACAGAGTAGTATCCCTTGTGCAATATAAACAGAACCCTGATCACTTTGTGGCATGGGTTAAACATCCATCAGGTATGTATAGAGAACTAGTGCTCTTACATGTCTTCGTCCAATTCACCTATATACTCATGAAGTAGATTGACTGAATGATGAGGCAAAATGTTTTGAAAATGTGATCATACCATACAAGTAAGACTACTTCAAGTGGAACATGCTCAAATCTTTACATGTGATCATTGCTGTGTTGAATATCTTATTTGTTCATTAAAGTTCTTCATAAAATCCAAGCAAAAATCCACTACAGCTCAGATCAAAATTCAATATGAACAAAAGTATATAAAAAACTGTCTGAAGAATGAGAATTCAGTGAATTGTTAGAAGTGATATTTACAAGTGATAACAAAGGTAAGATGCTAAGATAGATGATGAGAGAGATTATGAATTTCTCATTAAACCTCACTAATAAATGTGTTGAGACTGACCTTTTCTGAAAAAAACATATCATCAGTGATCGATCACGTGTCCGATTTAGAATCTACAAAACATATTAGATGAGGAAGTATATGGCATCATAAAAGGCCAATATTAAAATAACCACAAAGCACCATTACAACTGCAAAGGGGTGAATTAGAAAAACACAAGTAAGAAAGGTTCAATAGTGATCTTGTAAAACCACAGGCAATATTGAAAAAATCATATGAATGGCAAAGGCAAAACCTTAAAGAAGCACAAGCTATAAAACAGCACAAGGCAAATGTTGAAAAGCAAAATGGCAAAATTAGAAAAGCATGAAGGTAAGCAGTAAGATATGAAAAGCTCTAAAGGGGCTGTATTGGAAAGACATGGGGATATTTCAAAATAGAAGGAATTCCAATTTATTGGCTAATGTTATCAGTTTTATTACATTCCCATTGCTACAGCCTGTCTGACTGTATATCCTCCCAATCTGATCATTTTTTCTTTCCCATTTTTCCTCCCATGCTAAAAAATTGAAATGTTAACTAACTTGATTATTGAACAGTAATATTTGAAAAATTAACCTGTCCATGAACTCTTTTGATAAAATATCACATATTTCATACAAAATTTCTTGAAATTCGTTTTGATTAAACACTGATTTGATTTGGAAAAAGCTGTGAATGATCTCAATCATATCAGGTCATTCTAGCATGGCTAAATGAACTTGAATTGGATTTTCAAAAAATTATTAGAATTCTTTAAAGCCATGTGGTAATTAATATTTATTGAGAATGTGTTCACATTTTTTAAAAATCCAGAATCTTATGAATGTGAAAACCTGGAAATATAAATATTTTTAGCCAAAGATGAAATGGTGTTCAGCTTTTGAGGGATACATATTTGATACATAAAGATATGAAAGATGAGACAATGTATTGGTGACACATTGTTATTATAGTATCCAATCTCTTTTGTGGATGGTGTTCAGCAGTTGGTGTTTTGAAGTTGGTGTTTGACAGTCGGTGTCTGTAACAAATGACAAGTGGTGATATTTTTCATATTTATACATTGTTATTATTAGATGGAATCTCGGTTATTAATGGTAGAATCAGATCTATGGGGGTTGACAAAATTGCAAAATTGCAAAAATCTTAAGTTTCATTGTGACATATTGTTATGGTCTCCTTTCTTTGTGAAGCCGGTTGGCGATTGGAGGGTGGCAGGTGGCGGTTGGTGTCTGTTACAAATTCTTAAAACAAACTTCCAATAACTTAACAAATACTGTTGTTAAGACTGACTTCAATTTTTTCCAAATCATCAACAAGTTTTCAGAAGTTCAAATCTGACTTTACATTTAAGATTCGACCTTCAATGACCTTTTCAAGATCAGAAAAGGTCAAAAAGGTCTATTTTTCAAAATCATCTACAAGTTCTCAAAAGTTCAAAGCTGACTATAGATTTGACCTTCAATGACAAAAAAATTTGACCTTCAATGACCTTCTCGAGGTAAAAAAGGGTATTTTTTCAAATTGATTAACTTTTTTTTTCAAAATCATTTACAAGTTCTCAGAAATTCAAATCTGTTTTATGATTGAACTAATTATATTGTGAGCAACTAGGTGGTGACATTTTGTCATGTAAATGCCTTGTCCTGAAATTAAGTATGTGCTTTGGGGATTTTTAGAAAATAGACCTGACTAGGAATGATATTCGAGCCAAAAATATTTAAAAAAATAAATTTTTGTAAATCCCCCTGGCTAGATCTGATTCTCCCTTTAAGCCAGTGTTCTATTTTGAATAGCAAGGAGGAAATTGAAAATGATATAACAATTATGTGTTAATAGTCACAAAACACAATTGTATAGTGACAGTTACTCAAAGAATTGTTCTGTTGGCACATAAATGAGTTACTCATGAAATTGGGTATTGAGTTACTCATGAAATTGGGCATTGACTTACTCATGAAATAGGGTATTAAGTTACTCATGAAATTGGGTATTGAGTAAAGTTTTCTAATAAGCATTGCACAAGTATACAAAAATGTTGTTGATGATAAATGGAACATATAAAAATCAAGTATGTTAAAGTACAAAGGTTAATCTCAGGAAAACACAAAATGATGAAAACTTTGAAAAATTATAATTCTAACAATAATCTTTTTAAATGAAAATTAGAACCAGTAAACACAGACCATTCTTTCAATTTTTTATGTTCAAGTTCCTATCACTTTCACTTTAAACACATCACACCATACTGTCTATAGACTCATTGCTCTTCCAAAGCCCACTTGTCTCTACCATGCAAGTTTGGGTATGTTGGCCAGAAAGAAGCAAACAATACCAGAGTGATACAAAACTATAAAATGGATGCAGCAAGTCATTGTTGCTTTCATTTGTTGAAATAATATTTTGGCGTCCGTTCATATTCCAAGATCACAATGTTGCTGCTCTTTGGAAAATAATTGTTATGACTATTGAACCAAAATTGAAATGCAGCATAGATTCGGCACAGTAAATGTTCATTCAAATTTAGAACATGTATACAAAAGCATGAAGTTCAATCTGGTATATGGAAATGTGGATTGATGAACTTCCTTGCAATTATCTCTGAGGTTTTCTACTGATTTGACTCAAGTCGAATCAAAAGAAACTTTAATAGAGAAATGTGCTTGTCACTTTAAATATGCACATTGAAATTACCAGATTCAAAACATGATGAATTAGTTCAAAACACAAAATGATATAACATCATGATGATTAAACCAGACACATGTGCAAGAAAATGCCAAAATATCTTTGGAATAAGGACTGACTCTCCTCGCACTCTCTGAGAGGTATGTAGGACACTTACCTAACCACTATACCATGTATCAGCAATTTATACCCAAGCATTATTCATAATATTCTTCCAGCCCAGCTTTAGACTAGGTATTAGCACTTGAAAACATGAAAATGGCTTGATGTATAAACAAGAGTTGATGCATTGCGATAGTGGGAAAACATAGTTTGTTAACTGTACATTAAATAATTCTTTTTTTATTAATTATTGAAAAGTATGTACTTAAAGAAGAGAGAAGATAAATGCTAACAATAATCAAACACTAAAAAGATGGAACAAATGGTAAACTGAATAAAACATATCATTGTCTTGAAGAAAGCTCCCAAGTGTACGCACAAGTTAAGCAACAATTGAACCATGGAGTTCTGATAGATTAGATCATGGGCTCTCGATGTATGTATTTAACATGATAAAATGTTATCCGTCTTAAGTTTAACAACAACTTATCCTTATTTTCATATTTTGAAAGATGATCCGTCTTGTAAACTGAAACATTTCCAGATATTTAACAGCAGAGTTATATTGCTGCTTTTGATTGTTGTCACTTCGTTGGGACAGTTGGAGATATTCTAACATTACTCAATACTCATAAATTCCTAATATTGACGCAGGTTGTTTGAATTCTTGACACAATTCTTCAAAACAACTGGAGAAAATAATTAACTGTTGCCTGCAGATGAAACTTCTTCTCATATATATTCATTGGCTAAATATCATATTGTAGCTTCTCAACCCTTTTTGTTCAACGTTTTTATAGTAATCTCCGTCATCAGTATTTCTGTATTGTTTCATATTGAAAATGAGGCTGTATTTTTAAAACTTCTCAAGAATCAGTGACATCCGCTTCGTTGTCCGTGAGAAGTTTCTGAAATGCATTCTCATTTTTGGACAATGTACTTACTTGTTTTATCAATTCTTGTTCAAGGCAATACATGGATGGAATGTGATGACCTAAAACCCCCTGTGTGCTCCTTTAACCATAAAACACTGGAGGTACCTGCCTCCCAGATCCACATTGTAGTATGGGAGAGGTTTCCTTTGCCTCCAGATGCCCCGCAAGACTGTATGGACATTGATGAGACCGTTAGCTTAGATAGTGTTGGTCCAGGTGTATCAGGTGCTGATATTCTACCAAAAATCAGTGATGGTAAAGTAAAACAACTTGCAATAATGGTGACACCTGAGACTGCTCCAAGTGGTGATGTGATATCCAACTCAAATACTATCGCAATTTCATGTGACAAAACAGCCAATAGTACCATTACATTATCAAGTGATGATGTGACCACTACATCAGACTCTAACATTGTATTGTCTAGCAATGAGCCTATTATTGAAAAGGTGCTTCCACATGTTGCTGGAATAGATAGAACGATGAATGCTATGGACACATTGGACACTAGTTCAACAGATGACACTGATAGCTCAGGTCCTGATAGTCGACATAAACGCATTAATGTTGAAAAGGTCAAAAAGGACAGTACTTCCCCAGACCGCATTGAATGTGACCTATTGTTCAATCCCATAGATCCTGTTGAGTCCGTTACCTTTACATATATCAAACCAAAGGAAAGTACTACCACATTGATTACTAGAGCCCCGAATAGTAACAAAACATTGACTACAAAGGAGAATACAACAGTTATGAAGCCCATCAGTGATAAACAATTCCAAAACAGCAACACTTTGATTAATGCAGAATCAGCAGTCGTTATGAAACCAATTAAAGCGAATCCCACGTGTGTGATGGATACTTTAGTGAAGAATAATCCTTTGAACAATTCTCCCATGTTAGTCATTCCTGTGCCTAAATTAGCAGATAGACCATCCAACATGAATAGCACTGCATCATCAAACAAAGCCACACTTGGTCCTATTCCTAAACCTATCGTTTCAAGCAATACACAGTTCAGTGCATTTACTCTCCGTGACAGCAGTAACATGTCACAAATCCAACCATTGTCTAAAATGGTAGTTCACAGCAATGGCGGGTTGATAGACACTGCAAAATATACTGAACCCATTGTTCCCCTTCAAGTGAATACTCCAGTAACACAAACTAGCACTAACCTGGGATTTATAAAAGCTCCAGTTCGAAGGAATTCTAAACGTACACAGGTAAAAGATGAAAGAAATACTGTACCAGCTGGGTTGAGAGCATCTGTGTCTGCTAATAGGTTCCTAGGTAGTCTGGGAGTTCGAAGTTCTAGTATATCTACCCCAATTATCTCGCACTCCCTTTCCAGTGCGACACCAAAGACTGGTGTACCATCTCTGAACACCAATTTACCATTACGTCAAAGTCAAAGCCCCTTTGGGAAAAACAGATTTAAATTGATTAAGGATTCGCCTAATAATCTTACTCCATCTGAAAGTTATTCTGCAATTAGTAGTCCAATTCCAACCAATACTATGGTTCCCGAAAGAAAATCATACATGGATGTTGTCGGCTCTTTGTTAAAAACATCCAGAAAGGCTGACACTGTTGGATCTAAGTATAAATTTTCTGGTTATAAACCCAGAGGCCCTGATGTTGAGAGTAAAGTGGTGGCCCCAAATCCCAAAATACCTCCAACAGTAGACACCAATCCCAGCAAGGTGGTGATGTTTTCCTCAGAAATTGAAACATCTACACCTAAAATGAAGAAAAGAAAATTAGCACCCAAGCAAACAAAGTCAGTGTTGAAAAAACAAAAACCCAACATTCAAAAGAAAGCCGATAATGATAAATCTGGCGAAAATATGGAAAAATTAGTGACAAATTTTTTGAAGGGTATAGGTAAAAGTTCATCTAAGGGAGTTAAGATTGAACTAATGCGAGATATGAGGCACTTGAAGGCCAATCATAACAACAAGAGAAGTCCGCGGAAATATCTTCTGGTGAAAAAGCCAGAGTTTGATGATGGTGACAGTGATAATGTTATTCCAATAGCAGAGATTGAAGTGGAAGATGATAGTGTTCAAGATCAATCAACAGGGGATACTTCTGACAGTGTAATGAAAGAACTATGTGTGTCACTTGACTTGCCAGTGAGTCAAAACTCAAATAACATTGACGATGAATCTTCTGAGAAAATCATAAGTGACCTTTTAGATAACACAGGTGCTACCAACATTGGTATGCCAGATTTGAATCCAATAGGTGAACTAACACTGCCAACTGAAGAAGGTGCTTCCAATACAAGGAAAGACACATTAGGAAGTGATGCGTCAAGAGTGATTGATGCTAATATCTGTGACATACACCAACTCTCACTTGATACAAGTGTATTTGATGGTATTGCTGAAGACATTGATGATGTCTTCAAAGGAATTTGATGCTTTATGTTGACCAGTGATTAAGTGGTGAGAGTAAGATCAGGTCTTGTATTGAGTTGGTGCACTGGGTATTGTTTGTAAAAGAGTAGACCAGACCTGGTCCCTGCTATTGTAGATTTTATGAAAAATTTTGAAATGCTAATTTGCCAGAGAAGCCTTTTTATAGCAATAGCCTCTCTGGCCTATTGTCTTGTCTATCTGGCCTATTGTCTAGCTGTAAATGATATATTTTGTACATACAACATGTATTATATTAGCAGTTCATAATAAAAAAACAATGACAATATCTCTTGGTATAGTGATAACAATATCATTATAATATTGTATGTTTACATTCAGCAGACCTTAGAATGGTGCCATATCACGTGTTGCACTAAGTTGTGCACATAATCACTTTTTTTTAGTGGACAAGTATCCATAGGCCATTTCGTAAACAAGAGTTTCAAAATAATAAGCTTTTTTGTGAGTAAGTGTTAATATGATGTATGGTTTATGAAAAACAATATTCATATTGAAAAATGATATTTTCATGATTGCCTACAATTTCTCACAATCCAACTAACTTCTAGAAATGTCTAGGTCGTTCACTAAGTAAAGTGGGTGTATAGTCTAGCGGTTAACAAAATGAATTATATATAGAATTTATTGTGAAACCCTTGAGGTTACGCCTGTCGCCTTCCGCTATAAGTTGCATGAATGTATGTTTCAAAATGTGTCTAGAACATGTGTACCCTTACTTAAAGAAATAGAATGAAATTCATTGTGGAATCAAAAGCTCTTTCAATAAGATTGTGTCTGATAAATTGCAGTTGGAGAAATTGTGCACTTCCATTGTATTCTGTTAAATTGATAGATTTCTATTATGAATAAGGTTGTTATTTAAACAAACTTTATTTTTGTAAATTAGAGTAGAAAAGCATAATATGATTGATGTGATGTAAAACATTTCATTCAGAAAGTTTATTTGTACTACCCTTTGAAATATGAAAAAGATCATTTGCCTTAAATCATATTTTTGTAGACACACATCATGACTGATCATTTGATAAACATTCCATTTTAAAGACAAAATTTAATTTTAACAAGTTTAATCATTTTTACGCCACATAGTATACACACTTAAAGATTTAAATTTTGGATGTAGATTCAAATGGGATATTAATGTCACATGATTGATATTTATAAGATATCCTATGATTTTGAGAAATAACATTTTTATCCATAAGTTGATATTGATATCTGCACAAGAGAGCATTAAATTGATATGCTGAAAAATCATAGGATGTTCTTATTAATATTATCCTTCAATTAGTGTACTAAATGTATATCATTGAAAAATAAATTGTTGCAAATCAACAAGCTGAGTATATCGTCACAATATCCTCCGCATATTAGTTTCACTGAGTATATCGTGGCGATATCCTCCAGTTATTCATTTTGCCAGTAGATATCAAATTTATTTTTTATGTTTTTATACATTTACTAGTAGTGCACTAAGTGTTGGATAGTAAAAGGATATCCAATGATTTTGAGGAATATCATTTTTATCTACGAGGTGATATTGATATCTGGACGTGAGCGAGCGAGCGAGTGCATATATCAATATCACCGATATGTATGTATAATGTCATTGAAAATTAAATTTCAAATAGTTCAATTTGGTGGTAAATCAACAAGCGGAGTATATCGTCACGATATCCTCCACATATTGGTTTATCGGAGTATATCGTCACAATATCCTCCGCATACTGGTTTTCAGGAGTATATGTTTGCGATATCCTCCGATTATTCATTTTGCCAATAGATATAGTGTAGGATGATATTTCTATGATCTTCTCTGTTTAGAAATATTGCTGTAAACTGATATTGTATAAGATCTACTGTACATAGGTTCATCAATTAGCATGCGATAACTGTTAAAGTATTTGGATTGTTCATCGATTGAAGTTGAGTCAAAAGCATCACAATTCTCTGTCTTAAATCCGCCTCTTGACTATAAGCAAAACTTGTGTTTTCATTATTTTATTGTTAAGCATTGTGTCTAGGCAAAACTGTATGTGGGAATTGCATGAAAATAAAAAGATGTCATGAAATTATCTTTTGTTTTCAACAGTATGAGCTTTGGAGATATTAGGTTGGAATAGTTTGATATGTCACCACCAAAAAATGGTGACATATTGTCATGGTCTCCATTTGTTTATGATGGTGCTTGGCGATCGGAGGTGAGCGGTTAGCATCTGTAACAAATGGTGGGTGACATTTTGCATGTTAATGCCTTGTTATCCCATTGAAGTGTTTAGAGATGGGATATACACAGTATCATTTAACTTCATTTTTGACCATCTACCTTATTTTTGTGTTGAAGGTTATCGATGGTGTGCTGTTTTGATTAATATGTCCAAATGAATACAGTAGATGCCTTTCAGCATAACTATTGTGGAATGTGGATCAGAAAACTTATTGGATTGTAATACAGATTCTTGAAAAGGCTTTTGATAATTCACTGGTGATCCACTCGATTACGCTCGTTTTGGTAACAAAATGTCGTAACGTCGAAGGCACAATTTTTCATTTTTCCTTATTTCACACGTTGTAGGCAGAATCCCCACGACGTTTTTTCTCACAACGTGCAGCAGTATCATATGTTTTAGAAAATGTACATGTTTGCGAGAAAAATAGCTCAGAGGACAACAGAATCGTCGATTTACTTCCTCACTTAAGTTACATAAACGGTTTTTTCGAAAAACAGTTAAGATCTGCACTTTTAACCCAAACCGTTTATGTAACTTAAGTGAGGAAGTAAATCGACGATTCTGTTGTCTTCTGAACTATTTGTTCGCAAATATGTACAATTTCTTAAACATATGATACTGATACACGTTTGTGTTAGAAAATGTTGTGGTAATTCTGCCTACAACGTGTAAAATAAGGAAACGAGAAAATCGTACCTTCCGGATGTTCCGACATTTTGTTACCAAAACGAACCGTTTTGGTAACCAGCGTAATCGAGTGGATCACCAGTGTAATTGTTGTAGAAACTGGTGAATTCTGGGTATTTCCTAAATTGAGACAAAGAGAATTCAAGATTAGGGAAGTTGAGTTGGGTTTCGATTTCTGGTTATTCCAGAAAAACGACCATAATGTTTTAGGGGTTTTAGATCTAATCGAAGGCCAAGTGAAGTTCTAATTAGATCAAGTGTTCAGATTAGGTCATACTCTCTCATTTCCTATTTCAGCTAATTTATCTTCAAATAATCAAAACCTTCTAGAAGTTGGTATCAATGGTCAATGCACCCACCCAGTTTTATAACACCATCTCTGTCAACAATTTTGGATTTGATTGATAAATACACTTGCGAGAGCCTTATTGGTTAATTCAGTGTTTATAAGGCCCATATATGGAAGTCGTGACCTATGAGTGTAGTGCATAAATTAAATGAAGACCCCTTGAAGAAAGGAAAACGGAGAATCTTACAAATTCAACAATACTACCCAGTGAGCCATTGACATGTTGAATAATACCATTACTTCTTTTCTTCATCCTAGTTAAAATCAGTCTTGAAAGATGAATCCTGGACATCTACCCATTTAATAAACTGATCTAACATGATAAAGTGAATAGCAGAACAGTTCTATGCACATATATCAGTCTGTTTATAAAATATTTGTGAATGTTTTCTACACACACCAGCATTTTTTCTCAGTATGCATTTACAGTACACTCTCATTCAAAAGTTTGGAAATCTTTTTTCCTCATTGAAAAACATTGAATGCTCAATTTTGTAAGTTAGGAAATATTCATCAATGCTGCTCGCTGAAATGTTTTGATTCTTCAATAACCTGGGCCTAGTTGTTTGACTATTGTCATCAAATTGTTTAGAAAAGAGCAAAACAAAGCAATTCAAGTTGAGAAATCATCATGCTTCATACAAACTCTTCTCCCCACTACCTACTTTATGTTGCTGGAATGTGGAAGTGAACTAATATGTTACAAGAGACTTATTGTACCACATATGTTCCCATACTTTATGACCATTACTCAGATTGATAGTCATACTTTAAACAACATGCTCAGGCCCGTAGCCAGGATTTGCGAAGGGGGGATTTACTTGTGACAATTTTGGTCCAAATTTGGCCCAAATCCCTTAAATAGTGCTAAAAATGGTGAAAACCGCATGATTTTGAATGATTTTTTGGCCATTGACCCCCCCCCCCCCACTGGCTACATGCCTGATGCTCCAGTGGCCACTTTATAGCACTGTGCGCAAACCTGTACATGTTTTCCAAAATGTCCTATCTGACTTCTACCTGAAACGCTGAAATCCGACCCGGCAATTGGATCTATGCTCTGAAATTTGTCAAAATGCACCAAAGTGATGTTCAATTTTTCGAAACCCCCAGGCCCCCTTTTCTTTGCTTCACTCACAATTACTATCAATCAAACGCCCCCCCCCCAACACAAAATCCTGGATCCACCCCTGAATATTATATGTTATGGGTGTTCCAGACCTGTCATTGCTCATTTTCAGATGCGATTGTGCTATTTCAACATCCTCAATGTGTTCTGTAGTCTTTAATATAATTATTATACAGATAACTTAAAAGCAGAGGCTATTCAATTTATGTGTTGGGCGTAGGCCTATATATTGTATCTGATAGCATTAGGTGTGGCTACAAAAACACACTTTGCCCCAAGAGCACAACCAGAGACAAACTGTTTTATATGTCTCTGGCCTCGAAAGCTATTAATTGTTTAAGATTTGAAAGGCTCATAAACAATAAAAATGATGCAACCAATCCATAGATATAAAATACATTACAAGGCCATTGCATCAGATATATAAAAATATCATTTGAGTTATTGCTAAAGCCAGAGCTTTGACATTGCATCATCAGTCACAATCTGAGGAAGATAAAGTAGTGTTTTTAAGGGGTCTTATTCTAGACCTCTCGGCAAACGTCATCACTAACGGAATGTATACTGATTCAAGGATGCGTACTTATTCAAGATAAATTAGTCCAATTGCATTTTAATAATTTTTGGTAATTATTGGTCCCTCTATGTTCGAAATCCAATCCATTCGATAACAATTTGCAATCTTCACATTGCATTCATAACAAACAACTAATGCGATTCTAAATAAGCTGATATAATTAATGAACTGCGGAAGGATACAACCGGTGCGCGCAGGAATCAGGCTACGACTTAAATGAATCACACGTCCCATTCTTTCACAATGGCGTTGTCAAATAATTACGTACGTGGTACAAACTAGCCGGGAAGGGAGGCAAAACGGCCCTTCCCTTGAGTTCAGCATAGAGCAACGTGTGAGGGAATCTCTCAAGTACAGCCAGGAAAAGGAAAATTAGGAATCAAGTGGGTAATATTGGAGAAATTAGGGTGAAAAAGGCCTATACGTGAATTTCTCCTCGTCCGGTTGAGGTCAATTTCATCATCGCAACAAAACAGGAAGTGAATCTATTGCACTGTTATTGCCTTCAGATTTGCAATCAACAGTATTGGGGACACTTATAATTCCAATTTACATATACAATTCTTTAGGCAGACATATTCGGCCTATATATCATTTATTTGGATATTCGAGACGGGACTGTGTTTGTGAGATTTGCTTGCTACGTCATAACTCAAAACAAAGGCAGATCTAAAGACTGAGACTCAGAAAATGACTGATTCATTTGTCATTAAAAATTGTGTTGTGTAACTTCATGATCACATAACTGACATTATATTTCACAAGAACATTTCAAGATGAATTATGAACTATTGCAGCAGTTTGTGGCAATGCTCAGGACCTAGGTAGCTAATACATTCCCGGTGCCAATTACAGGAATGTGTAATCATTTTTGAACACATTCTTATTGTACAGTGTACAGTTTGTAGAATATTTTTATATGTGTACAGTTCGTTTCATCATTCATACATCATCGATCATCAGTGGACTTGATATTACGCAGGGTATCGCCATAAGACTGTAGTTGGAGGTAGCTTTAAAGCAACACCACCAAACAATAGTAATAACAAAGAGTTTATATGAGTACTATTAGGAGGCCACATCCTAGACCTTTGTTAATACCAAATGGTACTAGGAAACACAATGCGGAGCAAGTTCAAATACAAAACTCTTTATCATCAAATGCGGGTAACTTAACCCCAGATCTACCTAAAAGTCGACCAAGTTTTCCAGTCGTTCAAGATGATGAACCATGTTGGTCAAAAATTGGGAAATATATCCTACTTGAGAAACTTGATGGTTGCAACAATACATTCAAGGCTGTAAGCAGCAGGGATGGAGAACGATATATCTGCAAGGTGAGAATCATACATACCATATATGATGTAAAGAAGATCCACATGGTTTGCATGCTAGTATTCTTTGTTTCCAAACATGGGTTTTCAGACAAAGGATAATAGCTACACACCTGGTAGTCCCAAACAAAGCTTTCTTAATTGCAATCATACAAGGGTTAATGAGGGCATTCAGTCTAATTCTACTACTAATGGTCTTTGATTAACTGGCCTTAGCATCTGCTTGTTGCACAATGGTTGCATCATAATGGTTCTAACTACTGTCTCTAGGCATGAAAATTACTGCCTCAGGACAACTTTAAGTTTAAGATAATGTGACATATTCCTAGATGCAGTTGTCTCTAAGACCATGATTTGAATGGTTGGTCTGTACTTTAGACATCATCTGTAAATCAGTCAAAACTTCAAGTTTCAATTGTGTTTGGGCAGTTTGTTAATGTTGCACAATGGTGATCACCATCGTGTTTTGCCTCATTGCATTTTACAAAATTTGAATCTTTTTTTTAATTCGCTCACAGTTATCATCACACGCCCCCCCCCCCCCCCAACACAAGATCCTGGATCCGCCCCTGGTGATGACATGGCTTTATCTAATAGTTGCATAGAACTCTTGAAAGTGTCATGGTTTTCATCATACTGATGAATAAGTAAAATTAATCAGGCATATTGATTCTAATCTATATGTGGATTTCCATGGCTTCCTAAAATTCTTGTTCATGGTTTTCAACTGTCTGCTTATGGTGACATTTTGGTCACCTTGTTTACAACTCTTGTTTTATTCCTTGTTCGAGATGATGAGTTTTTCTCTAGTTGGACCTTTGCAACAATGACATGTATAAGGATATTATTTGTCACCCTACATAGTAATATTATGTATCACCTTGTAACTGTTTCATCACCATATTCTAAATATATCCTTATCTCACTACCTAATTAGAGGCGCATGTGTATATAAGAGAACATAAAGTGCAACAACTTGAAAGTTTAAAATAAGAAATTATAGTCTTAATTTACTAAACCATACACATTTTAGAAAAAATGTATCCCTTTGTTTCTGAGATGTTTCAATCACAATTTGACCAAAAGTTTTGAAAAGATAAGAAACAGATTCTGCCAGTGTGGTCATTAAAAATTCGATTTCACAAAAGCAGTAAATTCGGGTGACTTCTAAATATTTAATTTTACTCCAGAATATCTCATCATACAACTCAATGCACATGGTGTGAATAATAAAGCAGGCTAAAATATCATCAATCATTTTAATTGCGCAAGACCTATTTGCCTAGATATTGCCGAGACTGATGTAAACATGTTTACTCAAACTGTACCTTTTTTATCCTAGCCTGTCTAGGTCAGCTATGTTTATCAGTTACTGAAATGATTTCTGTTTAAACTCAATGTCTTATAAAAAAATCTTGGATTAAAGTCTTTTTTTATTTTATTAGGATTTTAACAATATTTATCTTTCCATCTTCTAATATGTCAGGTCATGACATCTAAAGAGATAAATGATATATATTTGCTGAGAATGAAACACTCATGAAGTTCGTGTTGTCTCATATTTTTTATATTTTATAATAGGAAATTGTCTCACAATTATAGCACATGAAGATGAATTTCATGTGGGTTGTTACATAGCTGAGAGTTGAGACTTCCTCCTTGGCATGACAAATTAAATATAACTCATGCTGATTATCTGAAGTTGATTAACATGACTTTCTCTTGTTTCATGACTAATTAGCATGTGTTTCATAACTATCGTGCTATCCCAATTATCTCATAGTTACATAAAACAATAATTCTGTAAACTTGATATTCCCCTCAGTATTTCATTTTAAACATGGGGTTCAATCATGTCTATTAATATAAGATATGGATTATGAAGAAATCTACAGGCAACTTGGGAAAATCACATGTCATATTTACTAGGAATTTGGAATACTGTATTATTTTAGAAATTCACTTTAAACCCCTGCCGACTGACCCAAGAATCAATTGTTCTCTATCAGTGTTCATATTTCTGTAAATGGATCCTTTTTACATAACATGCTGGTATCAGTTTGCTAACATGAAATGAACCAATTCTATGACGCACATAAAATATGAATCATGAATTGACCTGGAATGTTATTCCCCTGGTTACACATACTGCTTGTATCATCAATACTTGCAAAGGATATTTTGAAATAACAAATATATGTTTCACATTTCAAAATAAAAATTTAAAAAACAAAATACACATCATAAGTTCAATCATGTAAATCTATTGTTTCAAAATATTTTTAAAATTTCTATTTCCAGGTTTTTGGGTTAGACAAATACCAAAAGTCATTAACACCATATTTCCGAGTTGGATCTCATGAATATATACGAGAAATTCACGAAATCATCTTAGGCAGCACCAATGCCTATGTGTTCTTTGATCAGAACCACGGTGATCTCCACTCCTATGTCCGTTCTAAGAAGCGCTTGGGAGAAACTGAGGCCAGGAACCTATTTAGTCAGATCGTCGAAGCTGTAGCACACTGCCATGAGAGTGGAGTTGTACTCAGAGACCTGAAATTACGAAAATTTGTCTTCACAAATGAAGAGAAGTAAGTAATAAACTTGATCACTTAGGCTTGCTCTTCCTCAAATATATTTATGCTTTTTTATTGGAAACTGCATGGCAAATCAGTGATATCATTACTGTAATGTTTGTGTTAGATATCAATTTCATGTCACGGTGCTTTTCATGAAATATCAATACAAATTTTGCCAGCGAATTCTGAAATAATGATAAGTTTAGTACCTCATACTAGAAAAACACTTTGCTTACAAGTCAACGTCCTCGTTGGATTGATTTCAGCATTTAGCATGATCCTGTTTTATGATGTCTCTGTAGAACGAGGGCAAGATGACATGTTGATTATGAACAGCTCACCCCATTGTCTAGATCTACGCAGTAAAATATAAAATGCACAAACGCTAACTCGCAAATACACATGTCAACAACTCTGAAAACCAGTCAAAACCAGTTCCATTTTTCAAAGATTGTGCTTAATGTTTAGAATTTCCAGAAGATAGTTAGTGATCTCTGTTGTTAATTTATGCTTGTTTTGTGTTTGCAGGTCCAGTCTAGTTCTTGAAGACTTGGAGGATTCCTTTGTTATGTCTGAAGATGATTGGTCAGATGAAATGCGAGAAAAACATGGCTGCCCTGCGTATGTCAGTCCAGAAATATTAAATGCGGGTAAATCATACTCTGGGCGCTGCTCCGATATTTGGAGCCTAGGAGTAATATTATATACAATGCTTGTTGGACGTTATCCATTTCATGATTCCGACCCTAGGTCTTTGTTTTTAAAAATACAACGTGGACAATTCTCAATCCCGGATTCAATTTCATCAAAGGCTAAATGCCTTATTAGGACATTATTACGACGGGAACCAGAGGACCGTCTAACTGCTGAGGAAATTAATGATCATCCCTGGTTCAATAGTTTATGTTTCATCAGTGGGAGCTCTTCAGAAAAGAGGGGACAAAATGATCAAACAGTGCCGGACATTTTCTTAGTTGATGATGAATCGTCATTCTTCAGCTAGCTGTGACATAGACGCTAATTTAGGAATATTATAATTATTATTTTATTGTAATAATTGTCAGGGTTGACTGAAAAGGAAATGTGACTCAATGTTTAATGTGAATTGACAATGAAATCATCAATCATCATAACTGATTTGTTAAATAATTAACATTATTATGTTTTTTGTATTTTTTTTTGTTTTGTTTCCAAGCTGGTCTTATTGGTACATTATTTTATTGCATCATGATTGGTAGTTCACCCAGTGCAGGCAATTATGGTAAGCGGAGTAGAGGGAATATTTTATAATTGGCTTGTTTAATGTCTGAATGTAGACATTCAATATTGATACTAGGTCCGTCTCATGAAATTTGCCCCTCTGGTGAATGCTGACCCTGTACATCAAATTCATAGAAATTAAATGTTGCTGTTGGTTGTTGATTTAAAACACTATAGAATTAGTCCATCTGTAATTGTATTGTCTATTGAGGTAAAATCTGTTCTTTTGTACCAAGGTACAATCATTATTACAAAGAGTTCTGTACGTAGAATCGGCTGATCAGAGATATTTCATCATAGTTTCATCATATTGTGGGAACTTAGATTAATCATTAACAAAATGTTTAAATGTTAATTTATATCAAATAAACTGAAGAAGTTACTAGCTGATGTTTATGGGATAAACCCAATGTGTATAAACTTGTTATAGTTCATAAATTATAATAAATGTTTTTGTGATGATTATGATGCAAATATTGTGTTATCTTATTTTGTCCCCTCATTGATGGCATAACATAATTTTCTTTTTATCATACCTAAAAAAGGTATGATATTGTTCCATATTAGTCAAGAAAAAACATCCGATACTAGATATCCCGAAGGGGTAAAGCTTGTAATAATACACATAGAGAAATCAATATTAATACTACAGTACAATTAGGATGAATGAATTGGAAAAATTAAACCCCACACTCAGAAAATATGAAGTGAAGATTGTGTTACACTGGGTTTATTGAAAATGATAGCTTTCACGATTGATAGATGTCACCTCTATCAGTCTGTGGCAATTTTCATATTACAAGTTCAACTCCTGGTGCATAACTCTTAAGTCGGTTTCATCCCTGCTTCATTATAACAGAATTGGAAAAATGAGAGGGTGACTTGATGCAGGTCAGAAGTAGTATATTGTAACCCAAAGGAATTTTATTCTATTTAATTTTTGGAGCATGCTCTTCATGGAGGTAGCTACATACCTGCAGATACACTTAATTTGGTGGATTTGCTCAATTTCAGGACTGCACTGGTGGATCTGGGGGGGCCAAAAAAGACCTTAAGGTCCAAAAAGTGGGCCCACTTTTGGGGTCCAAAGTTTTTTTCCGGAACTTTTTTTCTCTGACCTGAAATTTGGGCCCCCCCCCCCCCTTTGTAGTTTCCCAGATCCGCCCCTGGGACTGAGCTCAAGTTTTATCATAGATCTGGAAATAAGCATTTCAGATTCATGTGTTCTGCTTTCAGTAAGTCTTGGTATAGCACTGACATCCAAGTAGGAATACTTACACAAGTGAAATTATTGGAAATTACAAATTCTTTAGGGATTTTCCAAAATAGATCTGAAAATTGGTGGATTTTTTCAATCCATCAAATTAAAATGGTAGCCAAATTAAGTGTATCTTCAGTATGCAGCCGTGTACTATTGAGAGTCAAGACCAAAAATCTAAATTCATATAAATCATATTTTGATCCTAGAATCGCTCAAAAGGCGCCAAAAATCTAAAATTCCATATGATTTGATCTTAGAAGCACTCAGAATGCGCCAAATAAGTCAAAAAATCTTAAATTTTCTTGCGGAGCATACATCCGGACCCCCAAGTTTTGCTCAGCCTCTGGCCTTGTGTGCTAGCGCTACTATTCCTGGCTATGCCCCTGCTCTTGTAAAATATCTACATCAATAATCTGCAAAAGGCTTAAGCCCACTTAAAGCAGATATATAGTTTAACAGTGATATAATTTGAATAGAATACAATTTGAACCTTAACATTTAAAAAATAGATCTATGGTTTGCAACTCATTTGAAAGGAAACTCCCTGGTTGGCCCATGTAACCCCCTAAGAAGTCCCTTTATGTTGGTTGAAATGTATCAGAGACATAAAACTGTTTAATATGTCTCTGAATACACTGAGATGACTGTCAGGGTACCACGTTGACATCGCCCTTCTTTACCATTTGTCTATAGATGTCAATCTGCAAGAAGCTAATAAGCCCATATTAAGCAGTTAACAGTGCAGGAAACACTGGAAACAATTTACATTAAAAAATTACCATCGACCTATTGCTAAAAATAAAATACAACTGAGCTTATTGTTAAACTGCTTGCTGACAGAAGATTTAAAACTGTATCAGCCATCACTGTCCAAGACGGATAAGCTACGATGTCCAAAATGCACTTTGATGTGTTTTTGACTAAACCGATGTCCTTTCTTACAATCATAGGCCCAGGTTAAGTCCTGTAGTAATCCATGAATTATATGTCTGGATTACTACAGTACCTTATCCTGGGCCTATGCTTACAATTATACACCAGAGAAATAGAGAATGTAACTCACTCAATTTGTAAAGATGTCAGGCTTGTATCGTCGTCTCGCTATATCGGATTGTGGTATAATAGAAAGTTTTCTGTTCTGTTCTAGAAACAACCAATGAAATTAGAGAGATATTTTTGTGAAAACTTTTTCGATTGGTCACTATGTTTGTAGCATAACAAATCAAAAAGCTCGTATTATAAACCTTCAGTCAGCAGAAGTGGCAACATGACAACAAAATGAAGAGGCTAATCGGTGCCAACTATTTCATATTATAAGCAATTGAGGACTTACGTAGACGCCTTTGAGATGTAAGTATGAAAATTAATACTTTGAAGAATTTATTTTTCCATTTTAAAGCAAATCTATGGTGATTACATCCTTGGCTTCATGTTGAGAAATCAGATAATTTTCCTAGACTTGAAATTGAATCAAAATTGAAAATCATGAAGTTTATAATAACTCTAGCCAATTCAAAGACTACGACTAGGCTACTAGGTAGACTATATCCTATTTAGTCTGAATTATATTCAGACTATAAGGCACCTATGTTAAAGTTTGGCAATTCTATATATTTGTTTACATAGGAAGTGCTATTCAAAATGGCCGATTGGGTAAAATTAATTTGCACATTTGTTACTTCAACTAGCTTTATTTCCACTTGACAATATGCTATGTTACTTTTTATTGCATTTAATTGTACCTTACTATTTAATTGAAATTTTGTAATGTTTATTTTATTGAAAAAATGGTTCCTCCAATTGATAATTTTGTGCAAAAAATTTCACTGCAATTTCCACAGGAAAGTAGTACATCATAACAGACTGACTTCTAGTCAGTCTGTTGGATACATACTAGGCTACTAGGTCTAAGCATGGACCTCAGCTTAGCCTCACAAATCCTCTCTAGACATTTTGTCTAGAGTCGATAAATAGTTGACACTGAAATAAGATAAAAAACATGTATAAAGTTCCTGCTCTGTCAACCCTCACGGGCTTACAATATTTGCATAGCCATCATTTAGATTGAATCTAAATGATGGCTATCGTGCAAATAAAATAACATTAGGCCTGATTGTCACGCATTTGCTGGAGAAATTGAAATCACGCAATTTTGTGTGTATGATAAAATGACACGCAAACATGCATAATGTTGATATTTAAAAAACCTGTTTTTTATAAAACGCCGATACAGTTAACAAACATTTTCCACATTTTGACCAAGTTGTTCAGTTTTGGACCAAGGTGTCCACAATTTGAAGGAAGGTGTTCAACAATTGTAAGTCACTCATGATAGGTGTTCCTAAGTTGAGAATGTCAGAGAAGATACCACTGTCTACTTCAATGACCAATTTTATAAACTGAAGAGATGAAGTGAAATCACTTGCCATTAGGCTAAAAATGATCTCAGACCCATCAAGTTTTCTCTGAATATTCTTCTTAAAGGCTGACAATCAGAGTACGGAATATCCCATAACTTATAAGGAGTCTGTAATGAAGATGAAGAAGAATGCATACTTTCCAGTATTTAAATCGTTTCATTGTCCAAGAATATCAAATGGATTGTTCAGTACTCAAGTTTTGTTTGACAACAAAAACACCTATAATGAGCCACATTGCAGCTTACATTTACAAATTGAAAAAAACTGATTTGTCAAATTTTGTTGATAATTTTTATCATTTCAAACAGGCGCTGAGAATTGGTATGATCCGTAATTCTATTTGGACTATTGATCCGGTTAAATATTTGGTGAATTGGTACGATCCTTAGATTCATCCCAAGATTGATCTAAATGACTAAATTACATTGGAATTTGGTTTGATTTTATCCAAAAATCAAACTACCTATGTAGGTAGATTGAAATTAGGATAAAATTGATCTTAAATTCACCAATGTCAGGATAATTCCAAGATCAATCCCACAATGCATCATTACCACAATGAAATTTATCCAGATGAAATTGGGGATCGCACCAATTCAAGGTCTCAAATGGTGATTACATAAGGTGTTCTGAGGCATTTTTCAGGGCAAAACTCCTCCGCTAGGGGTCAGCAAAATATGCCATCTATTTTTAGAAAACCTACTATGTAGTTGTTACTAATGCAGGCGAACCAAACAAATGTCCAAACTTCTCATGCTGTTATTTTTACTTGAGAATTTTTTTTCTCAGCTTGTTGTTTGCACAAAAGAAGCTTTCGTGATATTCATCTGACTTCTAGATAGTATGTGAGTGACGTGTTCCCATGATGATTTTTCATGATTTTCCATGCTATAGCATAAGAGCATTGATTTGATGAGTGTTAGCTTTCAGACGTGATCAACTTTGGGATATCACCCTTTTTAAAAATGAGTTTTTTTACTTTTCATTTGTCCATAATTTTGATGAATTCAATGGATGACATCCGTCAATGGGAATTGTAATGTATTTTTGTTGCCCTGACTGCCTGTGTTACATAATTAGCAACATATTAGACGAAAAACAAAAAATTAGGAAATTAAAGTTGCTGAGCTATGATTTTTATTTTCTTGAAATTAACTTTAATTATTAAACTTTCGAGTGTTCAAAAATTAAAAAATCCTGTCATTCAGTTTTAGAGATACAGTCTCTTAATCCCCTACTCTCCTATTCCCTAAAATGGGGATCAAAATGTTTTCTAGTTTTAGTATAAAATGAAGTTGGGGGCACCAAGTGTTGAAATGAATTAAATCCAAACTGTAGACTTTTGTTGCCCTTTAGGCCCATTGCCAGATTTTGGCAAGGAGAGTTCAGTTTTATTTTGAATTCCAGGGGTTTTTCAAGATTGACAATTTTGGCCTAGAATCTTTCGAAAAGTGCTCAAAATGTTTAAAACAGCATGATTTTGAAATAATTTATCATAGGAGATAGGTTAATTACACGAGCATGTATCCTTAGGATAAAAACTCCCATGTAGAAGGATTGACAGATCTGTTTTTTCTTAATGGAGGCTGGGCATGCAGTAATTGTCATTTCAGAGCTAATTTCAGCCAGGGTAGGCAATTACAATTTGTACCTCTCTGACAGTCCTTGTTTTGAGAAGAGATATATAATATCTATCTTCTTTTTCAGGTAACCTGTCTCCTATGTAATTTATGGTTTATGCTCAAACTTGGTTTATCTTTGTTTTGTACACATTTTTTGGCTGGATGCAAAACATAAAATCAACTTTCTAATTGCCCTTAAAATCCATAATATCCCAGAATACTGAAATAATCAAAAAGTGTTCATCTTGTTGTGAAAACACAAACCATTCAACTTATTATTTGAAGGGGTACTTCAATAATTTTCTTATGTAAGCTAGATAATCTATATGAGTTTGAAGGTCTAGAAATATGTTCCAACAATTTAATCTTTATTTGTTTCAGTATCTCACTGCTCTTTACTTGTTCATCTCAGTATTCATTTTGACAGAAATTCTGCAATTTATAGATTCAAGATTTGAGTTTCTTATGTTTTTATTTTGGAGAAGAAACTTTGAAATAAAACGCCATGTTCATAAAAACAACTTCAAGAACATTTTACTCCTCATATTGAAATTGAACAAGCTTATGGTATGTTATTTTGATTTCAGATGAATGTGTGATCGATAAATGTGAGGATTACATTTTCGGATATAAGCTACTACTACCACATTTTCTCTACAAAGGCTTTGCATAGACGTTATCCTATCTATTTGGACTATTCTTTAAAAACTATGGGATCTGCAAAACAACAAGGTCAAATATCCAAAGTGCTGAACCTTCTACAAGAGTGGGACAAAGGTTCAAAGACTGTGCGCAGATCTGTGCTCCAAGATTTCATAGCATTGAATCAGAATAAAACTGGGCCAGAATTAGAACAAGAATTTGCACAAGCTGCCAGCCTGTTCCTGACAAGACTTACAGCATGGCTTAGGTTAACGTATCCTTTACCAAAAATAAGATTTCAAGTTTCATATGATAAACAAATCAGTTCATTTACTATAAAAGTTTATCAACAATGTTCATTTTGTTAGTATAGATGTTTATATTGGTATTTTTACAGTCAGATATTTGATTATATATCTTTACTTTTTAAAATATATATACAAATTGCCATTGATGTACACATACTTCATACACATGGAATTTTTGGGCCTCATAAGGGAAAGAGGAAGTCAGTTGCAGCTTGCCTGTTGTGATCCAGAAACTATGACCATTTGAGAAAAATGTCAAAATAATTTATTGATTTAAAGACTAAATAGTCTAATTTAACATAAATCAATTCACGAATGCTGTTATTATTTGATCACTTACAAAAATTAAGATAAAGAAACCACAAAGACTTACAAAATACATGTACATGTATAACTAAGAGATTATTATTTTCATTCTCATTTCGATAACAGATATGACATTGTTGTGCCTAAAGTAATATTCATGGATCTTTGCCTTCATAATATGGATTGGTCACGTCATCTATGCATTAAAGTCAAAAGTCAGAACTTTGACTACCACTAAAAATGTCACCAAAATGTTACCATAAGACTTGTGACACATTGTTATAGCCATCATATTAATGGTAACAAATTGTAACACATTTGTAACCATTTGCAGACTGTAACAACTGTTGTCACATATTGATGTCTTGCTTATTAGATTGTAACTTCTTTTTGATAAATTATTGTTTGTTTGTTATCCTTACACTCCAGTCTCTCTACCTCCTGACTTCATTTCATCTAAATATACTGTTAAACGAAAGTTGAAAACTGTGGCCTTAGCTGACTGATCTCATGTGTGAACTGGTCATGAATTACGCCCTTCACGAAAGATCATGTAAGGTACAAGATAGTAGCAGTGTTAACCTGGAGTCAGCTCTATATATACCCCAGGTATATATATACCCCAGGTAATCTCACCTGGTGAACTGACCAATAAACATCTGTGGCAGATACAGGAAATTACAAGATAACGAACAAGCATGAAGTCATATACATATTTTTATGCATTGATTTTGTCTCTTTTGTGAAAAATGATCAATTTGATGGTGTTCCGAATGAAATGTAATATTCTTTCAAATTAAGATTAAGACCAAGATATATGCTTTTATCCATGGATGCCATCTGTATATGCGTCAAAATAATTGATTGATGATTTGCTCTATCGGGAATATCAGAAACATGTGTAGCAATTCGTCAGTTGTATTAAGGCTATATTATCACTTATTTACATGCTCCTGGTCAGTAAACAACTCAGTATGATACGTCTAGCACATGCAACTGATTTTAGCCTGAGAAAACTTTTTTTCAAACATTGAAAAGCAACAACAATATAGCCTAATATAGTACTAATGAAACATGAAGTAACATATTTTGCCTCTAGGCACTCTCTTAGTTTAGTTTATTATAAATGGAAAAGTCCATTTCATTTAAATACACGTGAAAATAAAGTTCAATTGATTCAAAAAATGAAACTTTAAAAAAGATAAGGTGAATTAAGAGAATGGGTGCATGGATGAAGACTGATGGAGTGCAAATAGAATAATATATTGACATGATCCCTTACTTTTTTTGTACTACAGGTTGAGATGTTCATCATAAATAGCAACTACACCAACCTTTATTTTTGCTTCAGATTAAGTTAAGCTTGATCACTTTAGTACAAACCTTTATGTACATTGGATGTATAATACTGCCATAATGTTCACAATGTCAAGAATTTAGGATTTCATTTGAGTATCATTTATCTCAGATCAATGCATTTTGATTTTCAACAGTGTGAAGCATCTATTGTAAAATCACCCCATGCTTTGGAACAGGCATTGAGCCTTCATTATCAGCTTACTCAACATACCCTAGAAATGATACTCACCATACCTCTAACAAACAAACAAAATGCCAGCACAGGTTATCTTATCTTTCCAACTTATGTCACACTTAATGAGGATCATGTTCTGATAGTTCTGGAGAAATGTAAAGATACACTTCAAATATTAAGCATTTATTAGTTCTGAAATGAATACAATACGGTATATTAATTCAAGATTGGCCATATGAATTAATTTATTTTCTTACCTTGCCTAGGTATAATGTGAAACATATAAATCAAATCAGTGCTAATGGTAAAAATACAAACCCCTATAGAGCATAAAAAATGGGAATAAATTTTCTCATATTTATAGCTTTTAGCATTTTCACATTCATCTGTTTTTCTTCATTGGCTTGCTGCCTCATAAATTGCCAGTATTTCAGTAATGTTAGATTATGTTATCATTAGGTCTTGTTTCATCCATCAATGTTTAAGATAGGATGAGAATTTGATACCTTTAGGCCTCAAAGCCCAGGATCGGAGCCAGTAGTAGATGAAGCTCTCTTTTAAGAAGTGAAATCAGGTTATTAAAAAGTGTAAAAATCAACTCTGAAAGGAACGTTTTTCTGTCTCTTGCTCTCTAGTTAAACATAGGATTATTTGATTTGTTGAAACATAACTTTTCACAACTTCAAACTTCCAAGTAACACTTCAACTGACAAGATTAGTTGACATTTATTTCAACAAATTGTACTTGTAAAATCTTGTATCATTTATATCCCCTTTCCGACCCCCATTTCCAAGCAAGCTATTTTATCAGTTAGTCTGAGTCTGAAAGAGAATCAGAATAGATGTAATACAGGTGTTCTATGCAAGATTAGTACTTTTAACTCATTCCCATCATAAAATGTAGTGAGAATTATTAATAAATTGTTTGACTTTTGGAGGATATCCCTCTGGATCTACTAATGGCTTCAATTGTAATTTCTTGAATTATTTTATGATTTACTTCACTTTTGATCAGGCCATGGAATAAACTAGTCAGTATTGGGCCAATTTTTTAAATTTGATTCCACAAAGGAATAAACATATTGTATGTTTTATATATTTTTTTCTCATATAGTATGTAATTTCTTTAACAGTATTCAGGTATATGATTGGTACCTGCCTTAACGAGCAGCTGAGGGCTTTACAAATATTCCTCTCTGCATCCAGTGGGTAAGTAGACAAGGGAATTTTCATTCCAACTGTATTCTGTATGAACAAAAACTCTTTCCCCTGATTCATGGATGAATGTGTAAAGGGCATCATGATAAACAGTGTCATAAATTTCTTTCTCAAATTTTGAGAATGGTTAAAGGGCTCATAAGAGACAAGCTCAAGATCTGAAGGTGTAAAGGGGACTTTGACCTATGGTGAAAAACTTCATTGCAATCTAGCTCAGATAGTCATTTTATGCTTCATTGTTATTGCAATGCTGTATATACTGATCAAATTAAAAAGAGTCTGATTTTGGCTGAAATTGTGATTACTCTAAAAAACTTGCCCCTATCCCTATCTGCCTACCCCATTAAAGATATATATTTGCGTTTTGAATGATCAAAGCCCGGATCCAAGGTACTAGTTCATTCCCAAAGCCACTTTTCATCTGAAGGGCTTATGTATTTTGAAGATGGGGTTGAATTTCCCCTTTTGCCATAGTATGCAAAATTTTGTTTGATTCTGTCCCATGCTAGCTTCATATATCTCTAGTTTAGGTGATTATCTTTTGTGAATCCATCCCTTGTATTGGAATAGCCTAGATGTAGAGCAGCCTTTTTCATTTTTAGAATCTGGTAAAGATGTTTTAAAGTGGAAAATGTTTGTTCAGTGTGATAGATCAATTCAGGAAGCTTACATTCGGAGTCATTGTGCTCTGATTTTGAACATCAGGCCGGATAGTCTTATTGATACCTGCTGTTTATCCCTCAGGGGTGTCTAGTTCAGTTCCCTTGATGTTATTGCCTGTAAACAAAACATATATCTTTCTCCAGACAGTTTCACAGTACATAGGGATACCAGTTTTAGATAGGGATTAATCTCTGTTGATCTATGACTCATTTATTAGATCAGACCATACTGTATTAACCACATGTGAACCTCATTCCAAAAATAGAAGCTTTTTATGTTTAACTCTGTAACCATCTTGATGCCAAAACGGACTAAAAATATAAAATATAAAAACATTGATTTACCTGGGAAATCTCGAAAGAACACTTGTAGGTGATTTGAGGTGCATTACCGTACTTAGTATCTGGAACCAGAACATCAAGTGGGGGACTAACCACAAACTCATGTATCAATCACCTTTTGAACATCGTTAACAATTTGATGCAACCACCCCTGTTTGAATTCTGACATGTTTATATCAGCATCTGTTAAATCTAAGAAAAATGTTTACAAGGCTACAAAAAATGTATATTAAGATCAAGCTAACTTTTTGACATTTCTAGAGCTACACGGAACAAATACCTTGGAATATCTTAGATATTTATCATAGTAAATGTGAGATAATAACAAAATTGATGTATCATTAATTGGGGGCAAAATAGTCAACATCATTTGAGTATGTACATGCCATAAATCATGAGTACAGTGTAATATTTTTACTTGAACAAATCATACAAGTGAATTTGGCTGTTGTCACCAAAAAAAGTTTTTGTTGAGAAGCCTTCCATTCATTTATCTCTCCAGTTTTTTTCTATATTTGGTAGGCAACATGAATTACATAAGGGGCTTTAAATTGACTTTTTTACTTCATCATTTGATTGATTCTGTAATTGTTGTAATTTATGAATACCAGATAGTAGAGAAGAAAATATACCTGTCAAACTTAGGTAAATGTCGACTCTGGTAGATGAGGCCCATTTTTCTGAAAAAGAGGCCCAAAACGTTGAACACTTTTTACAATGGTAGAACAAGGGCCTTTTGAGAATTCATCCTAAAATTATTTTTAAGACTCTCAAAACGAATTTTGGCCCGATATTTTTTAAGTGGATGCAGGTCCCTAGACTGCCAGGTCTAACAATGTGAAGTAAGATCTGTTTAGTGTATTTTCATAGTCTGCTGCTTGATTAGAATCATTTGGGCCACTACAATGTTGAGTATCTATAAAGTTTATTTTAGACTTTGTTTTAGCCTTCTCTTGGTGGCCTGGAGTGTTGCTATGTTATAGTATACTTCAAGGTTATGTTTTATGTTGATTCAGCATGATCTAATGATGAAAACAGCCCCATAGGAACTGAACAAAATGTTTTTTTTGTTCACAACATAACCTTTTTATTAATTTCTTCACCCGCATGACCTTTTAGTGTGGGGAACAGTTTATCCCTGAAAATATAAAGTAGCCTTGCAAAAATAACATGAGAATATTATTGTATTTCTCATTGTTGACAATATACACTCTAAGGTACTGTAAAAGTGGTTAATTTCTTGAGATATTTAATTTCCCAATTTCTGAATTATGCTTAGTATGGGGAAATTAAATGTTGCAAAGATAACATATTAAAATCAATTTACATTGTAAATAGAAGCCGTCATAACCTATTCAAGTCTCAAGTCAATCTATGAGACTGTCAATCTTATTTTGTTAAACATGTGTTGATCAGTTAATCGATGACTGATTAAAGTTCACCCCTCTAATTTATTTATTTTATTTTTTATTTATTATTAAAAATTGGAATTGACCATTCAGCAAATTAAGTGCTCGGAATAAATACCTGCCACTTATACAGTACATCATAAAATTGCTTCACTTGCGATCTATGTGGAAGAATACCCCATTTTTCTTTTTAAATGAGTCTACATTTTTAAAATATACGCAAATCTTTTTTATTTTTAGCTCCTCTAAATTTTCAAGGTCTGTCTCTGTATAAAAGGGAGCATTGTAAGGTTGTGAAAGTTCTCCTCCAGGAGTCTAAAGACCAATCTTGATTCAAGGCCTCCTCACATATTATATAACATGGATCTTCCCCCAGAAAGAATGCTTTGTGCAATATACCTCGGAACTCATTTTCAGTAGGGAAGAATCTGTTCTCTATCAAAGCCGACTCTCAGTAAATCTGATTACTTCATATAGCAGACAGATCTATTTTAAGCACTCTAAAACATTCTGTTACATTCATATCAAACTAAATCCTCATTGGCTTTGATTGATAAAAATGTTCGCTGTATTTTTCTCAAATTACACAAAAGACCAATAATAATGCAAAATATATTAAGGGGTGATATAGCGACACGGGCTAAACTAGTCATCTTCCATCTTCAACTGAAGTGCAAAATTGTTTTCTTCAAAGGATTCCAAAAGCAAGATTCCAATAAACATTTATGACTTAGATGTGCCACATATATAAACATGAGGTAGTGTTTCACTGCTTCTCAATATGATAAAATGTTTTTAATGTTCGGCATATCATGTGAATTTTCCAAAACACTGAGCGGAATTAACAGCACCATATCTATACTACAGACGTCATGAAGTCATAAAGCTTTTGGAGCATTCAGCTGGTTTAACACTGACTGAGATTCATCCACTATTTGGGACAGATCATAAAGAACAAGAGGGGCTTTATATTTTCAGAAAATAATACTGTAAAACATTGAATTTACTGGAACATTTTTCACAGATTTGTATATTAATTGATTTCATATATTTATGTTTCTGCTTTTTTGCAAGTGACACAATTTGTGCCAGGTAGACACTATTAAAGTAGCAATCTGAATTTGCGATTTTACACTCATGCAAATGTATGCAAATTCAAGATGTATTTGAACTTAATGAGTTTAAAAGTAATATCCATTTCTTTGTTCAATATAATATATTAAAATATTCTTGGGTAGAGTCGTTTCGGAAAAAATATTCTAATTGTGGTTAACACTCAAAAGGTTGGGTGCCAAATCCAAATGGTCCATCTTTTGCTATATACAGTACCAACTATACCAATGTATTTTTATCATATGCCAGAAGTATGTTTTAATTATTTACTTACCACATGTGAGATATATATTCTTCAGTTACATGCAAGCCCATGCGTTATACAATCATATGATCACTTAAACCCCTGTATATACACCTGTATGTAATGACCCAAGTGGGCTTTACAGATCTTTAATAAAATCATAAAAAATTCAGTGGCTTATTAAATTGAATTGGATAAGATATTGAATAAGTTCATTGTAATTATGTCAAGTCTTGTTGAGGGTGTCTGTTTATATTGAGCTATCTTTCTACTTATAGGTCTGTTTCCAATCATGATTCCCAAATGTCAGGTGGTTGCTTAGACCCTCACCTAAATTTCCCTCTCATTCATGCTTATTTCTTATGTATTATCTTTAAAATTTGAATGAACAGCCTTATTTTCAGGTATTTCTATAACAGTTGTCTCCATGGCTGTTTACTTTATTCTTATAGATTCCACTATTTTCTATTTTATTTTCAATTTTAAAACATCAGCCATCATGCTGTTTGTATGGGAAAGCAACATTTATTTTTTGTTGGTGTTTTATGAATACAGGATGAAATTATAGATGATATATTTTGGCTAGCCTTTTCACTGATGTTTGTTTTTATGATGCAATGAAAACTTCCAAAACATTAAAGTCGGTGTGGTGGCAATATTAAGAGTCGAACTTTTGAAGATCCTTTTAGGAAAACTCTGTTTGACAAAAAAACAAAAATGATCATGTATCTCGATTTGGAAAATATATTTCGGGTCCATCTGTTTTGAAAATAAGTTATAGTCGAAGTAAGATGGGAAGAGACCCAGGTTAAAATGTTCCTCCCATTAATTAAGCAAAACAGCCAGCCAAGTTTGAGTGCAATAGGAACACTTTATCTACTTCAATTTACCTGTAATTAGATTCGTTAGTCTTATTAGACATCCTAGTATATTACATGGAAAAACAGGATCCGAGGTTCTACAAGAACAAAGCCATATTATAATTCCCACATGTTTGTTCTCGGTTGAACCAAAATGCTTCTTATTTTATGCAAAACAACCTTCCAGGGCAAACTATTAAATCATTCTTCCACTTCAGGTATCGTGGTACAGTATAGTTATAGGACTTGATAAAATAAAACTTGAACACCTGCTTTACTGTTGGTTTTAGAAACCTTTAGTTGAACCTGATAGCGAGAGTTTAAGTGAGATATAGCAATGCTCTCTGTCCATCTGTTTGACCATATGAATTCATTTGAATTTGATTAACATCTACAGTAAGGAGCAGGTTTAAATTGTTCATTTCATCAAGTTTAAAATCCACTTTATCTAAAGTTGTAAGATGACTGTTCTGAGTCTCCTGAACAATGTTATGCCATAACAAAAAATGACTTTGATATATGAATTTGTGAATTATTGTCTAGCAGTTTTCTCAGCTTTTTCATGTGCTATTCAATATTAAAAGAATTTATTCCTCGACAATCTCTCAAAATCACATTCTTTATTTCTCAACATTATAGCACTTTATGAGATGAATGGTTTGTTGACAGAAAAAATAGAAAAGGTATGCATCAATATATGTTAACTTTTTGTAGTATGATGTCTACACTTTGTTTTCACCCTTTCATTTTAATGCTATCCTGAAATTATGCAACCTTTAATTCCATAACCAAAAAACATCAAATTCTATAATATTGATTGCATGCAATAAAAACACAAATATTTATAAGTATCCCTGTATGGTTAATTACATCTTTCTTTTGGTGAAAAATTGCATCCATGACCAGTTTTATGTGAAGACATAAGTAAACATGGGAATCATTGCCAGAAAGCGGTACTCAACTCAACCTTTTCCTACCTCCTCCAACTGTCGGCAATTACCTATTTACTTTGATATATTGTTTTTTCAGAGCTTGATAAGTGGCTTTATTGCAAGTGGATATATCCTACCATGTAAATATTTATTACATAAATCAACATCAAATGTTGAAAAACATGTTTTTGGATTTGATATACAGGGCTGAATTATTGGACTATGGGACCTGAAATGGGTACTAACTAGTGAATATGTACTTCTTTGTTCATTAATTTTCCCATAACAGTTATCCTGGTAGCCACATCCCCTTCCATTTCTTATTGCACATGATGTAAATATAACTGATAATAGGTGGTCTGGTAATCTAGAGAATGAAGGAGGTTGAGTTTACAATTTACAACTTTCCCTTCATCATAAAAACTTCACATGGAGATGATAAGCGAACATAAATGTGCATTTGATAAACTTAACATGTTTTTTCAGTGGCTGAATTGTAATAAAGCAAGACACTAAAATGTAATATATGCTCCATTAATTTCATGCATATTGGGTTCCATTAGTCCCATAGCCCTTAGCCCCCTTCCCACTCTATCCCTTAAAATCAGTCATTGTCAAAACATTTTATATCATACTAAAGGGTACAATATTGTCATCAGCTTGTCTGCACATTTCCAGACAAATTCGCTTCACAGATTGACTCAACATATTCGATCATTTTCTTCAAAATCTAGAACTGAATAAATTTTTGGGCATGCAGTATAAATACAAGTGGCCATTTTTATGTTAAGGTATGATATTGTTTCCTGTTCGTATACATACTAATCCAGGGTTCTCCATCAGGTTATTCTCATCCAGGTGTTAAATTTCTTCGTTACCTAGGGATATTCCAAAAGTTGTTTTTATTGTGTGTTGTATGTAGGAGAGAAAGTTACATGTATTTGTATAACAATATGTTCATCTCTCTGATTGATGTTTCCAGACACAAGTTCCTTGCAGAGTTCTTGGAGGTTGGTGGTGTGTTGACAATCCTAGAGATCATAGGACTGAAACAGGCCAAGGAGGATGACAAGACAGAAGCATTGAAACTTCTCCTCTGTGTAGCAAATGCTGGAAGGAAATACAAAGAACTTATCTGTGAAAGCTATGGTAATTAGACTTCATTTATTAGCTGCCCCCATCTATTTATTTCTTGGTGTTGCCTGTGTTTGAGAGAGAATATGAGAGGGATATGCAGGGAGTTTTGCAAAGAAATTTGGATATTTGCTTGTTTGAGGAAAGGGATAGATGCCATGAGACTCAAAATGAACTTAGCATTGATTCTAATAGATGCATCTACATGCAGTAATTTCAAATTGATTTCAGTATACAGAAGTTTATTTTTCTATTTGATCCACCCTCCCATAATGGGTGATTTTGTGCTGAAGACGTAGTTTGTTCATTCTGATAGATATTTCAAAAATGAACTGTAAAGTACTAAAATAACAAAATTGTATTTTTTTAGGAATCAGAGCCATTGCAGAATGTCTTGCAAAGTCAAAGTCTGAGATCACACAAGAGACTGCCAGAAACCTCCTACAGACACTTGCCCAAGGCAACCCCAAATTTGAGGTTCAGGTCTACAAAGGTCTAATAGCCCTTCTACCATGCAGCTCACCCAAAGCACAACAGATGGCAGCACAAACTCTGAGAGTCGTACAAGTATGTAATGTATTACTTGGTGGCATTTAGGGCACTTACTTTTGCATTTAGGATCAAGAAAATGTATGCGACATTTTTATCAGAAATTTAAAAGTTGAACTTGAAAGCACTTGTTGTAATAACACAAGTGAATAAACAATTTCACAGTGGCTTATGTGACTGTATTGTAAAAATTGTAGATTTTGCAAAACATTTTCTTGTTTATACATCAGAAAGTAAAAAAGATGGCAGCTTTGTTAATCACACTGTTATCTTTTTGGAGGCTGAGTGTAGCTTTTGTACCGTTTTTGTGATCAGCTGTCAGTGTTTGGTGCTTGTCACCATGTTTTGTAATTTTGCCATTCATGTTCATATTATTTATTATGCCAATTGTCTTTCAGCCTATAGTGAAAACAGCAAACCCTACTCTAATAGAGCCCCTGCTCAGTTTACTGAGGACCTTGCATCTAGAAGTACAATTTGAAGGTGAGTATCATGTTACATTTGAGCTATCCAAATACACCCAACCTTGTTTTGCCATTTTGCTCTATAGCAATGACCAATCAACAGACCAAATATTATGTTATGTTTGACACTCTTGGTGCAATTATTTACCAGACTCTGAATCGCTTGTGTCTGGAGCTTATCACAATGTAGAGAGCACTTCTTAGAATCTATTCTCTGGGATGGATATCATTTTTATTATTATGAGGAAATGTAATGATAAAGTATAGTATTATGTGCCAAATGGAATATGTACTTGGGACATGAACGTTTAGTCAATGAGAGTTAATAAAATTAGAACCAAGATGAAGTGTTCACATTTTTCAAAATGAATGTATTTTCAGCAATTGAATTAATGAAAGATCTGATGAACTATGACATCCAGCAGAGTCTCCTCAGTGGCCTTGTAAAGCTATTGAGACCATCCAAGGAAGATATACTCAGTCAGAGAAAACCAGAAATATTAAATAGTAAGTTAAATGTCTTTCCGTCAAAAGAGTCATATGAGATATACATTGATGAAAGTAATACTTTACAGTAAAACCTGCACATTGTGTTTTGGCCTTGGGATAAACACAATATTCTCAATAGGATAGTCTCTCTATGTACTATGCCCATTGTGCTCTTTATTTATCGTGTTTCAAACATAATGTATTCAACTGTCATTATACTTCACACATATTTGATTCCACATATATTTTGTATTTCCCACATATTGTCCTTATCACATATGTATTCTAGTCCTTTGTAGTTGTACTCCCAATATTGCATTCTACTTTTGGTGTACTGTACACATTGTATTCTACTTGTACACTACATTGTTTTCCAGATGCAGACATGTCCAAGATGAATGCCCCACTCCCTGTGTTTATACAACAAGCAGCTGCAGCAAAAACTATTGGGTATGTATATGGAAGTTATTCACTGGGAAGGATAACATCGAACATGTTCTTGGGACATGAAACTTGAATCAGTGAAAATTAGGACCAACATAAAGTGTTCACATTGAGAAATGTTTATATAAGAGAGACAATCAGATATGCAGATTTTACTGTATGTACTCTTGTACATTTATTGAACTTTTAGTTTATCACCCTATTTGAATTATTCGTTCCATTTTAACCATCTTTTCCTTTAATCTTTTAGTAAATGACACTTCAGGTGTTGCTAATTGAATGCATGATTGGTTATCACTTTTTGAAGGCTTTAAATTGTATCCATATACAAGGTCAGGTCGGAACTGTACATGCATATCCTCGTTTTGTAAGTCATCGCCAATACCTACACTTTCCACACATTCATTGTCCCAAGCCTTTAATAGATGTTCAAGTTTGTGTGCTTGTTTTATCATACGTCGCTTTCCATAGTTATGTACTTTATAATGGAACTGATCCAAGAAGTAATCGTAGAGCTTAACATCTGCAAAGTTCCAGTCCCTGATGTTATACAAATGTAGTGTATCAGTTAGGCGTTTATCAGTGTCAAGTCTTGCAGCTTTAACGAAGTAAACCAAATCTGTGATGTCCCATCCAAGCATGTCTTGAAGCAGTATCAAGCTTTCATGCATCATATCGGCGATTAATACAATATCGAAATGGTCATCAATTTCCTGTATTTTTGCGGTAATTTTATCCTGATGTGGCATCTGTTCCAGATCCAATCCAAAGTCGTACATCATGGGACTTTGAGTAGCGATCCTACATAATCTTGGCTGATACTTATAAGGATTTTCAGCAAATGTTTTAAGAGGATTTGTAGTCTGTATGTTGTAACATTCCTTTCCACCAAAATCATAATATTCAAAAGCAGATTGAAATTGGTATTGCGGATCACGTAATATTGTCACTGAGATTGTGTTTTTAGGCATGATGCTATGAACTGATTCATGATATCTCATATGACTACACATTATGTTATATTCTCCATCCCTCTCAAGAAGAGGCATAACGAATTCCTTCTTGAATGTTTGTGGCCAGAAAAACTGATGTCCTTTTGTTGGCAAAGCAAATGTAAGGTCATGCGTGTCTCCATATTTAAACAAAATTCCTTGTATAGTAGAGCTTCCTGTTTTGTGCGTCTTCATAAAGTAAACATTATTTATTGGAACTTTATGTTTTAGTCTGATTCGCATTCTTCCTACAATGCTGAGTATTTCTTTGATATTTTCTAAACCTCCATTCTTGAGATATACAACTGATACAAACAATAAAAATATGAAGATGTAAAATTGCCTCTTTCTCCTTCCAAACATGGTCATTTGTATAACTGAGTAGCTTTCATCCATTAAGGTGCGTAGCCACATGTCCATACATTGTAATGTTAAGGAGCAATTCAAGGCCACACAAAATTAATTTTTATGGTACACAGTAATAGATTCTGAAGTTCAAGTAGCAAATTCATAGAATACAAAAATACAAACCTAAAACATACTAATTATAAGATATGAATTTTATTTATCAAAAGGAACGGCAGAAAATTGTATTTTATAGTTCATTCTATAGTAGCTGGATGTTAAACATAAACTAGTTTACATGCCCTTACAAGTTACTTCTGCCTCTGGTGTAAATAGAATGAATGACAAGTAATAAAATCTAAAGGCATTTTCTACTTCCCCATCAATCAAACTTTAACTACACTATAATATACCATTACAAAGACATATGAGTTCAGTTGCAATTTTTATATCCCCATCAAGAAGTCATATTCAGTTACCAGTTTGTTATTCAATCTATTTATGTACACATTATACATAAGAATTGGCATAATCTATGCTGTATAAGTCTCAATTATGGAGGCGTGAAAACTTCATATGTTGGTAATCCAATGTCAAGAAGTGGTGACTTATTGTTTAAAACTTCATATTTATGACCAGCATTTGATGTCAGTGATTGGTGTCAATGGTTGGTGTTAGTGGTTGGTGTCCGTAACAAATGTTTTGTAACCATTTATAAGTGTTGATATTTCAAATCCCCTTGTCTTAGTCTTGCATCAAGCCCCTGTACATCCCTCACCTCTCCTCATGCGAGACTGCAATCTCTACAATTGTTTTGAGAATATTGCTGAATTTCTTAATCCATTACGAAATATAGTGTAGGCTTTGGGAAGATGATGTTTAATAAATTCAATAAGTTGCATACCTCATTGTTAATGTCACCCAACAAGTAAATGTATGAACTTGTTAATTTGCAGAATTCTAGCAAGAGAGTCGGCAGAGTATGCAGAGAAGTTGGTGCAGCTTCGTGTTGTACACAATCTGATGTTTGCCATGGGCAACCAAGATTACGCAGACAGTCAGCGCCAAGCCAGTGTCTCTCTTGAGGTAGAATTATTTCAATTTCAAAATATCGCTATTTAGTATTTACTGAATGCATTTTAACCTTACAGAATTGTAATATATCCTTTGCAAAACAAATGATCTTTAGACATAATATCCCCTGGGTGAGTAGATTAATTTCCATTGTAATTAAATGTGCATAATTGTTGTATTTTCTAGTACCTTTGCCGATCCTACCCCCTTGTAGATGACCATGTCAGAGAGGCGATGGGAGATCAGTTGTATGATAGGTTCATCTCAAGTGCAGATACCCTTTATGTAAATATGAATGCAGTCCAGGCTGATGTTCTTGTCTCCAATAAGGTCAACATACCAGGAAGTAAGTCTCATAGACTATATTTATGATTTATTTTAAATGTTATTAATTTATTCATCTATAGATATGCTGCGGAATATATTATTATGCAGTTTGTTATAGAGATTTGTAATAGATCAACTTTGCATGGTAAAAATTGTAAAATGAGCGCTATTAGGCTTTTGAAATTGAAATGAAGGGATTCACTGTTAATAAATTGCTTATTTATATCAATGTATGACATCTCCATTGATTTTTTAATGCTTCAAGGAAAAAGATCACATCTTTTTTTCCCCTTTATATAGATTAAATCAACATCTTTGATCAACTAGTTCTCCCTATGCATTAAAGGTTTCTCTATATCTTCCAGGTGAGATTGTTCTTGCAAATTGGATTGATGTTTTAATGCATTTCTATTTATTTTCAGCCAAGGAATCTAATGACTGAGCGCCCTGCCACCTATATCTCAGAACATGAACTTCACAATACAATAGTACAAAGTAACTGAAGATCAGACAAAAAATCAAATATATTTATTTAAAGGATATTTAATAGAGAATTTATACCAACATATTTATATATAAATATGTAGAATATATTCCAAATTACTCATTTTTGTATGGTTATTAGCATATGAAATCAGTGATCAGTGTCGCAAAGAGTGGATGGCTTAGAGATAATAATGTTTAATCTATTTCAAAATGGGTAAATTGGAATATATTCTATACTGTAAGATTATTTATATTAATTCAAGTTAAGGAACGGTGGAAATGTAAAGCCTATGTGCTGTAAACTATTTATCTCAATTACTAAGTTTTGCATACACTGCATGGCCATTCCCAGAAAGAATTTTTTACCATGTCCTTGAGCAGTAGCACTCTCATCTCCCTCTCAGAGCTTATATCTTGGTTTTAACACAATTGATGGTCATGATGATGGTGATGACTTAAAAATTCAAATATTATCTACTGTTAAAGATGACACTTTTTTTTCATCAGAATAAGAAAACGGCCATCTGGTATATTCAAGATCCAAGCATTTCAATTCTTTTATCGAGCTGTGTCTTGACATGCATTGACATCTGCCTGTTGCATTGTAACTCCTGCAGTTGCAATACATCTATATGTATCTAATAGTAATTGAGACGTTTTCCAAGTGCAGTCTTTCATATAAACTATAAACTTCGCACAAGGAGGATACCATATCCTATATTAAATCCTTGTTAGTTGTTCTCTTAGTGCATTTATTATTGTAAATAGATAAAATGTTTTTTATTTAGTGAATCTATAATTGTAAATAAATAAAATGTTTTTATTAGTGAAAAGTTCTTAGTTGTTGGTAATTTATTCAGTGTGCCTACAAGGTGTAGTGATTTATTTGTGAAAAGTAGTAATAACTTGAGAAGGGACATCTTCAGTCTTTGGGCAATATTGATTACCATGGCAACAAATTCAGTTTTCACTCTTAACAACCGTAACCAGGTGGTGACATGTTGTCATATAATTCCCTTGTTTTCACTTTACTGAGGATAACACGAGGTTATGTATTGAAGTACAGTAAAATCTGTCTAATCGGAACACCATTGAGACTTGCTAAAAGTGTATTAAATTGCATGTGTTCCCATTTCAAGGTTTCTTTATCAGGGAGTCGATGTAAAATAACAAAATTGGGATTGAGAAAAAGTGTTCATTTGGCAGATGTTAGGATTACAGAGGTTTTCCTACATACAGTTTTTAATGAACACTACTAAAAAATCATAATAAAAATTACATAATTTACTATTTTTATTTATTTCACTATATATATTTTTCAATTTATATCTTCATGGATCACCTATTTTTTCAAATGATGGAGTGAACATAAGGAATTGTCTGCAGAACACACATATTGTCAGACTTCCACCAGACCCATTACTCTTTCCACAAGGTTTGTCATAAAAGCATTTCTAAGCCATTTAAAACCGCTACCTTCAAAACCTTTTAACACCCGTTGAAATGTATAGGTTTGCATCAAGCCTCTGGTCTTTCCCCTATTTCAATTGCCTGATCCATGTCAGAATTAGGATGTAGAGGATTTAACACAGGGGATTGATGCAAGACTGTTATTTCACAGGTTAGAGAATGATATAATGGCATGAATGGAAGTGGAACAATAAATAGTTTATTTACACATATAGAAGTTCAAAGTCACATATCAGTGTTGTAGCCTTAGCCCCAAGAGGGCTTCACTAGGGGTATTCACGTACAAAGATTAATACATAGGGGATGTAGCGCCCTCTAGGGAAGCCCTACTATAACTAAATTTTAAATACAGACCGAGATAAAAAAGGCCATCAAACAAACATAATGATCTTGTCATTTGAAAAAAAAGTTTATAGGGTGCTATTAAAATCAGCCTACATCTCAACCCATTTATAAAGCGGCTATTACAAGAGTAAACAATAAATACTAGATAAAGTAGATGTACATATTACTCCATGTATATTGTACTCAACAAATATTGTACTTCAAATATAGAATATTGTACTCAACACATATTGTACTCTAAGTATAGTATATTGTACTCAACACATATTGTACTCCCAAGTATAGAATATATTGTGCTCAACAAATATTGTACTCCAAGTATAGTATATTGTAATCAATAAATATTATATTCCAAGTATAGTGTATTGTACTCAACAAATATTATACTCCAAGTATAGTATATTGTACTCATCAAATATTGTTCTCTAGACATATTGTCTAATACACTTATATTTGTATTAGTTTGTACACTTGAAGGCTATTGTTTTCATGGTTTGAGAGATTGGCTTCATAAAACATACATACACGTCATTATAGACTTCTTCATGAACCTTTACAAATAACTAATGCTATATTAACAGAATAGTTGTATAGCTTTTGAACACACACTGGTGTACATATCAATGGAATGTTTCATACAAGAAAATGCAGGTACAGCATAAACCTCATTGTTGGGGATAAGCATGACCTATGCAACAACATTTTCAACTTCAAAATGACACATTTCTTCTTGTCATTTCTCTCTGACTAGAACCAGCTAGTAACAGTATATATAAGAAAACAACAACTCAACCTAATAATTTGCATGTTTCAGTGTTGCCATGATATGAACAACTGTAGGAATTCAGTTTCAAACTGCTAATGATCGAGGTGTACATTCTTAGTGAAATTTGATTTCTATTGCATTCCATGTTTCCCTTGAGTGTCTTAAAAGTAACAGGACTGGTTTTTATTTATTTGTGACAGAAATATCGGTCATTCAGGGTATTCAATAGGAGTCCAGATTCCTACTTTGTGATATAAGTTTGCCTATGCAACTATGATGTCACATTACCATAGCAACCATAACTCTAACGGAACTTCTTAATATATTTTCATATTTGTTAGTCTAGTCCCAATATTTGGAAGTATATTTTGAAAAAATCTGAACAAAATAGGTGCAGAATTAACAAAATGTCAGTATAAGTTTAGTTACTTTTTGAACACCCTGTATATTGACCAGACACCAAAACTTTACCTCAAAACATTCTAACATGGTTGCTCTTGTGTAATGACCAGCATTGCAAAAGAAAATCTTGAACATGAAAGGGTTAATGCTCAAATGTGAAAAGTCCAAACAGAACACTCATGAAAGTAAGGAGAATATTGGATACAACAAAATTGCCAGAATTCTGACCAACGCCACCTATCCCAGTTGAGGTAGGTAGGTATACAATGCTATTGTAGCATTTTCCCACCATATAGTCGTTTTGATTGTTAGAAGTATCGGGACACTGGGTGCAGTACTTTGCGGTGCTTGGGCACAACTGGGCAACATCACCATTTAAGGTTAAATGACATGTTTGACCAGATACATTTCTCTCCACAGCTCCTGAAATTAAAGAAAACATTAATTTTAAAGCCAATGACCAAACGACCAAAATCAATTTTCCAAAACTCAATCCAGCACCCCCCACAAAAAATATGAAAAACTCACCTGCTGGTTTGCAGATCCCAAGCCCATCATTAAGGTTCAGTTGAACTAGATCACCATAGCTTTGTATGGGCCAGACTGTTCCCGCAGTCTCCCCTGTCTGACATTGGCACGTTTGGTTTGTACACTCTGCCGAGTAGACCCCCTGACAGTCTGCATCAACAGTGCAAGGGTCTCCCAAGTCCTCTGTAATGTTGGTAATAGTACATTTAATACACATTTGTTTGTTTGTTGGTTATTTTGTTTGTTTACATATGAATCATTCTTATAGCTACTTAAAAGATAAAAAGTCAACATGTGCTTTTACAATTATATTGTGATAACTAGTCAACTTAAACGAAGTCGTTTTAACCACTGGGCACAATGATTTTCAAGATTAAATAACTTTTGTTAATTACAAATATTACTTAATATACTATTTTTTCATACATGGTTCATAAAAACATTGCTGCAATTTAAAAAATGAATATTTCTGATCTAATTGGCTAGCTCTTGCCGCAACACTTTCATTTTCCACAAACGTATCTTTCCATTTTTATGTGTTTTTGTAAGTTCATTATAAGTATATATATGTAGTACATGTATAAACTTACTGTAGATGCAAATTCCATCACTGTTTTTCATTGCTGAATTACAGGCACATACACTGTTATTGTTGCACACAAACCCTACAAAAAACATAGAATTTGATGATTTTTGATATAATTTATATCTGATGTACTTAATGTAAATAAAATAGATGTATACAATTAGTCGGCAGGGTTTATTAGAAAGGTTTGAATTTGATATAATATGATTGACTGAATTTGTCTCATAATTTATATTTGACTCATTGTATATTTTATTTCTTTAGTACCCCAGATATAACGAACTACTGAAGTTAATGATCAACATTTTTATTGTTATTTATAATGGAAGACAATATCTTGTTGATAAAATTATTTGTGATAGATTCATCTTATGTAACAGAGGTGTTGTCATCTCACGTCTTAGACTTTGTTTTCACATGATGTCATATCATGCAATCCTAGATTCTGGGTCTAAGTGACTTTGCAAAATGACTCATTATAGTCATCCTACAAAATGTCATTCAAACGCCCCCTAATTTGCTACATTCTACAGAATAATCACACGCCAGGTCCCTAGAGTAATGCTAAGTCAAAATGTTTGGGTTATTAAGACCTGGTATTGGTTCTACTAATTTGAAGTACATTTTATGAATAATAAAATGGGCGCCCGCAGGGAGGGGGGTCATTGGGTGCAATCTCACCCCCTTTTTTGATCCAATCTCCAAAGAGTTTTGGTTCATGGTGCTGAGAAGGAAACTTGGAGGAAAGAAAAACCATGGGCTCTGAAGAAAGAGGTGGAGAAGCTAGGCTTCAAGTGCAACCTATGATGATGGAAAATGTTGTTTTTAAATCTTGGGGATGTCCATAGATAGCATACCTTTGTTCACATTACATATAGTGTCACTTCCAGAGCAGTCTGCATTATATTCATTTAGAATTGTTTTCCCATTTGTGTTGACACACGATTCAGTGATTGGGTCGTACCCTGCCACTTGAGGACAGATACAGGTTGTGTTACAACTGGCCCCTTGTGTTTTACAGTTCCCAGAACCTTCACCGCTACAAGAAGCCCCAAACGCAGCTCCTGTAAAAATGTCATAATAGCCTCACAAAAATCACATTTTGGTTTTGGTTAATATTTAATTGATCCAGCAAAAGATAAAGACAAGTTGAGGGTGACCTTTGAAAACCACAATTTTATAATATTATTTTTTCATGCATTCCTTTTATGCTTATTTCCAAAAATATTCAAGATATCTGATTTCAGTTTAACACAATGATGGATAGAATAATGAAAAAATCAACTCTGCTCTAGTCTTACCTAATTCACAGGTTTCGTTGACCCACACCTGGTCTGCATAGCAAGTGCATGTGCCATTGGCACAGTCCCCAAGAATATAACAGATCTAAAACAACATAACCAAATTTCACATAACCATATATATATTTACATAACACACTATACAGTATTTCTTGACATGTGTTTTTTGGAGCTTGACATGTATCTTTTATTGTATTGCAACTGATTTAATAAATTTTGCAAACTAAAGAAGTGGTGGTCACTCTGACTTAAAATTCACACAGCAAACATCTACATGTATAGACATGCAACAAAAAAGGCTGACCTTTCCATAAAACGCAATATTTGGATATATTTTATTTTTGCATTTTCAAACAATTGAAAAGATTATTAATGCTTTATTATTTAGTTGACATCATTTTTTGTGCAAAATATCAAAGCACAACCATTTAGTAAAGAAATGTGTGATGCGAGATTTGGACCCAAGTCAACCATGTGGAATGCGAGCATTTTTCCACTGCCAGTTAAGGTTTTCATATTCCACAATGAAATTCAACACTTCTCATTTTAAACCTACTTATTGATATGCTAACTGAATCATATAATATGATATCTTCTGAAAATTGCATGGTCTGTGAACATCCGAGCAATTGCACATTTATCCCATTTACCCCATTTGTTCATCTTTGCATATTCTCTCTTTATCAATAGGCACCTTGGAACAACCTAATGTCTCCATAGTATATGTCATCTATCATTTTAAAGCTCATCCAAAGTTGATTATGGTTCAACTCACAAATGAGAAAAAGTTACAGGCATTTCAAAATTTAGTAATTGGCGAAAATTAAAGTTCAGTTTTACACCAAATTAATCGTCCGTGTGTCTCCCTTGGCCATGTTAACAGTACCAATTCTTATATCATCAGATATGACTTTAAATTAAATGCAATGTAAATAGGGGTGTGGCATTTTGTAATCCTCTTAAAACCTTTTAAAGGCATTTTAAAAGAGTTTCCTTAGAGTATCTGCCCTCATCATTTTCTTTTTCCAACTTAATATCCATCCTATCTTTGACAATAGCTGCCGGATTTTTGGTCACATTCAGGTCAGGGCAGGTTCAAGATACTGAACTGAACTTAAATTCTGGCCAAACACTAAGTTTTGAAATGTCTGTAGTTTTTACACATTTGTGAGTTGAACCATGATACTTGGCAAACCAATGTAACTTTTGGTAAACTTTAAAATGATGTGTGACACATGCTATGGAGAAATTGGTATATGTTCGCCTGCCCTAGGTGGATCCCATACTTTTGGGACACCCTGTATTATGGGATTTCTGCATTGTGCATTTTTTACATAATGATACATCCGGGACTAACAATTGATTACCCAGTCTTGAGAATTGGCCAGTATATTGACATTATCATCTAAAATTTGTTGATATTTTATGTAAGGGCAACACTGTGTATATAGTTGTGTTCTTGTCTCCATAGTGATTGTCTGAACCAATGCAAGTGTTTCATTCAGAGAAATCAGCTTAAAATCAGCTAGAATTGCAACTTAAATATCAGAACTGTTGAAGATTTTTAATAAAGTTACAATAAGTATACTTTTCCAGTTATTTTCCCAGGAATCAGTGCTTGCCTAATTAACAGAGATTAATTAATTACATATATAATTAATGAGTTAATCAATAATAAAATGCCTAGTTACCTGCCCTCCTGAACAATCATCATCAGTTGAACAGGTCAATGCCTCAAGACCAATATACACAACTGATAAAGCAATCAGAGACAATACCAACTGGAAAGAAAAAATAACAATCTTTTTTTATATATTTTTTATTTATTTATTTATTGATTTCTCAATTCACCCTTTATAGGGTATAAGAGTTCAAAAGATAAACTTAAAAAATGTTCATTTTTAAAACATGTGAATTTTTCATTATGGCTATTCCCCATTATACTAAAATATGAATGACAGTCAATAATGTATTTATGGCAAAAAACAAATGCTATATGCAAAAAATAATAAAACGATTATGCTATAAAAATGTCAGAAACAGTCACACATCATGTAATGCTATGAAACAGTTTCATCACATTTCATTTTTATTAGCTCTCAATTTATTTTAATCAGCTTGGTATAGTACACGACATGTATATGCGAAATAATTTTGGCAAGATTTATTAAAGTGAGTACTATATATTTTCAAGTTATGTTGCCATGAAAAAAAAAACAATACATAAAATATATCGAATATTACAATAAGTATAAAATAATTATGAAATGATGTTTTTTTAATAAATAAAAAATTCAAATAAATAAACAAAATTCAAATATGAATGAAATTTGTATGATTATTGTAATAGAAGAGTATATAAAACATTATATTATTAACATTTACCTTATTCATTATAGTGATAATATCCAATAATTCTAGTATAAAAATATCCAATGTTGAGTTTATAAAAATATATATTTTTCCCCAAGCTTCTTGATGCTTTGAAGATTAGAAACCAAATGAATTATTATATTATATAAAAGTCTCCTGGCAACAATGTTGTAAACATACACATAGTCGTTATGGAGATATATCCCATATGGGAAAAGCTGGTAAACACTTTAATCATAATCACATGGTGATTGTGTGAATAGAAAAAGCCAAAGCCACATATATATGGATTATGCCTTGATTGCAAAAGTTTAATGAAAATGATGCAAAGCAATCACTAAGTTTGTTAGGTAGTTTGTTATAGTTTGCATTGTTTGGACATTGTTGCACCAAAATGGGCTTATTAGCTGTTTGCAAATTATTAATGTACATAATGTACACATAGTTTTAATTCAATATAATGTATTATAGAATTCACATTATTTGGCATTTTAACTTAAAGTTGCATTGACAAGTATATTACACTTTATATCATATACATGTATATACATTATGTCACTGTTTGAATTTAAATAAAAACTGCTTAACTCATATATTTATGCAACACGTTTATTATTGATTAATTGATGACTCGAGTATGCTCCAAGGTGTGTTTCAGGGTCAAAATGTGATTTTTACAAGGAAACCAATGGAAAGGTGCCACAACTAAACCTATTTCAAAATAAATGTCAATTTAGGGTCCTCAGTCTGGCTGAGAAAAAGAAAAGATACAATGAGTCAATGACATAGGATTTCTAAAATAAGAATTGTTTCACATTAAGATTTCATTAATGTAGTACAAAGTCGTTAAATACAATTAGAAAAAACTCTGACTGCCGAGTAATGTTTTAATTAAATGAAATTCTGTGTATATGCTGTTTTAAATGTTTTTCAACATAAAATAAGAATATATTTATGTCATATTGGGCAATCAGATCACTGTCACTGTCAGCGATGTCACCATGATACCATCAGTGAATAAAATTTGGGTATAAGCAAAGTATAGCAAAGCAGATGCAAACCAACCCCCCCCCCTGATAAGGCCCATATACCAATGTGTACACCCCAGGGTCCCATATAAATGCCATGACCTGAATATTAATTATAATTCATGTTAATTTAGGGACCGAAATAAATAAACAATCAAAATAACCTTCAATTAGCTGTTATTCAAATGCCGGTGATAAGACGAACATAAGTCACATCTACCACATTTTTTTATTTTATTGAAGCTATCAAAAGTTCAATGTATGTTGTTGTCAATCACTGTATACAGGGTGGTCCAGAAAGGTTGTATCAAATGTTTTTTTAGCAATGAAAAGGTCGTTCAACTGTGGAGCAAATGTTGACGTTTTTCACTGCTAAAAAACATTTGATACAACCGTTTTTCCTGAAAATAAAAAAAATTCAATGCTCAAAGATGAATGTTCAATTCGTTCACTGCTTAAAAAACTTCAGATACAACTTTGAAAATAAAGGAAAATGCATTGGAAATACAAAATACCATAGATATGCTTGAAAGAGCAGTGAACAACTTCAACAGTCGTGTTCCGGAACATTGTAGCATGGATTGAGCACATCATCCATAAATCAGGCATGTCAGTTAATGTCATCTAACTTTTGCTACATTTAAGACTGAGTGACTTTGTGGTACCAACAAAAAATTCAGACCTTCTTCTAAAAAACATGTGGAAATATTAGCCTATCAGGTTGTACGCACGATATCAATATTTTAACACTTTCCTTTTAAGCTGCAGTAAATGGTTTCATAGATTATATTATCTTTACTTTGCGACTTTGTATTTTGGATGTTTATTTAACATGTTCTTGAAGAGCTTTTGGATGATCATAGATGAAAAGTTCATGTCATATATAGGTCTTTGTAGCCTTTTCTTGATACATTATAGCAGGTCAAGCTCAATCCCTGGCAAATATTGCAGAGAATTTTCTAACCCTTGAAAAATATGAATAGTATGCAAGTATTGTAAATAAACTTAAAACAATAAAAGGGATATTTGAACTCGATAAGGAGATTATAATTTACTAAAGACACTTTTTCCAAAATGTTCAACTTTCAGAAAACATACTTCAATTTCAAATATATAGACACTCTCCTCTCTTTATTCTTAAACAGGGGGTCATAACAGAAACTTCGTAAAATTACAAATTTTGTAAATCAATTAATGTAACCATGGATATAATGATGTCACAGTTAGAAAACAATGGGTTTTATGAAATCTTAACTTAATGAAGTTTCTGTTAATGGCCCACAGGACATTTTTGAAAATTTTGGTTAGCTCTATTTACTATCTGAAATATTTGCCACATAGTAAAGATCATTTATTAAATAGAACTATCCTATTTTGCACAATAATGAAAGACAAATAGATTCAAATTATTTGAAAGTTCAAATACTTCAATTATTTGATAAATCTTATATTTAATGAATACAAGAACATACCGGTCAATGGTCAAGGTTTTTGCTATAATTTAATAATTTAAAAATACATTAACACTAGATGTGTGTTTGGTGTTATGACTTAATAAATCTCCAAATATGACATAATACGGTTCCAATTATTTAAAGGGGCAGTTAGATGCAATATATTTTAAAGTAGATTTTTTAATGGGTACATAAGATCATTCAAGTTCAAAACACTGAATACATTACATGCACAAAACAACAACTTTGGGTATTTTCACCTCTAAATCAACATTAAATGATTTTTACCATCAAGCAAAATATCAATTTTGACATACAACGAAAATACATAATCTTTAGAATGGAGAGTTAGAACCAGACTGTTGGTATGGAGTCAATAAAATATGATTCATAACTACCAAGGCAAAAATGCTGACAGCTGCTAAAATTGTTGCCTCAAACTAATAATGTCCCTTTAAATTCAAGAATCAAATGATGCAGCAGAAAGCGTCATTCACCTAACATTGACACATGACCAAACTGCAAAGGTAAACAATGTACCTACTAAACAACAGCTGATATTTTGCATGAAGCACAAACATTTGCCCTGCATGCATGTTTCAAAACTAGAAAATTGATTTTGAAAAAGCATGCATCAAATACATTTACTTAAATAAATATCCATTTGAATTTTTGAGATGACCTAACCTTATGCAAAAGGAAATTTGGACCCAGGGGTTAAGCTAGGGGTGAGGAGTGAAGGGTATATAAGAAGCCTGGTAATGTGATTTTGTCAAACACAGCATCCCTGGGCTACCATGATGCTTCGACTTTCACTCGCACTACTTGGAATCTGCTTGGCAGGTGAGTTCTCCTTTGGATATTTTTGGACTTGACTTTTTTACATGCCTCATATTACTTAATGGAGCAAGCTTCATTATAATTTTATTCTTAAGGTAAGAATCAGAGAAAAACAATTCAGAAAGAGTGTACAATCAAAGTTTTAAATGGTTCTTTTTTAAGTGTCCGCCATTTATTTATTTTAATGTTTTTTAAACTTAGACCATGAAAATATGAATATGAAAATTATTGCATAATATATTTTGTTATAAAAATTCATCTCCATTCAAATACAGGTAAATAAAATTAAAATTTGTTATTCAAAAATATTCCTTTTAATGTTACCTAGTTTGAACAAATAAATGATTGATAATTGCAGCCATAGAAATAACTGGCAAAGCTTGTTTCAATCATGCAATCATCCAATTATATTAGTTAATTGTTCCTAAATAATTCAATAAATTGTTCTATATGAAACAAATCAAGAAGTAATTTCCTGAGAAAACTGATAAAAGAACAATCTCATTCCATCTAAATATAATAAATATACTACTTTGATAACTTTTGACAACACAGTCCAATGCCCATCTACAGCCCATTTCACTGTTTTATTTTGTCAGTAGAAACACAAAAATAAGAAATCTGGAGACCATTGTGCAATAATATATGGAAAAGTATATTCATATTGCTTGTATTGTACATGAATGACATTTGTGCATTTCAGATTATTTAGTTTTTTGTGTAATAAGCCTATGCCCTCTTGTAATTTAAAGAATTTCAGGCATGTTAATCTTTTTGAAAATACTATGGCAGAGAAGCATCAAAATATAAGAAGCCACATTCTTTATTACCCAAACTAGAAGCAATCCAAGATATACAAATGTCATTTATGTACAATAGGAATATGTTTTTCCATATATTATTGCACAATGATATTTTGATTACTTATTTTTAGAATTTACTGACAAAATAAAACAATGAAAATGGCTGTACGTGACATTGACATGCTACAACTAAAATATGATCATGAGATCATATACTGTAGTTCTGTGTTAATAATTGTATTACTGTATTGTGATACTGTATTACAAATTATTCTATCTTTACATTTTTGTATTTGTATGGAACTGCAGGTGCACAATATAAAAGGGTTATGTACTGGGAGACTTTGGATATGGGTTTATCCATCCAGAGGGATATAATGCATATCTACGTAAAATGAAATTCTGAATCAAAAAAAAAATATTAACAAATATTTTCTGTTTCGCAGGTGCATTTGTGCCACCAGTTGAGAAGTTTCAACCTGGGTATGAGTTTGTGTACCAGTACAGTGGGCAGGTGCTCTCTGGGGTACCACTGAGCCTCAGCCAACAGTACTCTGGCCTAAAGATCAAATGCCATGTGAGGTTGCAGCTTGTAGAGAGAACCGAGGCAATCCTTCAACTGAATGACATTCAGGTATAATAGTACTATATATAACTATTTTTCAATAAAAAATTGAACTGAATTCTGTTGACGTATAGAAGAATAAGGGTACATTAAATTAAATTGATTTTTAAATTAGCATTTTTCTCTTTAAATCCTTCCTTTTATCTGACTATATTCACCTCAGCAATAATGCCCCTCCCCCTATAATTCGTTTCCATCAGGGTGGCAGTTTTCAATGAGGCGTCAATGATTATCACTGAGTGAGATGGAAACTATTTTGATCATGAGGTTGTAGTTTTAAATTATTATAATTTTAAAAATGTTAACAATAATTTTATTAATCAACTATCGTTGAAGAACTAGAGATAGAGACCTGCTTTTCAAAAACATGATACAATTTTAGAGAAAAAATCACTCCATTAGTCTTTTTATCGGAAATGATTTATCTTTTTACCTTTTAAGACATTCTAGTTATACAAATATATATGTGATATAATTAAAAACATATCAATTGAATAATTTTTCAAGATCTGTATGACAGATTATTCTTAAACAGGTACACAATGTGGCAAGTTTGATAGGCAATTTTGACATGTTACATATGATTGATTGGCAAAAATAAGATGTTAAATTTGAACGATTCACCCATACTTATAAGCTTATCTATTAAGAGATAACATGACCTGGTCATGACACTTTAGTTCATGGCAATAATAATTAAAAAGTTTGTAAAATATTTTTCAATGACATACACAAGTGATTTCATATGTTTTTATTGTTATATTTAAAGTATGAACTCTGATACACCCCTGTACTATTTGTACTCATTTTGCTGGTGTGAAAAAGTCACTCCACTTGGACTCCAGTAGGACTTGAACTCAAGACCCCTTGATTATCAACTATTGTTTTTATCATTTATATTTTAGCAATTTACTATTGTAGATTTTTTTGGAGACATGTCACATGGTGCAATAAATTATCCTTATAATTATATTCAAAACTCTTGAATGTCCTCAACATTTTTGTAGGGATAATTGTAACAATTTAGTTGTAAAATGTTTACACTTTGAAACATACAGCAACATTGTAGCAATATTTAAGGGTTATATGAACATATCTATAGCAATTATAAGATATATTGTAGCAATAACTTACTTTGTAGAAAAGGCTTACACATTGCAACAATGTAACAATATTAAAGAATACACCTTTACCAATTATATAGCAATACTAAATAACATTGTGACAATGTTAAGACATTGTGACAATGTTAAGAAATATTCAGCAACACTTCATAACTTTATTGCAATTATATAAAGATATATATTGTAGAGACAAATTTTAACTAGTTAATAATTGTACCAAATTGCAATATGATCAAATCAATAGAGGTTCGAATAATAAAAGATATTGAGACAAAAGAGGGAAATTTTCAAATGGTTTATCTCCTAAGTAAAAAGAGACAACACAGGTCCAATGGAACATAATTTTGAAATTTTCATAATGTTTCATTCTATCAAAGTATCCACATTTACATTTTCATTAGATTAAATTGTAAGAACTTTTGAATTGAAAGAAAAATGCCACAAAAACAACCATCACTCCAACTTTGCATACTTAACATGCCTTGTGGGCAACAAATTGCAAATGAAAGGAAACAAAGTGTTATAATAAGATGTGTACCTTCCAGCTCTTGACAGTGAATGCCAGGCTTCCATTTGAGAGTGTCCCAAGAATACAGCTTCCAGATGATCTCTGCACACCATTAGAAGGAGCTGAGGCCCAATTGATGAGGACAGAACTTGCTAAAGAAATCAGATTCAGGTACAGTATAGGTGATGGTTTGACATAAAGATGGCAGTAGTGGTAGAATTCTATATATTCTCTCTTTAAAGGCCCACTTTGCATATTTTCAACGTTTCTGGGCAAAATGAAGACTTACATTTGAGAGATGGCAAAGTTGTTGTATTATATTATTATTATTATTATGAGCTTTATTATACTTTTATCCCACATTTGGGCAAAGTGTACAGCTTAAACAGAAAAAAATGAAAAAGCTTAACTAATTATCTATATAGTATATTAACTAATCAAAGGGTGCTTGATCATTGCAAGATTTTATTGGATGCATTTCGTGTTTTTTTCTCTCTCGATAAAAATATTAGATATATATTTTGCTAGTATATTTAATATTATTCCCTCTGAATTAAATAGAAACATTAATTTATGTTCCATGTTATTCATGTTCTCCAAATTTTGACAGTGTTTTTTTATTTTATCCATGTAACTCGACCGAACATCTTTTAACTTATTGCATTCTAATAGGTAATGACATTCTGAACCGGTTTTCTTGTTACACATTAAACATTTTCTTTCTTCAATAGGGGTAATTGGTTTTGTGTAACGACCTGTTTCGACTTCCAATTTATGTGCGCTAATTCTTAGCTTTGTCAAGTTATTTCTGTCTATTTCATTTTTGATTAAATCCAAGTAGGGTTCCTTGTTCCATTTTGCTTTTATTATCTTATAAAACCTCAATTTACCATTATTTGATTTTATTTTAGTTTCCCAAAATTGTATGTATTTAATCAACAGTAATTTAAAACCTGCACTTTGTTTAACATGTGCATGCGTGTCTAATGATCTCTGAACTTCAAATGCTTTTTTCTATGTGAGTTATTTTTTTCTTGGTTAATATTAATATTAAGGCAAACCAAACTTTGTGTCATATTTGAGCGAGTTTGTGAGTAGCATGTCTCAATGATTTTTTTTTCTTCTAAATTAAGTATAGTAGGCCTTTAATTGATTGGACTGCCATCCTTATTTAGACATGGTTTCTGCAACTCTTCCGAAAGATTAACACTAATGTATTTTCTCATATATATTGCTGTACATTGATGATATGATGTAGTTTCATTGAATTGAAACATGAGTTTATTAGTCACAGCCATCAATACAAATCAAAATCAAGAGAAAGAGCTAAAATGTCCAGCTTTGTTATCTGAATTTCTAAATTAAAGCATAACATTCAGTGAATGCTATTTTAATTGGGTAAGTGAATTTTTATAGACCATACCCTTTATATCCAAACTGGTTAAGTCTAGACCAAAGGATCTAAATCAAAGAGTACATGCTAAAACAGAAAACTTACTTTATAATCAATGTTTGTTTTGTACATCAGTGTTACCCTCATTCAATCAGTCTGATTGCTTTCCATTGTAACCATGCAATTTTTTGTTTCAGCTATGCCGATGGTCTCGTCAGTCATCTTGAAAGTGCAACAGATGACCCCTATTGGTCCGTCAACATCAAGAGGGGAGTCCTCAACATGTTCCAGATTAATCTCAACCAATACAACGAGGTTGTCATCACCCCAAGATCTGCAATTCACAGCCCTGACCAAAAGATCACCAAGGGAGATGAGGTGAAAGAATTCTACCGTGTTATGGAGGTAAAGTAATACATTTCAATAGTGCTGACTTAGCAGAACCAATCTTATCAGAATATAATATTTTCACTCATTGTACAAGAAAGGGTGTATTAAAAGTCATTCTACCAATTAATCACAAGTACGTAGTATATTTAAAAAAGAAATTAAATATATGATAATACCCAAAAGGCGATTATTATAGTAATTTAATCAATATTACAGGCTAAATAATCTTTAAAATTGACATAGTTATTCATGACAACAATAAATAATATATGTTGAAAGTATGAAATACTCATGCATACATCTCATACTCTATTGTAGCATGGTCTCTCTGGTGAATGTGAATCTCTCTACACAGTACTTCCTCTTCCCTTAAACCAGATGGTACGTGCCTCCGCCTCAAATATGCCTCGAATTTTTGTCAGCAAAGTGAGAAACTTGAACAAATGCATTGGGCCATCACAGAACTTCACGTTTTCCCTCTACAGTGGTACCAAATGCGTTGGATGTCCTTTACATGAGGTAAGGTCGTATATACTCACAAGTCAATAGCAAATGTGAATAATGTAATTCATTTTGCATTACATAAAACAACATGCTGTCTCTATTCAAATATGTGACCCCGGGTATGTGACCAATGTCTTCAGTTTTACTATCCACTTTCATCAAAACCTGAGGATATACTACAGTCTTTGTATCTTCTGTTTACAGAAAGATGCAATACAATCTGCTGTACAGGTCAAATATGAGATTGTTGGAACAAGGAAGGAGTTTTTGATCATGTCTGCAATTGGAGAGTCTGAGTACAGCTATGCTCCTTATGCTCCTCAGTCTGGAGAAGCCATCACTATTGTCAAGTAAGTATACACTATAAGCCATCGCTATTGTCAAGTAAGGAAACACTATAAGCCATCACTATCGTCAAGTAAGTATACCCTATAAGACATCACTATTGTCAAGTAAGTATACACTATAAGCCATCACTATTGTCAAGTAAGTAGTATACACAATAACCCATCACTATTGTCAAGTAAGTAAGCGCTGTTGTCAAGTAAGCCATCACTGTTGTCAAGTAAGCCATCACTATTGTCAAGTAACTATTGTTTTTAGGTTTAAAGTTTTTTTATTATCATTTAAACAAAACAAATTACAAACACAGCAAGGGCCGAAAGTAACTATTGTCAAGTAAGACATCACTAATTCAAAGTAATCCATCACTTTATGCCACTTTATGTATCATTTTTTCAAAATAGCCATAAATTCTCCTGTCATTGATGTTATAAGTTAGTTAGAATGAGGCAGCCCTGAGTCCAAAAGGTGTAATTTACATAAGATATAATAAATCAATATGCCACATTTACCTCCAGCCAAACCCTCATCCTGACTGATGCCAAAAAGACAAAAGAAGTCACCCCACTGACCATGCCACCTAAGACAAAGCAGCATCAACACACATTGAAAATGAGCATGCCCATCAAGAAGACCTTGGAGACAAAACCAGCAAAGAACTTGCCAAAGAGTGAGGTTGCCGAAAAGATTCAGGAGGTAAACACAGGAAGACTTTATCACTACATGAGCATGTAATAAAATATGCATTTTATTTTCACAAATTTACATTAACATGAAACACCACAAAGAATATTCAACAAAGACACAATTGTTTGTGTGACTATACAGGGTGGTATAAGAAAGTTCATATTCTTTATTTGACTTTTAACTTTTTAATAATACATGGGTTTACCCTGCGCGCAGAGTCTAGTTATAAACTACACAAAGCTCTCTTTTAAGAAGTGAAGTCAAACTAATGCAAAGGGTAACATGGGTTCTAAAACCACTTTTGAGAGATGCAAAAATCACTCTGCAACTGTTCAAGTTAATTCCAAACGTTCAATTCACTTCCAAAACTATCAATATCAAGCCACAACACATTTAAAATCATTTTGATGTACATAGAAATAAATCTCAAACATTCTATCCTATCTTAGATTGAGCAGATATTGAAGCTGGTAGTGATGAACATGAGACAAGGGTTGACCAAGGAAGCCCCATTGCTGTCCATTTGCCTGGTGAAGGTCCTACGTTCTGCTCCCTACCAAGTCCTTGTTGAACTCTACAGCAAATATGACATCAAACTGAAGATTGCACTTAGTGAGGAGCAGAAACTTGCGAGGTAGATATAGAGTATTAACATTAATGACAGCTTACTGATAATTATAGAAAAGTATTTTCAAAATAGTAACATGAGTCTGATAAGTGATTGATCTCAAGCAATACTGATACAGAAGACAACCCAGATAATATATACACCTATTCAGTGTTGGTACAGCATAATTAAATTGAGATATATTTCAGAGATGCTCTATTTGATGCCCTGGCTATGGTTGGCACTGAACCAAGCATTGAGTTGATTGTAAATTATGTGAAGTCTCAGAGCTTCCCTGAGGAGAGGATCCCGTTGTTCTTTAATATGTTGGCCCTTTCTACCATCCCAACCCCAGATATTATTGACAGACTGTTGGTGAGTGAAAAACCCAGGTTTATTTTGAGTGTGGGAATTATAGTCAAACAGAAATCAAAATATTTCGACAGATCCTTTGTCCTCACATTTACATGTTGGTGATTTAGTTTACTGTATGCTTATTTTCAAAGAATTGTATTTTTTGTAGGAGCTGAGTTTTGAGAAAGTTCTATCTGCCCCACGTTTGGTCCAGGCTAAGCGCTCTCTACTCCTCACCTGTGGTGCCCTCATCCACAAACTGTTCTCCTACCCAGAGTACAACATATATTTCAACCCAAACCTACCTAAGTCTCAGATTAACTTCATCAACAAACTGAGAACCAAATATGTCAGGGTATACATACATTTAAATTTTATGTTAAGGAATCATTTGTAGCATTTCATTGTAGGATTTGGAATTCAACCATTCATTAATGTTACAAATCACATTTTTGTATACCTCGAGCTAGAGGGAAATATTTGAAATATTACTTCTTTGGATATATTGTGATTTAGACCAATTCATACTTTCCTTGGTGAATAACCTCAGTTATTATCATCTCATAAATTTGCAGACTGTAATGAAAGTGTACAAGAAGATGGATATTGAAGAGAAGATTCTGGCGCTGAAGGTTGTTGGTAACACTGGTCTAACTGAGTTTATCCCCTTCCTTCGTGAAGTTATCACAAGTGAAGTGAAAAGACCCGTACTTGTCCTCCAAGCTATTTATGCCATGAGACGTATGGCACAAGTGGCTCCACATCAGGTACAGTATGTTAAGTTATTGTAACCCATCATTTCACACACAATCGCCTCTATTTAGTGGCATTGAGATCAAAGAAACTTTTAACAAAAAAGGGTATAGTATAAAAATTATTACAAAAGTTTTGGATATTTTTATACAGAATTAATTACATGTAATTAGAATTTTCAAGAGTCTCTTGAAAGCCCATGACTGCAGGGAATGATACAAATTTTACACTCTAAAATATACGTTTCGACATACAGTATTTTAAAGCACAATGATATGAACCATTCTACATATACTGGTTTCCTGAAATACTTTCTCATATTCAAGGTCCAACAAATCCTCATGCCAATAGTTCAGAGGCAGAGTTACCCCCATGACTTGAGAATTGCTGCCTATGTGGTCATATTGGATACCAGGCCAAGCTTCCAAGTGATTCAGAGCATTGTGCTGAGTGTCAACCGGGAGAGGAATTTGCAAGTGAAGTCCTATATTTACTCTTCATTGAAGGCATTCTCCATTTCAAGAAGCCATTACCTCAGACCACTGTAAGGCATTAATCTTTAGCAAATATTGTGTCAACAACCAAAAATCAAAAAATATTCATAAAATGAATAATAATGTTTTTTCAGAAGAAATACAAAATATTGTGTTTTGATATTTGTTGAGTCAAATCATTAAATAACATATTTGACAACAATTCAAGTCACTGCACAGTTGTGTCTACCAAGTGCCTGAACTTTTTTCAGAGCAATGAGGATGAGGCACGCACTAAGACTCATGAAGCCATTCCAGCCTAGCATACAATACAGCAAGAATGTCCATCTGGATTACTTCAATGGTAAATCAGATTAATGAAATATTGTATGTAGAATGGTAAGGAAATTGTAGTACAATATTTTGGCAGGGGAATGGCAGTATTTTTAACAAGTTAAACATTTGTTAAGTAATTTAATAGAAATCAATCCAAACCCCACTGGCGGGCGGTAGACTTTTTCATGTCACCCCTAATCACATACCAGTTTTTCGAATAAGGTCAAACTTAAATGAGTGTTAAAACAGATTGAAAATTGTTCAATACCTTGTACATATCATATTCTCTGTACAAAAATGTCAAAATTTAAATAGAAAATTAAAAATTAACATATTGTTTTAGACTACCACAAAGTAGGTGGAGCTGTAGAGCTTTCCATAATTGGCCAGAGACAATCACTTATTCCTCGCACAGGAGCTCTCAAATTGAATGCTGATATTCTAGGATATACTTCAAACGTATTTGAGGTAAATTGTACAATTTTTCACGTAGGGAAAGCAATATTGATATCACAAATTCCAAAAAGCCCACCCAAAATTTTACTTGTTTAGAATAACTTCAATTTTCCTCATTCCAAACAACATGCTTTAAATTACATTAGATAATTCAATTATGTAACATTTGACATAATATCCAATGATATTTGAATTTACTGAGATTCCAACATTGAATTAGATAATTAATCTAATAAAAATGTAGTTAATTAAAAAATAAAGATCGAAGAGTAGGTGTTATATCTATGAATAACACCCTGCAGACCAAAGGGAGTGGGGAGTTCGAAAGACTTTGTGCCTAGCCCTAAGGGGTGTTCGTCGATTTTACACCTGCTCTGAAGTCTATATACAAGTAAAACATGAAAATTCACCTAATTTTTCTAATTTTCATTTAGTGGTCACCATTACTATGGCCCGCCGTTATAACGTCACCCATTACTCGTATTACCAGGGGTAGTGTTGACGAATATACCCTTGTTGAAATTGTGACTTTATTCACGGTTTATAGAAGGCGTGAATACAGTCATGTTTGAATCCCCAATACACTGTATATATGAAGATATTAAAATTGATACATACAGGCTGGTTTTGAGACTGAGGGTCTACAAACACTCACTGATAAACTATTTAAACCTGCAAAGAGACCCAGCTCCTCCATCCACAGACACCTGAAGGATATCAATGAAAAGGTAATGCAATGTAATCTAATATAACTGATAAACCTACACAGGTCCAAGAATAGGGTAGGCAAATTAGAATAGACGATGCTAAAAGATAAGGAGGATATACTAGTAATTTTTCTATAAGATAACACTTTTTTACATTAAAAGTTTTGTGAGCCAGTTGCCTAGTTTGCCTCATGTCTGGCTTCACCTAGGTATGTATAGTAAAAACTCAGCTGTACATATAGGGTGGTCAAAAAAAATGGAAACCCTGCATTTTCCTCATATCTTTGTCACTTTAAGGATTTACTCCCTGATATTTCACACACTTGTACATCATTCAATTTCCTACCACCCTACTATATTTCATGACCATCAGACTGATAGTCACAATTTTATAGCACTTTGAACAACATGCTTCAGATTTGACCATTATCGCGCTGTAGGCAAAACAGCACAGTTGTCAATGAGCCGAATGCATTTCTCAGCAGGTATGGCCTGAATGAAACAGATGATCTCACTTTTGAGATTCGCAATTGTCCTGAGGTCATTCTCATACTCTATCTCTGCCATATCCCCACAGGTAGGGACATTTTAGACGATGAGTACAGGTTTCCCCACAACACAATAGTGGCCACTGGGCATGTTCTTTAAAGTACTGTAACATTGTGACTATCAATCTGATGGTCATGCAATAAGGTAGGCTGGTAGCAAATTGAATGATGTACAAAAGTGTAAAATATCAGGGAGTTATTTTTTTAAAATAACAAAGATATGAGGAAAATGGTAATAGGGTTTCCATTTTTTTGACCACCCTGCTATTTATTGCATTCACAAAATCTTCACTAAGTTGCACACTTTTCAATTCTTCAGACTGCAAATACAAGTACATGTACATATTTCAATTTTTCAGTTGCACGTTGTTGAGATGAAGCCAGAAGAATTCAAGGCATCTGTGTATTTGAAACTTTTTGGTCAGGAACTCAGATTCTTCACATTTGACAAGACAACAGTCAACAAACTCATTGGTATGAATTCCATTGACACTCAACAACTGAATAATAACAGTTACATGTATCAAAGAATTGGCCTATTTGCAAATGTTCCTTTCAAAGAAAAGAATTCAATATACATGTATAATATAAAAAAAGATCAAATAAAACTAAATGACAACGGTATGTGATTCCAGACACTTTCCCCAACTGGAGGAAAATGGAGAGCAGCTTAGAAGAAGGCTATCCATTGGAACTGAGGAAGAATCTGTTGTTGGGTGACAACACTCTACAATACCCAACCCCAATTGGTCTTCCACTGTGTCTTAATATTTCAATTGCTGCCACTGTGAAAACCAATGGTGTAATGAGGATGAGTCTCGACCCAATGAACAAGCTGCCCAAGATCCCTGACTATGCAACAGCTGATATCAAAGGACATGGAAGGTACACAACTGGAATGCATATGGTCAAATGTAAACTTTGGTTTAAAAGGAACGCAAGTTGTTTGTAGAATGAATCAGGGGAGTCATGCATTTCGCTTCAATTTTGCATCTAAAAAACATCAATACACTTTTAAACATTTTATTGACTATAAGATTGCTCCATATAATCCAAAATATTTCTCATTTTCAAGGATTACCTATGGATTAACACCAAAGGTATTTTTATAAACTTCAGAGGGCTGGGACTCATTGATTACGAATGCTTTTGAATAATATAAATGCTGTTTTAAATAGGTTTCATGTATGCCAATAACTTCTCAAATTGTGTAAAACACCGGAACACAGTGACAACGGTAAAGTCAGATACACCTATTTGATTCGATTTTCATTAACTGCATGTTAAATAGAGCACCTAGATTAAATTCCTTTGATATAACAATCAATCAAAGTGTCTTTCTACTCATCATATGGTTAAATTTGTTAAAGTCTTCAATTTTACCGATCAAAATATGATAAATAATCCTTTCTCTGTGAGTTATTTGAAATTCAGATTCCGTTGTCATTGATGATATGAAAGACAGTATATTGTGGCAATTCACGACCACATTTGATCGAATTCGGATTTCATATGATACACCATCACAAGAGCTTAATAAATGCACAAAATCAGCAACTATAAGATGATTAATAGTGATTAAACAGTTGAAGCAACAGTTACATCAACCATTTGTGACAATGGTATCTTTACCATTTTTATTTTACCATTGTCAGGGTGTTCCGTTGTGGTTTATATCCAACCCGGGTCCAGAAGGTACTGGTCAAATTTTTGTACAGAGGGGTGCCACTGAGACTCAAAATATCTACCCACATCTAAGGAATTTTTTTCTCTAAAAATGGACCCACATCTAGGGGTTTTCTTTCAAAAATAGACCCACTTCAAGGTTATTTTTCAAAAACAAGACCCACTTTTCTGGGTTTTTTTCAAAAACAGTACCCAGTTTTAGGATTTTTCAAAAAGTAGACCCAGTTCTAGGGATTTTTCATCAACTAGGTATTTTTCTTCAAAATGGGACCCACATCTAGGGATTTTTCAGCGAAAAAGTGACCCACTTAAGCGGCACGTCCCCATATAATCAATATATGGGAGTACCCCCCCTGGGATATCCAATCCAATATGTAGATACATGATCAGAAAATCTACTAATGAGGTACATCTGATTTCTAGTGTTGCAGTTGCCTTGATTGCCTCAATGGGTGTCGATGCTGTCTTCCTGCAAACAGGCGTAACGTCTCAAATCCAACTGGTCCATAACCAACCAATCAACATGAGTGTTACCCTTAACACCGTAACCCAGAAATTTACCACCTCTATTGAACCACCAACACAGGTATGGAAACAGAGTAGAAGAGGGAGTAAAGACTAAGGCTGTTTAAGTTAATGCCAAATTATCACTTTGTTAATTATATGGAGTGAGACAAGATGACTTAATAAGTAATGTTTCTGTTTTTGTCTCAAAGAAGTTCTTTTTGTTCAGCTATTAGGGTGAGACCATTGATGGAATAGAAGATTCCAATACATTTCCTAAGTTCAGGAAAACAAAAACCCTTCAAACATTAACGATTTTTTGATATTCCCATTACAATTCTATATTCATCATATGATAAACAATGCCGAGAAATAAACAAAACTGGTTCACATAAAATAAAAATGCATTTGAAACTTGAACAACAATTATAATATTTTCTAGACACAAAAGTTGACAGAAATCCACGTGAAACCTGCTACATTTATCCGTCATCTTCCTGTTCAAGTGAGCCAGCCAATTAGTTGCCAACAATTGGAAATCATCCAAGTACACCAACCAGCAAGGCAGTCGCAATCAAGCACGGTAAAAACAATTCATAATACGCTAATGTAAATTTTGAATTCAATGCTTCCAATAAGAGGAAATCTGAAATGAAACATACATACAACTTTAATAAACCATTTAACAAATTTCTCAAATATACTAATCTTATCCATCATATTTTCAGTTTGAATATGAGCTTCCATTGGAGCTATTTGGAATGAAGATGAGAGCAGTCTGTTCTGCAGCCCCCTCAGTCTACTCCATGGTCCCCATGAATTTATTGAGCACTCCACAACAGATCGTCCTTACGGCTGAACCAACATCTCATCAACATAACATTGTGGAACTTAATGTAAGTGACATGCTCAATCATAATACCATTATTGGAATGGTTTTATGCATTACTGCAAAAATGTAACATTTTGACCTATGAATACATATATACATGACAAGTAAAGGTTCTGCTTTGTTGTATTCTTGTTTTCAGTACTAGCTTCAAAACACATATTTCAGTCATAATATGGTTTATGCTCCAAAAATGCCACATGGACATTCAAAACAAAAGGGAGGACATGCTAAACTTTAAATTTGTTTATCCTAAAATTATTTGTCATTTAGGCTCAGTATGGTAGTGCGGTGATTCAGGACCCCATACTGTCCTCAGAACCAGTATCTGCTGAAGATAGTGAATTTGTACCAGTTGATCAGCAATCTAGCCAAATGTCTGAGGCATCAGAGGAGATTGTAGAGGAGGAAGGAAGTATTTGGAGCCCCCTGACCTGGTTGAACCAAAAGACATCATACAGTACCACCCCAAGGCCCTCAATTAGACAAACAACACCAATGACCATAAGACGTGATGAATTACCACTGTTCCACCAAAGAAATGCCAATGTGGTTAAGGTTAAGAAATTGACTGTTAGCCTGAACCTGATAACTCCTTCAGAAAGGATCACAACATTGGAGAAACACTATGTATTACAGTATACACCCAATTGCTTGAAATACCAACTGAACGTTGACTACCTATACTCGCCAATTAGCACTGAGAATACACCTCTTCACTTTAACCTTCTTGCAACACTCAATTTACCACAAGTAAGTCAAACAACTTTAACCTTAGCAAAAAAGCAGAACTTTATTTGCCAACTGTTACTGAAGGAAGTCCAATATACCTCATGAAAAGGAAGGATGTGAGAAATAACTGATATAAATATAAGATATCAATTTGTGTAATCTCTTTCTGGAGAAAGAGATTACAAAATTCAAAACTTTAATAGTTTTTAAATATTAATTATAATTATTAATTAATTAATTATAATTGACTATTTGTATATTTTGTACAGCTGATTATTTTTGCAATATTGCAACTAAAACAAACTGCATGACAAAGAAGGCAAGCAAAGCATACATCAAGATATTAACATTTTGTCTTAGACACAGACTCTGCAAGAGGAACTGCCCATAGAATCCCAGAGGTACCAAGCTGCAGCTAAATTGAGATGGGGAGAGCCAGAATTAGAACAGGAAAAACAACTTATTGTGAAGGTACTTGTATGCAAAACATATTGACACTCACAACTGCAAAGTAAAGCATTTTTGAGTTTACTTTGCATTAAAGAAAAGGCTTCCAACAAAAAGGTTGCACTATGGCAACCTTCTGGCTAAATGGTAAATGGGTCATCAAGCAGCAAACAAAATGGATTGTATGTAGAATTAGGAGCAGGATTAGTTCTTAATAGTGCTGAACATTTTAGCTTTGAATCTGTGGTATATATTGTGCCATTTCACAGTGTCCATAGATTTGTGACCACTATCATTTGAATCAGTGGTCCATGTCCTATGGGCCAGTTGAGCTGGTATTATATCAACATATCTTGTATATTCAGTATAGCAACAAAAGTAATGAGCAACTATTCATTTGAAAAGCCATTTTAGATTTGAAACACACCAATAACATGCAATCTGTTTGCATAATTTAACAAAATCAACAAATTTGTATTTGAATCATTAATGATTTAAGGTGATTGGACAAAAGAGTGACTACCAAAAGGATCTTGAGTTACGCCTACCTGAAGTGAGCCCAAGTGAGTTCCCAGAGTACTTAAGATGTCTAGAAGACAAGAGAATCAACCTTCCACAAAGCCCCCGCTGCCTGGCCTTCCTAGATAAGCTGAATGAGTTGCACAGGACCACTATTGAAGTTCAGTATCAGTCTGTCCCACAATGGTTGAGAAGGATGAGCCACAGGTTATTGGCTGCCAGCAAGTACATGTTCTATTGGGACTTGACAACAAAGGATACTGATATCCAAAACCCACCACAGAAGATCACTTTGGATGTTATCATGAGGAGGAACAACACAGTGGTAAATATTGCCAGCTCCGATAATATCCTTGGTAAAATATATGATGTAACCATGTCATCCTCATTAGATACACATATATGTAATACCAATTAGAATACTATTCATTCTGATACTCATAGCTATCTCTCTCGCTCTCTCCATCGCATCAATGGTCCAACAGGACAGAGATAGAGGAGGCATGGCTTAATTACCAAGATGATATCTGGACAATTCAAGGAAACATAGTTCAGCAACAAAGACACACAAAATACTATGGGGTTTATATTTTGTATGATCCTTATCTTTTGTTTTATAGATTGATGCTTTTCTGAGATCACCCCTTGAGACTAACACTGTAAGGAACATCAGCCTACCTTTTCCCATCCAGCCAATTTCCCTAGGCCTACCAATGTACAGACGCTACCTGCAATATCTTACCAGCAAAAGAATTCCAGGTAAGATGCTCTATATCATTACCATGACCACCAAGGCATGTTACATTTGATTATGAGTACCACTGTGTGTTTTCAAACTAACGCCTTAAACATTCAAACTACTACCACACTACTGTACTTCTTACAGCTGTGCGGATGCTACATCAATCCCTATATTTACAACTGTATGTTTCCTAACTAACACCTTTAACATGTCAACTAACACACTACTACTTCTTACAGCTGTGCGGATGCTAACTCAAACCCTATATTTACAACTGTATGTTTCCTAACTAACACCTTTCATGTCAACTAACACACTTCTACTTACAGCTGTATACATGCTACATCAATCCCTATATTTACAACTGCATGTTTCCTAACTAACACCTTTAACATGTCAACTAACACACTACTTCTTACAGCTGTGCGGATGCTAACTCAAACCCTATATTTACAACTGTATGTTTCTTAACTATAACACCTTTAACATGTCAACTAACACACTACTACTTCTTACAGCTGTTTGCATGCTAACCAACACTCTACTGAGAAGTTTTAACAACAAAGTAATGCTAATGTCAAGTCCCCCTCAGTCTGAGATCATCATGGCCATGGATGTCACACCTAGTCGACTATTTGCTATCTCTACTATTCCATCACCTGAGATGCCACAAATGAGGGTGAGTTGAAATACTACATGTACGCCCTCAACCACCAGCCTCATCTAACATATACAGTGCTGTTAATAGTACTGTTTTTACTTTACTGAACAATGCTCAAATCAACTGTAGTGAACAATAAGAGCCCTGTAATAAAGGGCGGTTTGAGCAACAGCACCATACACTGTTTCATAAACAGTGCTGTACAGTCTGGTGTACAGTGCTGTTTGCAATTGGCAGTGTACTTGTAAATATAATCTTGCCTCAACCTGGTATGATGAAAGAAGATTCCACCAAAATTCAGACGTAGTCCAAAATGTTAACTTTACTGTATCTGTGGCTTAAAGGGATATTCCTTGCCAAACCATCTCTCTCCTCATATAGTACCTATAACCATATGTATACTTGCCATGTTTAGCAAAGCAGTGAAAATGTTTAGATATGGTCAAAATTGAACACTTCGAAATGTAGTACTCAATTCCACTAGGCTGCCATCTTTTAAGATTCCACTCAGGAAGTGATGTCATCGACTCTCAACTTTGCATATAGCATTAGGGAAGGAGCTATTAAGAATTACAAAAACAGCTGAATATTCTTTTTCAATTTTGTATCTGATTTAAATCTTCTTTTGTTCTAAGTTGACAAGCTCTAAAAATGTTTTTGCACAGAAATTAAGGATCACTCGTCTAGAAGTAATTTTGTGCTACTTTCCTACGCTGTTATGGGCAAGCTTATATAAGTTGAGAGTTGATGACATCACTTCCTGCAAGAAATCTTGAAAGATGGCAGCTCATTGGAAATGAGCACTACATTTTTAAATGATCAATATTGACCATATTAAAACATTTTCCCATGTTTTGCTAAATATGGAAAGTATATTTATTGATTATAGCTAACATATCAGGAGAGAAATGGTCTGGTGAGGAATGTCCCTTTAACTTATCACTTATCTGCGTTACAGGTGGTGAAAATTATTACAAACTCCAGGGAAATTGAGATCATCCCCACTACAGAGATCCCAATTGTGAAAGTGAACAATGAACAAGTTAATGTACCAACATATGAAGAATATGTGAATCGACTTAACCCACTTGTAACTCCAACTCCTACAGCATATGCACCTCTAAGCCATCATCACGGGATCTCAGAACCAATGTAAGTTACCCTGAATGTTCCTCACCTATATGCACTGCCCTCTTACGACTGCAAATGATTTTGATGCTAGTACGATCTTCATGTAGTTCTTATGTCCCGCTTATATGAGGCTTGAAAGTGACATCCTGATTTGAGAATGCACTTGATATGACTATAGGATTTTAGCTATCTTTAAATATTCCTTTACTACTGTATGTTTGTTAACTCCTGTGGCAAGCTGATATATGAGGTGAACTATGACTATAGTAGTATGTATAAATGGCAAAAAATGATATTTTTTCAAGACTAAACATGCATCTTGTTTTCTAGGGAGCAGCCCCTGGTGGAAATTTACAGGTATGGAAGTCAGGTCTATATTACAGTACCAGAGATCGCCGTAACAGTGATCTCCGATGGTTTGACAATCCAAATACAAGTAAGTACATTTAATAGAGAGTTTTTGTAACTTTAATCGTTGATATCTGACCCATTTCATAAGAATTGCAATAGCTCTGCTACTTGAAATTCAGATGCATGACTGCAAGCATCATTTCCCTTAAAACTGTGATTATAATATTAAAAAAATCATGAAGGGGATTTTAATCATAGATAGTTGAATCATTTTGTTTGTATCTTGTACCAAATATACAGTGATAGTGAAAATACTAAACTAGTATTTGGAGGTTTAAAACTTAAAGGTGGCATTAATTTTAAAAATTGTACTTCAATCCAGGCTTCACCATTGTTATATGGAAAATTAAATGGAATCTGTGGACTTCTAAATGGAAATCCAGAAGATCTCTTAATGAGCCCCAACCAGGCAGCCCTGAAGTCAGAATCTGATTGGCTGAATAGCTGGAGTCTGTCACACTCTGCACATGTTCATACACCTATTCTTATGAGGGACAACGAACCACGATCAGTTGAAAATAGTTGGGAGGCTGTTGAAAGCCAAGGTAATCTCAGTACTAATACTATCATATCATGTCAGTGGGTATTCAAAAATCATAATTCTGAAGTTTTCATGATTTGTTAAATCATTTCAATTTGGTTGCAAGTGGGTTTTCAGATGGATGGGAATCTGTTTTCTGTTGGATGCAGATCTCATTAATGTAAATAATAGATTTGATAATTGTATGATCACACGGAGTATATATTTATGTCCACATATTAAATGTATGACCTTTGATTTTATCCTGCCTACTGCCAAAGACGTTGAACACTGCAACAATTTTACAATGCTCATAGAATCTCAATCTACCTCCCTTATTGACAGTAGTCTTATTGTATTGCAGAAGAAATCTGCGAGCCAGTCTACGACACCTTAGAGATTGAGCGTTCAGTTAGAGGCAGGAGAGAACTATGTGTCAGTCTTGAACCAGTACAACAATGTGAGAGCCACTGCAAACCAGTGAACGTCGTAAGCAGGAAGATTAGATTCAGCTGTACACCAGTCAACAAGAGTCAGTCCTCGAAGAGATTCAGCAAATCCATCAAAATTCCCCGCATGTGTGAGCAGATATAAGGACAATGCCGAAATAATGACAATGCAAAAATAAGGACAATGCAGATATAAGGAATGCGAATAAACAGAGCAATGCACCAAAAATTCAGAACCTATACTTCAGTTTCATTTCTTCCATATCTTACTCATATATGCTTTTTATAAATATCAGATCACTGAAAATGAAGACGAATCAAAATGTAGTAGTCCTATTGGGGATGCTTTGTCGGAAGGAACCTCGACTGACATTACATGACATGTGTGTATAATCACAAAGCAATGTTCTGATGCTAATAGAGGTGATTTTGCTGTTCTTATTATGGGTTTTCTGAATTCATCACATGATTTATGTCATTGCTTTTTTACTTGAGATGTACTTGTGCTTAAATTTAATAAATATGTAAAATGTAAAAGTGATATTTTTGTAGTATATTTAGGGATGGTATCTGGAACAATAAAGTTAAGGTTTTAACCCCGTCACTATATAACATGATTTGAAATTGATTGGATTTCGCTCGAAAATCAACATTCTCCCATCGAAAGAATTTGTCATTTAATCCCTCCTCTTACAAATACAACTATTGAGTAATTGAATATTAAAATTTAGAATACAGGCCCTGCGTTCGGAGGATGTCTGATTTATTGAAGACAGTCAAATAATTAATCTCAATAGCCCATGTTAACTTTAATACAGCCAATGTCACATGTGGCTTATTCCTTGTTGTTGAAGAGAAACAAAAAAGTGTGATATACAAATAAGCATTACAATTGCATATGGAATTTATTAATCATGGTCCCTGTGATGTACAATCAATACATATACAGAGTGTCTCACAATAACTGTTCGTAAGAGAAAAACAACTTACCTCATTCATCAAGATGCTGTAATAATTCATTAGCACGGTCCATATCCCAACCTGCATGCTTCAAAGGGCCATTTACAGCATTTATATAACACTGTAGATAATGACGGCCTATTTTAACAGGGAAAAATTCTGATTGTTTCTGACAATCTACCGACTGTTCAGGTGTACTTGACTGAGCTGTTAAATTCTCACTGGGAATTGATATCCCTTTTAAAGAAACAGATGTACTTTCAGTTTCAGTCTCTATTGATGCACCTGTGCTATTGTCTTGTTTTTCTGCAATTGTTTTATGTTCACTGGTGGGTTGAGGTTGGATGTGTCGGTGGCTTGCTGCATAGATGGAGTCCTCAGGGTGAATGGGATTATGGTGTATGTACCAGTAGCACATCTCCCCAATGTACATCATTGCTAATACATGGGTGTCACTATAGAGACCTGCAGCAGAATGTATAGTCTTATTACAATCTCATAGTATTATGTGTTCATTTAACTTTGCATTTACAGCAAAACCTGTGTAAGTGGAACACCCTTAATTTGGTTCCACTAAAAAGTGTTCCACTTTAAGAAGTTTTATTGATATTAATTCAATGGGTTAAAGGACAGTGAACGTTTCTTTTCGAGAAGTTGGTCCACTCATAAAAGTTTTTGTAATTTTTTATTTCTCAAAAATGAATTTTCATGGTCTAAAAGACATTTTGTAATGATCTTCTACAAGGCTATACTGTACCTTGGGAAACTAGGTCAGTGGATGCCTCATCATTCGATAGAATGTCATCCTTCACTACTGGTGATCTGGTAGACAACATAGACTCTAAGAAATTTACACCATTAGTCAAACACTGCAAAAAAGGAAAACAGAATCAGTATCTAGCTTCATATAATTTTGTCATTTTCTGCACACAATCTTGAAAACAGTCGCAAATGCCTACAGCCTAGTTTGTCAGAAAACTAATCCTGAATATGGAAAATAAATTTCAGTTTGAGTTTAACAAAATAATGATTCACTTCAATTCATATTTAGACTCGGGAATTAATACGTTCCTCAAAGATCTTATTTTTCAAAACTGTCAATTCAATTATTCATGAAGCAAAGTTAACAGTCTTAGGTTTAGACAAAAAAATGACCATTGACCTGCACAAAATATTGCTTCTCTTTGTTGAGTCTAGCTGGAATATGAACTACAGTTGCTGCATACATGTAGAGTAAAGCCCCTCTTCTCCAGTGTATACATTCTGTAAGGTCAACACCTAGGATGGCATCAACCTGAAATTGAATGGTAAAATATTGATTTTATGCCGGCAATTACAACTTGTACATGGAAATATGGGAAGAGAGTGGACAGACCTTAGATCATATTTGGGCATGATGACAAAATACAACCTTATCATATCTCGTCAAATTCATTTCACATTGATTAGAATATTATGTTCTAATGCAATTTACCCATAGTTGGAATACCTACCTTTGATTCTATACCTGGTGACATTGATTCTGCAAGGAAAACTACATCAGAGAGGGATTCTAAAAATATAAATGTTATAAAAATATTTCATTCTATTGAGTTCATCTTTTTATTCATAGAATTAATTCACATAACATAACATTGAATACCCAAGGTGGTAGATATATTATTAGTCACAAAGTTATTCAATAAAATGGCTCTAACTGGAGTGTCTTTTGTTCAATTTATACAAAGTATCTCAAAATGAACATCAAACATTATATATTAGAAAATGCCAAAAGCAAACAAAAGAATGAAAAATGTTCTGGTATTCAAGAGTTTAAAGAGTGTAAACAAAGGCAAACTCTTGCAAAGGATACACTTACTTATAATTGAATCCATGATTTGTCTACATTCACTTTCAGGAAACTCAGAGTCAGTTAAACTGTCTTCATAACAAAATGTGTAATCAAGAACAGCCTGAAAATATATGTTCTTTATATTTCTTTAGTTTCTCCTTGTAAGAGAGAGAGTATCATCATTTCAAACCAGAACAACGGCAACGCCAAAGCGTAGCGAATCCCATCGAACAGCTATGGATGGCATTTTTACAAACAAAATTTCAAAATTTTTTTCAAAATGGCCGCCTTCTTTCAAAAGTGTCATATGACACTTTTGAAATCGCTCCACTACTTTTCGAGTTATAGTAAAATACGTTAAAATGGCGGCCATTTTTCAAAATGGCCACCTTCTTCCAAAAGTGTCTTTAGACAGTGTGCAATGTTTATAGTATTCACATACCAAATATGAACAAAATCGCTTCACTACTTTTCGAGTTAGAGCAAAATTCGTAAAATAATGAGTAAAGGCCGCCATTTTTCAAGATGGCTGCCATGTGCTTCTTTAATATCTACATTTCTAGCTTTATTAATGTCCTATATAATTTTTTTACATCTAAAACATATTGCTATTACAGTTTTACATATTGCACCTAAATTACTGTAAATTCGGCACTAAAATGCCATTTTGAAATGAGCGGCCATTTTGAAAATCGGCTTTCGAGCAGAACTTCTACCCCCATAGGGTATATGTGTATAAAATATGAACAAAATCGGGCCAACGGTATTTGAGTTATTGCCCGGACGGACGGACGGACGGACGGACGGACGGACGTACGTACGGACGGACGGACGTACGTACGTACGGACGGATTGACGTACGTACGGACGGACGGACGTACGTACGGACGGACGGACGGACGGAGGCGTTCCCTATATCCCTCCGAACTTCGTTCGATGGGATAAATATATAAGGCAATGGTGACATTCAAAACAGCAAAAAAATAATCAAGACAAACTCAGTGAAACTGGGGAACAAAATACTTTATACTTTGTAAATTAGGCTAAAGTTGCAGCTGTAGTAAAATAATTTATTATTATAATTTAAGTCTCACATAAATATACACATTAAAACAATATTAAAGATCAATTTTCAAATTTAATAATGAATGATGTTCACTTATTCATTGCTATACACATACACTACCTGACATTTTTATATTATGTTGGGTAAATGGTACATGTTTGAGCAATTTGTGCAATATCTTTATTAGAGAACATCTCTTTGAGTAGTTTTCCTACGTATACATGTACTGTAGCATGCCCCAAAACATAAGTGATAGAAGAAAATCATGGCAATTAACAATTTAAGTTTCTATATTGTAGGGATAGAAAAAGGTCATATAATATAACTGTACCTGAACATATTCTTGCATAACATACTGTTTTTTCTCAATGGATGCTGCCCAATCCAGGTTTGCCTTCAGGTACTCTTTCAGACTATCACACTTTCCCTGGCTTTTAATGAAGAAAACATTCCCTGAAAGAGGAAAAGTACTATTAATGAAAACACAGAAAGAAATCCTGTGCTAAGGGCTGATGTGAAAAAGTCAGTCCACCCCAGTGGGGATCGAACCCATGACCCCTCACTTACAAGGTGATTGCTCTGTAAAGTTGACCCGGGAAAGTTGAGCAAGCATTTGATCCAGCTGGCAATAATAAAAGTGCATTATGCATGAAGTCATATAGTTCTATAACTCAAAGTGTCAAAGTGTCGATGAAACTCTGAACTGAAATCAAACTATAGAAAGGGCACAAAATTGATTTAGCAATTATAGCAATAGTTCTGATAACTAACTGACTGGTATTGCAACATTAAATTTTCACTCATGCAAACTTTATGAATTAAGTTTTTCAAAACTTTACCAATTTACAAGCTAAAAGTAATTCTACTTTTTCAAACATATTTATCAACATTATGTTGTAATTGCAAATCACTGTTCCATTGAAAAACATGTCATAAATATTTCAAACTCCAAAAAATGTTTTTTAGCATCAAGAGTTTAGGAGAGCATAACGATCTGTGTAAGCGCGGAAATTACAAGGGAATCGTATTTTAGGCTAAAAACTAAAAATATCTGATGTAATAGAGTGCCTCCAAATTAAATTCTAGCCTGTTCATAGATTCCAGCCATACCATCTATTCATTTTGATTATTATCATACAATTGTGAATTGTATGACTTTTAGAGATACACATCTTATCTAATAAATGAATTTTGAACCTATCAATGTAATTACCATATTCTCTTTATGAGTGCACACCCCGACAAGCGCACATGCAACTTTTGTGATGAATACGGTCTCAGGAAAACACAAAGTTTAATGCATTAGTTCCAATTATTTACACAACGTATCAATTTGAATTGATGATTATTTAATGCAGAGAAAGAAATACAGGAGCTATACTTTTTTATAAATTTTTTGTATGTGCGCTTTTTGGAATCTTCCACTTTTAAATTTCAATTTGGAAAGTGCACTGTGATAGAGGTTTTGAAAATCAAATCCATTCCTAGAGATAGTAAAAAAAATTACAAAAGATTTGAAAAGCAATCTATCTTCATTTTTATGACTGCCATTTTTGTTTGATCCTTTCATTTAGCAATATGTTGGGCACATTTTCTGAAAAATACACAATATTCTTTTTCAGTCACCTATCCGAAAGTACAACTTGGCTTTTAACTATTTTTCAGTCATGTTTTCAGAAAGCTGAAAAAGATATTTCATCAAGTTTAGGGTCATTCTGTAGACTACATGTACATGTATATCCTCTAGTATGATTCGTATGTCCCCTAGTCTGTCAGATACATGTATACTGTATACAAGTCAATCTCACCATGCCCAGTGTGATATCCTAGTTATGTAGATTATATGTGGAACTAAACTCTGAGGAAGTGTAAGTTGTCACTTGTTATTTTTTGTGACTAAAATTCCCTGCAAAATTTCCCTGCTCATCACCCTAATCTCTTGATTTTGAGAGAATAAGTTTCGAGAAACAATAAAAGGTCAGTGAGGCAAATTAGAAGGTGGTGTGAAATCACTACTGAAGTTGATTTTGCCTCGGTAAGTGCAGACAAATTCAAATTTCTTAGCTTTATTGTATTTCAATCCTCATCAGGGGTCATATCTGCATGACTTCAAAATCACCAAAAAGTGGAGTATTCTAAAGTTTGAGACAATAATAAACCTCAACCATCAAAAGTTGTCACAATGAGCTAAATTCTAAGTTTCGTGTCTCAAACTCTCCCAAGCGCCAAGCGGTAGAAAAATAATCCCTGTTCACTTTAAGTAGCACAATAATTGAATCCAAAGCTTCATACCTGCAAATGATGGATAAATTCCTACAAATCGAACAAATGTTTTCATGAATCGCCATGTTTGTGATACAAGGAGGATTGACTCCCAGAATGCAACATCAGTTAACCTTATTTACTCGTGACAGGTTTTAAAATGGTGGAACGTCATTTTGAAAGTGTTATGTTGCATTCTGGGAGCCAATCCTCCTTCCAGCGTTATTGGGCTCCAAAGTCACCTCAACATTTTGAGGAGTTGGCATCCACTTCAAAGTTTTAAGTTCCTATTTGTCATTATGGACATAAATTCCACTATATCTGGACTTAGAGTCCATTTCACTGCTTCATTTCGTCAGTACAACGGCAAAAATAAGAAATTGGGAGATCATTGTGCAATAATATATGGAAAAGTATATTCATAATGTACATGAATGACATTTGTATATTTCAGATTTTTTAGTTTTTTGAGCAATTAGCCTGTGCCGTCTTGTAATTTGAAGAATTTCAGCCATGTTAATCTTATTGAAAATAACATGGCAGAGAAACATCCAAATATAAGAGGCCACACACTTTATAAGCCAAACTAGAAGCAATCAAAGATATACAAATGTCATTCATGTACATTATGAATATACTTTTCCATATATTATTGCACAATGATCTCCCAATTTCTTATTTTTGCCGTTCTACTGACGAAATGAAGCAGTGAAATGGACTCTAGTAGGACGGAGAAAATAGAGCACTTAATACACTGAGGTATAAAATGTGCGACAGCATGTATTTTTCATAGCTATAGTAATTCTTTATGTTCCCCACTGGCCCCACTGTACTGGCCTATTCTACATTTCCTTCAAGATTGACTGAAGTTCAAAGCAGATTTCGGTTATCTTACAGTAGTTAAAAAGTCCAGCGTGCTTTTGTGACATAGTTCTGGACTGTAAGTCTTGGACGAATCCCTGTGCTTGGAATGAGATAAATTCTGGGATATTCCCCCTCTTGTCTCTTGTCTTTGGCAAGATTCGAAATTGAAATACATTTATTTTTATATCGTAATATTTCATTTGTATTTATCATAAATGGACCAAAAATGATATCATCCTATGAACAAGTATGTCTTAACAAATAATACCATACTTACTTGACAAAAGATCTGAGCTTTTCCGACACTGAGCAAGAAAATCGTCGAACTCTTGTTCAAAATTTTTACATTCGTCTGCCATTTTGTCCAAAAATGTCACATGACCTATTTCGCTATAGCGTTTTATTTTCTCATCGGAACATTTCTTGTGAGTCCAAATAAAAAGTACAGGGTGGTTTCCTAATATTTAATATCTTTGTCATTTAAAAAGAATTATTCCCTGGTATTTGATGCATTTGTACATCATTCAATTTCCTACAACTCTACCATATTTCATGACCATCAGACTGTTAGTTACAATTTTACAGCACTTTGAACAACATGCATCAGGTTTAGCCCCCGAGGTTTGGCTTGGCCATCATCAAGCTGTAATGTAGGCAAACTGCACAGTTGTCAATGATTCGAATGCATTTCTCAGCGTGTATGGCCCGAATGGCACGAATAATTTCACTTTTGAGGTCTTCAATTGTTCTGAGGTTATACTCGTACACAGTCGTCTTTGCCATATCCCGCCATAGCCGGGTAGTTTGCCTACAGCGCAATAGTGGCCCAATAGTGGCCACTGGAGCATGTTCTTTAAAATGTCGTGTCATCATGAAATACAGTAGGCTGGTAGGAAATTGAATGGTATACCTGTGTAAAATCAGGGAGCTATTTCTTAAAATGACAAAGATATGAGGAAAATGGAGTAAGGGTTTCCATTTTTGACCACCCTGTATTACTAGCAATGTTACTGTGAGACTTCCATTCCACATTTATACTTTAGCCTCTAGTAAATGGGTGTCAAAACATAATTTTGATATTTGAGTCTTCGAGTGATTGGTCTAGCATTAAGGCTTTGATCTATCATATACAGGGTGGGCCAAAAATGTGTAGAGGCTACTACTCATTATTGCACATTGCGCTAGGCATCGCTAGGCAGCGACTTATGTAACTACTTTACTGCATAATGATTGAAAAAAATGTATAATGAAATGAAATACTTGACATGATTAGTCTCAAACTTTCTGAGATGACTAACCATAATCTCAAGGCGCGTGGTTACTTTCTTTCAGGGTACGGCCTAAAGTATACGGTTTAACAAAACCAATGAACTTTAGGCGTACACCACATATAATAAACCAAATACGACTGGACATGCGATCGAGTTATTGATAACTTCAATGTGCATGTCAAGCAATTTACTAAATGAGTTATTAGACTTCATCAGTTGGCTCACCATGTACATGCTGAAATGTAGCTAAGCTTGTATTCGAAAATGCAACTGTCAGCTAAAGGATCAACCTACTATTTTATGACCAATTCATTTAAATATGAATAGTGCCTTATCTTTTATTATTCAAATAGTATGTCCTTTGTTTAATCTTCGCAGTGGTGTTAAAAAGTTAATATGTTTTGCCCGAGCCTACTGTATAGTGGATAAAAAATCAACTTTTATTTGAAAAATGGCGGGAAATTTGAATGTTTTAAAATTAAAAATCTGAAAGCGTTTTCCCCTAATTTTTTTAAATCTCCAAAATAACTTTTAAAGTCATGAAATATAGTAAATGAATGATAAAAACATATTTTCAAACTAAAGATGGGGCATTAAATGAGTTGGTCATAAAATAGTAGGTTAATCCGGTAGCCGAAGGCCGAAAGTTACATTCGCGATACAAGCTTGTACTCGCGAATTTGTATTCGCGAATGTAAATAACGGCTGTTGGCTACAAAGCATGGTCTTATGAAATATCCCATAAATAAAACAAAACGGTTAGGACGAATACCTGAGTTTGTATTGGCTCATGCATCCCGTTTTGATAATCATGGACTTCAAATGACTGGTTAGAAGTTCATGGAATAATTCACCCTCTCAACCTCCCAATATTTACAGATTATAAACTTTTCGACGGATAATGTTATCTTCATTAAAACGACTTCAATGAACTAGAAATAGCCAAACTCGTAACCCTTTAAGAAACATTTTAATATAACCACTGTGATAACTATCATACAATCTAATTTTTTCCTTTTTCAAATAGCTCCCGGCGTTGATCAAAAAGTTTATTTATAAAACGTATCAATTCTTTTTCAATTTCATAATCATCAGAAGTCGTAAAAATTTGAAAAAATTAAAGGATGGGTTGCAAATGTGCTGTTTTTTCCCCATCAATCAATTTTGACCATTTTACTAGTATTAATACCTCAATATGTGCTTTTTATGAGAAAACTATTTTGCAGTCATTTTGACCTCAACTTTAAGGTCAAATAGGTCATTGAAGTAGGTCACTATTTCAAGTCTAAGTCTGGAACAAATTCTATTCCAACAGAACTCATTTTTATACCTTCCCCAAGACTGCTATATAAGTTGATCACATTGCATTGCTAGATATGCTTCGAAAAGGGTTATTTGAGTCTTGGACCGATAATTGGAAAATTGCCAAAAATGTAAGTACAAAGTGTATTGACACTGTATGGTACCTTTAAGCAAACAGAGTTATTTCTTACTTTCTCTTGTAGTATATAATTATAATTATCAAATCAAATCAAATTATGAGTTTTTGTAATAATTAGAATTAACTTGATAATTAATGAAGTAACTTTAATATATAGTGATCAATAATGTTTAGGTTTATATAATCCATCCAATGAGACAGACAAACCATTTTCTGTACTACTGCTATTGTACTTTATTGAAACATTAGTAAATATCAACAAAAAAGAAATAAATATTTGTTGTAACAAATGTAAAAGTAAAAAGTAGAAATCTGCAACGATGCCAATTGTACAACACTGATAATCTCAATAAAATGAAATAAACAATTGTAAAAACACAATTCATGTGCACTATAAAAATGTTTCATTGTGTCTAACTTGTAAAATATTGTTCATTGATTTCAGATCCACTGCAAATTGTACTATGCTGAATTTTCTGCATTGGTACAAATGTTTTAATATTGAACATTTTATCAATATTAAGTTAAGTCACCATGTATATAGTAGTGTTTAATTCCAGAAACTTAGTTGGAATCTGTATCTGAATCATCAGATTCAGTGTCTGATGTAACTTTTGCATCCATTAAATGAATGGATGGGTCCTCTTGAGGCTCAAAGGTTTCCTTGTGGCGCATCTTCCCAAGGTACCAGACCACACTGGCAATGTGTGCGCAGCAACCAACTGTGCGTGCACCAGTTTTACAGGTGCAATACCAGTCAATCACCTTTTGAGATCTAGAGTACCTAACCCACAAAGTGTACACCTTTGAACTTACATGTCTACTCTGCAGTTTGACACGAATAATATTACTAAATTGTTCATTTATTTGGATTTCATAGTCTCCATTTTCCTGTAGGTGCTGACTGGCATAATAAGGGGCTTGCTTGAGCTGGTAAACCCCCAGTGTAATGAAACGCAGATCTTCATCAGATAACTTAGGGAAATTAGGGGCAGCATTTTCAGCATCAAGCTTAACCCAAGCACCACTTCTACTGGCCAAATTGTTCTGAAGAACAAAACTTTGAAGATGATTTGGTTTAGCTGCCAAGACTTTCATTCTCTTGGCAATCTTAATGTCATCTGGATGAGAACGTTTCAAAGGTACATAGAATTTGTTCATGATGGAACAAACGATTCGCACATAATCACCAATAAATGGAATTTGAGAGTTACTAACTACATTTGCGAGAAATTGGAATCGTTTCATTCTACCATTAACACTTTCCACCACCCATCTCACTTTGGTCACCAACCGTGACTCATTCGCTTCATTAGTTGAATGCTGTTTTGAACCTTTTTGTAGAAATGCTGGCATTCTCGGTTCCAAACTATTTTCTGTGATTGTCTGTAGACAATCCCTGAAGCCTCTATCAATTATGAGGAAGTCACCTGGTTCGACCCATTCAGACATCCCTGATATATTCTGATTGAGAATATCTTCAAGAATCGCAGCATCGTTATTCTTTTGATCAGCTAGGTATGGACCAACTACATCAACAACATAACCAGTAGTGGACACAATCATCATTGGTTTGGTCAGGTGTCTCCCCTTGTAGATTGAGTAGGATCTCCTTTGAAAACTGTAGTTAGAACTCTTTTCTATGTACACATAGGTTCCATCAAGGACCAGAATGGCAACATCACCATCTTGAGAAGTGAAGATTTCTTTAGCCATATCAGTAGTGAGATCATTTATGAGTGTACCTCTATTTGTAGCATTGAATCCAAGATTGAAAGGAACAAAATCGTTCATAAGAGAAGTTCTAACACGTTTGATGATTCTTGACACTTGACATTTTCTTCTTAACTTGAACAGGGCCCTGAGTTGATTGTGGGATAATGACATACGAAGTTTCATGAGGAACAACCCCAATGAGTTTGCATTGCTGATAACTGATGACTGTGGCAAAGATGTAAGAGTATTCAAAAGGTCATTGAAATCGTTTCTCACAAGTCCTGTAAAGACCTTACAATCTTCATCAGAGAGTGATCCATCATCGAAATCAATAATTTGCTGGACTTCAGCAGGGTTTGAAGGAAATGAGGAAGTGTTAATATTCTGAAAGATGTTGATAATGTCATCTGAAGTAACAGTTGTCATCTTCTTTGTACACTTGTCCTTGTCAATCACAACATCATCTTTCAATAAGTTGGTTTCTTGGTTTAAATGTTCTCTACATATGTAGTTGTTCCTTGGGACAAAAATAGAGTGCTTGGACAGAATATTTACTCTTGCTTCTTCTGGTACTACAATGCACTTAGATGTTACTTTCAATGAACATATAAAGCATTTTGCTTTAGAGAATCCAATGGAAGGCATTGGTAAGTCAATTGTTGGTGAACTTGAACATTGTAACTCATGTGTGCCATTAGACAATTGGACAATGCAGAGATTGCAAACTCTGCCACCTACAATATCTTTCAACACCTTATATTTGCTTCTGAGTCTGTCTGAGAGGGGTCGGCTCTTTCTAATTAGTTTGATACGCGACTCACAACAAGCACAGTTAATGAAAGTCATGGTGGAATATCTCCTGATGTAGTCCTGGAAATATAATGGCCTTTTAGATTTACCGACATACTCAGGCTAAAAATGGTGTATTTTTATACATGTTTTCCCTGATTTCTACATGAGATCACTCGATTATCCCTTAGATATTTCAAGTACTGGTGTATATCCATATTCTTTAGCAGCTGTTTAAAAAACTAAGGGATAATAGGCTGTTCTCATATAGAAATTTCAAAAAAACCTATACAAATACCCCCCTTTTAGTGTGCTTACAGTAGTCATTTTAATCCAGATATTCTGCTCTATGTAACACTGCCACTTGATAACAGTGGTGTCACAGTATCAATATTACATTAGTATTGAAGTTAGTTACATTTATAATTATGAAAATATGCTCACCTTTTGGATGGTTATGGATTTAGTAGAGTCAAATTTTCAAATCACAAATAGTAATGGAGGGTCCATGCTTTATATGACCTCTGACATGTACATAAGTACATGAATACAGGTGTAAATTGTTTTATATGTAAGTCCAATAATTACACTTACCAACAATGTAAACAATGGCACATAAATATTTGTTTGAAAAATTGAACTACAATTTTCAGCAGGATAGGGAGACACATGTTAAATCCCCATTGAAGTGAAACCAAACCTTTCCTGTTTGTAATCATTTTTAATATAAGCGATAAATTGTAAGAACTTAATGCTCTAGTGTGACCACATTTGATCTAAATAATTAGCATTTTATACAATAAATCATCACGAGAGCTTTAATATACCTGCGTAGAATAAACGCCAATAGGGTCGCATGAAATGAAGACCACATGATTAATGAGCTGATGCGGCGGTTATGCATGTTATGTCCGCCATTTTGGACAACGGAATTTGACGTCGCCGTTGTCGTGGTATTCCGGTGTGGATTTATAAAATTTGTAGAGTTTCAGTCATGATATTTTTTCTACAATGAAAATAACATAAGAGAAGCATCAAAATGCAATAGACCACACATTTTATATTCCAAATCAAAGACAATCCTGCCCTGGTAATATGGTAAGTTCTTCATAACAGATACAGGAAATAACATAAGGGCGAGGGTGCTTAAGTTTACTGTGATCTGAATGTATTAGTGTATATGCCCATATTGATTGCAGTCCTTTGAAATTTTTTAGGGTTTGATAAACTTAAATTTTCATTGCCTCGCACTGTGGATTGAATATCCTGGCTAGATATGGTTTATGATGACTTGTTTTATTCATATTTATTGAAGTTAATGTTCATTTTTTTAAAGTTGCCCTTTGATCACTAACATGACTGATTATATTAAAAATTCATTAGATAATTAATTGAGATTTATCGAACAGATTGCGGAAAGCCAACACTTTAACATGTAATCGGTAACTACAGTCAATATATATTGATATGGCACATAGTGCATAAATACCAAGTCTATTGATAGTAAGATTAGTCTTAACAAAGCGACTGTAGACCAGAGGTCGTCACTATAGAGACGACCAAGCACTGAAAAGGTCCTACTGAAAATCAAATACACACACACTGGGAAGGTAAAAGAAAAAGTTGGTGAATTTCTCCTAAAGTATCATCATGAGTGATCACGAAGAACAGGTAAGTCTATATAAAGTTCTGTTCTTCAATTTACCATCTTTGTAAATTAATTTAGGCTACTTTTAAGTTTTAGATTAAATGTTTATGCTCTGTGTTTACATGTGGGCTTTGTCGTCCTGTGTAGTATATTTGGTAAACCATGCCAAGTTTCTTTCGCATCATACATGCTATGATGGTTTGTCTCTAGATCTATTACTTAGTTCGATCACGTTACCATACGACATCCTTTTTACACCTCAGTAAATATAGTTGAAAGTAACAAATCATAAAATCTTCATGAGATAAATCATTGAATGATATTTTCTCAGTGTTTAGACTATAATCCAAAGTCGGAGTGAGTCAATGGTTTTATTGTTTTTAGGTTTTTTTTAATTTAAATGTTTGCCAGTTGCCACCATGGGCTCTACCACTGATAGAGCCCATGTTGCCACTAATGCCATCTTATTGTATTTGCCAAGTGTCATAACTGTAAGTGGTATGATATCATTCTGATCGCATCTTTCTGTTTTTCAACTAGAAATATACTTTCTAGAAATAAAGGAACTAATAAAAGGCCATGATTTCTCATGATAGTATGATATAGCCGAAGATATAGGTATCAAAATTAGTTTAGAAGTTGTTTATTTTTGTTTTTTCTTCTTGCCTTGAAGAAATAAAAGGTTACAAAGGGCCGATATGAAATCATTCTGTAATTCCTTGAAGGAATTTTATGTAAACAAAAATTGATATCGTTGGTTTGGTTCCCTTTAAAGCTACCTCCTGAGAAGTTATATAACGACACAATTAAATGTATGCAATCAATTCGATTATTAAATTAATATTTCATTTGGAATATTTTGAATACTGCAAGGTGCTTGAGAAAGGGGCTTATTCTGATACAGCAACTATATTAATATAGGCCACAATAGAACTAACATACAATAGAACATTTTCATTTAGATACCTTTATTGTATTTTTCCTCATTGATTGTGCTGTTAAAGTAACATTTCCTTTGGAAAAGGCTCAATATCACCGACACTCCAATCGATGTAAGATGAGATACTAACTTAAAACATCTCAACACGGATCAACACATTAGCTGGAAGGACAAATGGGGTTGGATAAATTACATACATGATTGTTTTATTGATGTTGTGTTTTGTATCTTAGAATATTGTAACACTTATGTTGTGTCAAAATGCCCTTTAAATGGTTCAAAAACAATGAGTATTTAAATCATTTGAGTTTAGATAACACTTCAGTTATTGAATAATAGATACGGGGAGGGGCGACCATTAAACGTTCTACTCTAAACTAGAATGTGATCATTTTCCAAAACAGTTATTTACAATTCTCTAGGCAAATATATTTTCATATCTCCAAAAGTGTTGTAGCCACACAATGTTGGAGAGCAACGTTCAAAATATGTCACTCTTGCAAGATCGTATTTCTTAAAATAAAATGGTTGGTCCCTGAGAAGTAAAATGTGCTCTAAACTCACCTTATATCATGCTTGTCTAACAATGTTAAAGTGGTCTAATGTTTCCATCCACTTCATACCACGAAGAGTAAATCAATATTTCATTATTCGTTTTTGAGATATCATTCCTGTTGTGATAAATATTTTACATAATCTTCCATATTTCCAATCATTTACTCATCATCAGTGTTTTCAGTTTGTCTCTTTGTCCGTCCGTTCGTTCATTCGTTCGTTCGTTTGTTCGTTCCTGGTCCGTTCGTTTGTTTATTTCACAGATATGATGTAATTTATATTGTTTAACTTTGTTGATATTTATTCCAGAATGCTGTAAATGAAGAGCAGAACAACAAGGAGGAACAACAGGAAAACAATAAAGAGGATAGTGGTAAGCGCACGACTAAAATCATAGAAGTCATTATTGCCTACTTTTCTTACTTCTTATCAATACTGTAAGAATTTGTAATCTCGTAAATTTCCAACTTAATCAGTTATCAATGTTGTAAGGATTTGTTAGAAGTAATACAATTGCATTGTAATTATATGTAATGTTTAAATCTTCACCTATGTGGAGGAAATAAAGACACTGATCTGAACTGAACTGAACTGAACTTTCATTAAATTTTGACAATACCTAATTTCCCCAAATTGTTTTGAATGCCATCACATTTATGTGGCCTGGGGGATTTCCGTGTTATCGCTTCAATTTGATGATTCTATCATTTCTAGACTATTGTGATGTTAATCTCACAATTGTCCCCTTTTATAACTTTATCGTAAAATATGAACGATGTTTTTAAACAATGCAGTTTATGTTTATGTTTCTTTATTTTCCTCCGTGTTGGGAGAGCATAAAAATGTACATCAAATTAGATTAAATAATATACAAAGGTTAAAAGTATAAAAAGGAGATTCAACATTATTACTTTAAATACAATGACCACTATCTATTATTCCGTGATATATTCCTACTTAAGCTATTGTAACCTTTTATGGGGAAATGCCATAAAACCTCTTATTCAAAAATTGTATGTTCTGCAAAAGAAATTCTTGAGAGTTATCACCTATTCTGATCGTCTGGCTCCTTCAGGACCTCTCTTTTCAAAACTGAAAATATTGAATATATTTGACATCAATAAACTACAAACCGCTAGCTTTGTTCAGAAAACTGTTTCAGAATCACCAGAATTTCCTTTTCAAAAGTTCAAACATTTATTTGTTCCTGGAACAGCAATTCATAATCATGACACGAGAATTAATAAGAATTTAACTGTAAAAAAATTCAGAACAGAAATTGGAAGAAAATCAATCGAAACAAGTGGCCCATTACTCTACAATACTCTTTCACTTGATCTCAAAAAGTCTAAACATATCAAATCATTTGAACGAAAGTTAAAGTTTGATTTGCTAAGTCATTATTAGATCTTCTTTGAAAAATGCTTTCTTCTTATTACTTGTATTTTATTGTGATGCATGTTATGCTTTGTCATTTTTTTGTTTCCATATTACCTGACTGTTAATTTAATAAATGCTATATTGTATGTTAAACATGGAACTTATACACCCCTCGGGGTGTCTTTTCATGTCAACGTAAAACACTGTATTTGAAACATTTGAAATAAAGTGAATTGAATTGAATTGAATTGAACATATATTCAGCATATAACAATTAAAATGACAAACATTAGTAGTTTCTGGGATGAAGAAAAGACATTCTAGTTTACCAGATCCCCTCTTATCTGCCGTTTGCGGATTTGAAAAGTTCAAGAAAGACAAAGGGATGCAGCTAACTGGTTATCGCGACTCTTCTTCATCCTTGGTAATCTCCAGTATTTAAAGTTTTAATTGTTTGTCTAGCAGGTAGCAAAAAGTCCACGCCACGGGGCAAAAACAAAACAAACAAGGGTGGGTATAGTGTAATTTAATGATTACACTTGCACTAACATGATCGGTCAAACATTTCTGCGATGACACAATCTTTTTCAAGTTGACATAATGCTTGTATCGGAGCTTTTGCCTGTTATTGGACCTGATGGGTTTGCTTCATTGCCGCTATATTGCTAATCGCAAAGCATTGTTACTTGCAGCTACATCATGCGTGTCATGTATCTATTTTTATAGTTTCATAGTTTGCTTCATTGAGGTCATAGTGTTGCTTTATTTCAGCAGCATTATTGCATTTTTGGCTATACTGTAACTTTAATGAGTAACAAATGATTCTAATGCCAGCTACAATGTTGTTGTTGCGTCTCATTTATTGTATTGCAGTTACAATTTTGTTCAAATTTTGCTTTAACGCATCAACAGAGTAATTCATTTCAATCAAATTCTTGCTTCAGTCTACATTGCAGCTTCATCTATATATTGCAGCTACATTGTTACATTATGGCATCTACATTGTTACAATATTGCATTAATAATTGCAGCTATATTGTTACAATATTGCATTCATAATTGCAGTTACATTGTTACAATATTGCATTAAAAAATTGCAGCTACATTGTAACAATATTGCATTGATAATTGCAGTTACATTGTTACAATATTGCATTAATAATTGCAGCTACATTGTTACAATATTGCATTAATAATTGCAGCTACATGGTTACAATATTGCATTAATAATTGCAGCTACATTGTTACAATATTGCATTAATAATTGCAGCTACCTTGTTACAATGTTGCAGTCATAATTGCAGTTACATTGTTACAATATTGCATGAATAATTGCAGCTACATTGTTACAATATTGCATTAATAATTGCAGCTACATTGTTACATTATGGCAGCTACATTGTTACAATATTGCTTTCATAGTTGCAGTTACATTGTTACTTCAGTGTCTTCATATTTTGCTTGGAAATACCATCATTGTTTTATCCAAATAATACAGCTACATCTTTACATTATTGCAGCTACAGAGTTCTTGTTTTATTTAGAACACACTGAATCTTTACAAGTTACAATAGCATATATCAACTGCAACTCAAAAGTTTGTTTTCTCTCCTTTTTGAAATTAGCTACCTCTACCACTACTGGCTTTGGCTTAAGAGTAATAAATAGAACCTATATTTCTCCTTATGATCTTCCAGAAGACAAGAGTGAAGATGGAAAAGACAAGAGGAAGGAGTATTTCAAAGAGGAACTCAGGCGCTTACAAGAGAGTCTTGAAAGAGAAGCAGAGAAGATTGTTCCACCTGAAGAAAAGGAGTACACTCCTTACATATTCAACACCCTTGAGCCATACTATAACACAAAAACAGCAAAGTTCATTGTTGAGCTGGTAGGTTTTATCAATAGAGTCTTCCAAAATAATAGATCTTTTTATGTGGTATGTTATAGGCATTGAAAATAAATAGAAGTTATTTGCTGGAAGGGATATTGGATATTGGTTTCATGTCGAGTTCCAATATGATATTTCCAGTCAGTTACATGGAATAAATAGTATGATGGTATACTAGTATATGATATGGCATTAGTTGACATCATATTGATGTAATGTAACTATAGGCCTATTGATGTAGCCATTTCATTGAAACAATAAACGACTTTACAAAACAAAAGACTATGAAGGAATTGGTACAAATCAATGTTTATATACACAAGTATATCATAAATAGAAATAGCCCTCCACTAAAAACATGTTCTTGAATCAGTAAATCAACTGCCATAGGTCATTAGTTAGGACAATGACATTTACAAAATCTATAAAATGGAACCAATGTGTACATTGATTGAGCACTCTTGCATCTTTTTGTGGAAAATCATTTCCTGATATCCAATGATGTATTTCAAATAATGGCAATATTATTGATTTTCAATTGTTATAGTTTATAGGGCTTTCATTTTATTATTTGGAAAAGACATGGATTTCATTTTGGAAAACTTTCATGAAAATATGTGCCTTAAAATTGAGACATTCAGTGACTTTTAATTCTCATTTATGATTTTCAGCCTGAAGGTCAACGTCACGACTATGCTATGAGGGAGACATCTATTGGTTTGTGTGACCCATGGGAAGACCTTAAGATGGACAAAACTGTTGGAGAACACATAGAACCAAAACCTTTCCGAAAGGATGAAAAATCGTAAGTGCAAATGAAAGTTCCATGTCTAGAGTAATATATAGAATAAAATTCAGTTTATAAAATAAAAACTTACAATGAAATGCACACTTTCAATTGTTGGCATTTCATTTTCATTTTTTCTTCACTCTAGACCTCGAGACAATAAGGAACGTCCACCAAAAGAGGGCAGCACCAGGCTTCCTAAATACCCTGCTGTAGCAATGGATACAAAAGAAATAAGTAACAAGAAATTAAACTATGCCGATGTCCCTGAAATAAGGTAAGCTCAACAGCAGTTTGCGTGAGTTAAATGGATTTGTGATTTGCACTATCTGTAGATAATAAATTTTATAAACTCAAAGTCTCAGGTTTGATGAGTTCTTGAAAAATTGAACCACTTAAAATAAACAAGAAAAAATGCTTGTGTAGGCAATCAACTAAATGACACGCTAAAGCCCAAAAATTGACCAATAATATTTAGTTATATCTTCACTTAACAGTATTACTGTAAGATGGTAAGATTACTAAGATAGTAAAAGTATGCCTTATAATCCAAATTAATTGCACTAATATGTGACAAAAATTCTATTTTGTTCCAGGGAAGAAATCAAGGTAAAGTTTGGAAGAAATGCAGACCAGAAAGTAAATGCTGATTATACCAGGACAAAACAGGACTTTTTCCGTATGGAACTTGACAAAATGGAGGAAGTTGCACCTTCAAGTCGACCAAATATGCGTAAAGCTTACTTTGCTTATCTCCAAAACACTCCAGGATCTAAGAAAGCTATACACGAGTGTATGAAAGAATTGGATACTAAAGACGATGAAAATGAGGACAATAAAAGTGAAAAGAATTCTGCTCCAAATAGTGCAAGATCAAAGAAATCATCAACTGATTCAGCTCGGGGAAGTAAATCAGATAAAAAATCAGCACCCAATTCAGCACGTTCAAATAAATCAGAGCAAAGTCAGAAGGCATAATTATTATAGTATACAATGATATGGAGGACATTCATACAGTATTTTGCAACTATATCTTTATCATATCATAATGATGCAAACAGGGCAAAATTCAGTACATTAGGTATAGAGAATATTAAACTGTTAAACAAGTTGATTATAAAAACAACATTCAATATGTGAAGACAGGTATACCATAATGAGTGGTTGTGACAGGGCAACCTTTAGCTCCTCTGTGCATTTAATTTCTGTATCATATTCTAAAAAGGACACATTTTGCCCGTTTGCAGCAGTATTATCACATTCACTATTAAACTGAACTTTGTGATGACAAAGTCGAGACTAACCTCATGGCTTCAATTTTGTGATTGCTAATCCAGCTGTGTTGCATGGTCATTGCAGAACTGAAATAATAAAAACATGTTTTACAAGAATCATTTTTCATTTCAATTTATGATTACTGTAATTATAGTAGCCATTCCTCTCCCAGTCTCCCTAAAATTGAATTCAATATGTATTCTTCTCACAAATATGAAAACCCATCCCCTGGCATTTCAGTTTATAATTAATATTGCATATTGAACTGCTGATACTCAATAATACCTTTAATTTGTCAAATACTAGTGTTGACATTTACTAAAATTAAATATATATTACAATTGTAATGCTGGAGATGACGAATAACTTCTAAGTCATGTTTTCAAAAGTTGCGCAATATACTCCTATTGTTATTCATATCACCCTATGCAGACAGAGCCTGTGGGAAATATTGGGTGCGGAGCAAATGAGCGGAGGGTGCGGAGCTAACGGTTATTTTTGAATTTGAATTTGGGATATTTCTGAAACTAAGCCGTTTTGGGACTTCAAATATACCATGATATGTGTATTTGACACCAAATATCAATACAATTGTGAAAATAGTAGCGCAATTCATTCTATAGCGACGCAGTGTGCCTTAAACCTTTCCCAGACCTATATATTTTGAAATTATCCTTTTAATACTGAGTCCCCAGCATTCATAAAAAATGGTGTTCAAGGTGCACTATCTATACAAATTATTTTGCATCTTGGAAGCCAGGCAGTATCTGTGTGATTTTATAAAAATTCGGAAATGTTCTTCAGAAATGAGCCCCTCTAAATATTGGGTGCGGAGCAGCTCCATAAACGTAGCTCCGCACCCAATATTTAGAGGGGCTCATATCTGAAGAACATTTCCGAATTTTTATAAAATCACACAGATACTGCCTGGCTTCCAAGATGCAAAAATAATTTGCATGGGTAGTGTATCTTGAACACCATTTTTTATGAATGCTGGGGACGCAGTATTAAAAGGATAGTCTCAAAATATATAGGTCTGGGAAATGTTTAAGGCATACTGCGTCGCTATAAAATGAATTGCACTACTATTTTCACAATTTTATTGATATTTGGTGTCAAATACACATATCTTGGTATATTTGAAGTCCCAAAACGGCTTAGTTTCAGAAATATCCCAATTTTAAATTCAAAAATGACCGTTAGCTCCGCACCCTCCGCTCATTTGCGCCGCACCCAATATTTCCCACAGGCTCTGTCTGCATAGGGTGCATATGGTCAGTTAAATATGGGGTTTTGGAAAGGCAAACAATTTCAGACAATATCTGGACTGACTATTTTCTGACAATGATGAACTTTGACTCGGTGGTATTTTATTGAAGTTGCAATCATTATACATGTCCACATTTCTTGGAGATAATGGATGGATCTAAAATATAAGCCTGTCTTCATGATCAGAAAATATTGATAATCCAAGATATAAGAAATTGTTTGCAATAACCTACATACTGCATGTGGCTCTTTGTTGATAAATCAGGATTAACTTATGACAAATACCCCCAATTTTCGTCAAGTTGAAAGGAAACTGACTCCGTAGTACTTATCCACACTAATGCTTCTAGCAAAAGTTGCACTACCTTTTGTTGCAGTCCAAGGCCACCTACCCCCTTATTAGGGAAAACCTGAATGTTTTCTTTCGGGAAAATATGACAGCCATTTACCACCCACTCAGTATACAGGGTCTTTCATAATATTAACCGTCCCCTTGTCCACAGCCAATCCTTCATGTCCTTATCAAATGGCTCCATAATCTATATTGCATAGTAAAGCTTATTAGTAATTCTGGAATTTTGAGATGGCCAAGTTGAGAAAATGTGGTTCTCAGATTATCTCAGAATGCTAAGGTCAACTTCTGCCAAGTTAGAAGTTGTTTCAATAAGTCCAAAATAGAACAAATCCTCATATGATATATAAGAAATGGGCATATATGCTTTCTAGGATTGGTGGTAGATAGGGGAAGCCATAAAGGTGATTATGGATAGTGTTAAGCCTCACCCACTTCATCTTCTCAAAAATGTGGTAAACACCATCAGCATGCTACCCCAATGGAAGGTAGCATTACATTTCCTTACCTTGTGAAGATGAAACAAAATGTTCCCACAGCTTACAACCAGTGTAGGCTAAGGACCAGTCGCTGGTCATTACCTAGTTACTTTTGAAACGAACCAGTTGATTTTTTCACTAGGTATACGAAAATAATGTTGCAACTGGTCCGTAATGCCATTTTGACCAGCTGGTTTGAGATCCTTAGGGCCTACACTGCTTACAACTGCAGTTTTAGGACAACAGAATATTCTCCAATGTATAGTACACATTACACAACACATTTGTGTAGGTTTTTTTTCATTTGACTGGGACAGCCGTTTATTGTCTGATAGTTTGTACAATTAAATATTGGCTTTTTCAAGTCCTTTTCTATTATTTCTGGTTATCATAGAGTGGAGGCTTATTTCTTCCCAGGTAGAATAATCCCATCGTACTGAAAGCAGAAAAAATACAAAAGGTGAGTTAACATACTCATTTAGAAGTTAAACAAAATCTTAACAATCTTCAGCCTATAGTATTTGCATGACACCTCTGTGACAACCATATTTTCTCCTACGCAAGGTTAGGATCTTATAGTGAGAGGAAAAGAGGTAACCAAACTAAATGCAAGACTGAGTCTGTTCAATAATGCAATACCAGGATCATTTGCAGAACACAGTAAAACCTGTAAAGTGGCAATTGACTTAATGTTACATGAAACTCGTGGAACACTTTTTAGAGCTTCCAAAGATGTTCAACGTACACACAGGTTTTACTGTAATCTTCAATTTAGAATCTTTCTTCGTAACAGCTAAAGCGAGAAAATATTTTACATACATACAACAGAGCCATGTTGCTTCAAGTGGTAAGTAAATGGTTGACCACAAAAAATTGGCATTATATTCCAAGTAGGAGTTTATTGAAAGCAAATGCGAAAACTGAATACATTCAGATAAACTGATTATGTCCCTGCCAAAATTGTAACACAAGCAATATGGACAACTACTCATGTGTTGCAGAGGCGGATTTAGTTTTGCACATTTGGGTAATAGGATAGCAGCGATGTATGCGCCTAAATCCTGACCATAATGTGCAAAAATGCATAAGAACAATACAGTGGCACTCTGCATTGCAAGATGACACTGAGAATGAGATCATGCTGAACTCATTAGGGCAAATTACATGACAAGAACATTTCAATGAGCTCTTGATAAAATGAAAAGATATGATTCTGAAAATCTTACCTTCTGTTGGAACCACTTTACTGATTCTTCTTTGGGGATCTTGTGTCTGCACCCAACCTTAGCCTTCTTGCGCCTTCTATGGGCAACATTGAAACCTGAAATTTTTTAATTGAAAAGTCTGAATTGACATTCACATTAAAAAATTCTACATATCTTTAGAAATCTTTATAAAATGTCCCTGTTACGAACAATTTGAAACAGTGCTTATGAGTTGCTTAGGAGAATCGATCTTGCACATTTGGGTAATACAATAGCATTGATAAATGTGCCTTCAACCTGACTTTGATGTGCTCATCTTATTTTTATTCTCAATAACATGATAATGATCTTCCAAGGTATGAGAAGCAAAGTCCTATTCTAGTGAAAACATGCCATGATTTTCAACAAGCCAGCACACATAGTCAAATTTTCAATAAGGTTAAGTATTTGTTTGTTCTAATGAATCATTATAGAAATTGTGAGAGGGTAAAGAACAAGAACATACCTGGTCTTCCTAGGACAACATAGAAGTCCATGCCGTAGATTCCAATGCTAGGATCATACTTGATTCCAAGATCAATGTGTTCCTGAATACCAAATCCAAAGTTTCCGGTAGCACTGAAGTTTCCTCTACGCAATTCATATTCTCGTACCTGAAAGAAAGAGGTCAAAATAAAAATTTTAATATGTAGGGATACCAACCACATACATGTTATTTAATGACATGGATTGAATATGAGTTTTAGTCAGCAGGGATCATATTATCAGTAATATGCTAAAAATAATGATGATACTGAAAAAAGATTCAATATAAACTTATAATTTTTAATGTAAAATTTTCTAGTTATGCTTTTCAGTTTGTATTGACATTCGGAATTTGCTGTCCCTGCCAATATAGTAACACAAGTAATATGAAAGAATACTCATGTGTTGCATAGGCGGATTTGATGTAGCACATTTGGGTAATAGGATAGCAGCGATGTATGCGCCTAAATCCTGACCATAATGTGCAGAAATTATGATTAAGTAAAAAACATTGAAAAACTGAAACATAAAATTGTAGATTTCTGGATGTATGATTAAGTAAAAGTAAATACCTTTGACCTTTTTATAATTACCATAATGATTAGACAATATGTAGTCATATAAATCCGACCATCGTATGCTTTATTTGTCATTATTTTTTGATAATTTGGATATTTAATTTTTGTTATTTTCTTGCATACTAGGGTCGTACACACTTCCCGGTTCTAAATTGAGGGAAATGCTTTCCTGGCCTGTTTAGGCAACCAAAATCACACAAATTATGTATTAGAAAATGCTCTTCATCGATAATGTATTTAATCCTACCTTACACACGTCAAACGCTTGATAATTGAAGAAGTATACGAATTTTTCTGGAAAATTTTTTTTTCCCCATGTGTAGATGCATTCTGGGTAATGATTGTGTAAAAGTAAAACTCTAGGTGAAGCGAAAAACGAAATTACAATAAATAACAGCAGCCATATTGAGATCGAGATTTCAACTCGAAAGTTTATCATCGTCTTATGACAATTGAATCGCCTTCTCAGACACCAAGGAGGGTGAAGAAACCGAAAACAGATATGTTGGTAATAAATAATTACGATTTCGTTTTGGTTGCATGGTTTCACATTTAGACAGTATTCAGTGACCTTGAGTGACCTTGAGAACCATATTGGAAATTGGTTCAAACATATACGAAAATGATTACATTTCTTCAATTATCAAGTACTTCCTGTGTTTAAGGTAAGAGTTAATACATTCTAGTTGAAGCATTGGATCCATTATCTTATCTGTGTAACTTTTGTTGAGCATAGAGGGCAGAAAAGCATTTACCGCAATATACAGGGCTTAATATCCTCGACGCAAATGTTGAAAACAAAAATAAAAAACAAATATCCAAATCGTCAAAAAGAAACGTGAAACAACAACATTAAGTCGAGTTCACTTGACTAGACAATATGAGCCTTTTGTTTTTTGATTTAATGTACATATAGATTTACTGAGCAGGGGTACAATACCTTGAGTCCACGCTCCAAGATCTCTTCAGCCTTGGGTCCTCTTACTGTGCAGTGGACAGCGATCTTCTCGTTCCTTCTGATACCAAAAGATCGGACAGTGAAACGAGCTGAAATAGAAATTATGCATTAAATGATGATTCCATCAATTTAACAGTTCTGGATTTCTTTCACATTTGCAAATGTTTACTCTCATTGATAAAGCATATGAAGAGAATGTCTGAACATATATTTATTAGGTTTTATGTCCCTGCCTAACTTGTAACACAAGTAATATGAATGATTACTCATGTGTTGCAGAGGCGAATTTTAGTTTAGCACATTTGGGTAATAGGATAGCAGTGATGGTTGCACCTAAATCCTGACCATAATGTGCAAATTAAGATTAATTACATCAAAATGACCCTATTGTTGCGGATTTGTAAAATCATAAAGTGACATGACGTACACCTGTCTATTGAAGTATTGGTGTCATCCAAATCTTTGCATATTTGAAATTCAGCTCATTGCTTATTTCTGAAATCATGATCCTACTGTATCTCATGATAAAAACCAATGGGTCTTATTTTATGATTCCATTTCCAACTAACATGCTGTGACTGACTAAAATTCCTAAAACCTATTTCCATATGATCTATTCTGTTTGTTGTTGGTCAGTATCAGTAAATGACTGAGTTGTTCCCTAAATTTAAATTCAAAGTAGTTACAAACATTTAAAATGTTACTGTAGACCCAAAATCGCAGTATTGTGTTAGGGTAAGGTATTGAATTGGGGTAATACCGGCACCAGTTTTCACTACCATTTGTAACACTACAGTTGGGAACAAAAGTAAATGACAGGTGAATTACAGCTCCATTATTATTGATTGTCAGTGTTACATGAAAAAAAGATTCATCCATTCCTGAAATCTATGGTATGACAGCTGCATTTCTATGTCTATTACTATAAACCTACCTTTTGAGAAAACTGGCTGTTGGCCAGTAAGTTGCTCCAACACCTTGGCAGCACGGGTAAGCCTATCACCAGACTCTCCAACACAGATGTTCAAACAGAGTTTACGGATGCGCAAGTCGCGCATCACATTGTTCTCCTTATTTTTGCGGTCTTCCTGAAACCAAAAAATGGGCTTATGCGAAATCAAGTTTATTTGGGAAATCAGTTCGGATGAAAAATTTACAAAAAATGAAAATATTTTACTATGAAGAAATAAAGATGCGACACTGAGAAAAATAGAGGGTCTGTGTTTCAAGTTCACGGTGTAAAGTTAGGAATATTTATGATATTATATTTCTTTTGCCAAAAAGGACACAATACAATCTAATAAGGAGCAGATTTAGGTAGATTGGTACATGACTCGAAAAATAGATTCTTACCGCCATGTTGGATTGGAAAAAAGGAAGTACAATTGCATCCTGGGAACCAAAGCTGTCTGCAAAATCTCGCAAAATCTCAATACCGTTGTTTATACATTCTATCATTTCATATCACTATAAGAACTTGATACGATACAGCCTCATTTACATCGGATTATACAAGGACAATGGTATTGAAATCATATCAATGAAATGTTTAAATAGTATCATTTATTATAAAAATCCAGAATTAATAAAAGGTCATGTGACAGGATTTAACGAGATTTCAACATAGCAACCTCATACACAATCACATTTCTTCAAATTTTCATATTTTTCAACATTTTAACAATGAATGGACAATCAAGTGGCGAAGAGGAGGAAGTCGGACCTTCTGTTGATTCTACAGATCATGAAGAACGTATAGCAGCAAGAAGATTGCGTATCCAAAAGCGTGTAGAAGCGGCAAAAAGGTGTGATTTTTATTTTTAAAAATCAATTAGACTCTATCAAGATTCCTTCGTCGTTGAAACCAAGTTCCGACTCCAATTCTCGGGTATCACTTTGCAGTATAGATTATATTCTATATGATTCTTACAGTGATTTGGATAAAAATGTCTTCTTATGTTCACTTTGATTTTTGAAATATAATTGATCTTTGCAAACGAGACAACCATGATACAATGATGTGCAGCATAGGCCATGGGCTCTACCTTACATGAATGACATTTGTATATTTCAGATTTTTTAGTTTTTTGTGCAATAAGCCTGTGTCGTCTTGTAATTTGAAGAATTTCAGCCATGTTAATCTTATTGAAAATAACATGGCAGAGAAACATCCAAATATAAGAGGCCACACACTTTATAAGCCAAACTAGAAGCAATCCAAGATATACAAATGTCATTCATGTACATTATGAATATACTTTTCCATATATTATTGCACAATGGTCTCCCAATTTCTTATTTTTGCCGTTCTACTGACGAACTGAAGCAGTGAAATGGACTCTACATATGTAAATGTACAGTGGGGAACATAAAGAATTACTATAGCTATGAAAAATACATGCTGTCGCACATGTAATAAATTCTTACCTCAGTGTATCTGGTGCTCTATTTTCTCCATCCTGGTTAGTCCAAATATAGTGGAATTTGTGTCCATAATGACAAATAGGAACTTAAAAATTTGAAGTGGATATTCACATGTTAATGCCGACTCTTCAAATGTTGAGGTGATTTTGGACCCCGATTACGCCGCAAGGAGGATTGGCTCCCAGAATGCAACATGACACATGCCAGCTTTCAAAATGCCGTTCTGCCATTTTGAAACCTGTCACGAGTAAATAAGGTTAAATGAATACTGATGTTGCATTCTGGGAGACAATCCTCCTTTGATCACAAACGTGGCGATTCATGATAACATTTGTTCGATAAGGTCGGAAGTTATCCATCATTTGCAGGTATGAAGCTTTGGCTTCATTTATTGTGCTACTTAAAGTGAACAGGAATTATTTTTCTACCGCTTGGGAGAGTTTGAGACATGAAACTTAGAATTTAGCTCATTGTGATAACTTTTGATGGTTGAGGTTTATTAATGTCTCCGACTTTACTTTCTGATTTTCTTCTTCAACCTAATAAGTGATGATTGGATGCCTTATACAAGGTACATAGATATGTAAATTGTTTGTTTGAGATCTGTGACAAATCAGATTTAGTCAGTAGATGACTCCATCAGAGAATGTTTAGGTAGTGTGGTTCAAGATGGCCCATATGGTGAAATTGATTCACATATAAAACTTTTTATCATTCAAAATAAGCTGCATTGCATAAATCTAACTCATTCAATAATATTTCTTTAAATAGAATGTGACGTGACAAACGTGATACATGTATAGTACTGTATTTCAAATGACATTTGCATAATATGTCATAATTTTCAGAGCTGCAATGGGTGAAGATTTATCAGAAAAGAAAGAAGTGAAAGAAGAACTCAGCAAAAGTAGGAAACAAATTGAAGGGAGTCGCCTGCGTCTTACAAAACTGAAACGTGATGGAACAGAACTAGTTACAAATATCCGTGTGGCAGGTGATGCTCGGGAGAACTCACGAAGAATTGAGGAAGAGGATGCGCGCAGACAACGTCGTGAAAAACTTGAAGCTGAAGCTAAAGCAGGATCAGAAAGATTTGAGGAGGTACATTTTAGTGTTTGCATTTTAATTTGTATATATTCTTCATTCAGGCAATGAATATTTTAAAAAGAAATAAACTATTCAACACTGTTTTAATTGTAAATTAGAATCCATTTTCTGGAAAGCCCCGTTGCATAAAGTTTGTATTATTTCTGTCTCCCAAACTTTCAACCAGATGTCACTTCTAGCAGGAGCTCTGTGTCAGAATCACAGTTCTGTTAAGAGTGCATTTTAAATGATTCTTTTCAATGTGAATGTTACTTTTTCTGTTGTAGATTACAAAGAAATGGGAATCGGCATTGCAGAAAGAGATCCCACAAGATTTACATGAAATGTTGAAACAGCAAAAGGGCTCTTGTGATGCAATGATTGATGAGAAAAACAAACTTATCAATGATTTCCAAATGGTATGTATGTAACAAATCTGTGGTGTCATTCTTGAAAGTCTTGAGTTGAATCTGTAAAAATTTGAATATTACAAATTGAATATACAAATTGAATATATTTGCTCAGCTAAAAAATGTTCACTTTTGGAAGTGTTCCCAATAAAGGTGTTCATAGAGAAATTGAAAATTCTTTTGACATTATTTTTTTTTCAATAGAATTAAAATGCTTATGGTATATAGAATAATTGCTAAGAAATGGATTAACTTATATGTAAATTGCAAATTCACTGGTGGACAACCAAACTTGTTTTACATTAGCTTTTTGAATTCTCTATTTTGAAAAGATAGGTATCCTATTGTCTTATCTTTATCTTATTTTGTTTTCTAGGAGTTAAAACAGAAGGATGATCAGTATGTGAAAGATCTCAAGAAACAGGCTGAAGACATTGATCTGATGATAGAACGTATGGAGGAACAATACAAGAACCTCAACAAGGCATATAGAGAGGAACTCAATCAGATTGAGGTAAAAATGACATATTTTAACAGAAGAAGGTCTATCTGAGTAAGTTAGCAATGGGACAAGTTAGACACATATTGACTCTTCATTTTTAATTCATAAATAAAGCATGCTTTTTTTGTTACAACAGTCTTGCGTGTCTTAAAAAGACATCAGAAGTTGGAGGTTTCGAGAATTATTAGTCACACATTGAATAAGCATTTCTTCAAAAGTCTTAAGGGTCGAAGAAATGCTTGCCAGTAACAAAAGATATGATAACAAAACAATAAGTTACTTCACTTACTGAGGGATGTTGTCCAAATATCAACAGCTGTTTCAAAACAAAAAATTCATTAAGCACCCTTTGTATACGCAGCTAACGAAAATTGACCGGTACGGGTCAAAAGCTGGACCGGTACGGGTTAACGGTTTTATTTGAATTTAAAAAAGCCATAACTTGCTCAATATTGACTTCCTCGTGTCTAATTTGAAATATATGATGCCTCCCGATGCTTTTAAGTACCCCAATTTTTTACAGATTTTTAAACGGACCAAAACTCTCTAAATGCGCATTTATGCTCTTTTCTCTCGAGAACGACTGTCTCATTTTCACGATAACTTTTATTTAGTACTTCTAACATATAAGATCTATTTTTCCCCATCAAGGTATGATGTAAATGACATGCTATTTACATCTTGTGAGTTTAAATGATGCGCGTTTGATTTTATAAAAAAATGCCAAACTTTGTGACAAAGAATTTCATCCTGCTTGCAGCGAGAAGACGGACCGGTTCGGGGCAATCTGCTTGCAGCGAGAAGACGGACCGGTTCGGGGCAATAGCTGATGAAATTCTTTGTCACAAAGTTTGGCATTTTTTATAAAATCAAACGCGCGTCATTGAAACTCACAAGATGTAAATAGCATGTCATTTACATCATACCTTGGTGGGGAAAAATAGATCTTATGTGTTAGAAGTACTAAATAAAAGTTATCGTGAAAATGAGACAGTCGTTCTCGAGAGAAAAGAGCATAAATGCGTATTTAGAGAGTTTTGGTCCGTTTAAAAATCTGTAAAAAATTGGGGTACTTAAAAGCATCGGGAGGCATCATATATGTCAAATTAGACACGAGGAAATCAATATTGAGCAAGTTATGGCTGTTTTAAATTCAAATAAAACCGTTAACCCGTACCGGTCCAGCTTTTGACCCGTACCGGTCAATTTTCGTTAGCTGCGTATACCAAGGGTGTTAAGGGAAGGGAGTAAACTTTCATTATATTGGAGAAGGAAGGTGTTTTACCATATCTTCATTTTTCATAATTGTCAACTTGAAAACCAACTTGAACTGAAATTTTCAATTAAAAATTTCAAATTTTTTATTTCCAGAGAGCATTTGTATCGGAAAGGAATGAGCTACTAGATGTTCAGAAGAAAAGATGGGAAACTAATATGGAAGGACGTCGTGACAAAGAGGTCGATTTTATGACACAGCGTGATACTCGTGTCGATGATTATGAACAACAATTACAACATTTGCGTATTCAAGATGCAGAAGAATATAACATGGTGAAAATCAAACTGGAAACTGATGTACAGGTAATGGATTTATTTCATGAGCTTATTATATAAACAATTTCTGATAATGTTACAATGGTTGAAGTATAAGGAGAGAGAAGAATTGAGAGTAAGTTTCTAAAAAAAAGATTGTCAAGGAAATATTGCTGTCAACATATTACATTCTCTGTCCCTTCTTATTCCTTTAATCATACAGTACAATAAAGTGGTTATTCAATGAAAAATGAAAATGTATCTTTACTTTTGCAGCCATAGTTTTGTCATATACTTGTCATATTTTCACAGACAATTAAAGCTACAAATACTTTTTTGTTTTTAGATTATCATACAGTGTTATCTGTTTTCTATTTTTAAGATTCTTGAGCAACAGTTACAGCAGATGAGGGCCACATATCAACTCAATACAGAGAAACTAGAGTACAATTTTCAAGTTCTAAAAAAGAGAGATGAGGAAAACACCATAACGAAATCTCAACAAAAAAGGAAAATAACAAGGTATGTTCACCAGTTGTTTGTAACTGCTGACAAGAAACAAACGTGTTTACTGCTAAGCAAAAGCTGAACAGACTGCCTAATCAACATGCACCATTCATTTTGTTGTTCATGGGTATTGTTCAGATTCTGTCTCTACAAAACACTATATCCACTTTAGTCAAAACATAAGTATATATTCCAAATATATTTATCCCAATAGCATAATGAAATGTAAGACTGAGTAGATGCTGTCATCTGATTCATTTGTTTGGACCATTCACATTCAGAAACAGTCCCCGAAAAAGTAAACCTCCAAGACTGTTCTTAACTTAGGTTATTGAAGCAGGTACAGCATTTTTGTAAGCGCCATCAATAGGTAGATCTACCCTAGTAGTAGATGCAGTACCTAAGCGTACATTGTTAGGCATCAACTGGTCATTGTCATTATTGAATTCCTCATCATCGCTGTGTGCCGAGTCCTTTTTGATTGTTTGTTCATTCTTCCCAGTATCTTGATTTTTATGTGGAATTATTTTGTGATGACATCTTTTCAAAGCAAAGACCATTGCAATCATGAAAAGAAGTGCACAGGCTACTATAACAGTAGTACGCCATTGTTCATTTGTCACCGGGGTCTGATTTTGTTCCGTTGTGGCTGATGAAGAGATAGCACCTGAAGTTGCAGTGGCTGTTGTCATTTCAGCTGTTGAGAAAATTGGAGTTTGCTTTGCCTTTTCTTGATCCCTCATCCATACTAAAAAAATATGGTTAAGATGTGGAGCGAAATATATATTTTATAATCCAAAGTTAAGCACATAAGTTGATATTTGCTATAATTGTATTTTTACTATCATACCAAATTCAGTAGGCTTTAAAAACATGTTTACAACAATAAGTATGTTCTGTAGTATTAAAAAATTTAGATTTCATTTCGATACGATTCAGATCATATTTCTTGAAGTAATTTGAGACAACATTCTTATTGAGTGCTTTACACTTTTACAAATGAGAACAAATAAAAAAAAGAGTACCAACCTGAGCAAAATTCATGACACTGCTGTTGGTATTGTAAATTTCCTTTAATGCGGTTCTCGGAGCAGTAGTCAAAACACAAGTTGCACTGGTCCATCCTGGACTCACAAAAATGTGTTCTTTTGTCACATTTTGTCTGAGATGGACCACAGCGAAAAATCCATTTTGAATTCTCATCTGTTGGTTTTGTTATTATTACTGAAACACAAGCAGATATTGTTAATAAAAACAGCATTGCTTTTATAACAGTTGTAGAATCCATTTCTTATTTGCTCACAAAACATTATAAAATATGTTTTTGTTTCGGCGCAATATATAGAATTCATTTCCCAAGGGAATCCCATTATAACTCTGGATATCGAAAGACTCATCTTAGTCCAATGGTAATTCCAATTATAACATTTTACTATGACCTTATATTACAATTCTAACAAATTCTTTACATAGTGGTGTAGTCACTTTTGGACCTCTTATCTTTGAAAAAGCCAATAAACAACACTTTAGAACATGCACATGTTTTGATTTAAAAATTTTTTAAAATAGTATTGAATTAATAATTTAACATATACATGTAATTGAACATATTATTTAATTATAGGATAATTCAAAATCGATACCCTAGACTTGTTAATATAAATTTCATTTGATAATCATGTATAATAGTAGAATCAATAATTTTATATAACTTAGTTTGATTGATTTACAATATTGTATTTTTATTAATGAGTAACTTGTTTTGGTAAGGTATTCTTCAAAAATTGAAGTCTGATGAATCAATTCACAGTTCAACCCAACATCACCAAAATCCCATGTCGTGACTTATGCAGCAATCTAATTAATGAATCAACCTGAGACCAAACCCATAATTTTTAACCTTTGTCTTTTATTTTCATTTGAGTTTTAAATCTGTAAAATTGAATGATAAATTAATTTTTAATTATGTTCATGTTGTTGTTTTGTTCATTCAAGGATGCAAGATGTGTTGACAAACATGAGAACCAAGCTTGCCAAACAAGAGAAAGCTTACAAAGATGAGAACACTCAGCTCACAGAAGATTACAAGAGAATAACAGAGCAGTTCAAAGAACTACAGAAAAAATCAAAGTGAGTATGAAATTATTTTAATCAAGGATTATTATTATTATTTTTTATTATGTATTATTCCTTGTATATTTTGAATTGTGAAATGCTGGTAGGAATATATTCTACTGAAAAATCTCTTCCTGTATGCGTGATACACTTCCATCCATAAGTTTGGAAACTGGAAAAATCCCATTTTGGATCACTTATCAATTCCTCTTTATTTTTGGCAATTTAAAAGAACAACATGAATGTCATGTTTCTGAAATATTGTAGTTAAGGAACAAAATAAAGATTCAAACATTGACTCTGCTAACCAATGAAAACTTCCAGTTGCCAAACTTATGGAGGGGAGTGTATTCATTTGCTAAACTTATGGAGGGGAGTGTATTCATTTGCTAAACTTATGGAGCGGAGCGTATTCATTTGCTAAACTTATGGAGGGGAGCGTATTCATTTGCTAAACTTATTGAGGGGAGTGTACTTTGTGTGATATTGCATGGTATGGTTAGGTTGAGATATTACCAATCTTTTTTTCTTATTTGATGTTAATCTAATACTAGTTTTAGAACTGGGTTGGTTTAATCTCAGAACTGAATTTAGTTTGGACTCCAAACGGCAATACCTTTTAGAGGGTAACCTTGCAATGTGGGTAACCTTGCACTGTGGGTAACCTTGCACTGTGGGTAACCTTACAATGTGGGTAACCTTGCAATGTGTAATGGAAAAATGTTGTCACACAATCTTATTTTGATCTTGATTTTTACAGACATTTTATGGGTACTGATGCCAAGAAGTTCCATGATGTTTGGCTAATGAATGAAGAAGAGGTGAAAGAATTCCTCAATAAGGTACTGGAGACTGACATGATAATACATCAACAACAGCTGGGACTTCAGTGGGCCAAGCCTGACACGTAAGACCCTCACTTGATATTTCTACACTTGTGGCAATTAGTTTATGTTCAACATGCAAGTCTTAGTCCTCTCATCTACTTACCTACAACAGTGGTTGAGGAAATATATTGAAATACTTGAGACCTGATACATGGCTAAATGGCTATGTCATTATTTACTGGGTCTGGGTCAATATATCCATTATAGGGGACGGGCTAAACGTCTATTAAACTTTTCTGTGGTGTACATTGGGTCAATCTATAATTACACATTTTCTTTTTTTTCATAGGACATTTACAGAGAATGTTGGTCCACTACAATCTAAAAAGGACAGGGGTCTGTCAGCTTCTCAGATCATCCAAGAGGTCATGTCAGCCACAAGTAAGTCTTCAATCTAACTCTCAGGAATTTCATTAGCAGTTGACGACTTAATTTTCTTCTATTGTTTTGAGGAGGTTTGTGACGTTTCCAAGTAAACTCATATCGGTCAAAACTGAATTTGTGATCAGTTGTTATATTATTTTGAATCAATTACCTGGTCCAGATTTTAACTAACTGCTCTGGACAGGCTGAAATGGTGTAAATTCAATCGTACTTATATTTTGTAGTGAGTGAAAAAGATGATGGCAGTGAAAGTGGTGATGGTGCCATGAAAAGTGGAATAGTCTCCAAATTGTCTCCACAAGTTATTAAGTCCATCTTGGAACTACTTTGTGATGAATCAGTAAGAACATTTTATAATAATTAGCATTTGGTTTTAAGAGCCCTTTGAAGTGTCTCATGGATTTAATTATATAACTTTAGGGACGTACAGACATTGATTGCATACTAACTATTATTTCTTAAATGATTTAATAAAAATGATTTGTTAATTTCATCTCATTCAATAGACCTCACACAATGAATATGTTCTTATTTAGTCAATTATTTCTGATAAAAAACATAAAAAAATAAAATGTAAAAATTTCTTGTAGGGTTTTCTTGTGGAATCTAAATTAAACAAGTTGTTGGCTCCACTTGACAGAGACGAGCAGTCCCTGATGAAGCTAGATGCCATCTTTAGTGTAAGTTTAACTAAAATATGATGCATATGATGCATATTTTTCATTTGTATATATTAGTAGTTTGAGCTCTTTCCTCTTCTTAATGAAACCTTCAATTTTGATCTCAAACAAATCTAAATTATTTAAGCATTGTAAAATCATTTGTGTCAAATCATGAAATTGCCCTAGATATCAGTTTATCTCTCTCCAAAAAATTGAATTGAATTGAATTGAATATAGCTGAAACACAATGATTTAATATGAGGAAAACTCCTATCAAATGATATGAGACAACCCAGGAATGCACACATATACATGATGACAAGGTTTCATTTTTTTTGTTCATGATGAAGACATTTTGAAACTACATGTATCAGATTATCATTTTAGAATTATTTATTTCACTTGCAACTTTTTATTGTGTAATAACATACTTGTACAGATTCATATTTGTAAGTAAAGTATTTTTTGGAATTGATAATTTTCTTTTTTCTTTAGGCTCTCGGTGTAGAGACAGAGGATGACATCCACTTACTTGCCAAGTACTTCATGCTACTTGAGGAACAGAAACAACAGGGGAAAACGTCTACTGAACCACAGGTGAGAAGGATCTCTTGTTATTGTTTTACTGTCATGTTACACAGTCTGTGATTGGTTAACAACATGTCATGTGACACATGTGATATTTTAGTTGGGGAAGATGCACAGGGATTAATCTCAATAAAATGAATGAAAAAGATTTGTAAAATACATTTAAAAAGCAAAAACATGTATTAAATATCTCGTATATTGGCATGCAGTATTGTATTGTCAAGCAAAAGTAGTTGAATATGTTATATTACAAATGCTTTATTCGATACATGTAAATAAAATGCACAATCACAATATATGAACCTGTCAGCATCAGTCCATGTAGCCTGAAAAACAACAATTTCCAAGTCCATGTATATCAATGAGAGTTGTATTCATATAATAGGTTGAAAGGATATCCAACTAAATTCAATAAAAGTTGATGTTTTCATAAATAGGATCGGATACTTTGATTTAATTAAAAATATATGTAATAAAATAGTATATATGTTATCATCATTTAGGAAACTGAAGATGGGCCTCTTGCTGCTAGTCAAAGTGTATCTGGAAAAGAAGCTGGGTTGCCAAGGGGAACACCACAGTCATCTATGAGAGATGGAGAATCTCAGGCTGGGGTAGGCTAGAATTTTTCAATTTGGATTATTGAAATATATAGATGAAAAAATGTACTGTAGAAGTAAAATATTCATTAATTTCACAGATTGATGACTTAAGACTTTTTGAGTGCTATATGACTAATAAGAATATTTGGTATCACACAGTGTATTTTGGATGTAAAAAACACAAAACATTTACTAAATTATATTTTTGTATTATTTTAGGAATTTGAAGACATAGATGATGAGTTACGTCGTGTCTTGGACAAAGAAGAAGCAGGTTCAACTCCACGTTCTCTGCGCAGTGGAGGAGGAACAGATCTTATTCATCCCAATGAGGTCACAAAAGCACTGAGACAGTTTGTTGAAGACAATAGAAAACAACCAAAGTAAGAACCAAAATTAGTTTCTTATAAACTGAATCAAAGGATTTGATGTGATTTTAAATATAGATAAAGATCATGAGAAAACATGACAATTTTTAAATATTTGATAATGTCATTGTAGGCTGCTTGTGATGGTTGTGTCACTTGCTTGATCAGATTGACATTTTTCTCATTCCTTATTTGGGGTCACATTCTATTGACATCCAAAATATTATCCAGTTTAAGATCACTGGTGTGGAGGAACATGTGTTCTCTGATTGATTCTGAACATACAGTGTATGCACCAGGCTTGATTGTACAAAATATCTCAAAGGTGGTTGAGGATTGAAAAAAGTTTAAGTTCAATGTCAATTATTCTATAATGATCCAACATTAGATCACTGGTGCGGAGGAACATGTGTTCTCTGATTGATTCTGAACATACTGTACAGTGTACTTTTCTATGCACCAGGCTTGATTGTTCAAAATATCTTAAATGTGGATTGAGGATTGAAAAAAGTGTAATTTCAATGTTGATTATTCTTTTCAGATCCAACAAGATTGCTGCCCAGTTTAAGATCACTGGTGCGGAGGACAGGGATGATAAGAATGATACGCAATACTGGGAACAATACCCACAAGTTGTAACCAAAGGCAAGGAAAGACTCTGGGATGCACTCGTTGAAGGTCTAGAAAAATACAGGTATGGAGTTGGATCATCAAACTTTTACCTACCACTGTATTGTACTACACTAAATTGTGTCTCAAATTGTGTTGTGTAATACTGTATAAGTATAAGTATGATATAATACTAAGTATAAGTAAACCATTTCAAACTTAATCAAAACATTTTTAAAAGATTATCATTTCATATCAAAAATTGTCTTGGGGTGATTCAATAAGAGGCAATTAAGGCTTTGACATACTGTATAAGTGGTAATTTTGCCTAATCATTTAATTTGCCTATTTCCTAATTTTTGCCAGGTTCGGAAAATTAAATGTCGGAAATATTGTCTTTATAATGTTATCCAATGGGAGGTTTCTTGTCATTAGGAAAATTAAAATTAGGAAAATGATGAAATTTGACCATTCGGAAAATTAACCACTCGGATTAAATACCACTTATACAGTAGGTCCTAACCTTTTTGAATTATCTTTATTGCAAAAAAGAACAATGCTAACTTTAAAAATTCAAACAAGGAAATTAAACATATTATTTCATTCTTTTCCAGTGATACTTTAACAGCCAGGAGTAATCTTATAAAAGAGACAGATGGACTAAGACAACAGAATGCAGAGTTAAGAATGCTACTGCATCAATACGTTCACTCCAAAGTGAACCAAGAACTGGAAATTCCACCCACTAGGGTCCTACAACTAGAGATGAATCCTCATTAACATAATAACGAGGATATAACAAGGATATTGTGTCCTCATTAATATTAATTTAAATATATGTATATTGTACAATAGTGAAGAACAGTGAAGCAGAGATATTACCAGTTCTTGGATTACATAATAAAGATGTGATATTAATTCAAATCTTCATAGTTGTCATCTAGAGGTATAAGAGCTGAATTGAAGAAGAAATTGTTTTAATTTGATTAAAATATTTTGTTTTAGTTCAGCCTTAATCTCTTTATGCTTTAAAAATGTCAACTTAATGTGAAATAAGTCCATTGTGCAGTGAACCCAAGAATTTGGAATAATATGTAAAATAATATTTGTAAATATTAGTAACACAAAAATATTAGTAATGTGTAATACATTAAAATATATATTTCTTAAAATGATAAATGTAATTATGTACAATTCATTGTGTTGAAGTTTTACAGACACATACAAGGTTGGCCACCCAAATTGTTCTCTCAGACCTGTTGACCAAGAGCTAATTTTTATTATAGAAATACAATGAAAGTGACCTCCTCTGAAATATTTGAGTATCTACTATAATTAAATGTAATTAAGTAAATAATGAATGCAGATTTCACTGTTCTATTTATTTGTCATCACCAAGAAGAGGTAAAATATTGTTTCTGTGACCAGTTGCTCGTGTCATCATTCGTTATCTGTAAAATATTGTTACAGTTTTTGTTACTGTTTACAATAACTTACCCGGTAGTGACATTTTGTTATGTTAATGCCTTGATTCATTTTTTGATCATGGTACTATCATATAATCTCTGTACTGTACATATGGTATGTATTTATCTCAAACATTTTGTTCCTCAATAACACTAACAGCGTTCTTTCTTGTTTTTGTGGAATTTGGCTCTTTAATTGAATTTTGAGTCTTTGAATAGCGCCTTGTACTGTTTTTCATATGGGTACTTCTCAATTCTTCAGCTAAGCTGGGTTTTCGAGAATAACGTCTTGCAATATTCTTGTTGTCACACTGTACATCGCAAACAGAGGAACGTTTTCTTGAAAAACGTCTTGACATAGTTCGCTCATCATTTTTTATTTGTTCAACAGAGCTTAGTTTTCTCGAGAATCTTCTCCCCTGATTACATTCGTCATTTTGTGATGTATCTAGAGAAATGGGGTTTCCAGGAAAACCATTTGTTGTATTATTTTCATTATTTTTGGTTTGAACCGCTGAACTGGATTTCCTGGTAAATCCCTTACTGGTAAGGAATTGAGAGATACTGGATATGCTGATTTTACTGGGTCTCTGGGTACTGGACATACTGATTGTGCTCGTAGTGCTGTGTTTCTTGAAGATAGCATGAAGGGACACGCTACGTGTACGACCTGTACTAATATAATCCATGTTATTTGACGACAATTTATTACAACAAAGAATCCTGTGAAGTTCACGTCGAAATTTTGTCCCAACAATGTTATACAATAAAAAGTTGATGACGAAATTAAGTGTGTAGAATACACGTATGATGGCTAAGATGCTTCGGGAATAGATTTGTCCATAGGCAGATGTGAACTTCGTTGATGTGTTGTAGAACCAGTAAACCTGATAGGGTGTGGTTAGGATAACGAAACATGTTGATACTGTGATCAACATCACTGTGATTTTATTCCTATCAGACGCAGCCTGCCGACCACCATCCATCATCTCTGGTCTTTCATTTCGAAAACTAACCAATTCATAAATAGTCGCTGCATTCAAGAGGCATATTATCAGAGCAGGGAGAAATGTCGAGAGAACGATGAACACACGTGTTAAGTTCAGATACACTTCTTTTAATCCTGCTTTAGAGTTACAGACATACTGGTCTTTTGCACTGCGCACTTCAATCATGAAGAAAATATAAATACAAAGAAGTGCCCCAATTGAGGTCAGCACTGCTATGTTTCTTCTAGCCAATGATGGAATAGATATCTTCTTTTGTTGAAGTGGACGCAATATGACAACGAACCTTTCAAGTGTGAATAAAGCAATGAGCCAACCAGAGAGGAATCGTCCTATCATGGAAAGATACATGACGCTGGCACATAGGACTATATTCTCATTGAACCAATTCACACTGATGCTTGGCAACCAGGCTCGAAAAATCTCTGTTACAAGAACCAAAATGTCTGCCACGCCTAACATTGCCAGGTACCAATAGCTAGATTGCTGCCGCATACGGCGTGACATGAATGTCACGATTGATAGTACATTAAAGATGATTCCCAATGGTATCATCACAGTTAGGGAAAAGAACAGTAGTTTCTGTGTTGTGGCGTAAATATCAGGTATAACAAATACATCTGTTCGAGTTTTGTTTGTTAATGATATATTGACATCTTCACAGGTATATGTTATGTTATTATTAACATCTGTACAGTTGTAAGTTGTCTCATTGAGGTAGCCACTAGCTACCCTGTTCCGTTTTATAAAGATCAGATGTTCCATTATGTTTTAAATATCATGTTGTTTATTTTGTTCTGTTGTATGTGAGATCATACACAGCTACTTCTATGATATGATGGATTGTCCCTTTTGATTCTGAAATTCTTCCTTTGTCTAACAGCCGTACTGACAGCTATAAATCCATGTGATTTGATGAATGAATAACTATTTGTGATAAAAATTCATCTAGATGTCACCATCTTAAGTTCTGATGCATTTTTTGCTTTTCCAACTTGGATTAACATTTCAGAAATCCTCAAGTGACCTTTTGGAGGAGAATGTCCTCAAAGAATTTCTAGTCCCTGTTATAATCCATGAAAAGAATACCTCTCCAGTTCTGAAAATGAGTGGTGGTATTGAAATAGAAACAAACATACAGCTCCCAGACTCCAGGTTTATCGACATCATCTGGGATTAATACCATCATATCAGTTGCTCTTTAGCTGACCACTTGTTACACATAACTGCTCAAACAGAATTATCATCATTATCAATGGTCCTTTGGTGTTGTGAGGAGGATCGTCGTACAGTTTCAAAATGCTAGGGATTTCTCAATTACTTGGCAGAGAGTCACCAATAGTTTGTTTAATATGAGTTATAGGGAGTCTCATTATTTGCCTTTAAGTATTTGTACTATTATCAAGGGTGGATATAATTTGATAAGAATACGTGTACTTGAAATAATGGAATATTAAACAAACAAAATGAAACTTTTGAAGTATGATTTTAAAGCATTGTGATAGCTTCTGAAATTTTAATATTTTCTAGTATCATTACTTGGTTACTTGGATCCAAGTCACATTTATAGTAGGTATATATTTTTATGGAAAAATATTTTGGTTTTATGTCCAACAAAAAAAAAGTTAGTTTTTATATTGTAAAGATTGTTGGTAAGAACATAAAAGATTGAGGGGCATTATGTAAAAAATGAATTGGTTGATAGTAAAAACTAATATGGTTTGGTCACATAGATAATGCTCTTAGACCCAAATGTCTTACCCTGTGCGCCGAGTCTAGTTATAAACTACCAAATGAAGACAAACCTCTCTTTCGAGAAGCAAAGTCGAATGAATGCAAAGAGTAAAATGATTTCAAATGAGTAAAGTTATTTAGAAAGACTGTTTTTGATGATAATCTTGTCCTCTTCAAATGAAGACAAACTGACAAGTCCTTATCTGGATCAAAGTACTAAAATGTATGCATTCTTCTTCAAGTTGTCAATGTTGGTAGTCTGCATTCTGTTTTCAAGCTGATTAATATGTTCACCATTTCTTTGTTTTAGAAATCCACTGAATCAATTAAACTAGTCTTAATAACAGGACAGCAGAGGATAGTAGAAAGATTTCTTTTGGAATTGTCACAAGCTTACTTTTACGTTTTGCTGATAGCATTCCTAGCTATAGCTATTTTCCAATACACTTCTGATTTCTGACTTTCATGAAAATATGTTTTAATTTTTAAATAAAAAAAGTGGACATTTCTACATTTCTATCATTTGCTGCCACTTTTAATTATGAGATTTTGTTGCTTGTGCCTCAATTAAAATACTCAAATTGACTGAATAGGGGTCAACAGTTTTGACTATTGACCACACAGTGTTATTACCAGTTTATGTTTTTTATATGACCACACCATTTCGTCATATTTCTGGATATGTAAACATTTGTATACTCTATGATATATATACAGAACATAATTCATGAATCAAACAAAAGATATAATATTATTATTTTGACATAGTTCTAAGTTTATTCACATATACATAGACTTTATTACAATACATTATAATTATTAAATGGGTGGAGTAAAAGTCAGCCATAGTTTTACTCAATAAAATAGTACATTCTTTATTCTTCGTATACTGTACTGTACTGTACCATACTATGGAGTACTGTACTGTACCATACCGTACTGCACCATACTGTACTGTACTGTACTTAATGCCCCCTTACCAACAGAAATGATTAAAACAAGCAAAAGTTACATTTGGAGAGTGTCAGGATAACTATTTAATGCACAGATGATAACTGTTCATGAGGATAACTATTTAATGCACAGATGATAACTGTTCATGAGGATAACTATTTAATTCACAGATGATAACTGTTCATGAGGATAACTATTTAATGCACAGATGATAACTGTTCATGAGGATAACTCTTTAATGCACATATGATAACTGTTCATGGGATAACTATTTAATGCACAGGTGATAACTGTTCATGAGGATAACTCTTTAATGCACATATGATAACTGTTCATGAGGATAACTATTTAATGCACAGATGATAACTGTTCATGAGGATAACTCTTTAATGCCCAGATGATAACTGTTCATGAGGATAACTATTGCACAGATGATAACTGTTCATGTTGCGATTGAGTAATGGAGTTCATTGCAATTGAGATAAAATAGTTATTAATTATATCATTTTATTGAATTTTCTCTAAAGTTTTGCTTACAGTTCTGTTAATAATGATTAAAATCATTTACTATTTAACTCATTTTAGCTGGAAATTTTACACCAATGGATAGAGAAACTGACTTGAACCAACGATTTGTGACTTAACTTCAACTAGTTTAAAATACTCATTTTGGATAGTAATGTATATCTTAAATGCAATGACCTTCAAGATATATAAAAAAACACATTAAAAACACAATCCTATGGAGTTGTATGTGAAATGGTAAACTGCATAATGAGTACAAAATTAAGACTGTAAGACATGCTAAATTCACATTTCCAATTCATGATCTGAATTTACAGTATTTTATTTCATGAGAAATTCATTAGCATATTTCAGTAATTTTTGTTTTTATTGTACGCTGAATCATCAAAGGGAAACTTTTTAATTTGTGACAAGCAAAAATTGCAGCACAAAAAATGTATGCAAAATTGACATGTCCCACAGTACTTGTGTTTATACGTAGGTTTACATATTCATATAGCAGACTAGGAGAATACTATCTGATTCATAAAAACATTGAAAAATTCTTGTAATAGTATGTGAGACAAATAAAAGACTTTAAGATTATATTTATATATAATGAAAAAATTAGGTTGTTATCATTGTGAAGATATAATTTGGTAGATTTATAGATTTTAGTTGATGGGTAACAGCAAACAATGAATGTTTGATTGAATTACTTTGTAACAAAGTTGACTAGATGTTTAAATATTGGTTTTGTAAGTTATTGGACAAATGAACTTGGCAAAATGAAAATACATTGTAAAATAGTCCATTGCACAAGGCAAAAATATAATTACATTTTTGAAAAACATTACTTGATATTATATTTCAGGTTCCATGATCTAGACAGTAACTAAACATTTTATTATATGATATAATAACAAAGCATTTTTTATTGACTGATATGAGAAAAGTTTATAAATGCAAGGTATGACTATGACCGAAAAACAAAATAGGGGGAGGGGGGGGGGCTTAGAACAGGGCATAAGCTCATTAATAGGGCAGCTCTCTTTAGATACAGATATGTCAGATCTACTTCGTCATTCCTAAGATTTGATTTTCATATTTTCTAAGCTCATCCTGGTCTGTCATGGCTGATCTCAAAGTTCTACATATTGAAAGAAAGTTTCCAACATTTTGAGATTCTAGCTGAGAAGAACTATCACATTAATATTAAATAAAAAATAAAATAAAATAATTTTAAATGTTTAAAATGTACATAGGGTTGGTATATCATTCATGTGGTTGCTAAGGAGCCTCAATTAACTCTATGAGATATGATTTAACATATATCATTTTGACATATATTGTGTATGACTTAACATATATAATGCGTGCCATATATCCTTTATGACATATGCCTTAACATATACATTTTTTGACATATGATTTAATACATCTCACATAGGACATGTATAAATGTGATGGTAATTCATGAACAAATAACTACCTTCATATAATAAATGATCCATGAAAAAAGTTAACAAACTCTATATAATTTCTCATAAAATGACATGGGCCTACATTAAATATGCCATACCCCGTTATACTTTACACTGTACAAAAATGCTAGATACTGTACATGTATGCCTATCAAGGGCTGTACAAAAAGTATGTATTTCACAATTTATGTGACCCACAGAATTTCATGTTACAGTACAGTTTGTGAACTTTGAACAAGAAACAGACTCACGAGTTGTGATATCTCTAGCAATCACAATGTACATTAATAATAATCACAACTGCTTAAAGAATCACAACTCTCTGAGACAATGTGGCACAGAAAAATCTCAGTACAATCTTGACATTACCAAAAATTGGTTTTGTGATATTTAACTACATTCTATATACTATGGTATAGGCCTAGTGACTTTCATATGCATGTGTTTCCATTGGGCGACACTTACGGCAATGACACTGGTTTTTTTGTAACTTACAAGTTTGTATTGTTTATCAGAGATACAATGTAAAGGTTGAAAACATGGCTTAAAACATGTGCAGTCGAAACTCGAAACTGAAGTGGAATATATGGATATCTAACTCCTCCAAGTGTCAAAAAAATATCACAGGTTTAGTCTATACACGTTCAAATCAAATTAAAATCATGAGACTGTAATTTTTTAACAAAGTTTGTAAATTGTCGACTCAAACTTGTTTATATCCCATAATATTATTGACCTCTTTATGAACTGTATATACTAATTGTTGACCTCTTAAGAGGTTAACAGATAAATTGTTCATCTCCACTGTAAATGAGGATCATTCACTTAGGGGCATTGACTGGGGAACATAGATATCAGACACAGTCCAAAGAAAATTGGGATTAAATTCATTGGACTGACCAGTGACCAATCAGCTTAAAGTATTCTAACAGATTGACCAATCAGCTTTGAGTATTTGGACTGTAGCAGACTCAAGCTAAAGCCAATGTTGCAAATATGGTCATGACACTTGATTGGTCATCCAATAAGATTATTACAACAAAGTTTTATGTATATTTCAAGACAATCAATTTCTGTATAAAATATATTGCACATGTTACAGGTCTACTATAATCGTCAAAGATCAATTGCACATGCTAGAATTACATTCTATTTCATATTTTGAAGTAAGCTAATTAGCCTATTGAATTTCTGTATATTTCAATCTGCGATACAAAATAAACTACAAAAGTTGTAAGACAGATATGTTACCTCAAATTATGCAGAATCTAAATGTAAATGACTGAGGAGTTGGAAATACAACTCACATAATACTAACATTCGGTAAATATAATAATTTGTAAAACAATGCTACTTATGCACTTATAATAACTGTACTTCTACTCAAAAATAAGATGACTCCGTTTTGTATACAAGTCGCAAAATGAAGACTATGTAAAAATAAATTAAATTTTCTAATTGTCAGTATAATTCTCTATGCTAAATTTAACCTACTACTAGTATAGTGGAATTACAAACAATGAATAATTCGTTTACTTTTATAGAGATCAACATTTGTTAATTTAAAGTCTTATACAGTGTTTGATTCTTATCTTCTTCATACATTTTAGGTAGAATTTTAAAACAATAGAAATCAACTAAAAAAGTACTGTACCATTCGGTAGAAAATATCAAGGATCATCTTTTTTGAGGTATTATATAAATTAATTGTAAATATTGATTGCACTTTTGGCATCCCCTGTATGAGGACAATTTTCTACCTAAAATGTATAATACAGAGTGCCGAGAAAATATGTATCCCATGTCACCCTGTAATCTGAAACATGAGTACCATGAAAGTAACCAGTATCAATGAAAAACAGAAACACCCACTATACAAATATGTTAAGTTTGAAAAATACATATTTGTAAATAAACAAATTGTTAGGCCTAAATCAAACTTTATGAAAGCTAACAATAATAAAAATTATGCTAGAATTGTAAAGCAATGTGCATACACTGTACATGTTGACTGTCTGACACAAAGCATCGGTTTACATGCTTGATGTAATGCTCTCTGCTTATCTTAGCTTACACAGCAAGGGGCAACAGTTGAAAACATTATTTTGATTCAGAATATGACAACAATGTACACTGAAACCTGAATTAAGGTTGGCCTGGTTAAACATTTTTGATCCAAGTTTTATTAGACAGATTATTATACATCTTGACCTACCTATTTAATTCTCTTTAATATGCCAACGGTCGGCAAACTATGCATCCAAAGTTATATCAATCCATGCATGTTCCAGTCATTGGTTGACTGTGTATCTCTCTATGTATTAAGGTGGGCGCTTCTGGATAAAAATTACCCATTTTCAAATAGATGCTGATTTAATTTAAGGGGTTAATATGAAAACAATTCCATGTCAAGTTTATTATAAAGAATATGAAATTATGTATACCTTGCATGTAGATATCTGAAATACAATGCACTCCTAAAAAGTGGTGTAAATGTTTGACATTTGCATTCTGCCTTCCTTAATACATAGATGTTTATATTTTCTGAATACTGTAAACAGTTCTCACACAAATTGCCTACTCTAGTAGGAATAAAATTTGCCCAAATTTTGGTGAAACACATAATACTTATTAGGAAGTTTCATTTCTAAACTTCAAATCTGCGCAATCATATTATAGTAATAATAGGGAGTATTTTTCAACTGAAATCCATTGTTCAATTCAACAAAGAACAGTCTAACAACAATCATTGTACAATGAGACAAACTTGAGTCAATGTTTTTGTGGTTTGAATCATTTTCCCATCACAATAAGATGAAGCTATTCATTGGTCAATGGGGACCAATCAGAATCATTGTACTTTGAAACTCAAACTTATTGTACCATGAATGCAATGAAGTCATTGGACAACTAACATGTTCATTTTTCATTATCAGTGTGAACTGTTAAATAAAGATGGAGGCTGAGAAAATGCTCTATCACAGATTTAGGGCCACAATCTTCTAGTCCCTGGGGAAATGTAGTCCCTCTGGACCCCTTGGGTGATGCAAATCCTTGGGTTTCAGATGCATAGCCTCTGTCCATGCGATTTAAAATGACATACTGTACAAAGGCATAAAACAGGCAATTTTAATAAATATAGTATGTATAATTTTAGGACATATGTAGTATTATTTATAGTATATATAATTATATATATATTATTTATATATGATAATATCCCATTTACTATCTTCACATGGCTTCATATGTCCATGTATAATGTTAATGTACTGGGCTAATTTGACATAGAAGCTTATATGTTGACATGTGAAAGAGTGTATTACAAGTCCCGGCATATATATACATATACACTGGGTAATACATGCATATTTAGGTTTCGTCTGCAGCTAAAATCCTAACTGTTGCTATGGCAACCACATCACTGGGTAACTGTGTACGCCGTGCCTCACTACTGCGTCACGTGCATGTGCAGACCTCACGCTACAATTCTTCACGCATCCTACTTCTGGAACAATCCAAACGTTATCGTTAGATGGAATTTCAAGAGGTTCAGACTATCTCAATTTGAAGCAGTGATGCTATTTATTACTAGAGTGTGTGATCCCAAAATGTGGCCCTTTCAGGAAAAAATAATAAATTCTGAACTCTTAAGAAACCAAGAAAGCTCCATAACAGATTAATAAGTTGCCCATTTTCAGGATTTTAAATTTCTTCATTCCAAGATCAAGTGTCTTCCAACTAGGTTTGCTTATGAGACCTCTTACATTATTACCTATCATAACGGTCCACTCTCTGGATCGGGCTGCAGAGCCTGGGGTGGTTTCAAGCCATCTTCATTAGGAAAGAAGATACTAGGTTCCGTGTTGCGTCTCTTCACTTTGTTCTTGGACTTTTTGAGCATGGTTGCCTGGAAACAAGATGAATCTTCAGATGTAGAATATATTTCAATGACTTTTTCATATCATATACATTTTGGCCTTTTTGCCAGGAACAGCTTCATTTACAATATTTCATTATATACAATTTTCAAGATCTGTATACAAAAATGGAAATTGTGCAATGTTTCAGTGGCGGATCAAGGAACCAACAGGGGGGGGGCCCAAATTTGAGGTCAGAGAAAAATATCTACTCACTTTAAGCGCTGATCTCAAGACAACAACAGTGCCAGGTGGTTGAATCCAAGGCTCTCCATCTACCTGAACTGGCAGGTCATTCAGTAATGTAATACGGATCTGCAATATTTAGAACATTTGGATTAATTTTGTAAAACAAATGCACTAGTTAAGTTGAGATGAGCTCATCCTCTGCATTCAAAATTTTGAATTCTGAGTGGAACTTTTCATGATATAAAATTCTTAATAAAACGATACCATTAAAAATATAATATTTTATGAGTTCTTACATGTCCACCTTGCGCTATCCTTAGGCCATTCCTCAGACCACTCTGAATTTGTCCCATATGGACCACCCCATTGACACCAACCACCTCTAGCATACCATCATAATGAGTAGGCTTATCAAAGTCTTCCCCTTTCTCTGTACCCCAAGGGTTGGCACCAGATGCCCAACTGCAAGACAAAATTCATATGTTCAACATTCATCTATATTATGTATAGTACACACACACAGTGATAGATATCACCCTTTTTTATAGAAGAATTCAAATTGACCACCATGTAATTTACAGAATAAGAGTAATTTAAAAAGCTGTGAAAAAACCAAAAATGTGAAAATAACTGAAATATAAAAAAAACCTACCTGAGAATATTAAGAATTATTATTCCTTCTAATTGTGGGAGATCAAGTATTTTGCCATCCACCTCAACGCGAATCTGCTTCTGAAGATCCTTACACGATTTCCTATTGACCATTTTACGGATACCCATTTTAAAATATATACCTTTGTTGTGTATTCTGAAAATAAAAATGTTTGAAATTAATGTGTGTCTATGAAAAAATTGAAGTGTCAATAAAGGACAGGTATGTCATATTTTTGAAACAATCTGTTCAACTATTGTTAAATTGTGTCAATTTTAAACAAAAAAAGAATTTTTAAATTTTCTTTTTCCATTTTTACCACTTTAATGAAACATATCTTGTTTTGCGAACTGATGTAAGGCAAATTATTATTTTTACAACAATATATCATATTATTGTGGTCATGAAACATATAATAAATACAATTCTATTTATCTAAAAAAAAATGCTCGAAAAACACAAAATGACATGGTTTAGTCCAAACAATAATTCACTGGAACAACAAGTTATGACAAGGAGTGTAATTTGTCCAAAGACTATGAACAATATTAAACCCTTGAGTATACTCGCAAAATGACATTTTCATATCATCAAAAATAGCACAACACATGTGCAACTCCAGTGAAATTGTCAAAACTTGGTGGAAATTCTCAACATAAAATCAAAAGTCATCTTTTGACATCAATGGTAACCTACCTGCTAGTGAATTTGCCAGGGTTCTCTTCTCGTGCATTGTGGAAATCTAAACACAAATCTGCATCTATTCCGACACCAAAGTAATTGTTCATAATGCGTATGTCTGTGTTTTCTTCCTTATTTTGTGGTGTGTCAATTAAATTTGCTATATATTCCTTTCGGTTGGATTCATCCTTTTCAGTTGTGTGAAATATCACTGTCCACCTGAAATGAAGAATTTTGGCTTATTTAATAGAATTGGATCTTTTACACATATGCTTATATGTTGCATGGAAGTAGTAAACAAGCCCCAAAATGGCCCTTACTTAACTTGAAAAATGGAAAACAGTTCAAAGGGTCCCTTACTGTAATTTTCAAATTTGTACAATAACACTCAATTATTTTGAATTGAATGATTTGTCCTTCACTTGAAACATTATTTACTCACAAGTCATCATTTACCCCCTCCCTACTTTTACTGTTAATGTTAACATTTGGACAAAATCTTTCACCAGACTAAACTATCAATTCTGAGTATTATTTACCAGGAATTATCATATATGTAACTTAACACAGATTGGTGAGGATAGTTAGATATATTCAACTACCCAAGTCCTACAACAGATTAATAGCTTACCTATCTAACTTGATTTCTTCTGCATCAATGACGTCCCTGAGGGTGTTGAGGGGGTCCTCATTGCCTGTGAACCCTGGGCCCCAACGCAACACACGAGCTAGGTCATTACCTGAAAAAACAAGCATTGTAGCATTAACTCTGATCACCCAAACTAATGGATTATGTGTAGAATTATGCCCAAATCTTCTGAGATGGTCCCTTGAAAGGTCTATGTATTGGCCAATAGGCCAGTTCAGTTATCTATTGGATACCAAACAGCTTTATGTTATACTATTATCATATTGTATAAGGGACCAAAGAACAGAAACTCTCCCAAAGTTTAATATGGAAGAATCCAATCCAATCTATTCTGGGGTAGAATTTTCCTATTTCAGTTTATTCCACATATAGAAATTTGCCAAGTCTTTAGTTTGTATATTTGACTAACCTGTGCCTAAAGGTACAATTGCTAGGGGAGGTGACTGGCACACTGCGTCCTGACCAACATTATCTAGGCATGACAGTGCCCAACCTACAGTCCCATCTCCACCACATGTCAGTATCTTATAGCAAGGTATATTACGAAATACATATAATCTGAAAAACATAGCAAAAAGTATTGTATCATTCAAAAGCATTTATATTCAAGATTCATTAAAGGGTGACGCATATCGTTTAGCAAATCGAACGCTCGTTTCTGGTGTTGCTCACCGTTTAGTATAAAAGGCCCGATCCCGGAATAATACTCAAGGGTATACAGGTTCGAGGTCGTTGTGTCAACACCTCTAACTGTTATTTAGCATAAGTATATTATAGATCGTCACACATTTATAAAAGGGTGATTTTTATTTTGACAAATCAATTCCACATTTATGGGTGAAGTTTCAGGATCTTCTATTTGTGTATAATAAGGAAAAATTGGCATCTAAATTTCCCCATAACGTAATAGCACACAGCTTGGCATATGAAATATCCTACAAATGAAACAAAGCAGTTCTAATACAAGGATTTATATTGGCTGTTGTACATGTATTCTTTGAACGCAATCACTCTTTGGATAACGTTTTCAAAATCATTATAAACGGATTACTTTATCTCAAAGACAATTTCAATAAACTGAATTTTACAGAACTCCCCTTATTTCTTAAAAATGGACTGATCCAGTTGATTCGCCTGGAGCCGCCATATTGTTTTTATACGGGATGCTAATTGGAACCCTTTAACAAATGTTCTACCTCTAATTGGTGTATGAAACTGGGATAACATATTGTGTTCATTGTAATACAAGTACACTGAAGCTATATTTGAATACAATGTCATGGGACCTTACAACATACAATTTATACTAATCCCAAAGCAAAACCCTATGAAAACAAATACAAAAACACACTGCTAGATGAACACCCAAAATGCCCAAAAACTAATCAGATTTTGGTTTAAATGCCATGAAGCATTCCTGAAAATTTGAAATGAATCCCCTGATTAAGATCCAATCACAAGGTTCCAAAATGGCTGAAAAAAACACAAAATAGACGCTTTAATTTACCCAGCATGCCCGAAAACAAATGATTTCTAGATATTCATACCAAGAAGACTCCCTGGAAAGTATATGTACTGCATAGTATATCTAGTATAACAAAAATGGTACTCACCCAGGTAAAGGTCCTCCAAGGTCAAGGTTAAAGACTTGGTGAGGGTTAAGGAGACGTCTAAATGCTGTAATCAAATCTAGACCCTGGCAGCCTCCACTCTTCACATTGACCATAACCAGTAGAGGTTGGACCCCTTCTTGAATCATGTGAGGTTGCACATTTGGCAAAATCATCACAAGTAACTGTTTTTTGTCAAATTCAGCACCTTTTAAGATGTTAAAAGACTTGGTGGCCTTTTCGAGGTCACTGTATGTTAAGACCAATGAGCCATATTCATAATAGATCACATCAAATGCATCCCATTTATTTGCTGCAAATACAATGAGGTTTTGCATATTAAGTATATAACATATAAGATATATTAAATCTACACTAGTCTTTGTGATGGTGATTGTTGCACAGGCTCATCACACATAATTATTACACATGATTATCACAATAAGACATATGAGGAGACTATTTTCCTTATACCTCAATCAGGCGAATACATACTATGAAGGGGAAAACAAATGTTCACAAATGAGCTCGCTTAAAAAAATGTGTACCTTTACCTCTCTTTTATCTCACATTGTTACAAGAAGTATATGTGTAATGTCCATAAAATTAAGGAAGTACACTCTACTCAAAATTTGCGTTAAATGTAAACCATGGTTTGAGACATGTACTTCAAGTTTTGGACGAGAGAGAGAACTGCTAATATCTCTGTAATATCTTAAGATTCATAAAACTAAACATTTGATTTTATTTAGAATAACTAAGCTATTACATACCTTCTCCTACCATATCAACAAGTATTTTTTCATACTGCCTTTGTGAGAGACCCTCTGGTAGGTTACCAATAAATAAATTTATACTAGGACCATGAGGATCCTCAGTTCTTTGTAGATAAAACCTAGTCATCCTGTTTTGCCTTAATGATTCCTGAAGGCAGATAAAAATAATGTTGAACACCCAGGTTTCTAATATGCTATTAGTTTTGGGGTCGTCAGATAAATTATCATTTGGGGAGATGCTCTAAAGGATGGTGTCCAAATATTAATGTGGCAAAATATATTTTTGAAAAGTTGGGTGAAAGAGTCTGTAAGGTCAAAATTATAAATTGAGTTAATGTTGTATATGAGCTTGAAAATGTATTGAACTCAGTGTCGACTATTTCACTGAAATTCCTTTTAGTTACATAAACAATTATTACTTCCTCATAAGCAGTGAACAGGTAAAAGGTTTGTGACAAGTAAATACATTAATTTTCACCTGTCTCTGTTTCTGTACAATTGCCCATGGTGTTTCATCTCTTGGGACTTCCTTCTCCGTGACGCCTTTATCCAACAACACCTCAATCAGAGAGAACTTGCTTGGATCAGTATCCTATAGCAGAGGGAACCCTCATTTAATTTAAGCATGTGGTTGTCTTTTGTAATATTAGATACACTGCACATATTTCCTATTTTCTTAATATCTCTAGATATATGTCTATTTCTAACTTCCCTATGGGTTCAATTTTCAGGGAGAAACTAGACAATTGTCCACTTTATCATTCTAAATATTTTGGTTTGAGGGTGTTTCATTAACTAAACTGTGAGGAAATCATTTTATAGGAAGACAAGGAACTTTGAAACAACCCCTTATGCCAGTTTGATAAAAATGAATAATCAAATGTGTATAAACCCAAAAACATTTCATGTTTTCTTACCTTAACACCATATTTTTTCAGGGCAGTCTCAATAACTTCTATAGTGCTTGTGTTGGTGTTCACAGGAATGTTCTTATAGGTAACTCTGTGGCCAGGAGGTGTGTTAGTTCTGAAACAAAACATTGGATTGGTTGTTCAATAATCTGCTAATTACTTTGTCATCCTGCAATTGTGAGCTTATTTCCCTAGATTTTCCGTGTATGTAATATCTTGGAAATCAATTTTGAAAATTAATCGAACATCAACCTCAAAATAGGAAGAACTGATGGCACTGTATTACTTAAATGTCATGAAGAACAACAAATATTGCATTTGCAATAGTTTTGGGAAGAATTTGAGACATTTAATGGAAATATTGTGGGAAGGATTGTCAATACAAAACCTTAATGGACACTAAATTTACTTAATCGCGCACACATTACTTAATGTATAAAGACAACAAAGACCCATTAATGTTTGATTAAGCCCCCTTAGCAATGTGCACTATTAAAGAAGTCCTTACTTGACACTCCCAGGGTACACTTTGATTGTTCCACTGTTCTGGTTGTGTTCATTATAGCGTAGAAATATGGACGGTCGCTTGCCGTCGGCAGCTTTAAGCTGGCTCCGTACTGGACATGTGACATCAAGGGGGGTCTCCCCTGCTGTAGTGTCTAAAATAGGTACCATACCTTTAATGTATAAATATATGAAATAAAATAACAAGTTTCAAGTTTAGACATTTATGCAAAAATATATGAAATAAAATAATGGAGCGTAATGGACACTAGCATAAAAGTTGTATTCCAAGAAAAGGATCAAATATCTGATTAGCATTTGAAAAAACTAATTTAATTTATTGGAAAATTCAATATGAAAAATGTACAGCACATGCAAAACTTACCATTATCATGTGTTTCGGTTATGTAGTAGTTTTTCGGATCATCAGAAATGTGGAATGTTTTCATGGCCGCTTCCTGAAAAAAAAGTTTGTACAGCTGCATGTAAATCAATTAACTCATTGTAATATAATTTTGGATGGTTTAAAGCCACTCATAGACATGGTTTCTTGATTAATATTTTGAATATGAATAATCACTTCAAGCCTAATATATGATTTGTACAAAATGTCTCCACTTTAAGTAAATATTTAACAGTCTATTGAAATGTTTAATATTGTCAGCAAAGATAATAGATGATGTGTACATCAGTATACCTACCAGAGCAACTTGGGCTGGTGCGTATTTTGGAACATTGATAATCCTGTATGATCTTTTCTTCATAGATCCATTACCATCATACACTCGGAAAATATCTGAAATTGAGTAAAATCAATAAAATATAGCAGATCACTTTTAAAGTGCCATGTTATGAAAGAAAGAGTAAAATGCTAGCAATTCTTTCAATAAATACATCTAAAATGGCTGCCAAAGAAAACAAAATGGCCATCCAAAATTTAATCAAGTGTAGAACTTGGTACTCCATGGTATGTGTAGGAAATTGAGGAAAATCTGATGAGCAGTTTACCTTGAATGACAACGACACGACTTATTGAAACTTCTTAAATGACAGCCAGAAAATGCCAGCTGTAGTTGGCTTGACAAACTGATCACAATATTGGACTCAAAGGTGTGATAGTAAAATATTCTTACCTTCATCTTTGTCTTTATCTTTGGTGTCTTTTCCTTCCCCTCGTTTCTTTCTTGAATCCTCATCTTCTTCACCCTTAGAATCACCACTTGAGGAAAAGTCATCTGCTGACACCGTGCGTGCTAAAACATGTGATAAACATGTTGATGTATGTCGTCTGCTGTCAAAGTTGCATTATGGGTAACAAACAATATAGAAAATCTGATAGCATAGGTCATCTGTTGGGAGAGTTACAATGTCCGAGTAAAAATCACAATAAAAAATCTGAAAATGTGCCGTCTGCTGTCATTTTAAGTTGCATTATGGGAAAGGGTTGCATGGCAAATCAGATGCTAATGTAATGGATTTGTGTAAAATGAAATAAGAGAAGTCATAAACATTGTATTATGATATCATCAATGTGAAACTTTGTCCAACCAACCTTCCACATATAGGGTGATAATGTATTTTAAACTACACTTGACAGTATACTTCTACAACTACTTCTACAGTTGAAATAAGTAAAATGTCCAGTCTTCCAAAATAAATTCAACAAAGGCAACACTAGGGTGCTGCACATCCCATCAAACATGAATTTCTAAGGAAAAAGAAAAACCTTATTCGATTTAAATCAATTGAATTTTTTGTTGGAAGACTATAAATAAATCATAATAAAATATAAACGTACAGTCACCTGGAGAAGCTGTTCCAAGCAGCACAAAACAAATAATAAAAGTCATTAAAACATGTCCTCTTCTATGATGATAGTTTTAAATCCATTGTAACACGCGGTCCTAACTTCGACCGTTAATTTGAATTTTTGACCTACCAGGTGCTTGAAAAACAAGGATTGCGAGTCTCATACTGCATACGGTCAAAAATTCAAATTAACGGTCGAAGTTAGGGCCGCGTGTGTAAATACCAATACAATTAGTAGATATTTTGGGGATATTCAGTGTGGGATCCACAGCCTGTGCCATCCCTTGGAATCCACAACCTGTGTCCTTCACTCTCAAATGTTACATATAGAGGGACTCCTTTCAGATAAATAAACAGATCAAATCACTAATTTATAAATGGATACTGTAAAAAACTAATGGATAATTTCTATGAAAACCAGATATGTTTGATCAGGGAAGACCATTAACTATTTCTATAAAACAAGTTTTTTCCTGCTCGCTTTGAGTGCTCAGACTAATAGTCATAATAATGTAAATACATTATGAAAAATCAAGCTTAGTATACAGGGTGTTTAATAAGGACTGTACCATATCCCCTATATATATCATACAAGGGCATATTCAATTATTGATTGGCTATGGGAGGTGTTTTTCTTGTACACATGGTAAAAGAAACAAAGATGATATATTTACAATATACAGTATGGAGAAATTAAGCATTTGCTGCCACTGGTACCAGGAGATTATTATTATTCAACAAAGCTGAAAAGATGTTTTTCTCATTTTTATGAAACAATGGATAGATATTACCAAAATGGATAGTCCCCAAAACCTCTATTTATTGTGCCCTTAATGCCTTTCAACACATATGCCAAAATGACATACTTTTCAGTCTAAGTACTCATCATTTAAAATTAGAATAAACTACTTGGCTTCTATACATTCAACCACAGATTTAAATGAATCATTAATGATTAAATGTACTCTTGGATAAGTGCAACCTTGCATTGTTATAGTACATAGGCCCTGTAAAAACAAGTTGTGTTATTGATCCACAATTTAAGGTTCCTATTGTAATCCTAGAGGGTTCATAACATGCTTTACTTAACACAATTTGTGACACTCAAATTTCTAATGTTAGAAAGTAGTGAATAGTTCACTTACTCTGTTTCTTTTGAATGCCTAGTATAATGTCAATTGGGACATTAATTCTTGGAATTGTGACTGCACTCGAAGGTAAGACAATATCTGATAGGGTACCAAAGCTGCACTCCATTGGTAGGGACTTGTAACACTGGGGATGTGCCTGAAATGGAAGTACATACAAATAATATAAGTGTACAGTAAAGTACATTTCCATTCAAATTGCAAACAACCCTTTGCAAGATCATTGATTGTCTTTATTCTAAACTCCACATTGTACTACTACTACTGTCATCATCTTTTCAAATTGCTGAGCCAATCAGATGGCTCTCAAAGTCTTTAGTAACAGTAAAACCTGTGAGATTGACGTCCAAAGTACTGAAGACCACTTTTCGGAGTCCCATGACCAGCTGATGGAATTTAAAATGAAGCTCTGCAAATGGAACACCTCCTCAGTGGAACACTTTCATAGGCACCAAATGTGTTCCATGTACACAGGTTTTACTTTATAAAGGTATAAGCATGGCTCTAGTGTGCTCTATAATTTATTGAATCCCAAACTGTAAAACAATTGCTCCCACTCAGAGGCAAGTATAGTACTATTAAATGTTCCCAGGGTAACTATAATCAGAAATAAAACAATAGAACAATAAGTTAATTGTATTTGTATAAGAACAACTAGATCAATATGTAATAATAACAAAGGGGAAATTTCCAATTTGAGATATGAGAACCAAAACTAAAAATAAGCAATTTATGTTGTTTTTTATATCTACAAAATAAGTCTGTGTTTTCTATGATATTCCATATGCACTCTAAAATTTGCCATTAAGTGGCGCGTAATATAGTTGTGATGGCATTAATTTAATGCACTGGGGACCAATGGGTAGATGATATGCAAATATTCTTATAAGAATTCCAGGCTGTTGACTCCAAATTTTCTGTTATGTTTAACATAGCCTTTATTGTCAGACATTATAACTTTAAAAGGGGGTGTCCAAATACCAGGAATTTGATATCAAGCCTCTTTCCTGAAAATACCAAGGTTTGAAAAATTGCTCATCCAGTAAGTGGAATTCATGCATAATTCTATACCTACCCAGTTGGCTTAGTGGTAGCATATCTTCCTCATACTATATACCCATGAAACAATTCAGACCTGAGAGGATTTATACTATGTGCCCTAGACAATAGGGTGACCAGATAATCATATGTCCCAGACACTTTGATGAACAGACAAGGTTCATACCATATGTCCAAGACACTTTGATGACCAGATAAGGTTCAAACCATATGTCCCAGACACTTTGATGAACAGACAAGGTTCAAATCATATGTCCCAGACACTTTGATGAACAGACAAGGTTCAAATTATATGTCCCAGACACTTTGATGAACAGACAAGGTTCAAATCATACGCCCTAGACACTTTGATGATCAGACAAGGTTCAAACCATATGCCCCAGACACTCTGATGATCAGATAAGGTTCAAATCATGTGCCCCAAACACTTTGATGACCAGACAAGGTTCAAACCATATACCCCAGACACTCTGATGATCAGATAAGGTTCAAACCATATACCCCAGACCCTCTGATGATCAGACAAGTTTCATACCATATGCCCTAGACACTTTGATGATCAAACAAGGTTCAAACCATATACCCCAGACCCCAGACCACACGTCCAAGACACTTTGATGATCAGACAAGGTTCATACCATATGTCCAAGACACTTTGATGATCAGACAAGGTTCAAATCATATGCCCCAGACATTTTGATGGCCAGATAAGGTTCATACCATATGCCCTAGACACTTTGATGGCCAGATAAGGTTCATACCATATGCCCAAGACAAGACACTTTGATGTATGGAAAAGGTTCAAATCATATACCCTAGGCACATTGATGACCAGACAAGGTTCGAATGGTATACCTAAATATAGACAATCTGACATGATCTGAGAGACCTTAGGATACAACACCTCTCACACCACACTCTAAAAGCACAATAAGGTTTGAAGTTCATAACATTAACTTCAAGATTAAATGATATAGGGCATATACAAATACTGCCTTGAATTGATGGCAGTAAAAGCACTACAATCTTTGATGATCTCAGAGAAGGGTGTATAACAACTTACCGTTACACCACACCACTCACACCTCATGCCCCCCAGACACTCTGATGACCAGCAGGTTTTCTTGCACAGGAAACATTTGGAATTTGGGACTAGGTTGCCTTCACGCCAATGGTGATAGTAGACAACATTGACCTGTAAAAGTACATAGCACAAAACATGAAGAGGAATCATTAAATTCAATATTAATGTTTCACGTTAAAAAGAGCATCCATTCTCTAGAGCTTTGATTGTAAAAATTAATATAGATGCAAAAAGTAGAAATGTGGATCAGATATCAAATATTTATGGAATACCTATAGAACATAACAAATTACTGTGAATCCATAATCTTCAATGGAAATAACCTTTACAGTTTATTAATAATTTATAGGGACAAAAATAATTACCAAATCTTTGTGTGGTACATATGTTGCGCATTCCTTACAATCACTGACAACAAAATCTTGGCAGTCTAAATGTGCATAATAGCTACAAACTGGAAAAATGTAAAATAAAAAAACCATAAGTTATGTATTAATTTGATATACACTTGTTATGCATTAAGACCACTCATGATGCATTGCTTGATGCTGTCTAAAACCACAGGGCTCTTAGAAAGAAGGGTAGTACTGTATTCAGACCTATTTTACCATATTGAAATAGCCAACAATCCTCTCTCACTCTCAATCCCCATATAAGGCATTAGAAAATGCATACATCACAAAATGTCACCAAAGGAAATTTTTGTCACTTAAGGAAAACTCTATTAACAGATATGCATTTTGTAAATACTGCTTCCAAAATTTTACACTCTCTTTCCTTTGCTGCCACTCACTTTCAATTCCTTTATAATGTTCTGTACTTACTTTCACATTGTACTGCTATACTGTCTTCTAATCGTTTCCGACAAACATTGCAAAATTTTCTCTTAAAATGCCCTGGTTCTGACCAACAATGTGGCACTGGATTCTGAAAATATAAAACAAATTTTTCATCATTGGGAAATGAGATAAAATTGCTAAATTAGCAACTTGCTAGATACATATGGTTGTGTATATCTCTTGTGTGGTCCTTCTGATGTCCTACAATGTCGTCTCAATTGAGATGAAATTGATTTATATCAAATTCATACAAAGCACATCAGTTCCATACCACGCCATATTAATAAAGCACAAAACCAGACTCAGTATAAAACATTGAACATAAATGTTAACTTCTGTATGTTATTTTTGGATGTTCTTGGTAAAATTGTATATCATATAAAGAGCCAATATCTGTGTATGAATGTTACAAATATTCATTCAGACTTCAAGTGGGAATTCCAACAAAAAATACAACCAGTAGTATGGGGATTAAACAGGTCAACATACTGAGGCCTGGAACAAAAAAGTTTTTAGCAAAACAGGATAAACAATTACTAAATTATCACAATCCACACATGACACTTATTCCATTATCTGCTGTATAATACCACAATCAATGTTTATATGAAAATGTGCGCATAAACAAATGGTATAATGTCCTTATCTCGGGATCAACAAAACAATTATGATTGTCAATATGATGTAATTGGCATAATCAAAGATATTAAACATCCAATTATGCCTCATCAATTGTGTTGACATCCCGTCCAGGGCCTCAAAGAGGACATTGACTGAACACATTTATTACAGCAGAGATCACGATAGATGAAAAAACTTGTTAGCCATTGTGGCTAAATCTTCCAAAAAAAATTTCGCCAACCAAAATATGAATTAGCCATTTTGAAAAACCGTAAAAAAGGGAACATTAAAAATGATGCAATGTCTGATGATGACAGTTTCACTTTCAGTTTCACTTTTCAAAATCATATTCAGAAATAAAAAAACGTCAATTAAAATTGAATGTAAAGCATCTGCCGCGAATGTGATCGGCATTTCACATAGTCTGCACGGTGTAATATCACCAATTCGTTTACCTTGTGATATCGGAGTCCCAAAATACTTCCAAACTGCCGACTTTTTCGACTTAGATGCCGGCTCGATTTTTCAATTTCTTTCCTACATCCGGCATACTGATAATGCACTCGATTTGCGAACGACGATGAAGAAATTTACGAACAAGCATTACCATCTACCTGAAATCGCGGGTCCGTTAATAACACTTTTCAATGCAAAGAAGTGTAAACTAGGTACGAGGTAAGTGAAAATATTTAATTTTTCAGAACGAAGTCGGAGGTGTTCCTCGCTATTTAGACTATACACGTTTTTATGCATTCTAGGGAAGGAATCTATGTACCGATATTAACCCTTTCTGTCCCATGTCCCAAACCAAAGCATCTGGACCGAAATTCGGTCCAATATCGGGAAACCGTGACACCTCTAATTCGCCATAACTGCGAAATACCTTTACATATTTTTCGCCACCTCTTTCGAAAATTCGCGATTGGCGAATGGCGAACGTCTACCGTGATCTCTGATTACAGGTGAGTAACAATTCTTACATTGTGTCAACAACTTATCAATATTTACAAAAAACACATTTTCTGTTTATTTCATTCAGTGATAAAAATTCTTCTCCAAAAGTTTATTAAGCATTGAACTGCAAGTATAGCAAAGTCATCTCTCAGTTGTCTAGTATGTACATGTACATATAACAAAATAGATCGATGTATAAAGTATGACACATTTAATCCATAATGCAAGTATGAGTGTTGCCTCTGGTTATGTAGTATGTATGTATGGCAATGTTGTCTCTGGTTATAGTAGTATGTAAGTATGACAATATTGTCTCTGGTTATATAGCATGTAGGTATGACAATATTGTCTCGGGTTATGTAGCATGTAAGTATGACAATATTGTCTCTGGTTATGTAGCATGTAAGTATGACAGTGTTGTCTCCAGTTATGTAGTATGTAAGTATGACAATATTGTCTCTGGTTATGTAGCATGTAAGTATGACAATATTGTCTCTGGTTATGTAGCATGTAAGTATGACAATATTGTCTCTGGTTATGTAGCATGTAAGTATGACAATATTGTCTCTGGTTATGTAGCATGTAAGTATGACAATATTGTCTCTGGTTATGTAGCATGTAAGTATGACAATATTGTCTCTGGTTATGTAGCATGTAAGTATGACAATGTTGCATCTGGTTATGTAGCATGTAAGTATGACAATATTGTCTCTGGTTATGTAGCATATAAGTATGACAATATTGTCTCAGGTTATGTAGCATGTAAGTATGACAATATTGTCTCTGGTTATGTAGCATGTAAGTATGACAATATTGTCTCTGGTTATATAGCATGTAAGTATGACAGTGTTGCATCTGGTTATGTAGCATGTAAGTATGACAACGTTGCATCTGGTTATGTAGCATGTAAGTATGACAATGTTGCCTTGGTTATGTAGCATGTAAGTATGACAATGTTGCCTCTGGTTATGTAGCATATAAGTATGACAATATTGTCTCTGGTTATGTAGCATGTAAGTATGACAATATTGTCTCTAGTTATATAGCATGTAAGTATGACAGTGTTGCATCTGGTTATGTAGCATGTAAGTATGACAATATTGTCTCTGGTTATGTAGCATGTAAGTATGACAATATTGTCTCTGGTTATGTAGCATGTAAGTATGACAATGTTGTCTCTGGTTATGTAGCATGTAAGTATGACAGTGTTGCCTTTGGTTATGTAGCATATAAGTATGACAATATTGTCTGTAGTTATATAGCATGTAAGTATGACAGTGTTGTCTCTGGTTATGTAGCATGTAAGTATGACAGTGTTGCCTTGGTTATGTAGCATGTAAGTATGACAATATTGTCTCTGGTTATGTAGCATGTAAGTATGACAATATTGTCTCTGGTAAGTATGACAGTGTTGCATCTGGTTATGTAGCATGTAAGTATGACAATATTGTCTCTGGTTATGTAGCATGTAAGTATGACAATATTGTCTCTGGTTATGTAGCATGTAAGTATGACAATATTGTATCTGGTTATGTAGCATGTAAGTATGACAATATTGTCTCTGGTTATGTAGCATGTAAGTATGACAATATTGTCTCTGGTTATGTAGCATGTAATTATGACAATATTGTCTCTGGTTATGTAGCATGTAAGTATGACAATATTGTATCTGGTTATGTAGCATGTAAGTATGACAATATTGTCTCTGGTTATGTAGCATGTAAGTATGACAATGTTGTCTCTGGTTATGTAGCATGTAAGTATGACAATATTGTATCTGGTTATGTAGCATGTAAGTATGACAACGTTGCATCTGGTTATGTAGCATGTAAGTATGACAATGTTGCATCTGGTTATGTAGCATGTAAGTATGACAATATTGACTCTGGTTATGTAGCATGTAAGTATGACAATATTGTCTCTGGTTATGTAGCATGTAAGTATGTCAATGTTGCATCTGGTTATGTAGCATATAAGTATGACAATGTTGCCTCTAGTTATGTAGCATGTAAGTATGACAATATTGTCTCTGGTTATGTAGCATGTAAGTATGACAATATTGTCTCTGGTTATGTAGCATGTAAGTATGACAATATTGTCTCTGGTTATGTAGCATGTAAGTATGACAATGTTGTCTCTGGTTATGTAGCATGTAAGTATGTCAATGTTGCATCTGGTTATGTAGCATATAAGTATGACAGTGTTGCCTCTGGTTATGTAGCATGTACACCCCCAAAATGTAATCTGATTTTTGATATCGTTTCGGAGCCAAATTTCGGTGCTGTTTCGGCACCAAATGGACTGACTAGTCCGGTGGCAAATTTTGGTGTCAAAAGGTTTCGGTGCCGGAACGGTGTCGGAACGGTGCCGGAACAGCGCCAAATTTTTTCGATGCCGAACCGGCGCCGAATTATATCGGCTGTGTAAGTATGACAGTGTTGCATCTGGTTATGTAGCATGTAAGTATGACAATATTGTCTCTGGTTAGGTAGCATGTAAGTATGACAATGTTGCATCTGGTTATGTAGCATGTAAGTATGACAATATTGTCTCTGGTTATGTAGCATGTAAGTATGACAATATTGCATCTGGTTATGTAGCATGTAAGTATGACAATATTGTATCTGGTTATGTAGCATGTAAGTATGACAATGTTGCCTCAGGTTATGTAGCATGAAATTATGACAATGTTGCATCTGGTTATGTAGCATGTAAGTATGACAATGTTGCCTCAGGTTATGTAGCATGTAAGTATGACAGTGTTGCCTTTGGTTATGTAGCATGTAAGTATGACAATGTTGCATCTGGTTATGTAGCATGTAAGTATGGCAATGTTGCATCTGGTTATGTAGTATGTAAGTATGACAATGTTGTCTCTGGTTATGTAGCATGTAAGTATGACAATGTCGTCTCTGGTTATGTAGCATGTAAGTATGACAGTGTTGCCTCAGGTTATGTAGCATGTAAGTATGACAATATTGTCTCTGGTTATGTAGCATGTAAGTATGACAATGTTGCCTTTGGTTATGTAGCATGTAAGTATGACAATGTTGCCTCAGGTTATGTAGCATGTAAGTATGACAGTGTTGCCTCAGGTTATGTAGCATGTAAGTATGACAATATTGTCTCTGGTTATGTAGCATGTAAGTATGACAATGTTGTCTCTGGTTATGTAGCATGTAAGTATGACAATGTTGCATCTGGTTATGTAGCATGTTAGTATGACAATGTCGTCTCTGGTTATGTAGCATGTAAGTATGAAAATGTTGCCTCAGGTTATGTAGCATGTAAGTATGACAATGTTGCATCTGGTTATGTAGCATGTAAGTATGACAATGTTGCATCTGGTTATGTAGCATGTAAGTATGACAGTGTTGCCTCTCGTTATGTAGCATGTAAGTATGACAATATTGTCTCAGGTTATGTAGCATGTAAGTATGACAACGTTGCATCTGGTTATGTAGCATGTAAGTATGACAATGTTGCCTCAGGTTATGTAGCATGTAAGTATGA